GCATTGATCCAGTCAAATTCGAAACTATGCTCAGGAATAGCATGCCAATGAAAATTCGTCTGTCTGCATTTGATAGAAAGACGTCCCCGTCAATGCTCGACAAAATGATCAGGAAGATCACCCACGAAAACCGTACTTACATCGATGACAGTACATGGCAAGCCAATCTGGAACAAGTCAAGAAAGCATTGCAATCAGAGGTGTACCTACGTCATATCCGCCGGCGTGAGCAATGGGAGATTGAGTACAGCTCTTCCAGTGCGATACTATTGGGCACTATCTCCGACAGCAACGTTGAATGGAAACTATACGCCAATGTAGAGAAAGAGCCTCTCGGTTCCGAAATAGGAAATTACCTTCGTGCGTTCCCTATCGCGAGAATGACAGCATCTGGACGCGAAGAAAATATGTTTCAGGGCTGTTGGGAAATATGGCTACCAAAAGCTCGCGAGTTCGATGCACTCCTATCGATGACGGGCCCCATGCTTCCATCATATGAGAATCATTGTGGCCTTTTGAACGCCACGGATACATATGTGTGTAGCAACATCGACGTCCAGGTGAATGATTTTGATGACAGATGCTTTGAACGCGACATCCGTGGCCAGTACAAACTGTCACAAGAATGTGGCCAGGCGTTCAACTCTCTCCATGCTAAGATGGATGGAACAGAGACTGGGCGTCCGCTGTTCCTTTTCTTGGAACATCACCTTCGCCGCGGCAATCCTAGGGACCATACGTTCGTTTTCACAGAGGACCAGCGACGGTTGGAAAAGTTACAGCACCGCCATTCTGTAGCACATATCGAAGACTCGTCCTTTCGTCAGCCCAAGGCAACGCGCCTGGCAGCTGACCCCTCGTTTGGTCGACAAGGCCGATCTGCTGCTCTCGCCAGGTACCAATTTGATGCAGAAGATTTTTATCTCGAGAACAAAGTCAAGAGGCAACAGAAGATCAAAATTCATACGGATGGCACTTGGACGGATTTCAAAGGCATCTCCTTTAGCGCTCACGTCGATACGGAGCTCGTGAAGTATCATCTTCTACCAGCTCAAGTATCTCTGCAGCTACCTTGTGGCGAGCCGCTTGCAGTTTTCGAGTGCCAAACAAAACTTGAGGATAGACCATTGAGGACCTGGCTTCAAAATCGATGGGCCGAGGTTGATGTATCGACAGAAGCCGATTTCACGCATGAATTCCGGTGGATGCTCCAGAAAGGCCTTGTTATGAAGGGCCACGAAGAGCAAAAGCAAAATTTGCAATGTACTCACTACTCAGATAAACCTAATACTTGCCTTAGGTGCTCGCCCAATCCACCCAAGCTACTCTGGTGTTTCAACGAACATGGTAAGTAAGTTCCTCACGAGGACCCTCGAGAAGCATCCGAGCGCGAGCAAGCCTTGAAGGCACGACCATCTCCAGTGACAATATTATACTTCCTCGATGGTGGGAATATCACTATTCAGATTGGCGTAGATGCGGAAACTCTGGTGCACAGGGCAGTTTCAACGTTGGTGTTCAACTCAGCTCCAGACGCCACTGATTATTCAACGTCGTGGAGACTCGTTACTGACAGCGAGTCAAACGTTAAGCCAGTATTTGAATCCATCAAGCTTATGGATAATCAGCACCGAGAGCCAGCAGAGCAGCCAATTCTCGCAAATAACATGCAACTCCGCTTGGAACAATTGCGAGCATTGAGTTGGATGCAAGAGCAGGAGGGTAGCCCAAAATCTTTCGTCGAAGAAGAAGTAGTTGAGGCAAATGCTGTTCATTTGGGCTATCGTGCTGAAGGACGAGCAACCCGCAAAATTACTCGGCGGGGAGGAATATTGGCATTTGATGTCGGTTTTGGCAAGACCATCATTTCCCTTGCACTTATTCAAAAGTGGGTAGAGGATGATAAAAGCACTCCAAGAAGACCATCAAGGGGGCAATTCCTCTCAAGGCTACTCTTATAGTAGTTCCCAATCACCTGCCCGATCAATGGCACAAGGAGATCAAGAAATTTCTCGGCAATAAATACTGGAAAAACACTCTAGTTATCAAGCATATTGCTGATCTGAAGAATACCACCATTTCCGAGCTTCGGGAAAAGAACATTGTTATCATAACTATGAGTGTCTTTCGAGGCAGTCAGTACAAAGCATTTCTCGCCCGTTTTGCAGGAGTGGTCGAGGTTGATGACCAGGCTACGAGGAGAGCCAAGTCAACCTGGCGTAGGAACGCTTTTACGACGGTTCACCAGAACGTTGAATCGCTGCGTGATAGACCTTCCAACTTTGGCCGCAAGCTGAGAGAACAATTCACGCAAGATGTCAAAGAGGCTCAGGAGAACGAGGTGCCGGTACCTTCAAAGCGCGTTAGCGGAAAGGCCTACATATCCAAGCAAGACTCCGGCAAAACGCTAAAGCGCAAGGGTCCAGTAATTGCTAAGGCTAATGGGGCAAAGAAGAAAGGTGGCAGATCGGTTGATGAAGACTTTACTGACTCCGAGGGTACAGTCAAGGATGATGTGGCTCTCGAAACCAAGATTCAATCGACTTCTGAAGACGATGAGCTTGAGAAGAGACAACCCTACTTTCACGATTTACAGAAGCTGAAAAGCTGGGAGACTTTAAAGTCGCCTGTTCTTGAAATGTTTTCTTTTAGTCGTCTTATTGTGGATGAGTTCACCTACTTTAAAGATTTCGAGACTATATTTGAAGGCATCAGATCCGAAAGCCGTTGGATTCTCTCCGGCACGCCTCCACTAGGGTCATTCGAAGATGTTAAGACGATGGCGACGTTTCTCAAAATTAATCTAGGTATCGATGACTACTCTCCTACGCTAACGGACGACATGACAAGTAGGCCCCCTTTGAACGCGTTTGTTTGAACCTAATTGCTGAGTCATAATATAGATGCTGAAAAGTTCTGGTCTTTCACACAGGTCCATAGTCGGGCCTGGCATCGGCGCCGCTATGAGCTTTGCAGGCTATTTATGGTTACATTTGCACGACGAGTAAGTCCAATTTCTCACAAGTGCAATCAATTTCGCGAGCTAAAAATTCACAGGAAGCTTCGGACTTGAGTGGAATCAAATCTGTTGAGCTTTACCCAATTGTGCGCCAAACTGACCGTGAGTGGGCATTCTACCAGGAGCTTCAACAGCTATTGGCTGCATCGGGCTTCGAAAACCTTTTGCGTAATAAATCTTCGGATAGTGATGCCGAGAACCATATCCGGCTTGCACTTGCAGGCTGTGAAGATGTACGTGAGGCGTTGCTTTTGCAATCCACTGGTATAAATTCGCTTTAAAATACTGGAGGAGACGAAACTCAATCCGAGGCGACAGTCCAAACACGAAAGAGTGAGGAACTTGTCCTTGAAAGCGCAATCAAACTGGCGCTGAGGCAAGCTGAGTTGCTCGACCTAACCAGAGAGGATGTCGATGAAACTTTTCTGAAGTGGAAAGCGCGAACAAGAGAAGGTGCCCATGGAGATGCTGAAGTAACTCAAACACTTGTGCGTTTCATGAAAAAAGCATATGCCGCTAGATCTGATACAGAGGATGAATGGAAAACGTTCTATCGTCTCGTGAACCAGAAGGATGCAGATAAAGGCAAGCCGATGAAGCCAGAAGGTCGAGTAAAATCTGGGATTCTGAGCCATCTCAACCAAAACGTTGCACAACTTCGACAAGTCACTATTAATCTTGATCAGCTTGTGATATCCTACATCAATCACAAAAGATTACTGCGCTTTTTCCAAGCTGTCCTCGATGGCCAGAAGTCGAAGTCATTCAGTTGCGCCGACTGCAAGAAATCAAAACTATCGCCTGACGATGTAATATTGCTCACGAAATGTGGGCATCTAGTTTGCAAGTACCAATGCACCAGAGAGAGATACGAAGGCGATTGTCCTGTCTGCAAAGCATCAAATCACTCCTATCAGCATGTTTCGGGCTCTGCACTTTCCAGACCAGAGCCGGTTATCCATTATGAATGTGGTCAGAAGCTGGGTCAATTTGTGACCCTGATCCAGCACATTCCAGACGCTGATCGAGTCATTGTCTTCGTACAATTCGAGAAGGCTCATAATGCGGTCAAGGAGATTCTCCAATTCAACGAGGTTACTGTGATGGGTCTGATGAGCGAAGGAAATATCTCTGAGAAATTAATGGCTTTCCAAAAGAACGAAATGCACGGAACCAAAGCAGCCAAGCAGAAGGCAGTTGAAGCTGGTCAAAGCATTGAGGGTGCGAAGGTCTTACTTCTGAACACCAGCGACGCCTCTGCGGCGGGCAGGTAAGTGCGCTAACTCCCGCTGCATTAGATACACACTAACCCCGTCTCAGCAACTTGACTTGCGCCAACCACATTATTTTCATCTCTCCATACTATGTTAAAGGCTCCTCTGCTCAACAGCTGTGGGAATCGACAATGACTCAAGCCATAGGCCGAGCCAAGCGTTGGGGACAGCGCAAGATGGTCTATGCCTACCATTTCGCAACTTCTGAGACGATTGATGTCGATATCATCGAGCAACGTAATCCTGGGAAGATGTTACGATTTTTGGACCATGGTGAACAAGAGGATGAAGGCCAAGACGTTATTCCACCTCACCAACGCGGTATCCTCAAGCGCTTGGGTTTCGACCAAATAGAATTTGATGCAAAGACTCCATTTTCGAGTACTGTTGCCGACATCGTCTTTAAGCCGTCAGACTACGAGTAAAGGGGCCTTGTTGGCGTTGAGGGTGGATAACTGAGGTGTCAACTGTGGATCTTGGATTATGGAGACCATGTACGGTTGAGGGTTTTCTGTGTCATTTTTCTTTTTCTCGTCACCAGAAATTGGATATGTACAGTACAGAATAGTCAACTAGATCCTTTGGTAAATACAGGTTCCGAGAGTTCTAGGGGGAGAAGGTGTGTTGGATGATGAATATGCTCTGGGATTTGTATATCATGAAGCTAAAAGGATCTGCAAATTATGAGCCAATATACCCATGCCACCCTATAACCTGAATCTGAATCCTTTCTTCTCCGCCTCCGTGACACCTGAATTGATCGCCCCCTCCACAAAAATCCCCCGGTCCAGTTTCTTATTCAGCCTCATAAGAATAATCCTCAGCGCCAACGCCCCCAAAATCGCCATCGTACTCATAGCACAGTTTACGCTCATCGCGACCACATATCTCGGGGCTACAGTACAAATTATCAGCTTCATCCAATGATTCCAATCCCTCCCCAAGAAATAAAGAAACTACTTACCGGCAGATGCAGGATACATATAACTCGCATAGATCGAACTCGTATTACTGATCGCATTGACGAACGCGAGGGTCGCAGCGCGCTTTGCCGGCGGCCGGGGAATCGAGTTACTGATCCATGCTAGTGAAACGACGTAACCGCTGTAGACACCGGGGACCATGATCATCATGGCGACGTAGCGGGGGGCGGTGGTGGTGGTGGCTGCGGCGAGGATGAAGGCGAAGACTGCGAAGCAGAGGGGGATGGCGATGTGGAGGAATCGCTCACCGGTTTTATCTGCATAGAGTTAGGTAGTTATTCGAAAGAAAGTGTTTGAAGTGGAGTGAGGGCAGGAAACTTACCGGCGTGCCATGAATTGAGGAAGGTAGTTATGACGGCTAGTACGTATGGTGGTGCTGTCAGAAGTAGTGTGTCGATATCGTTGTAATTGAGAGTTTCTACCACGGTCCTGGGAACTGTTAGAATGTATTAAAAAGATCGAGAGAGAAATGAGTTCGGAATACTTACGGGAAAAAGTTCGTGACGGATCCAGACGCAACAATACCAAAGAGCATAACCATCAAAACATAAGTTTTGGGATCTAAAATTGAAAGCTTCATGCCCTCTTTGAAAGACTGTTGTTTCGAGTCCGACCAATCTTCCTGACCGATGTCTTCTTCAAGACGCCACACAGCTAACTGCCGCTCTTCCTCTGTTAACCATCCCGTTGTTGCCGGGAAATTCGGTAGGATGAAAAGGGAAGCAGCGGCGATTACTATCGTTATAGCCCCCTCAATTATAAACAGCCAACGCCAAGCTCGTAGTCCTCGAGCGCCATCCAAACCTGATTTAATGCCGGCTGTGATGAGGCCAGAGAATGCTCCACTGATCAGAGCCCCAGAGTAGAAGATTGCGGTTCGGAATCCGAGTTCTTGGCGAGTGTACCAACAGGAGAGATAGTAGAGACATCCGGGCTGCGAGTGACCGTTAGTAAGTGCACCTTTTTTTTCGTTGGCAATAGACTTACAAAGTAAGCTGCCTCAACGAAACCCAGCAAGAACCGACAGGCAATAAGCCCTCCATACGTCTGACATGCTGACGTGCAAGTCGATATCACACCCCAAACAATCATGCAAGCTGGAAGATAGATCCCTGGCTTTCCGATTTTGTTCATGAAGAGGTTGGACGGGATTTGCATGAGCAGGTATCCCACGAACAAAATGCTCACGGATGTCTGCAATGAATCATCATTTAGTAAACCGAAAGTCAATAGAGAAGGTGCAGCTAACCTGGAATTGGGTTCCCTTTAACTTCAAGTCCTCAATGATACCAGCCAGTTTCGCAGCAGCAATATTGTTGCGATCTAGATAGTTCATGATGTACATGAGCACAATCATGGGCATCAGCCTCATATCGATCTTCCGCTTCAATTTACGCTCGATCGAAATTCGTTGTTCTGGAGTCATGTTCCGCACGTATTCAGGAGGCTCGAAAGCTGGTCTAGCGTTGTTGGCGACTGTGGGACCTTGAATGTCCTTTGCCTTATTGTCCACATGTTGGATCTGGTCTTTATCATCTTCTCCAGATTCTATGTCTGCGCCAACCAAACCGAGCTCGTAATTCTCCCTGGCAGTCGCCATTATTAGCCGCTATCGGCCTCTGGTTGGGGATATTGCAAAAAGTGCGAAGAGAAAAAGAATTTGAGGCAAATTGGAATGAAGTGACTTGAGCGGAACGGCGGGGTAGGAAGGGATTATATACCCAGATGGGAAGGATACCTACGGAGGTACTGCCCGTGGGGTAACTTTTCCACTCCGTATAAAAGCTACGACATCGAAAGAGGGAGTGGGGGCGGAAAGGCGGGCGGGCGCGGGGATTTATTTAGACCCGAGCTTTCCCCATAATTTAGCCAGCCAATTGGGCTATTACATTTCGTTTCAGGGGTAATTTACTCCGCGGCGGGGAACCCCCGGGGTAGCGTAGCGTCCAACTGCCCGTTGCTTGACCGCTCACAATGATCAGCAACGGGTTTTGCCAGATCCGAATCGATCAAAAACACAGTAGAGTTGGGAGGGGAGATATCAGATCATCAAGGAGAGAGAAAAGTCATAATTCGCATAGTACTAAGTAGGGGAAAAAATTGGTGTTTTTTATCACTCAAGCTACTGGTAATCTGAGGGGGGAAAGCTGCCCTGGACGAGAGATTCACAATTGGGCTATCATTCTACGATGCCGATACATTTGCCGAAAAAATAATTGACAAATAGAAATCGAAAGACTAATAATTATCAGGTGAAGAACCATAATTTCTCGGGGAGATCTTGGTCCACTTGATAATCAGAAGATAAACAAAAAACGTTTCATAACTAAGACTGTGTTGTAATGGCACGCGACAACTGTAATTGTGTTTGGATCGCAGATCAAAGCTTGGATTTGGTGACTAAAAGCTTCTGAAGACCTTCCTTGAGGCTGTTGCTCATACCATTCGCCGCAGGCCGACCACTCTCCCTGTCGACGAAGACATGAATCAGTTCTCCTACTGACTTGACGTCCTCAACACCTTGCTCAAAGAGGGCAACCTCATATGTAACACTGCTCTTTCCTAGCTTGTTGACTCGAAGCCCAAGGTCCGCAACAGCTGGAAAGGCTATACTGCCGAAGAAATCGCTGTGAGAGTGTACCACAAGCCCGTATTGAGGGGACGTAGGAGGGTGTCGTGCGCACTCCTGAATGAGATATGTGTTGACAACGGAGTCGTATCTGAGGAAGTCAGTACGAGTCAATACAGCCAATTCTTCCACAGGAAAAAGACTTACAGGAAGTTGTAGACGCTGTTGTTCATATGATCATCTGTAACAAGTCATTTTAGCTTGATCCTCATAAACAGCAGTGTCTTGGGAGCTGCGGCATATTGTTGACTTTTATGGAGCCTTTCGGAGCACAACCTCTGGAGATATCTCACCACCCAAGACATGCATATTCCAGGAATAGAAGAATATCTTACACATATCATTATCAGACCTGACAAAGGTATTAGCGGCGGCCACAAGACATATCAGAGCATAGATCGAACGTGCCATCTTGTCCTATACTCAAGGATGTAAGGATAGTCTTTCCTCTTTCGGTCCTTCATTTCTCTGTAAGACATCGTGTTGGGGGTGCACGTGCTCGTAAGGTTGATCAATCTGAAAAATGGCGAGACTCTTCCAAAGGTTTGGAAGAAAGCTAACTTTCAAGGTTGCTTCTGGTGAATTATGATCATCCTTCGCGCGTGATATTGCGGCCTTGCAGATATAAACTTGGAGGTTGTAAGAAAGTTCCCGAGGCAGATGGTGATTTCCAAAACGGGCACTAGTGGCTAGCAGTTATTCTGCCGTGTTTGACCGCCTGTGAGCAGGTATTTTCCAAATCTTTATTGTATTTCAAACTCCCTCTTCCAAGTGCAAGATTCTTGCAAAAATACATCCCGCTGGCTCCCTCACCTACTGTTATCGCCTTCCTCGCCCGGCGAGCTGCAGCTCGGGTTTCCACAATGGCGCTCGTTGAGGTGCCTGCCGCTACCATCGGCATGCCTCCTCTTGAAGATGTGAAGCCTTTTGAAGAAGCCCCTTCTGTGGTTATTACTCCTTGTGACCCCTGGCCCCGGCCATACTTTCTCGAGAACGGTTTGCGACGTGTTGCGCCATATCATTACACGTATAATACGTACTGCAAAGAGAGGTGGAGGGGAAGAGAATTGTTGGACATTTTCTCGAGTGAGTTTCGGGATCGGCCACTGGAGTACTATGTAGGTACTGCTACCTCAGGAAACGGAGCTTATTGTGCTAACAATCTTAGAAAGATGCAATAGAACGCGGAGCGGTAGTTGTCAATGGTAAGCCTGTACCTACGCCGAACCAAATTGTCAAGAATGGAGACGTTATATCCCACACACTGCATCGACACGAACCCCCGGTCACCGCACTTCCCATATCTGTACTACACGAAGACGACGATATGATAGTTATAAATAAGCCTTCTGGAGTTCCAGTGCATCCCGCCGGCCGCTACAACTTCAATTCGGTGGTTGAGATTATGCGGGCTGAGAGAGGACACAGTTGGAACCCCTTGCCGTGCAATAGACTCGATCGGTTGACTAGTGGCGTTATGTTCATCGGCAAGAACCCAAAAGCTGCTGAGAAACTAAGCATGCAGATTCAGAAGCGGACTGTCCGCAAAGAGTACATTGCTCGAGTTCGAGGAGAATTTCCTGACAAAGAAGTTGTCTGCGATATGCCGATCTTACAGATATCACCGAAGCTTGGTCTGAATCGCGTACGCGCAAATGGAAAGGCAGCTCGGACAGTATTTAAGAAGTTAGCTTACTATCCACCTGCAGCTAAACCTGTTGCAGAAGCAACGACTTCGGATGGGGCTGTTCATGAAGCAGCGCCTATGCCCGCGGATGAAGGGTATACGATTGTAAGATGTCTCCCTGTGACCGGCAGGACACACCAATTGCGAGTTCACCTACAATATCTAGGTCATCCAATCGCAAATGATCCAATTTACGCCAACCAACGTGTATGGGGATCCAATTTGGGTGCAAACGATGGCGACGGCTCTCAAGATACAGACGAGGACATCATCACTCGGCTTTCCCGGATGGGAAAATCAGAGGTTGCGGATGCTGTGGCGTATCACGATGAGCTGGTTGACGAATACAACAAAAAGAAGGCTGAAAAGATGTCAGGGGAGCTTTGTGACGTTTGTCAAACCCCGCTCTACACCGATCCTGGGCAGCAGGAACTTTCTTTATGGTTACACAGCCTCCGGTACGAAGACGCCGGTGGATCTTGGAGCTATATCAGCCCACTTCCATCATGGGCCCTACCTCCTGATGGAGTTGATGGACCGACAGAAGTTGGAGGGATGGACGCGCTAGTTCAGGTTGTGAAAGATGAGAATCCAGAGATTGCATAGATGTAAACATGCGAGTCAGCAGTCTTGATTCATATAATCGGCGAAGCAGTATCTAGTCGCTTGATTCTCTTTCTAATGCACGAGGTGGCCCGTCATCCGCGGCCGCTGGCCGCTGTGCCTCGAAAGATAGACACGTCAATTTTGAAGCCTTAGGGCGGCTTCTAGATGCTGCATTCTGTGGTAGTATGAGTGCGTCTTTTGCTTCTGGGGAATACCGAAATTACCGGGTGTAATGCACTATACGTCTCGAACTGGAGTTCGAAATGATGCATTTCAGACGCGGCACCCAAAAGTCGGGGATATCTGCAGGTGTATATATGGAGGTCAGGATCTCAGAAGTTTAGGAGGCTCTATACTCGCTGAAGAATTAGCCATTGCTATTGTGAGTATCGAGTGTGCTATAGATTTACTAAAGTACCCCCCTTTTCAACACCGATAATTCGTATCTTGTGAGGTCTCAAAAGTTACACATCACATATTCAAGAAAGCAGTCAGCATGGGGATCAATTGAATAACATGTGGGGTAGATGAGGGTTATCGGGACCCATAATAAACGTGACCCCGCGTAATCTTTATTAGAGTCGCGTCTTGTGTCGCATTAATGACTTCTGCCACAACTCAACACCGCGATTCTTAACCATCGCCCAGATGTCGCATCTAGCCCAGGCAGAAGGGTACGAAGAGGAACAAACAGAAGATGAAGATGCATTTGAGAGCAGGAACGGGAGAGGCAAGGCCGTGGTAAGCACCGATGATTACATTAAGAGTTCGCCTTCACTACCCTTCACCCCGCTTTACACTAACAAGTAAATAGGAATTGTCGGGACGCCTGCCGGAACTGATTCCGATTCTGATGTCGAGATCACAGATATCAGACCATCGAATTTGAGTAAAGGGAAGAGGAAGGTCGGAGAGAAAGTCCAGTGGTCAGACGACGAGAGCGATAACGCGTATGAGAAATTCAAGAACAGGAAGGCGACGAAGAGGAAGAAAATCGCCGCTACGAACAAAAAGATAAAGGCCAAAGCCAAAGATGCTGCGACGGGTACGAAGAAAGCCAAAGCCAATGGCGAACCGGTCAAGAAGAAGGAGAGAATGTGGGGAGACGAGTCGGATGACGGGATGATGGACGATAATGTCCCACTTTATATCATTAATCGACGGAAAGATTTCGATCATAAGCACGAGCAATTAGCTGCGGCTGGTCTCCAGCTTCCTCCCAACTACGAAGACGTCTATTTCTCCGACGACGAAAGGCTTGTAGATCTCCAAGAACGACCTGATTTTCCAGAGACTGTAGAGCAATCTCAGCTATACAAAGATATCGAGCTTCCGCATTCCCTCGGTATCATCCCTGCTTCCATCGCACAGTATTTGAGAGGCTATCAGGTAGAAGGCGTGGCGTTTCTCCACGAGCTGTTTGTCTATCAAAAGGGCGGCATACTCGGCGACGATATGGGATTAGGTAAAACTGTGCAAGTTGCTGCATTCCTGACAGCGGCGTTTGGAAAGAGCGGTGATGAAAGAGACGCAAAGCGAATGCGCAAAATGAGAAGAGCGCCGAGCAAGCCTTGGTACCCACGAGTCCTAATTGTCTGTCCGGGGTCCCTAATACAGAATTGGAAGAACGAGTTAGAGCGTTGGGGATGGTGGCACGTCGACAAGTTTCATGGTGATGTCCGAGAAAAGACCGCTGTGCTGGAAAGTGCGAAGTCTGGCCGGCTAGAAATCATCATCACTACCTATACAACCTACAAGAACCACAAGGATGAGATCAACACGATCAAATGGGACTGTGTAGTTGCGGATGAATGTCATCAACTTAAAGAGCGGTCATCGCAGATTACTCAGGCGATGGATGAGGTCAATGCCCTATGTAGAATTGGACTTACAGGTACTGCTATTCAAAACAAGTATGAGGAGCTTTGGACTCTACTAAACTGGACAAATCCTGGACGATTTGGCCCCTTATCGACTTGGAAATCAAGTATTAGTGAGCCTCTCAGAACGGGACAATCGTAAGTTATCATACCCTGTTCCATCCTATGATGCTCAGAAATATAGTCATGATGCCACATATCACCAGTTGAAGAATGCAAGAGAAACTGCGAAGAGGCTCGTTAATAATCTTCTCCCCCAGTTCTTTCTGCGGCGTATGAAAAGTCTTATTGCTCACCAGCTTCCAAAAAAAACCGATAAAGTCGTATTTTGCCCGCTCACTGAACTACAAGAGAGCGCCTATGAGCAATTTCTTGGGAGCGATGCCGTCCAATGTGTCAAAAACTCTACTGAGCCGTGTGAATGTGGTTCGGGAAAGAAAGCTGGGTGGTGCTGTAATGTTTATGTCCCTGACTCTAACACAAAGTGGCAGGTAAGTAAGCTACCTCAGACCAAAATACGATAAATTAACCGTATACAGTCTTTAGTCTTTCCCGTAATCACAACACTCCAAAAGCTATCAAATCATCTTGCTCTCCTCATTCCGAATTCAGGAGATCAAAGTGACAAACAGCAACGTGACTTGGATTTTCTTCAGCAGATGGTTCCGGATCGCTGGAGGGAGCTTTATGCAAACAGGGACTCGTTATCCAACCTTTCGAATCCAGATTTCTGTGGCAAGGTATGACATATCCAGACGTATCCATACCCCACTCGTTCAGCTCTAATTTCAAATCACAGTGGAGAATTCTGAAGAAACTCCTGAAATTCTGGCATGAGAATGGCGACAAAGTTCTCATATTTTCTCACAGTGTCAAGTTGCTCAAGATGCTGCAGCATTTATTCAACAACACAAGCTACAACGTCAGCTTCCTCAGCGGTTCAATGCCAAACGAAGACCGCCAGACCACCGTTGATGATTTCAACACCGATCCACGACAATTTGTGTTCCTGATCTCAACTAAAGCAGGAGGTAAGTGAATTGTTCATGCCATATCTCCTACTTACATCATTAGGTGTCGGTCTGAACATTACGAGTGCGAACAAAGTAGTCATCTTCGATCCTAATTGGAACCCAAGTTACGACCTCCAAGCTCAAGATCGCGCATACCGTATAGGTCAGCTTCGGGATGTTGAGGTTTTCAGGTTGGTGTCCGCAGGCACCGTTGAAGAGATCGTATACGCCCGTCAAATATACAAACAGCAGCAAGCCAACATTGGATACAATGCGTCCACGGAACGTCGATATTTCAAAGGCGTCCAGCATGCCAAGCAGCAAAAAGGCGAGATATTCGGTCTAGACAATTTACTTACCTTCCACGCGGACAATATCGTTCTCCGCGACATTGTCAACAAAACTAATGTAGCAGAAGCAAAGCGCGGTGTGGATATCCTTGAGATGAATATGGACGATGCTGCAAATGACGAAGACAATCCGCTGAAAGTCGATGATGATGACAACGGCAATGGAGCTATGAGCCAACTCGTTGCCCTGATCGAAAAGGGAGAGGATCTCAAGAAGAAGAAAGTAAAATCCAAACCAAAAACAAACACTATACAAGGCATCTTAGCTGCCGCAGGTGTCCAATATACACACGAGAACTCCGAAGTCGTAGGATCATCGAAAGTCGAAGCAGAGCTTAGTCGCCGCGCTCAAGAAACAGGTAATGATGTCGATTATGGCGAAGAGAGGCTTTTTGCCGAATCACAGTCTTTTTCATCAGATCCGGGTAGGATCCAGTACCAGTACCACCCACCGAACGATGTGATGATGAGACAATTCTGTACCATGGCGAAGACGTTTGGCTTTGCTAGTGCAACGGAATTTGCGCTTATTGTTGAGGGGTGGACGCAAAAGCAGAGGACGGACTGTCTGGAGAGGTTCTATTTGAAGAGGAAGGAGAGGATGGCCGATTTAGAAGCTGGTAATCAGCCTGAGATGGTGTATCCTTCTGAGGCGAGAACTCAGAACAGGGCTGGACTTGATGATGAAACGGATGATGATATGGTTAATGATATGGTCGATAATGTTCCTGCAGATGACATAGGAGCAGAAAACCAAGCAGATGAGGATTTGCTGGCTGATATTCTCGAAGAACCTCACATAGGTCGGGGGACGGATAAGTTGTCGCGATCCGAGAGAACTGGAGCCGGGGGTCTGATTAGGGACGATGAAGAAACGGACGATGATGATGTTGACGAGCTATAGCAATGATACCCCAGGAGAGGCGATCGGATTGATATTTTATGGCCCCTCGTATTTCTTGATCCACTCCTCGGATGAGTCACTGAAATTCTCCCGATTCGAGTGCCAAAATGATACTGAATGTGGTCGCCAAATTGCAGAAGTTGAGTTGGCTGCGGTGTATAACAAGCAATCTATTTTTGCTTCCTATGCAATTATGCTATTCTTCTTACTCGACTAAAAGGGTATCCCGGAATGTCCTCCCATATACAAGAAGTGTACATAACTATCTAGTCGCTGTTCGACTCATCCTCACTTCGAGCCTTCATCTCCTTCAACCCACGGCCTTTACCCTTTCCACCACCCCGCTTCCCCTTAACACCCTTACCCCTCAACCCAATAGGGACCTCCTTCCTCACCTCCCCGTTTTCAAACAAGACGCCGATATCGGCTCTTCGGCCAACAGCCTTCTTCCACAGGTTCTTCTCGATCGAACCCTGGGCATCGCCTTCTGTAACGACATCACCCTTCTCGTTTCGAGACCAGGTGATCTTGTCGTTGGCTGCCATGACGGAGCGGAGGTTGAGGTAGATGGATACATCGGCGTCAGATGAGGCCTTAATTTCAGTGCCGTCTTCGTCCACCTTGATAGAAGCGAAGTGCAGGTAGGCTTGTCCACCTGCTCGCTTAATGCCACCAGATGCGAGGATCAAAGGGTAGTTGGCGTACGAGGTCTCGTAGACAACCATTTCCGGGAGGTCCTCGGTAGTGTTTGTGAGAGGTGTGAGTTTGCCTGTGGTGGTGGGTGTAGGGGGTGTTGCGTGGGATGGAGACAGGCGGATGAGGTAGTCCGACTCATCTGCATTTTCAGCATCCGAGTCGGAATTTAGCTTCAAGGCAAAGCGGGATTTGGAGGCGGGGGAGGCAATCAGGTCTTGGAGTTCGGGAAATGTGACTTCGAGGGAGGTGAGGTTTGCTTTTTGAAGCTAAAGGAAGGATATCATCAGTTGGTGGACGATATGGGTGTTTCCTTGAAAACTCACAACTTCTTCACACTCGACCCAGCCTTCAGCGTCAGCCACGAGCTTCTCATCTCCTTCCTCTTGCTCCTCGCCTTCTTTCACAGTTCTCTTCAAAACCCAGGTCAGGGCCTTGGAAATCTGCACCTCTCGCTCTTCAACCACGCTGTATCCCCGACCCCTGCCTTTGCCCTTTACAACACTTCCACCGTGCTTGCTTCGGCCATGGCGGGAGTTGTTTCCAGATACGGGGGAAGGGGGCATAATGCCACCATCGAGAGAAAGGCCTTGGAGAGGTTGCATAACTGCTGCTGCCATTTTGAATAAAAATGTGGTTTGTTTGTAGAAGAACTGGTTTGGAAATTGGGTATGTATACTTGAGATAAGACAGATATCGAGAAAAAGGAAGTATGAAGGGACAGATGAGAGCACAGAAGTGGGTAGGAACAGTGGATATATAACATAGACCCCGCAGGTGGAGACATACGGTGAGACACGTCTGCTGCTCCTTGGAGGGGTAATCAACAGACAAACAGACTCTGGACTTGCACCAAGTACGGACTACGACCTTGCAATTAACCACTGCATAAAATCAGGCGTATCTGCATGTCTTTCATAGGCATCTGTCACTCTGTTCCTCATCTCAAGTGGGGTGTTTGAGAGGGACCGCAGTAGCAGGTACATAGCGGTGTGGAGTCCCTGTATTGTACAACACAGCATATATTCCAGCGGCTCGACCCGCAGATGGACGCGTGCTAGATTCTCATGCGCCCGTTCCAGATTCTGCGGGGCTTTGCAGCGTCAATTCCCTGAGCTTGACTGAACGGCGAGAGCTCTGGTGGCTGGGAAGGAGCGGTGTACTGGGCGCTAAGAGGAAGCAGGTCACGTGCATGCCCCTTTTATGCACATATGGCGCTTTTCGTTGGGTCCGAGTTGCTAGGGGCGATTGACGATGCTAGCTTGTATGCGGACTTGGTTAGAGGTAGCTGCGTTGTTCTTTTTGGATATGCAGATCATCTTAAATGTACGAATTATTCAAGTGTTGGTCGAGGCGCAAAGAGGGGTAATTACCAAAATAAACTCGAATTGTGGATATTTAGAAAGCCTCTCCGATCAGTGACGGGCCTGTTTGGTGATCTGGTGTCTGGATGGCTTCAGGCTCTTGGATGAAAGAGGCAGCTCAAAGACGAGGTTATCTTTAAATTTCCACGCAATTCTATGGATGTATGTAAGTCTTTTCTCATCTAAGATACTCACCCAAGGCCTCTATTAGCCTCCTCCGCTTCTTCCTCGGCTTCATCGTCACCCTCGAGTCGAATCTCATGACCATCCCCATCCTTCACAAAATTGGAGGCGAAACATGCTATACCCGCAACTCCCGCCAACGCCCAGAAAATAGCTCCCACGACTCCCTTTTCCAGTCCCACTCCATAGAGCCAACCACCCATTGCTGGACCTACTGTTCGTGCCGCTGCACTCACACTCTGCCCAATACCGTGGATTGTACCCAGGACTGTAGGGTGAGGACTACAGTTGTTGAGTAGGATCGTGGTAGCAGGTGCAGCGAATGTCCGGGCTACAACGAAGATGAATATGAGTGACGTAAGTGCAGCCCAGACTGCAAGTCCGGTCTTCGGCCCCGGCGGGGACGTGCTAGACGGAACGAGGGAGAGAAACGGAACGAGGGTGTAGCAAATCGGGAAACAATATAGGAAGATTCGCCACGATCGGATTGTTCCAAGTCGGGTGTTAACCGGTGGGTAGAGAAACAGTTGGAGTGCTATTCCAATAGTCCCAAGCGTGGCCATTGCAAATCCTATGGGACGAGGATGGAGCCCAACACCTCCGGTAAATGTAAGAGGCGGGTGGGGAGTGTAATCCGGGAAATCCGACGGGATGTAGACGGGTGTGGATAGGAACGTATAAAAGATGCTCTGGAAAGTTCCCATAGAAGCCGCAAGAAGTCCGTGGGATATCAGAACGCAGATGACGTTATATGTGAATATACGGCGGAATGGCAGCTTGTTGGGATAATGCGCTGCGACTCGTTTTTTTGACTTGTTAGGCGTAGATGCAGGGATCAATTCCACGACTGGTGAATTAGGATCAGTATCGGCAACTGCCTGATACCCATCCGAATTATATTGCTTCTTCCCTCTCAGCTTTCGGAAGATTGAAGTTAATTTTCGACTGCATTTGATGCCAATATCATCGTTCTGGCTAAAAGTCTCATGTGTCTGTACAAGTCAGCCGTCTGTCAACAGGTAAAGCCGTTCGTAGCACGCTCTCGAATGAATAAGTTGTTTCAACTTTAAATTCAGCCTAGCAAGACCATTTTCCTCGACGCGGTATCTGAGACATCAAAAAATCCAAAGCCATTGTATATTGACAATTCAAAATCCTCAACAACACCTGCTTATGGGAGTGCCTAATAGTTGGAGGTAAACTTACTTCTTCGAGACCAAAGAATACCGCGACTGCCGCAGTACAGAGAATGCACGCACTGATGCATTGGGGTGGTGAGTATGGATATTTTTCAAGCCATGCAATCCCACCAAATAGGCTTGGATATGAGGCCGCCGGATCACTGGTTATACCACCAATCATCGGGCCAATAATGACTCCAATATTTGCGCACATCGGCAATAGCAGAAATGCCCTCGACTGAAACCTAGATATTGTTAGCTCTCTGCTCTGAATCAACAGTCAAACTCACTTCTTCTCCCTGATAATTTCACTAATCATCGTTCTCATGACTCCAACGTTCCCATTGAGTGCTCCGCCTAGAGCTCGGAACACCAATGCTTGGGCAAACGACTTCGAGAAGCCGAAGCCAATACAAGAGAGCATTGCTCCTAGAAGACCGAATAGAATGACTCCCTTTCGTCCTCTCTGGTCTGATAGCCGACCCCATAACATAGCTGTGCATAACTGAGAAGCAGCAAATGTTGATTGCATTATACCAGCTTGAGAGGCAATGGTTCCATCTAGAAGGCTTTGGTCAAATGACTTTAGTTGGTAGAATATGTAGGACTGCCATGTATATAAGAGAGTGATCTCCTGATATTTCGGGACCACTTACTCTTAACGAAGATTGCACCAATGGTTCAGAGAGTCTTGCAAGAGTCAAGATTGCCAACTGACTCTTTCGAGGTAAGCTCTTCCACGTCACAGGTTTCTCTTTCTCTTTCGTTCTGGTCCCGACTGGGATTTCCAGCTCCAGAGGATCTCCATCCTCGCTCAGAAATGAACCACGTCTTTCGGGATCATACGGCGACTGATCTTGAGACTTGACTGTATGGCCCTTGCTCTGATCGGTGGATTGGAAACTTTCCCCCTCCTCTTCACTATCTCTATCGTTATCTTTGACTTGAGAATATCCATTGACTTGAGGCCTCGAAGAGGCTGGCATAGCGTATGTACTAGAGCTGCAGCACAACCCAATGATATCTAGAAAGAAGACACCGAGAAACCCTCTAGAGACAACAAGATTCCCAAGTGTCAAAAGATCAAAATAACTTCAACTTGACAGCGACTAGTGGAAAGGTCTTTTGTGTATCACTGACACCGCCACTTGGAACAAAAGAGTTCATGCATGGGGAAACGCTACGGAAGTCGGCACCCGCTTACAGTACGGAGTAACGCTATCGGTCTTTCTGCACAGCCACAGCCACCATCTCAGCCCCAGTCCTATAGCTGAAGCCATATTGTTTGTTATTCGGGACATGTTGTTGAGAAAAGGGGTGTTGGATAAGGTGAAAGGAATAGGTAGATTGTCGTGATTTTAGACTTGAGGTAGGGAGGTGGAACAAGCTTTTGCAAGCGAGCTGGAGCCTTGGCTTGACCGAGAGGGAGCAAAGGGGATTGATTACCAGCATTGGGAATTATCAACAAATGCAGAAGCAGAGAGGAGGAAGTCCATGACCAGTAAATGACTAACCCAAGTCCCTTGAAAGAAAGTCCGAAAACACAAAGATAAATACGGATATACTCACATGACCCTTTACACGTGATCCACTAGTGTTATAAACCAACCAACGTGACAACAGTTTGATCACTCACTCCCCTATGATTCAACCGCAACAAACCTAGCCATAAAGACCCTTTCAAGCCCTCCACAATGGCCGACGACGAGCCCACCCCATCCCCTCCAGTCTTCAACTACATCCTCGGCTTCCTCCTCATTGGAATAGCCTGGGGCTTCACCACACCCTTCATCCGCAAAGCAGCGCGAACCCACAAACCCCCCGCTCACCCTATCCTAGACACCCCGGCCGTTAAGAGCAGCTGGTTTAAGAGTAGAGTGTATGGCGCGTTCTTCGGCGTTGTGGATTTATTGAGGAATCCGAGATATGCCGTGCCGTTGGTGATTAATCTGACGGGAAGCGTGTGGTTTTTCTTGCTGATCGGTCAAGCTGGTGAGTTTTCTTTTTACTTCTTCTGTGAATTTTGGGGATTTGAGATGTGGGAGGTTTCTGGAGGGGAAATGATGAGTTGGTTCTGGTGGGGGGAGAGCTATGCGGAGATATTGTAGTATCGAGGGAAGAAACGGAAGCCATGGAGCTAATTGGGAAACAGAATTGAGTCTTACGGTTCCCATTACGAACTCTTTGGCTTTCTTGTTTACTGTGTTGGGCGATTGGTATGTTGACAGGAAGGTGATTAGTAGAGGTATATCTCCGTCTTCCGGTCTTGGGGATTGTTTATTAACCCTAACTCTCAAGATACCTGGATCGGCATGATATTGTCACTGGTTGGCATCGGATTATGTGTTCAGAGTAAGAGCAAGTGATGGAAATGATTTATTGATATAGATTCCAATAATCTATGGGTATCAGTTCCGTGTCTACCAAGACAAGACTCCGCTAGGGAGACGGTGTTGCAACAATGCGCCTGGCAATGTCTAAAGGGTTATGAAATATTGTCTCAGTCTCCGGGACCGGTAGAAGAGAATCCTAAAAGCGCCATCCCAATGCTCCCATCCTATGCTAGTCCTATTGTTCCTTGCAAATGCTCATTACCGCTCTTCATTATCGTGTCATTCATTCCCCCTGGCGCAAAAATGGGTATCGATTCAACGGCGGGCGCGTAGCCACCGTTGAACATGTCTTAGTGAAGGGTCTTCGAGCGTCCAGCGCCCCATTTGATAATCAGAAGATCGCAGATCAGAATGGATAGTGTCATCTGTAATGCCTGCAAGTTCCTAAAGGGCAACTTTTAGTTTCAAGGTGCGCTCATAAATCTGAGGTTAACCTACGACTCGCAATTGTGCATCACAGGCGTCCAATTGCTCAATGTTTCCTGTATGTGGCCTCCCCCCCGCAAGAACCTGATCTCGCCATCCGACCCAGCGTTGCGCGGCAAGTTGCCGAAGGTAAATCTTCTGCGCATCATGTCGACGCGAAAATGCATCGAGCATAACCCTACAACCAATGTTAACGAATGTATTTTTATTTAGCTCAATTAGTGACACTTACTGCTGAAGTTCAGCTTTTGCCTGCTCCTCTGGTCCTCCTCGAACTCGGGGAACTCGAGTCTCTGCAGCACAGTTCAAGATATGCTGTCCGTCAATCGAGCATTGTCGCAAAGCTGCCCATCCTTCTGTGTAGTAGTCATCCTGGTGTTGGGGATCCACTGGAGCTTCAGCGATATAGTATTGGAGGGTACGGAAGTCCGATAGAAGGTCTGCTACCCGAGCAGTTCGTTGATCGTTTACTTTCCCACAGATTAGCTTTGGAATAAGTTGGCATGGCCGCCTGGCTTGGGGGGCAATTGCAACACTTACATCCGTCCGCCATTTCAAACCAATGATTGTATCTAAACTGGAAGACTAAAGAAACTGGGAATAGAGATCCAGGTACTAAATAACAAACGAATGAGAGAAGAAACAGTAAAGCCGTTGAGGATGTCTCAGAACATTTCCAGGAACCATCGTGGCAATATATGAAGCTATCTGGAGCTTCTGTTCCGTAATGGACACTCTATGTGGCTGGCTACACGATACTTCTCAGCAGTGAAAGGATTGTCTGTCGGTCCATTAGGAACTGCCAATAACAAGACAGCCATGGCTGCCCCACGCGATTGAAGCTATTTTGATGCTCCAACTGCTAGCTCAAAGCTACAATCCCGACCCCTACCTAGCTGTGGGAAAGTATATACTTATTTTGAGAGTGGGTGACGAAGGGGGCTAAAAGCAATGAGAGCCGCTTCGATATTACAGGGATTGCCAGCATGGTGTTGTATTCACCTTTGGGTGCTGGGTGTTCGTTTCAGCGGTCGTCTAGAACGCCACACGACATGGTTTACTGCGCACCCACCAATTAACGCCCTGTGCCTCACTGGAGTTCAGGGCCAGTGTGGGGCATATCGGGTTTCCGATCCAATTAAGAGCCCATGGGCGGCTCGATCTGCAAACCATACCCACATTCGCCCACCAAGCTGAAATCTCACTTACTCAGATGGGCAAAGGCATGGACTGCGCCATATCAGATTTTATCCTAGCAAAACACATGGCTAGAAGGATATGGCGGGACAGTCATCCAAACCGGCCACTTGGTGTTCCCAATAATCCGCCAATATCTCCTTTCCCGTCTCGATATTGGCTGCCGTCATATACGTAAGGCTGGGACTTCCTGCATCGTTAGTGGCACCTTAGGTTTCATACATAGGCATGTTTTGTTCAGGTCGGGTCAAGCCACAGTAGAGCTGTACTCGTATATCTGTCTCCATAATCATCACCAATGATGCACGTCTTCTCTGTATTTGGGCCATGGGACATTACTGAGACTAATGTCACAAGTTTCAGATGATGTGTTGCCACACCAGCTTTCTCTGTTCATACATTTGATTCGGCAATTGGAGACTTTTCGTGACCCGTATCGCTGTAGGTGGCGCCGAATGCTAAATCGCTCTTCTGGATATCATGACCATAGGAACTCTAGTCCTTCTCCGCAATCCCCTGTAGTCTTTCGTCGATCTCCTCCTCTGTCAGAGCTCTAAATCCCGGGTCGGTTCCTTCCTTCCCATCCGTCCTTGGCCCACCCACGATACCAATCTCTAATTCGCCCTTCTTGAAATCCACGCTGAGGACCGTGCTTAACGTGGTGATTCCTAGCTCAACAACTTCCTCCCAACTGCCGTCTGCACAATCCTTGTTCTTGAGCTTCTTCTCAAGATGATTGAACGCCTCCTGTTGCTTGGGACCTGACGCAGTACCCTTGTATCCGGTGTAGTAGCCTGCTGGGTCACACTTGTATAATTGGGGTCCAAACTCGGAATCCAGTGAAATCAATGTGGTTGCAACGCCATATGGACGCATGTAAGCCTACGCAAATAGTAAGTTTATGGAAAATAAATAAAGTGCCGAGCGGTCCGATTAGGTGAGCTTACTCGCTGAGTGTAGACCTGGCTGATATTGGCAATTCTCTTTGCTAGAGCATCGCAAGGCATCTCGTATCCAAACTTGTATCGAAATTCGGCGGCTTCACCAATAGCTCTCTGTACGAAGGCTCTCGCATCGGCGATCGCACCAGTCATGACGCAGCCAACGGATGGAGACAATTGGAAGATGTGGGATACAGATGAAGGGTCGATGAGCTTGTCCTGTTGTGGAGCAACATTAGCATAAGCCCTCAAATCAACCACAAGAGCTGCCCTACAGGTACTTTCTTCTGCGACAACACAACAGCGCAGTCCTTTCCTCTTACACCAACTGACATGATATTCGCAGCTGTGATGGCCTTGAATGCATACTCTGTGCTCACATGGTCCATTAACAATATGTTCTCAGACAGCTCTGAACCTTGCTTCGAGACCGTGCCCCAGCTGAAGGTGACGAGATTTGGGGCCTTGGGAGGGCGATACATGCGTACCAACTTGATATAATCTTCCCTGATCCGAGAATATCGTAATCTGTCTGTCATATCCTGCACTACCTGTTCACGGACCTTGATTAGCTGTTGTTGTCCTTGGGAGATGTTGAAACGGTGCCTGCAGATCAACATACCCGACATCTTGAGAAATGGAAGAGCTACGAGGAGCTGTTGGGAGTGGTGGGCGGTACGGGTACGGGGTTTGGAGGTATTTCGTAAAGGTTCGTGGAAGTTGTAATGGGGAAGCAGGTTTGGAGTCTGGGAAGCTTCCTGAAGCTATTCGAGAGACGCGAACGTTGGGTTGCCTGTTTTAGCGCGAGCTCTAAAAATGAAGCCTTGAATTCGAGGCCATTAGAACCTTATCTGTAAATTCGCTTGTTGATTGCCAGTTTTTAACTTTATTTCTAAGGAATTTCCCTGCCAAAAGCCTCTTAGTTATCATACATGTTATAGTGCATTGGCGCATTGCCAGTTGGCAAACATTCACCCGACATGCCCTCTGCCACAGATTCTAGCGCCACGGTGCGAATGCCCGCCTGGAAAAGATTGGGGTTGAAACTTAAGTCTGCTCAAGATAACCCTGAACCTCCTGCTGCCGATACCAAGAGGAAACGGTTGGATGAAGTTGAAGAAGCTAGCTCTCTCAAAAAGCCAAAACTTTTGCCAGATTCTCGCAAGATACCTATCGTAGACCAAGTTACCCCAGAGCCAACACGAAAGAAGTCCGTCACATTCACGCCGGAGACCAAGCACGAAGACGGCGATAGCATCAAGGCGTTGTTCAGTGCTTGGGTGGCAGAGCACAAAAACCAAGACGACTTGTCGGCACCAGTTTTCCAGACTCCACAATATACAACAGTCGAAGAGTCGTTTGACACAACCTTAAACGAGAAAGAGAGGAGAGTGAAGAGAGTCAAAACGACGCAAGGGAAGACGGAATCCCAAGAACCACCAAAAGCCACTGATTCGAAAAAAGTAAAGAAGAAGAAACAGACAGATCACCTCACAGCTCCTAGTGCCCCAACAAAACAAGCCGAAGAGAGCCTCAAATCTACTGAGCAATCAAAACTCACGAAAGCAAGGAAACTGAGAACCGCAAAAGGTCCTTCAAATCCCGCATTACCTGAGAAACCTTTCTTAGCATACCTCAAGCAATACAGCGAGTCGAAGGAGACCTGGAAATTCAATAAGAATCACCAATCACACCTTCTAAAGCACCTTTTCAATGTCGACGTTATCCCATCCAGTTACGCACATTACGTCTACGAATACGTCAAGGGTTTACAAGGCGGGGTACGGACTCGGCTGCGGGATACAGCTCTTGCAATCAAAGTCAAGGACCAGGAAGAACCATTTCCCACAAACATGGAGAACGCAGAACAGCGAAAGCGAGACTACGACGTCGCTATGAACGAATACGTTGCGACAATGGTCGCTGCGGAAGTCGGACCCGATGTTGGCTACGAGGAAGGTGTCTTGCTGGGGCTATCAGATATTGCAATGCCGATGAGAATTGCAAAGAGGAAAAGGGTCGAAAGGATTCTCGTAATACTTGGTTCTGGGGAGGGAGAGATAACTGGAACTAGCGACAAAGAAATTGTGATAGGCGATGATGAAAGTCAGAAGCGGTTGAGAACGAATGATGGGTCTTCTCAGAAGGTCGTCAGGAAGCGGAAGCAGAGGACTATGGTGGCTGATGATGAATCTACTTCCGAGGAGGACTCTAGCGATTCTGATGAGAGCAGTTCAGACGAGTCCACCATACAAAACGGCAACGCTGAGGATTCATCTTCCAGTTCATCCAGCAGCTCATCGGATTCTGAGGAGAGTGATAGCGAGGATGGTTCCGAGGAAAGCGAAGGCGATCATAAGTGATGTTTACCCAGAGTGAGCGACGTCAATGGAGCGAATCATAGCGGCCGAATGCCCTCAAGGCGGGCAAGATACATTGTGGCGTTATGGGGAACACAATGGGGTGATGGGCAATCGCGATATATGTGGTGCGTGAAGAATATGGCGGCTTTACCCCCTTTTCAACGCAGCGCGATAATCGAGAGAAAAAAAACTTATTGCACATTATCTCCTGACTCAGTGACCAAATCGATCTATGCCCCACAGCGTCCTATCAAAACCCTAGACTACTTATGTATTATTGAGGCTCGAGTATCTAACAGCAATGATAGTCTTGGAACAAGGCAGACTTGACTCGTCTTGCCCGTCGATCACATCCTGGGTCACACACACTTTCCCGAATACCAATAAATGGCCCAACCACATAGATGCAAGATACATCGGATATGTGAGATATACAAATCTTATCTTCTAGACGTGCAGCATAAAGTTGGTCTCATGATGGGCGATTAGCTTTATAGATCTAGACTCGCGTCATAACGGGGTGGTGGGCAAACGCTACCATTGGTCTGCCGGCACAGACCTTCTACTTTCTCCATGACATTCGCATGCTGTGCAGGCGGTATTTGCGTCTCCTGCATGTAACTTGCAACTTCCCCACCCCAACACCAAAAGTGTGCAAGCCAAGGCCTCCTCCTTATCAAACTCGCGCACTGAATCTTTCAAGAGGGTGATACTCGTATTGTTCACCGCACTTTGAGGCATTTCTGTGGATGCAAGCTGTGTCTGCATCTGGGATAAGTCTTAGTGCCAGGCCCCCCTCTCTCACCAGCCACCGAAGGCAGCCGCCGTTTTAAACCCATCTCCACCCCTCGAGAGTAAAATCTCATAACTCTACCATCGAGCACAACTTCGCGACGTCGCGAGGAGGCAGTCAGTCAGTCGCCAGGATGACAAGAGTTCTAGTGTACAGCACCACGCTCGTCGCGTTCGTGGCAGGTAAGCCCGAGAACACGCAATAGTGTCCTTTTCGTATTTACGTCAATTACGTATACACTTGCAAGACCAGCTTCTAACAATCTATAACAGCAACGGCCATGACCTTTGCTGCCATTTTCATACCGGACTGGGTTACATGGGACGTGACAACCCAATTGGGCGCTCACAATACGAGGATAATAGGTCTCCATCGAAGCTGTACCACCACGCCACTTGAGAGCAGATGCGTACATTTCCCACAAAAACAAGACTGCGATGGCGATGATCGGTACTTTTGTTCTATGTGGAGGAGCGTGGGCTTCTTGATGAGTTTTGCCGCTGTGTTTGAGCTAGTTACCATTGTGGCTTATTGCGTGGTGATTGTGGGCGGAAAGCAGAAGAGGGAAATTGGTTGGAAGGTCTTGGCTTTTATGCTGATGCTTGTGGGAATCGTACAGTGCGCTGCAATGGCTATCGTGGTAAGTCATCATAATTGGGATTGCGGAGTGTTCAAAGCTGATCATGTCCAGGCATACCTTTACGACAATGATGACCGATTTTTCGTGGGCTGGAAACTGGACAAGGCTTGGATTCTTTGCACAGTCTCCTGGTGCATAGCGGTGATATCTGCGGCCTTCCTATCCCTGTCGGCTTATGCTTTCTCGCCAGAGGGTGGTTACGAACTTATACCCAGTGAACGACATGTGGATAATTGAAGGTGTCGGCCGGTACATTATCCCCGAAGAGAAGGAATAGCACGCATCTGCATTGTAGGCGTTTGGGTTGTCTTTACATATTGGCCGATTCTCACAGCAGCATTCGCTGGTTAGCAGCTAGAGTTACATGTTCTAAAGGAGGGTTAATATTTGGATCGAATCCGATCGATGTTGTGTTCGACCCTCTCGTCTTACTGGGAATGACGCTTCACATTATCTCAATCCCCCAGTGGGCATTTCGTAAACGGGTCGTCTTGCCTGTTTATTTTCATTGAAGAGGGGGAAATAAGGTTGACACTTCACTTGGACCTATTATTCATGTCAGCACTCAAGTGAGTGTAATTATTTGGCACGACTGTCAAGGATAACACTAAAGTCCCAGGGTCGTTAGTGCCACCCAAGCGGATCTAATATACACATCACTCGTTTTACGCTTTGTCTTTCTTCTCTAGTCTTCAGCTAAAGTATCCTTGAAATTGTGCAAAATTCAAAATCATCACGAGGAGACGTTCAAAGTCGAAATCTACCCTGCTCATCGTGACTCGTGTCGTACCATTGAGTGCTGCTTACGTATGCGCCACATTGCGACCCCAGGGGCCAGAGCGGCAGTTAGCTGCGGTATAAGAGGTTGAAGAATTTTTATTTCACGCTATTATACGAAGTGGGAAGAAAATAGTGAAAGTTCATTTAATATTGCCAGCTCTAAGAAAGAATCAAATTTTAGAAGCCCTGAACTATCTATTTCCAACCCACTAACCTCCCAAAGCAAATCCACCAATCCCAACACCCCAACACTTCCAAGCAACCCCACCAGAAAGAAATGAAATTCATGCAAGTTTAAACAGTGGGTGGTGGGGTGCTCTTGATGGCAACTGGGAAAGCTCCCTCAGGCGTATCAGAGGTTGCAGTGTTGTCGTTCCAGTAGAGCGCATAAATACCGGTGGTGGTGGTATTGGTGGCCCAGAACCGAAGCTGGTAATCGGAATCACTGGCAGCATATGCGACCGACTTCCCATACCAACCGAAGCCAGTAGTAACACCGCCAGTTGGGACGCTGCTGTTAGCGGCAAAGCCGACCTGGGTGAAGGTGCCGTTGGTTGGAACGATGTAAAGATCGAGGGTTGAGTTGAAGGTTACGCTTGTAGAGTTTGCGGTGATGGGCCACGGGGTGGTGGTAGATGTCCTGTCGATAGCGAAAGTGATGTTTGTTTGGGTTCCATTGGGGCTGGCGAAACCCGTTTGCCTGTGTTTTGTTAAATATTTTCGTTGTTTCTTTCCTTGAGAATGCTTACCCAATGTATGCAAGGCCTGTTTGACTGTAAGCTGCTGTGTGGTCTAAATAATTGGGAGACTTACCATCGGAATAGAAGACTGGTGCACCATTGGTGCCTGCGCCGTAAGCAAAGAGGGTGGTTGAGACGGTAGCACGCTTGGTCGTGGCGGCACTGGATAGACCGGCGAGAGCCAGCAGAGCAGTGAAGGATGTGAACAACATATTGCAAGAAAAGGTGAGTGAGGTCTGTTGGAATCTCAAAGAAGTAAACTAAGGAATGGGTTATGAGAATCTTAGGGTGCTTGGGGATGCTACAGCAGCCTCCGATAGCTATATACAACTTTGGAGGACGTTTTGTTTAGATTGGGTTATTATTGAACATATTGTCGGCCTCGTCCTTTTGGGTGGATTGCCTATGCGTTTCCTGGATTTCCGAGGATATGCAAGTCGTCGTTCTGACGAATCTCAGGGCTGGGTAGCTCAATACTTCAGGGATGCTACGCCACATTCAAGTGACGAACGAGTTACCTCATTTAAAAAAAAGCTTATCTATTTTCAATCCTTTGAAGTTCAGCTGTAAATGGATGCATTTCTATGTCACTTGTCCGACTTCGTCATTGTCCACGTCCCCGTATCCCAATGAGGCTGAGAAGCCGACGGGGATTGCGAATTCTCGCTTCGTGCATTGGTATTTGTGGAGCCGCACCGCCTCCTAACGGGTTTCATTACAGGGTGTTATCATAATTAATGCCAACTTTCCAAAACAAATGCTTTTACAGGGCTTATATGGATTTTAGCAGCCGGAAACATTCTTATTCTAGTAAAAAAGTGGGTTTTTTAGCAGTTTGATCACTAAATAAGGCACACATGATCGATCCAGGGGCTTTTCTAACCAATTAAAACCCTCTATCACCCTAGTCACATCCTGGTTTTAAGTGGAAAAGTGCAGTATTGGTGACAATACTCTGTATCTTCAGAGCAGGGTGGCTTGTACAATAAGATATCCGGCAGTTGAAGTCATGGCCTTGTTCTAGTCCCTTTTCATCGGGACCACTTTCAATAAAGCCCTTGGGGATGCGTGGACCAAACGCGTTGATGATATTACTAAAGTTGGTTTGCATTACGCTAGTGACGAACGCTTTGTTCTATAGCTGAACAGTGAACGTATGTTTCGTTTCGATTATATCCTAGCCTACGTTTGCTAAGCCAGATTAGATTGGCCGCTGGGATAGTCGGGTCCTCCCGCTGACCTTTCCAAGTGTCCCCGGCATGTCTAGCATATATGACTACCGGTAGTAAATTACGAATTCTGCCTAGAAGTAGCACTGCCTTTAGGACTTCTGAAGCAAAGAGTACGAGTACGTCCTCGTGGAGGCTTGAATCCTTCTAGGGTGGCTGTCGCTTAGAGTGCACGTTTATATTGTTTCTATTCAGAGAATATCCTATGACCTAGCTTCACTATGTTGGAGTACGCGTCAATACGTTGGCTTCCCAATTCAGTACCTGACCTAGTTGCTTTGATTAAAGTATCCCAATGTAGCCTCAACCCCCTGTGCATCTTGGGTCGGGGAGCGGGAGCGGGGACGTTTATATGGAAATGGGCGAGTCTCAATGAATATATAATAATGTTGGAAATGCCTGGTTTGAAAGTATCAGTATCATCACTCACTCGTCTCTTCTGATCATCTCCTCCTTCTCGGGAGCTTCATTTACTTCTTCTGTTTTCTCCTTGCACTACCTACATAGTTACTCTGGATTGCCATCCATCAACATGCATTTCACTTCTTTGCTGGCCTCCAGCTTGGCCCTGATATCATCCGGTGTCTTTGCTGCTCCTTCTGCAGAATCTCATAAATTAGGCAAGAGATGCACCAACTCAGCCAGTGATCGATCTTGTTGGGGAGATTATGATCTGTCTACTGATTACTACACTGAGGTTCCTGACACTGGAGACACCGTCGAGGTCAGTACATCCTAATTTTTCAATGTCTCAACTTTTCTATAATTTCACACTTTTGGTTCATATAATTAACACTTTTGCAGTACTGGTTCGAACTCACCAACACAACAGCCGCACTTGATGGCGTTTCAAGGGACGTTCTAACGGTTAACGGCTCCTTCCCTGGGCCGACAATTATTGCCAACTGGGGTGACACTGTTATTGTTCACCTCTATAACGGATTAGAAAACAACGGTACCGGTCTGCATTTCCACGGTATTCGACAAAACTTCACCAACCAAATGGATGGTGTGCCTTCAATCACTCAATGCCCACTTGCGCCTGGAGAGGTGAGTCTCATATATCCGTCGAATTGACCGCATAGCTAATAGTTTCTAGTCTATGACCTACACCTGGGTTGCCACACAATATGGCACAACTTGGTACCACTCTCACTTTGCTCTACAAGCTTGGGAAGGCGTTCTCGGCGGCATCCTCATTAATGGACCTGCCACTGCGAACTACGATGTCGATAAGGGACACATCTTTTTGAACGATTGGACCCACCAAACTGCAGATGAGATATATAGCACTGCTGAGACGTCCGGCCCGCCCACCTTGGACAACGGACTCATTAACGGCACCAACACTTATGACGATGCGGGAACGCGATTCGAGATGGATGTTACTGCTGGATCAACGTACAGGCTTAGACTGGTCAACGGTGCCATTGATTCTCACTTCAAGTTTATGGTTGACAACCACACGCTTACTGTCATTGCCATGGATCTCGTTCCCATAGTACCATATACTACAGATGTCCTCTCAATCGGCATGGGACAACGATACGATGTCATACTAAATGCGACGGAAACCACTGGAGACTTTTGGATGCGAGCGATTCCGCAAACCTTCTGCAGTGACAATGACAATGCCGATAACATTAAGGGAATAGTTCGCTACGACTCGACCAGCACTAGCGACCCAACTACGTCCGCATTCACATATACGGACAACTGCGATGATGAAGCTATCGCTGATCTCGTCCCCTATCTCTCATCTGACGCCAGCTCCGATAGCGAGGAAGATGACTTTGCCGTCACCGTCGGCAAGAGCAGCAATCTCTTCAAATGGTACATGGCAGCTACTACTTTTGTAGTCGAGTGGGCCGACCCAACTCTCCTCCAGATCTACAACGATGACACCAACTTCACTACTTCATCGCACGTAATTGAGGTCGACACGGCAGATGAATGGGTCTACTTCGTCATCGAGACCATCCAAACCGTTCCCCACCCCATCCATCTCCACGGCCACGACTTCTACATCCTAGCCCAAGACACGGGAACCTACGACTCCTCAACCGTGGATCTCACCCTCACTAACCCACCCCGCCGAGACGTCGCCATGTTGCCTGCCGGCGGCTATCTAGTCATTGCTTTCAAAACCGATAACCCAGGTGCATGGCTCCTGCATTGCCATATTGGCTGGCATACCAGTGAGGGTTTCGCTCTCCAAATCGTTGAGCGTTACTCTGAGATTGCTGCACTTATCGACTCCACTGTCTTGAGTGATACTTGTGATGCTTGGACTACATATGCCACGGCCGATGACATCGTCGCCGATGACTCTGGAGTGTAAGGAATCACTGAGGAGGATCGGACAAAAAGTGTCCGCTTGAATTTGGTTTAAATCACGTCTTTGCTTCTTACTTTCTTTTGTGCTGGGGTTACGGACAGGTAGTGTTGGGATTGGTAGTGGGGATTTGTTTGCGATCTGGCTGCGGTCTGGCTGCTGCTGTGTTGGGGGGGAGTAGGATGTTGTGATTCGATTTAGAGCAGCATAGCTCGTGGAACTGGGTTTCTGGGTGTTTTCTGGGTTTCCATGTATCTCGCTTTTAGGACGAATATTTGAGATTTAGCACATTACCGAGTCAAATATAGTGTGTTAATAAATATGAACCATTTCATCCAAGCTCTAGGTTGTGTTTTGCACTGTCGCAAGCCGTGTTCAGAGTGAGAAAAGGGGTGTTCACGTGACATTTTAAGCCCTACCTCAACGATAGTTAGGAAAACTGGGCAACTAGTAAGTAATAACACATCATCCCCAGTTAGACAATCATCAGACAATCATCCTGAAACATTGTTGCAGACATTTCGATAATCTGCATGTCACGTTGTGAAGATCTTGTGGGCAGAATTCTATTTTAGGGGGTCGCTAATACAAAGCTCCGCGATGACGAATGTAAACAAACACCAGTAACAACATTCAAGGTATAGATTTTGAATGAGTACCTATTGATTATTAATTATCTGATAATATAGATGATCGCAAAAGTTCTAGATTTTTGATTGATCGATCGACCGCAAAGAGACCAGACAGACAGACGATCATGCGATAAGATTGTAAGATCCCTGGCGAGGTTACGTCCCAGCCCAGCCCAGCCCCAGCCCCAGCCCCTCCAGATTCGAGTTTGTACCGGAGCGGAGCTATCCAGCCACCGCTTGCAATACGACCCAATGCACATTACCCAATGCACATTGCATTGTACTTCCTCCCTCACTCATCCCAATAATCATCCCAATAATTCCCCTCCCACCATGCAGTCTATCTTGTGCTAGAGCTTGCATTGGTGTATCTTCGCGCCGTCTGGGAGTTGGATAATGCTCAGCTAGAGCTTAGCTTTCTAGCCTTGTTTACAATCCCGAGATTCCCCTCAAACTTCAATCACAACAAAGGCACTCGAATCCGGCACTCAACTCACAATGGCGACCAAGTCCAGGGCCAATGGCCTCAACTCCATGCATACGGCTGGCATCTTCTCTGATATGACCGTTGATGGCCCGGAAATTGGAACTCTTGTTATTATTGTTGATCGTGCCAAGAACCTGCCAAATAGGAAGACCATTGGGAAGCAGGATCCGTATTGCGCGGCAAGGCTAGGCAAGGAAGCAAAGAAGACAGAGACTGATCGCCGAGGAGGTCAAACCCCAAGATGGTATGAGAGTTCTAGAGCGGATGTTTGAACTCTACTGACTTTATCAGGGACCAAGAGCTTCGATTCACCGTACACGACTCAGCCGACTACTATCAGCTGAAGGTCTCCGTGTTCAATGACGATAAAAAGACGGATTTGATTGGAGAGAGCTGGATAAACCTGCAAGATGTAGTAATACCAGGTGGAGGGCAGAATGATCTGTGGCACAACTTGAATTGCAGGGGGAAATACGCGGGGGAGATCAGAATCGAAATCACTTATTACGACACCAGGCCAAAGCAGGACAAGCCAGAGAAGACCAAGCAAGCCGCCACGAATGGAGTTGAGGAAGGGGCAAGAGATTCTCTCAGGGGCCCGAGACAGCCAAAGTCTACTCCTGTTAAGAGACGACCATTACCATCTGATCCAGTCACTGGAGCCCCAGCACCTGCGCCAATTCCTGATCACGTCCAAACACCACCCCGAGGATATCAACCTCAAGCTGGGACACCAGACTATGCTCAGCGTGGACACCAGTCGGCAGGGACTCCAGAATATGCCCCAACGACACCTCGGGGGCAACCACCAAGCGCTATTCCAGATCACGTTCAAACCCCGCCTCGAGGACATCAAAGCCCCGGTTACATCCCAAACCAGTCGCCTCTTCAAAATGTCGAATATGGCACTCCTCCGAGCCACTTCCCAAGCTATAACAATAGCCCAAGCATGAACGGATACGTTGCTGCTCCTATACCAATTGCACAGCCAGTTGCACACGAGAGATATGAGATATACGATCCTGCAGCAGCTACGAATAATCACACAGCAAATGGCAATGGCAGAGGACATTATGAGGCAGACGAAGAGGTTGATCCGCGAGACGCGTATAATTCTCAACACAGCCCCTACGAGCTTCCTCAACCGGAAGATTTCGGCCCAACACCAAGCCCTGGAGGCCCTCCACCCCCTCCGCCTGCTCATCGAAGTAGGCATGGGAGTAATCAGGTCAGCCCAGCACCTGCTATGATATCCCAAGGAAGTTATGGATACCCATCAGATCGAAGACCCTTGAACCCATACGACATGCCACCAGATGATTTTCATGGGCACTCTATGCCTGCATACTCGCAAGGCAATTCTTATCAACATTATGGTTCTCCTGGACACGATGACCAGTTTCGAAAATCTGACAATAGCAGCTTTCAGCAAACAACACCACAACATGACTCATATGATTCAAGATTTAATGATTACGGCTCTATGCAACCAACCGTCGAAGATGCTCCGCCGTCTCCATCGCCATATTCAAGACATCAAGGAAGCACATCACATTCATCACAATACGATGAGCGAAAATATGATCAGGTCCCATCGCCTGCACCATTAAATCTAAATGGCCGGGGAAGTGACATTTCGAGTCGAGGTGCCGCGAACAGTGCTCCAAGTCACCAGTACTCGAATAGTTCCGGATATCCTGCTTCCAACTCGGAGGTCTCATATAGAGAACCGTCGTATACAGCAAGCTCTGTCTCTCCACGGCCAGCATATAGTCAAATGCCGCAGCAAAGTCAGCAATCAAGGAAGCAGTCGTATGATCCATCGGTTGGCCCTGCTGAGGATTATGGGATACCAGTTCCAGCAACACTAGTTCCCGGTATGGACCCTATGATTGCGCAAGAGATATCTGAGAGGATATACGACGAAAAAAGAGCAAGCTACAATCAACAAGGTGGAAATTCTCGGGGCAGACCAGACTCGGTTCCATATCAGCAAAGCCGGCCCCATCCGCTCTCATATCAGGAGGCACCACCTCCATTCGTACCTGCTGCAGCTTCGTACGATGATAGACAGAGTCAGTTTTCGAATACTACCGTCGCTCTTGTGAAGCCAAGGGCAATCTCACCCGATCCACGAGTGCCAGCGAGAAAGTCCGTCAGTCCTTACGCTGCACCAGTCGATGACGGAAGACGACTATCCGGGGTGCCATTTGGTCCTGATTCATACAATGCATTGAATCCCAAGATCTCTGGCTCAATATCTACTCTTTCTTTGAGTTCGAAGTACGACACGAAGGAGCCAGATGCAGATGCGAAGATCATTACGCATGATGGTCGGGAGATTGATCCAAGTGACCACATCCCCGAATCCAACTATGCACCACTACTAGAATGCAAAGGTCCAAAATACGCGTCCCAGCTTCCAGACCGGAATCACCGACCAGCCCCCAACGGCCCGCAACCCCTTTCTGCTTCAGGCCGACGGCAACTGAAAGTGGCTCCACGTCCTCATTCCATGTCAACACCTCCTGCCCCGACGTACACGAGCGGCCCGTCCGACCCTATGACACCCACAGGTCGTAACCGTCTGCAGAAAAAATCAAACAGAATGTCGGCTCAACCCGCTCCACACTCGAGTCCTCTCGCTCCTATAACGCCATACCAGAACAATAGTTATACACCAAGGAGTCAAGCGAGACCTAATACCGGTGATTATAATGCCAATGAGAACTATTCACCACTTGGAAATAGCGGCTATAGAGGCTCAGGGGGAGCACCACCTATACCCGCAAAAGTGCCCATGGGAATGGGCTCGGCACCACCGCCGCAATCTGGTGGAGGAGACGCGTGGGCTTTATTAGAGGAGATGAAGAATATTGATTTAGGTGGCGGGCGCTCGAGAAGAAGGGGATATTAAGTCATTACTCGTGTAATATTGAGAGGAGTTCGATTGCTTTTCGTGTTTTCAAACTAGGCGTGGTCAGGGCACTTCTTCCATCTTTTAGGGTGGGTATATAATGGGCATCTGCGTATTTCTCGCAAGCGCTGCTTGAATGTGGCATGGCATTGTCTTTTGGCGTTTCTGTATTTCGGTCTAGGTAGAAAAGTCATTGTATTGCAATGCGGTTGGGGGGAGTATACACAATAGATGCATATTTTTAGTCATCCAAGGGACTCGAGATCTAACTACTTTTTTTTTCTAGGCTTGATTCCCTTTCTGCCTCAACACCACCTCGCTCGTTCCGCTTTCAGTAGAGAGTGTCCACAGGGAGAATTTTATTCCACATCACAATCTCTTGTCTTCTAATAGTTAGTCATGCAACGAATTCGTCGCCTGTGACAGATACTATATCCGACGTACCATATAACCATAGCCTGTCAAGTCTATCGCTCAAATCATATTCTCTCTTCCCAAACATACATCCCAAACCTTCTATATTTCCTTCCAATCACGCCTTCTTCCCCAATGGACTCAAAAGCCAGCTCAGTTCCTCCGCCTTCTTCCTCCCAACCAGCTCCCGCAGCCCCTCCTCAGGCAAAAAATCATGATCGCAATACTCGAACCCCGGAACTACAGTCTCGCTAATCAGCAGCCCGCCCTGACTCTCCGTCCCGCCCTCTTCATCCGGCAGCAGATACGAAGCTTTGAACTTCCCGCCTTCCACTATCCACTGCAGCTTCTCGCCCTTCTCGATATCCTTGCCCACGACAAAACTCTCGATCCGCTTCTCGTCCCCGGGCTCGTTGGCGTGGATCAGAACGTATCGCCCGCGGCCGTGGTGCAGCGTGTGTACAGTGCGGCCTTTGTTCCGGTGGAATCCACCTTGTGGTGATGTGGGCGTGAGCAGGTAGTAGATTGTGGTGCTGGAGTTGCGGACGAGAGGGTTGAAGCCGGGGCGATGGGGCGCGAGGCCTGTGGTGCTGGAGGATGTGGAGAAGGGGAAGGGCGTGGGGACGGTATCGGGGGCGCGGTCGGTTTCGCTGAAGTATCCGCCTTCGATGTTGGGTTCTAGGGCGAGGAGCTTAAGGAGGGAGGTGATGTGGGGGGGTTCGGGGGTAGTGGAGGGGTAGAAGGATGGGCTGGGGGTAGGTAGTGTCATGATGATTTGTTTCTTGCACTGGGGGGGAGGGATGGTGGTGTGGGTATATGCTGAGAGGGGTTCTAGAAATACAAGTGCTTATGGGGAAGGGGGATATATATACGAAGTACGAAGGATAGGGTCTTGCTCACGTACAGCGCCGCGGCCACGCATTAGGAATAAGAAGAGAGTGGAGCATGTAAGCACTACGGATATACAGAGGAAGAAGAGAGGTTTGTAACGGTCCTGCTAGTACGTGACCTACATTGCCACATCGTCCCTCCCAAGAACAATTTGCCGGATGAGAGAGAGGTATGAGAGAGAGAGAGAGGTATGCCGGATAAGCAGAATGTTGGGGATTGCTAAACGCTTGGACTCGAGAGCAAGTGGAAGCGGTGAGATACACGGAGGAGAGTGTATATTAACAGGAAAGCGGTTTTTGGAAATGGATAATCGAAGCTGCGAAGTAAAGCAAGAGGCTTCAGTGCCCGACATTCAAAACTGTCTCTCCATTTGATGCTTGCTTACTGTATACATTAGTAATCTGTTCCTGTGAAGATAACTGCATCAGTAAAAGCCAGACTGGAGGGCATCAAAGTAAACAATGCAAAGGTATGTGAATAATATCAGCCAACGCTTTCATCCAATAGCGCTTATATGTCCTTGGCTGGCCCAAGAAAATATATCAGACAAGAGTTATGTAAGTAGCACGCGCACGCGTCCTCCTTCCTTCCTAAAGAGTTCTATTCCTTCGGTGGCGTTTAAGCGATTCTTTCAACTCCCTCGCGTACGAACGAACCACATGGACGAAGCACTTTCTGCGCCCTGACCATCTACGCTATTACAATCTCCTTTCCTGCCATCAAGCACGGTTGTGCCCTCCCTCCCCTCATGATTTACGACTGGACGACCTCACGAGCGCATGTATATTCTCCTCAATGCATTGTATAAAGGTGTAATTCTGTTCGAGCTGGTTTCTTTGTCTGGGGGACAATTGCGAAGGAATCATCGCCATACTGATTAATCACAATTTCGTGGACAATCCTCCACCATGTCCGGAGGAGCGTTGAGCAAGAGACAGCAGGCGCGCAATGAGCGCACTTTACAGGACCTTATCAAGTCGGTGCCTGGGAACAATGTGTGCGCAGATTGCCAGGCCAGAAATCCAGGTAAGACATGCCCGTCCCGCTTGTGCTCGGTTTCAACTGTGTTGACATGTATGACAGGATGGGCCAGCTGGAGTGTAAGCTTCTTCTCCGAATTGAATCGCATATTCTAGACACAGGATGAATACTAATACCGTGTAGCTGGGTGTCTTCCTATGTATGCGATGCGCCGCCTTGCATCGCAAGCTGGGCACCCATATAACAAAGGTCAAATCACTAAGCATGGATTCCTGGTCGAACGAACAAGTAGATGTATGGATTGAAGCTCTCTAATCAAGCGATATGGATGCTAATATCTGGCAGAATATGAAGAAAGTTGGAAACACCGTGTCGAATCGAATCTACAATCCCCAGAACACGCGGCCGCCCATTCCGTTCGACGTCGACGAAGCAGACTCGGCGATGGAGCGGTTCATTAGACAGAAGTATCAAGATAGAGCAGTCAAGGCCCCAGCACGCCACAATACTGGAAGCACAAACTCGGATGATCAACCGCCACCTCTACCCCCGAAAGAGGGCAGGAGATTTGGTTTTAGATCAGCGTCGTCGATATTCCCATTATCCTCGAAGTCTAAACGGGAAACAGCCGCACGACAAGAGTTCGAAGCCTCACAGCAAGATGACTTCAATGCCTTTGACGAGAGATCGCCATCGCATAGAATGAACAAACAGTCGAGGATATTTGGGAATAATGTAGGTGCTACATACGACGATGATTTAGACATGAAGATGGCGAAGTTGCGTGATATGGGATTTATGGACGAGAAGAGAAATATCGCCGTCTTGAAGGGTCTCTCTGGAAACCTGGAGAAATCCATCGAGACATTAGCTAGGCTTGGGGAGGGAAATGGTGTTCCTCGAATGCCGCCCAAGCCCAACCTTACTACTAACACCTCTGGACCCTCCTCGCGATCAAGAACTCCCCTGAGTCCAACTGCTGGGTTGACGATAGATCGTACACCACATAAGGAAGCCACGAGGCAAACTTCAAATCCATTTGATATGCTAGATAGCCCGCCTCCAATTGCACCGCCCCAGTCCTCTCAGTCTACTGGATCTCTTCCTCCGCCACCGAACCAGAACCCATACCAGCAGACATCCAACCCATTTGGGTTGATGCCGTCACAATCCCAAGTAGGCTTGAACCAGGCGTTCCAAAGCATGGCCGTTTCATCACCTCAGCCACCTCTTTTCCCAAACCACACTGGTGGACTTCCTGGTCCCCAGCAACAATCCAATCAACAACAAATGTACCAACAATCAATGACCCCTCCAGTACCATCTATTCCCCAACAATACTATCCACCCATCTACGAGAATGTGCAACAACAGCCCCAACAGCCTCAACAAGTGGAGCAGAGTATTAACTACAATCCATTTATGCAACAGCAACAACAACAACAAACTCAAATTCAGACTCAGCAAGTATCACCGATCAATACCAATTTTCAAAGCAATCCATTCATGCAACAGATGCAGCCTCAGGGGCAAAATCTATATCAGAGCCCTATAGAGCAGCAGTCACCTCAGCAGTACCGCTCACCAGCTGCCTTCCATAGTTACCAAAATCAACCTCAACCGCAATCGAATCCTTTCCTCCAAAACAGTCAGCCTCAGCAGTCATATGACTACCAGCAACAAAACCAGCAACAGAATCAGTTCCAACAGGCACCTCGCCAGCAGACTTTTCCTCCGATGGCTCAACAGACTAGCAGAGCGGATTCTCGCACTATTCTTGACCTTTACAACCAACCGCAAGTAGCCCCTACGCCCCAGCAACCTCAGCAAACACAGCAAGACCAAATACAAGCTCAAAACATGGCCATGCCATCAACCGTTGCATACCAGCAGCAGCAGCAGCCGCCGCCGCAACCGAGAAGCATTTCAAACCCCCTTGCAACACAAATGGCAGGCAATAGGAATCCATTCATGTCGAATGGAGGTGGTGTACATAGTCCAGCAGGGGATTCAGTAGGTAATATGAATCCATTCCCGCAGGTTCCAAACGGAGCGAGGCATGCCAGTCAGGAGAGCGTCAATATTGACGCTGGAGGATGGCAAAATGGGAGACATAGCCCTGATGCTTGGGGTACGATTAGTGCTAGGTATCCGAGATAGTCAAATGGATATTTGAACATAGAACTACGATTATTTGGCATTAAATGTAATGTGTAATCAATGAGGTGGGAAAATGGGGTTTAATGTATGTTGTATGCAAGATTAAGATTTCTGTAGATTTAGTTAACATGTATGTTCATGTTCATGTCAAGATCAATCAAGATGGATGACTAGGAAATGAAGCATTATGCTAATAATATACTAACTGGGATATCCCGTTCCTGGCATTCGTTGTGCTCGGGTGACCTTAATTGCCCTCACCTGATGCTCACCTGATGCTACCCGTACCTTGGCACTGGTGGCATCAAAAACCAAGCCGGTTCCCTCGGAGTAGCTGCACTGCACTGTACTGTGCCGTGAATCCCCGTGATGCGAATTCGTCATTGGAATTTTCACCTCTTCATCCTCCGAAGCCTCCGAGTCTGCGCAAAGGTGAGGGTGAGTATGTAAGATTATCAAGTAATAGTAATTAATATAATCTTTCGCATGCATTTCCTGTGCATGGGAGAGGTGATTGGTTTGGAAGTAATAGTCGGTCTTGCACTAGTACTATTGGGAGCGAGCGGAATAGATGGATGAGCTTAAGGTAAACTTAATGGCGGGGTCTCCAGGGTGCCGCCCAGAGTACCGTTGAAATTATGTAAATTGCGTAATGCGTAATGCGTGATAAAGGGAAGGAAGTCGTTGTCCATTGATTAACACCTTGACCACGACGACGACGACGACGGGATGCAGTTATTACGTATACTACCGGTCCTTCTTGAGCTGTTCTTTGTGGGCTTCACGGCTGCACAGACGGATTTCTCGGTTGTTGGGAGTGGCATTTATGAGTGGAATCAGAGCGAGTGGTCGCTGACTGCTACGAAATACATTCCGGGCCAGTATCAATCGAGGCTGAGTCTTGCTAATGGGTGAGTGAGTCTATGAAGGGATCAGAATTATAATTCAAAAGGAAAAGAAAAGGCAATCGGATGGCTGACTTGTAGGGCATATTGTAGTTATGTTGGGGCTTCTCTTGCAGCTGCAGGGCCTTTGTAGGTTTTCACTCATTAAATCTTGAAGTGATATTGTATTGTGCTGACGTAAGTGCTAGCTTCGAGATCGATGTCAACCAGACAAATGCTCAGGGTACACAACCAACGAATGGATGTAAGTCGATCGAGAGCTAAATGATTCTTTTCGTTATCCTATGCTGATATTTATCTTTCAGGGCCTCTTTTTGATTCCCGCATCAGTTTCTCTACAATCTCGGGTTTCTACAATGTCCAACCCAATGGCACTGGGACTAACTACCCGTGGCTAAATCAGTACGGCTGGGAGTCTTTCATCTCTGGAATCCCTCATCCAACCGCAATTATCTTTGCTTTCGGAGACAACTATCTCGATGCTACAGTTAGCAATACCACGATTTCTAACTTCGCCTCCAAAATCTCCTTCAAGACCGGTGTTGGAATATGGAGTTATACTTGGAGTCCAAACAACGGAACGTCTTTCAATGTCTCCTATGCAACCATTTTCAGTAGGGAGAGACCGAATGTTATAGCTGTAAAAGCATCCATTATTCCCTCCGATGATGTTTCGGGTACGGTTACCGACTTGCTAGATGGTAGAAGCGCTGCTCGATCATATCTAGATACCAAGGGACTTGACACGAACGGGACCACGATTCGTACTTCTGTTCACCCGAATGGACTCGCTAATATCACCGCTTGTATTGTTTCGGGGGCGAATTTCTCCAACTCATACACCGATTTGTCCTCGAGATCACTGGCACAAGGTCCTTATATCAGCCCGAATGATACGACGATTGGCCAAACTTTTAATATCAGTCTCAAGAAGGGAGAAGCAGCCACTTTCTACAAATATGTAGGGGCGGCTTCAAACGACAAGTTTTCAGATGCTTCCTCGGTGGCCTGCGAGGCTCAGGCTGCGGCGCAAAGAGATGGATGGGATACGCTTCTACAAGAGCATATTGCTGCTTGGGCAGAGATCATGACTGAAGACTCAGTGGACGACTTTACTGATCCCGTAACAGGAGAGCTCCCTGAAGACACAAACGTTCAAATTTTGCACATTGGCTCAGTAGCAAACACCTACTATCTTCTGCAAAACATCCAACCAGATGGCAGCGGTTTGAACGACAATTCGGTAGCAGTGGGTGGCTTGGTATCTGATTCCTACGCTGGCCTGGTATTCTGGGATGCAGATTATTGGATGTCACCTGGACTTAATCTCGCTTTTCCCGGTTGGGCCAAGCAAATCAGCAACTTCCGCGTTAAGCAGCATCAGCAAGCTCTTGATAATGCGGCTTTTAACGGATACCCAAACGGAAGCTCTCTTTACTCATGGACTGCTGGCCGCTATGGCAACTGCACAGGCACTGGTCCTTGCCTCGATTATGAATATCATCTCAACTACGATATTGCCTTCAACTTACTCCAGCAGTATAACGTCACGAACAATGAAACTTGGTTCGAGGATGGACCTAGACAAATTATCGAGTCTGCTGCTATCATGACTGGACACTTGCTACAATACAATGATACTACGAAGAGCTACTGGCTGCACAACATGACTGATCCCGACGAGTATGCGAATAATGTTGACAATGGAGCTTTTACCATTGCTTCGGCGGCGGAATTATTGAAGCAGGCAAATTGGTTGAGAGTCGCCCAGGGACAACCGATCAACGAGACTTGGCAAGATCAATGGGAGAACATCGAGTACCCAATAGCAGCATCTAATATCACCCTGGAATATCAAACTATGAACAATAGTGTTGCTGGTAAGTCCTGAATAACAATGTGGTTCATTTGAGTGCACAGTGCTAATTACACAAACCTCAACAGTCAAGCAAGCTGATGTTGTACTTCTTACCTATCCCTTGGATTACGGCCAGGATTACACTGCTGAGGATAAACTGCTGGACCTTGATTACTATGCCAACAAGCAATCACCAAACGGACCTGCAATGACTTACTCAGTATTCGCCATCGATGCTAATGCATTAGCTCTCTCCGGGTGCTCAGCATATACATATACACTCAACAATTATATTCCATATCTCCGTGCGCCTTTTTTCCAATTCTCGGAACAAGCAGTTGACGATGTCTCCTTGAATGGAGACACCAACCCAGCGTTCCCGTTTCTCACTGGCCATGGAGGTGCGAATCAAGTAGTGCCTTTTGGGTTCTTGGGGATTCGAACAGACCAACCTGTTTTATTTATCAATCCGTCCCTTCCACCACAAATCCCGTATGTGAGAGTTCGCACTTTCTATTACGCCGGAGCAACATTATCAGCAAGCCTCAACAACACCCATACAACCATAACCCGCTCACCCACACCACCCTCGGCCGGCGTCGCTGACTTCTACGGCAACACGACCTTTCCCCTAACAGTCGGAACCCCCGACTCGCCAGGCACTACGGACTACACGCTCGCCATAAACCAAACCCTCACGATCCCCAACCGCCTCTACTGGCAAAACGCAACCAACGCCAACAACCTCCTGCAATGCCTCCCCGCCACGAGCACCGACCCCTACGCCAGCGGCCAGTTCCCCGTCGCAGCCATTGACGGCGCATCCGCGACGCGCTGGCAGCCCTCTACCAACGAGAGCTCGTCTCTCCTCGTCAACATGACATCCATCCCCGCGTCCCCCGTCTCAAGTCTCTTCTTCGACTGGGGCGCCCGACCGCCCAAGTCCGCAGCTGTGTATCTGGGGAATAGCACGGACGGCACGGGTATCTACGGCCGCGAGATTAACATTACTATCAACGACATCTCGCCCAATCTGCCATTTGATGCTGGGATGGCGCCGGATGGTGGGCTGGATGTTGTGCCGGTGGTTGGGAATACGACGACGATTGAGGTGGCGGGTGGGGCGTGGAGTGGTGAGTATGTTAGGCTTGTTATTGAGGGGTGTTGGGAGGGAGATGGCGAGGGGGCTACGGTTGGAGAATTTGTGTTGGTTCGTGGATCTTGAAAAACACATACTGTACCTAAAATACTGGATTTGGATTTACAATAGCAAAAGTAACTTTTACAGAGAATTGTATTCTAAGACATGTTCCTGCTGAGAAGTCGGCTGAAAGTCTTGGCCAAGAGACTCGTAGATGAATCCCTCTTTGCTTGGTTATTCCCTCTTTCCTTCACCCCATGATGCAAATTCTCCAAGCCGAAATTATGGGCTTCTGGCAAAATTAACCTTGCCATGGCTTTTCCGCGGACTCGAAATTGCGGCATGAAAGCCCATAAAATCCACTATCGATTGAGATATCGTGCATTTTAATTTAAGTACGTACATAGTCATTCGGCACAGATTTTCTAATTGAAGAGCTGAAAACCAACCTAATCAACCATTACTCGAAACCCCCTCCAACACCCCTCTCACCAACTCGACATCCCTCTCCACCTCCACCCTCCACGTACTAACCGCAACCCTACATGCAGGCCTACCATCCCATTTCGTGCCCGAAACATATATTTCCCTTGTCTCGTTAATCTTACTAACCAATTCCCGGTTGAGCACCTCGTCTCTGGCTCGGAAGATAACTATGATGTGCGTATTACCATAATCACCCTTTTCATCTTCCCCCTGCGCTAGCAATTCGTACTCTGCGCTTTCTTGCACATAAGCCGCAATGCCTCTGGCTAGCCTCACTTGTCGCGTAAACATCTCCGCTAGCCCTGCACTGCCGTATGCAAGCAGAACGGCATAGACAGGCAGGGCGCGGAAGCGCCGCGAGTTCTCTAGGCCGATGTTCAGGGGCGATGGGATGGACGAGGGGCCGCTGGTAGCGAGGTACGCCGCGTTTGGGTTCTGGAAAACGGCGGACAGCGTGGCGTCGGACCGCGTTAGGAAGAAGCCGCAGTCGTACGGCACGTTGAGCATCTTGTGGCCGTCCCCTGTAATGGAGTCCGCGAGATCCAGACCACAGCTCGCGGTGCGCAGAGCTGCGAACTCGGCGTTTTCCGGGAGACTGCGTGCGAATATCCCGAATGCGCCGTCCACGTGTAGCCATGATCCGTATTTGGTGCATAGGTCTCGAATCTGCGCTACGGATGACGAGCCAGTGGTTGCGAAACGCCCCGTGTTGACTTCTCCGGCGCTCAGGGCTACGATACTGACGATGCCGTCTTGCTCGCGCTTGAGTTCGCGTTCTAGCGCAGCGATGTCCAGTTTCCATGGCTCGCGGGCGCTGAATGGGATGTCTTTGACTGAAGCGCGGCCGATGCCCACCACGCTGGCGGCTTTGTACAGCGAGCTGTGGCCCATGGTGGTCAGGACTTGGATTTCCTTGACACCGGCTCTGGCACACGCTGCCAGCAGCCCCAACTCGCCGACGCCCTGGCTTTCACCGGCGGCTCTGAGACGAGTGCTGATGACTGCTTCGCGCCCACAAGCCAGGCCCAGCACATTAGCACCCGTAGCGCCAGTGGTGAAAGTCCTGCCTTGCCACTTCCCGTTATCGAGTTTCAGTAGTTCGACAAGCATGCTCAGCGCCTTGTCTTCGACAATGGTACTGATGCTCTGCTCGGGTAGATGCACAGAGACATTCTGATCAAACGCCGTGACGATGTTATCCGCTACTTCGGCAATAGGGAAGACTCCCCCAGTGACGAAGCCGTAGTAATTAGGTGATGTTTTAGGGCCATTGAAACCCGGGCATATGTCAGACAGGAGATGCCTCTCTGTGGCTTCTTCTCCGATACCATGTGCTGTGAGATTAGCTGGCAGGCTTTCTACGCCTGCGACGATGGATGAGGGGGGTGGGAGGGCATCGGTGGTGATGTTGTCGACGAGGGCGCGGATTTTGGTGTACGCTGAGGAGACGGATAATGTCGACATGATCGCCGCTGGGATGACGGGCTAGATATAGTAGAGGGGTCTCATCTGATACCTATCTATTCTATGGAGGGTGGTCTGAGATGTAACGTGTGGAGGGTGATGCATCCAGTGCATTATGTAGTATAAGTACGAAGGTACGGTGGGATCTCATGACTCATTGAAGCATTCGATCCATGTGAGAACTGACTCACCAAATAAAATAGGCTGTATTCTGCGATCGTGGAAGAATGGCGCGCATGGTGAAAGACGCATGCTGGTAGTGTAGTTTGTATATATCCTTGTATTTACAAACAAGCTGGACAATTAATTTCCCCCAAAACCGGAGAGAAGATTTGTAAGCCCTATAACGCTTCCGTAACGGCAGTTAAGCGGTTTTGGCAGGGAATAAGAGCTTAAAAGTAGAGTAGACTGGCCTTGAACAGCTCGGTAGAGACAGCTCACAAGGGCGATTTGACGGTAAATAGAAGAAGGTCCGATTCCTGTATGATTTCTGCCTTTACATATGTATATGCAGGAACTATCCTCGGGGGAGAGGCGAGGCGTAGAGAGGAGCTTCATTCAGTAGGTAGGTACAGGTCGAGAAACAGAATGTGAAGTCCGGTTTAGCTTTTCTAAAGATCACGCTTAGAGCCCTCATTGGCTAAATCAACCTGAGAGTATGTCTCCGTAGGTGATCTAGACCCAAATTATACTTTAACTACCTACGAGCTACTCTAGGTTATACCTCATTACGGGTGATTATTTCTAGCTTTCCTTGGTGTCCTGTTTCTAGCGCCCTTTCTAGCATTCTTTCAAGGGCTCACGGGTTCATATCTCTCTACCTTTTAACTATACTTGCTAATAGAGTTGAAAGCATTTACTTTTGATTAGTATCGGGTTTTAATAATACACATGTATTTAGTCCTAATCAGGAGCTCCCCGGCGAATTGTATGCCTACCCTACCTTATCTTAGATGCAGGAAAATATGACAGAGCGCTATGCAAGAACATGGAGTCCTGCAAGCATTTGTAGGGATTCTAGCACACAATAAACGCCCGCTTCAGCGGCCATACCTCTATGCCGGGTCTAAAGTGTCTCGAGAGTGTGCGCCCCGCAGGAAAAAAAGAGATCCGCTTGAAGGAGCTAGGTGCAGTCAAGACACTATACTCTGCGCTCTGCATCTGCACTTGTCATGGATATGGAGAGGGGGTCGTCTGCTGGGAAAGAAAGCGTTACTTATCAGCTACTGATAAGTGGGAATACTTCATGAGGAGGCAGTCAAATGCGACGAGGCAGTCAAATGCGACGAGGCAGTCAAATGCGACGAGGCAGTCAAATGCGACGAGGCAGTCAAATGCGAGAAGTACCCACTACTAGCTCGCCTTAGGGATATAAAAGTCTGTCTTTCCCAGCCATCCCATCCAGAGGTGACAGTCCTCGAAATAACTACACGCCGCAGCTGTTCTTCTACTTCATATAAGATATATATGTGCGTGCACTTGAAGAGTAGAGATTTGAGTACCAGTGAAACCCTTGGCCGAAACCCGAGAATTCGCCCTACCTGGTAGTTTCCGGCTGCCCCGCACGGGCGGCTGAACCCTTCCTTTGACAGGGAACACCACACCGTGCATACACTGGAGTACGAAATACGGTACTGCTGGTAAAAAGGAAAGGCTATCTTCGGGCCAAGTTGATTAATCCTCTCTTTCGAATAGGAACTTGTTGTGAATTGGCATAGGGAAGAGTTATTATTTCTTTATAACAATATAACAGTTTTACATCTCCTCCTGACCAAAAAATAGCACTCGAGAAAGGAGAATACTCGTGGTGGTGTAAAGCTCTACTCGGTACCTATACAGTCAGAGTAGACTTCCAGACCTGCCTCCTGTGGACCCAATGCAGGAGTGATAGGTTGTTCGGGCGCACTTCTACCGTTCCAATGCAGGACACTAACCACCATGCTGGTAATTCCATTGCCAGACTCTCGGGCATACCTTAAATATAAGCCGGGTCGTGGTCTTACAGTAGAGTATTAGCGGTGTTGTGCTTTCTGCTTCTTCTACTCGTACAAAGCCCTCCCTCCCTTCCAGTCCCTCTCCAATAAGCGCTCAAAACCACTCTATGGATGTATCGAAAACATCTCCATATTGCAGCGGTGTGCAGTCATTTTCCCAGAACCAAAATACCAGTAATATGAACGAAGAGGACCCCGCACCTGGCACGCTTCCTGTGAGGAAGTTTTCCATGGCAGCAATGGCGCACAGCCCAGCGCAAAGCTCCCCAACCTCTGGAAACGGGACGCCTATTGACGCAGACGTGGGTACTTGCATGTCTTTATTGGCGGGAACGTGGTGCTGATTGATAGACATCTTTAGTCCTTATACGATGAGTGAGTTACAACTGGAATTCCAGCTCTCTGGAGACGACGACCGACGTCGTACGAGGATAGCCTACTGTCGTCTAATGCCGTGCCACTCAATTGTTTCCCTTGAGCTTTATTATGTTCACGATAATAATGAATACACCGACTGACAGACGTCGTACAGTACTTCCTCACTAGCCGTCGAAAGCAGTGTCTACGACTTTGCCAAGGAGAACGGTCGCACATATCATGGATATCGTGCTGGAAGTAAGATCTTGTATCCAATCCACCCACCTCTGCTTACCATTCCCCCTCAGCATATCACTTTCCCAACGACCCCTCCGAGACAGACCGTCTGGACTTTCAGTTTGAAATACTCAAATACTGCTTCTTAGACCGCAACTACTTTGCGCCCCTAGACAAGCCCCAACGCATCCTTGATATCGGGACGGGCACTGGCCAATGGGCCGTAGAGATGGGCGATGATTTCCCAGAGGCCGAAATTCAAGCAACGGACCTGTCGCCCATCCAACCGCTCACGGTCCCAGAAAATGTACATTTCTTTATCGATGACGCCTCGGACGACGACTGGGCGCTGCCGCCCGCGCATTTCGACTATATACATACCCGCATGCTACTGGGATGCTTTACCGATTTCCGGGATATTATACGGAAGGGCTTCTACTACACCAAACCGGGAGGATATATGGAAAGCCAAGATTATTACTCGATCCCGTACTGTGACGATGGGACTATGCCACCCGATTGGCCCTTTCTAGAATGGACCAAGTATAGCGACGATGCAGCCATGGAGGCAGATCGACCTATGCGGATAGCCAATAAATTCAAGAGGTGGTACAAGGCTGCCGGTTTCGTCGACGTGCAAGAGAAAGTCTTCAAGGTTCCTGTCAATGCCTGGCCTAGAGACAGGCATTTGAAAACCTTGGGAATGATGTCAGAAGAGAACTGGCTATGCGGACTATCAGCATTCAGCATGGGTCATTTCTCTCGGATACTGAATTGGAGTAAGCCCCAGATCGAGGTACGTGGTTTCGTCTGAAGTGAACTAGCCGGGCTTAATTAACTCTTTGTAGGTGTATCTGGTCAACGTCAGGAAAGCAATACAAGATAAACGTGTCCACGCTTATCACAAAGTCTTCGTGGTTTGGGGCAGGAAGCCTCTGGATGGAGAGCAAATGCCGCCGGAGCCTGACTCCAGCACTGAGACGGTAGTGCCCGGACCTTCAAAAGCTCCAGCTGAGATGGTAGTGCCCGGACCTTCACAAGCTCCAGCTACTGAAAACACGTCTGTGGCGGACGGACAATAGGACTCGGCATAGTCATGGCATAGCATTGGCGTTTGGTATAGCGGGATAAAATTTGGGTTGGCTGGCGCATTTGAAAGACATGATGATCACGAATTGATGAAGAATGAAGCGAGTACTGTTTTTATTAGATACGAAGTTGTATCTAGCAACGATATAACGACTATGATCTACGACTTTGTCAGATCCAAAATCCTCGTGTCTAATATTCAAATCCTCTTCACCGAGCCAAATATTCCTGTCCAGGCCGGGATTCCCTTCCAAATACATACAATACCACTGATAGAGCCAAACGTCACCCACAGTAAATCAGAGCACATTTCAAGAAACTAGAATCATATACATCCTTCTACTTCAGCTCTCCAGCTAAATTGGAACGTACACCAGCATTGAAAGTTCGCTGCCGAATTAGCAGGCGCAGCGCAGTCAAACCCTCAGCGCTTGCCTAGTACACCAGCATTGAAAGTTCGCTGCCGAACTAGCAGGCGCAGCGCAGTCAAACCCTCAGCGCTTGACGAGGTCGATATTGAAGACACCTAAATCTCAAGATAACTTCAACGTGAAGAAACTAAAGGAAAATAAAGTGACCCCTTCACACATGCAATGAATACCTGAAATGAGGGGTATATAGTGTATGAGATAGGTTATCTCAATTGCCAGCAAGCAAAAGCGAAAGTGGTGATTCAAACTATATGACCAACATATCGTCTCTTAAATTGGATAAATATCGCTACTTTACCCCATGGTCCCTAGGTCCTGCGTTGTATCGTCGTACTGTTGTCCCGCAGGAAACTCCATCGACTTATAGTTGTGGTCTTCTCTTGTCTTTGCTTTCTGAAGTTTGTTATGGAAGTCCGCCTGATCCATATAAATGGATGGGACCACAATCTTTGGTCTGCCGTCCTCGTTCTCATCATCGTCTTTCTTAGTCTGCATCGTCTTATCAGATCTGATAATCGCTCTCCTTGCTTCCCGGTCCTTGATATGCTGAGGTCTCTTCTCGGGGTGTGCGATCCAGCACCCCATCTCAAGATGACCTGTTCTTCCACAAGCCTCGTATGTACAAACTTGACCGGAGTCCGCTTTATCGATATCACTGTTTCGGCGACGACTGCTAAGGTTCCGAGCAGCAGCACCATCTTATAGCTGTTTCTGTCGTTTGATTCGAATCATGAAGTGTTTTTCTTCGGGTTCTTGAAGGATATCTTTTACTTTGATGTGTAGAAGACTAAAAAGATCCATGCCTTTTGCTTCTCGGATGAAATGTCTCTTCCATTCGAAGTAATTGAGCTTGCCATGAGGCTTGTGGTTTTTTGGAAACTGAATGTGGAGGATTCGGTGTCCTTGGTCGCTATGATTGACGTCGAGATCAATCTCCAAGTGGTGAGGTTGACTTGCTTGCTCCCCTAATAGTAGGGGTGTCGAGTGATTCCTGAATTATTCCGGGACGGGTGGGTGAGATACGTGGGTGAGATGTAGTAAATCGAGCACTAAACAATATAATTTATTTGTTGCAAGTATGTAGGTACCTACAAAGAGGAACTCATGAAGAATCCGAGGCATATGGTACAAGTGCTTACCATGCTATGCTAGCATAATATGAATTCGCTGCTGATAAATAGAGGTAAGTGAATAGACCCTGGAGTCTTAGTCTGATAAAAGTAAAAGTCATGAAGCTAAAATTTCTTGCGGAACCGGGAGCAGAGTTCAAGTATCGCATCCCCTTCCGTAACTTCAAACACCCCTCCGGGGAAGCCAGTGAATCAAGCAAACGACGTGTAGATTGGAATCGATATAGGATAAATCTATAGATAAATATGCAAAAGACTCCCATCCATTCCAATTCATCATAACCTTTGAACAAGTAATACTAGCCAACCGTCGCATCGTAATCATGAGCAGGCGCAAACCAAATAAGTCTTTTAGTTTAACAAACACATTTGCCCAGCAAGAGGTACTGTAGGTGGAAAAGCATATTTCGCGTGCATCATGTATCTCATAAAAATCATTCCTTCATAACCGTTCGCTTGCTCATGCTCAGATATCCCTGGAAAATAAAACCAGAATACAAGGCGTATTGTAAAAGCACCCCCTATCGCCTGTCGCCGGTTTGAGACATTAATCTCCGTGGTAGTACAGCCCATTAGGTCCATCTCTAAGTTTCTGGGGGCATTGTCTCCCAAAGCTAGCTCATCGAGAGCAGATATTCAAATGTCCAGGTAGGATCGAATTTAGATCTGACTCCCCCGCCTCTGCCTCAAGACATCATCGACGCCGCTCTGAACTTGCCGTGGGGTACTGATCGTGGCCCTAAGCTTTTCACTTCTCTGCCTTCTCCTCTTTTCGCTGAGTCTTCGCTTCATCCCACTCCATCCAACATATTCAACTCGGACTCCAAGACCCGGAATAGTATGGAAACTCCTACCACCATTTCCATTCTTGAAACCATGTCCAAAGGTTCCCTCCGGTACCTCTACATACTGCCTTCTATCATAAGCCTCCCGCCTCAAGCTGGAATTGCTTCTCTGTTTCACAACCCTCAAATCACCACTAGAGCCCCTTCGCATCTCCCTCCGATCCATAGAATACGGTTGATGTTCGAAGTCATCTTGAATCGGCAAGATAGCGAAAGTACGCTTAAGTTTCCCACTCAAGCTCCGCTTCGGCGGACTCGGTCTGTTGTCAATCATCGGATAACCACCTACAAGTTCATCGTCCGCGAAATCGTTGTCCAGATCATCCCAGAAATGAGATGGCCGCCAGAAAGGATGCAATTTGCTATCATCTGCGGGTTGGTCGACTACCGAAGGATAGGTAGTAATTGCATTGCCTTGTGCCTGCTGGGTGGCTTTATTGGCTAAATCCTTTCGCCGACCGCTCAATGACAGTGTGCGTTTCAGTAGACCGGGGCGATGATTAATTGTCGATTCTGAGTTCCGTCGGTTGCTGAAAGCTCGGCGGACAAGTGACAGTCCTCGCTTAGACTTACTATCGGAACTAACAGGTGGCTCATCCAGAGTATAGCCCAGCTGACGATCTTCCTCTTGCCCTGGTGTAAGTACAACGGGTGTTGGCGGGATAAAAGCAATTTTCGGGGGCTCCGGAGGCGCACGAGGGTTTCGGAGCGGTGAATCAACTTCATCCATTCGATGAATTGGCTGACGAGGAGTGATGCGACCGGTGTCTCTGTCATTGAGAGTCAACGTAGGCGGTTCAGGCTCGGCAGCTCCAATCGACTTTGAAGCAGACGAAGACGATTCAGGGGGGGCAGTCTGTTGAACAACGAGTACCGACTTGTTCTGATGAGGGAAGATGCTAACAGCCATTGCGTTTGAAACTTCCACAGATGTGCCTGCAGTCTCATATGATACCTGGGAGAACGGGGTGACTTGTGTTGATAGTCGATTTCCAAAGAAAGGATCTCCGTTATGATCGACGTTCAGCCGATTAGGACTTAACAAATCTTTTTGTGAACCAGCTGTGTGGAGTTGCATAGGCTCTGGCGCTTCGTGCTTCTTTGCTTGGATCATGTTGTGAGCTTTTAGGCTTTCGGCCGTCAAAGATCCGGCCCTAGAAGTGTTTCGGCTTGTTGGGGCAGACAGAGATGATCTCCTAGCTGGGATATTGGGTGGAAAGTCGATTGTACGAATTGACTCTCTATCCCCAGCGGATTCGGACATGGTCCTCTTACGGGGCGCAACAGAATCCATATATCCTGGTCCATTGAACTTCGATGATTGCGATAAAGGTGCCGAGGTAAGCGAGTTGCTTCGTTTGCTCTTGTGACTGCTAGTGGATCGCAAAGAGTGTTCCTTTGAGGACTTTGCGGAAGAGCGTCGCTCTGGAATGACAACCACAGGAATCCCTCCACTCTTCAGGACTTCTCGGCGAGATCTCCCACTTGACGATGCCGTACTGACTGTCACGTTGGAAGCCAGGCTTCGATGCCGTGTCTCGGGGATCTTGCCAGCCGAGTGATGCAATCGATGTCTTGAATCACGGTGCAATTCACTCGAGAGCGAAGTGGACACTACAGAGTTTGGGGTTGAGCTCAGTGTCGACTGGTCAGAACTGAAGTCCCTCAAGCCAAGTTGCTTTTTCGTATGTCTTAGGGTCTTCCGCCGTGTTGGTGGTGCGTCGACCACGATTGCTTCAACAACGGCCGAGGTCCCTGAGCGTCCAGACATAGCTGATAATCTTCTGATGTCTGGAGTTTTAGGCAATTCAATATCTCTTCTGACCAAAGGCGACGACGTGGCACGTTTCGTCTCTTTAGGTAACCGGTCTGCTTCTCTTTCTAATCGATGGCGAGGGATTTTCTCATGTAGAGGCAGAGTTCGAACGACTTTCGTAGCGTTTGTGGGTGACACGAGATCGTCTTCGATGACTTCTTCATTGGCCTCCTCTGTAAACATATGTAGTCGTCGTCCAGGCCTTTTGCGTACTGTTACATTCCGCATGAGATTATGATCCCATTCCCGTTCCACTTCACTTGTTTCAGATCCCCATTCCCCGTCAAAGACATTAAATTCCGGCTGTGGGGATTCTGCCCGAGGTGTGGTTGTTCCTTCGTTGTCCGACTCGAGTCCCAACCCCAAACCCACTTCTTTTCGTTTATGCGGTTTTCCTAAAAACTGTGGGACTTCCAACGCGGACTGCCTTACGGATGCTAAACCTGGCCGGACTGTAGAGACTTCATCTTCGTCCGAAGAATAAGGATTCTCTGGGGCAGTCTTGAAAGAGTCTGTGCGCGATGAGGGGTATCGATCGCTCGCTGGGGGTCGAAATGCTAAAGGCATAGGTCGTGGAGGGGTCACATCTGGAGTTGGCGGGCTTTTTTGATTTGGTGGAGTGCTAGGAATAGATGGAATATTTCCAGAGTTCTTGGAAGATGCCACGTCGTATCTTGAGGCGTTGATTGAATGGCTTCCCGATGACTGACGAGAGTGAGGCGGCGATGGCAGACCTCCAATCTTCTTAGACGCATGCTTCAGGGTATGCGGACTCGATGTAGCTGAACTGGGTATCGATGGTATTCCTGTGTCTATTACGAGGTCTCGCGGTTTCGGTGCAGGGGTCGAAGGGTATAATTCAGGAAGACGCGCTTGTCCAGGATGAGGTAGGACTTTGTGCTTTCGGAGTAGCTGGACTCCGTTTGGAGCATCAAAAGAGCTACCCAGCTCTCGTGCCGGCATCCTGAGCCAGTTCGCGTGCGAGAGGAGCATTCACGTCGAAGAGCCGTGAAATATTGGGGTAAAACTATTGCTGGGTCGTTTCTCCTCTTGTCACCGAGCGGTCGTCGAACTCGCTTTTAACAGGTCACCACTTCTCATAGCGATACAACGGCAGCCTACATGAGATCTTATCGATAGGAATTTGCCTCGTGGCTCGCGATCGAAGGTATCGCAGAATATTTGATGGAGAACGAGGGTCCTGGGCGTCGCAAAAGGAGCGTGGTACGAAAAGCAGACCAGGGAGAAAAAAGGAAGAAGTGGCGCTCGCGGCGAAATATGTCTCAATCAAGAATGGTTTCGGGTGTTCGAGGCATTCGGTCGTCGTCAGTCGTCGTCTGTCGTCTTAGCAGTCTGCACCCAGCCTCTCGCGGTCTCTCAAGTCCAGTTGGTGTCGAGTACAGCGCTGTGGGGACGGATGGCGAGGATATAGTCGTCGCTGACGGGGAGTTACAGGTAATGCGACGAGCCTGTGCCTGGTGTCTCTGTTTCTGTCTGTCGATGTCGTTGGGAAGAGTAACAAGAGTTAGGGTGGTGGTGAGTTGCGCAGCGCAAAAGCGGGAGGAGGTATTGACGTCTGATTGGCGGTGGTGGTTTCCTTGCACCAAATACTGTACGCGCTACTCGTACGGAGTCGTACTACGAAGGTACACTACGAGTACGCTGATTTGTGCGTGCAACTGCGAGTAAGAGGTCTGGCCTGCTAAGTAATCGGCATAAACCCTCGAATCAGATGGCACATTTACAGAGGGAGGGAGAGGAGGCAGTGGGAGCGGAAGCGGAAGTAGAAGTGGAAGTGGAAGTGAGGGAGTAGGAAAGCAAAAGGAATTGATGCATGAAACGTAGGTATGCTATTCACACCTGCATTCGCAGTCTTGCGGGTGGGCACAACGTTACGAGTCTTGAGGATGAATGCGATGCTTCTTTTTCTGCATCATTTCCGCCCAAAGCATCACGCTGCACAAGATAAATCGGGGAGGTTGGAGTCTGTCTGGCCCAGCTGGGAAGGAGCGGCCCTATTCAGCGAATCACGGACCTACACTGCCTGAAACCGAATCGCTTCCGAGAATCTTTTTCTTTTGAAGCTCGTCGTCGTCGTTGGTCAGACGGTTACAAGTGATCTGGTGATTCAGCCTGCATGTTTCTAGAGGCATATCACGTGCATGCCAATAGGGGGGTAAGATGCCTTAAAGTTATGGTCAGATCTCAGGCACGAAGTCTCCCTCCCCATTTGCCTATCAGTTCGGCATGGATGATAAAGCTTCCCCTCCCCTCCACGTCTTATCGTACAATTACCTCATCGGCGGCAGCTCCCCCTGTTCTAGTGACATTGTTCGATTACATCTACATTACCAAATTCCTAGTACCAATTGGATACTGGTAGCGGCAGTTCCTTTCTTGCATCCATTAATATTCCAATTATTCACCGCTGATGTCTTGTTACGCCATAATATACCCCTCCAAATTGTTTATCTACTCCGATCCTATTTAAAGGCCAATAATGTTGCCTCTTGGTCCTGTTTCTCCTAGGCCATTGACCTAACTATATTATTCCCAGCCCGCCAGAGCATAATCTCAGGTAATATTTCCAGGTCCGAGATAGCACATCCGTCAGATCAGCTTCTGTAGGATAAGCTAGATGCATTGAAGCACTGCCAGCGCAGCACCTTCATAAGGGTCCTGACCCTCACTGGAATATTTCTTCTTCTTCATTTTCACAATTACACCCAGTCATGTTAACCAACATACTCGCCGTCGCCATCTTGGCAACCAGTGCACTTGCACATGGTGACCATGAACATCAAGTTCCAATTGCCGGCCCCCATAAAGCCCTTTGGTACAATACTCTTCCCGGTGATGGCGGAACCCAGGTAGGCCAACTTAGTCTATATATCCACAAAGGGCGTATATTGACTGTAGAAAGGCCGATTCGGTCTTCTCTGGTATCTCGACTTTCGGTCGCCTGCCATATTTTCCGTGTCTGGCTTCGGATGAAGCAAAATATGATATTGCCTTCATCGGTACGTCGCAGCATACTTATACTATCTTCGAACCATCAGGATGTCACCGCTAACATAATTCGCAGGTGCTCCCTTTGACACCGGAACGTCCTACCGGCCGGGCGCGCGCTTCGGACCCTCAGGAATTCGTCAAGGTTCTCGTCGTCTCAATTTATAGTCAGTACCCCAGCAGCACAAACGCTGATTACCTTTGTTGCAATCACAGGCTCACGCAGAGTCGGATTTAGCGGAGGCTATAATGTCCCATTAGCCACCAACCCCTTCAACTCATGGGCAACAGTCTTGGACTGTGGAGATATCCCGGTCACATCGTAAGCTCTGTTCTACACTTGGAAGCAAGCCTACTGATGTCGATTTGGCAGATACGACAACACTTGGGCGCTCCACCAGATCGAAGAAGGACACAATGCTATCCTGAGCCGCGCCCCTGCTACGGACGCAAATAAGAAAGGCCCAGCAAAAAACGGGAAAACACTTCCTCGAGTCATCACACTTGGTGGTGACCATACCATTACCCTACCACTCCTACGTTCCATCAACCGCGCTTACGGTCCGATCTCTGTGATCCACTTCGATTCACATCTTGATACATGGAAGCCAAAGGTCTTTGGTGGCGCACCAAGCAAGGTTGCTAGCATCAATCATGGCACGTACTTTTACCATGCTGCGCAAGAAGGCTTGCTCGCGAATGACAGCAACATCCACGCTGGGATTAGAACCACTCTGAGCGGCCTGAGTGATTATGAAAATGATGGGTACTGTGGATTTGAAATTGTGGAAGCAAGAGAGATTGACACGATTGGAATGGATGGCATAATTAAGAAGATCCATGAGCGCGTTGGCACTACCAAGCCAGTCTATCTCAGTATTGATATCGATACGCTCGACCCAGCATGTAAGATTCCTCATCTCCCTGTAGAATCTCGGCTAACGGCCTCAAGTCGCGCCTGCGACTGGTACACCAGAGACTGGAGGATGGTCGACGCGTGAGCTTCGTACCATCCTTCGAGGCTTAGAAGGGATCAACTTGATCGCAGCAGACATTGTCGAAGTCGCGCCGGCATACGATACCAATGCCGAACACACAACTATGGCTGCGGCAGATGCTCTGTATGAGGTCATGAGCTTGATGGTCAAAAAGGGCCCGTTGAGTGAGATGGTGAAGAGCGAGGAGGTGGAGTCTATTGAGAAGACTGAGATGTAGGTTCATCAAAAGATATGATGAGAATATGAGCAGCAAGAGCTATGAAAGATGTTACGCTCGAGGATTTGAGTACCGGTGTGCGCGAAATGTTGTAGTGGGACATGGATGAAGCATAGATATCGAAGGAAGCAGCTAGCAAAATTACCTTTTCTCCCCTGTCCTGTCCATCCAATCACATGACTCCACGGACTCCGGAATTTTCAAGATTTTCCCCGACCTGAATCGCGTCTTCTTCATGTTGAATTTATTTTCATTATGCACCCCAGGTCTTTTCCTTGGGAGAAAGTCAAACGAACGGAATGGAATGTAAACTCAAGGGCGACTGTGCTGTGCTACCATGGTCGTGCTCGTACTCGCAGTAAACAGCTGGAGTTCATAGCACAATCTAAAAGCTGCCTCATCTTTTCTTTTCTTTTCTTTTCTTTTCTTTTCTTTTCTTTTCTTTTCTTTTCCCACCACCAGCCGTGTTCTAAAAGAGCAAGGCAAGCAAGCGTTGTCGGCTAGAGACTCAACTCGCCGTCGCCTTTTCTTATTGGCCCGCTCCAAGCCCGCTCGACCTGACTTGGCCTGATCTGGCCTGACCTGAGCGACAAACGGTAAAGGTTAGCAAGCCAAGGTAAGCCTGGCTGCGCCACGATACAGTACTAAGGTAGTAAGTGCCTGCAGGAATGCTCGAGCTCTACACAGTACTGTAAATCAACAGTCCAGCCCCAGCCAACTTGGTGCGTGTGCGTTAGTGTGCGTGCTGCACTGCACTGCTGCGGACTGCGGTCTGCGGACTGCGGTAGGTTTTTGGCCGCACAAACAGGATACTTCGTAAATCTTTCTCTCCATAGCCCATGCATGGTATTAGCATAGCGTGGGCCATGGCCATATCCGCCTGTCAGCTTGTGTTTTGCTCCCTTTTCCTGTTCTCTCTCATCTTTGTTTGTTTGTAGTCTCCTGTCTCTCTTTTACTTCAATTTCCCTGCTTTACTGTAAGTCATTCGCTATCGCGACGGGCTCGTCGTCGAGACTTTGTTTTTGTGCACTTCTCATGAACTAGCTTTTGCTTCGGTATCTGCCCGCGCAATCCAGTCAGGGCCCCGACTCCCAGCCTCAACCATGCCGGCGAACGATTTCAGTCAGCCTTCAACACCGTCCGCCTACGGCTTGGTTACGGAAACTGTTACCATGGCAGTGCCATCACCTACTACGCCGAATTGGAACCACCAAGCCCAGGAGACCGACTCGGCATCACCCACATATGACCCACCACCTACAAATACATCTTTGGCCCCCAATGCCAGCCCGCCTGCAGAGTCCCAAATGTTGTGGGATAGAGTGACCCATGGGGCCAGAATCGCAATTGTCATAGCCGCCGTACTCGGTATCATTCTGGTCGTAGTGTTTTCCGCGTGGTTCTGCTATAATTGCTGCGGACGTCGAAAGAAGAGAAGGTCCCAGGACACGGCTGCGGAGAACGGGGTATTACCGATGCATACGATACAGGACAGAAGAGTCGAGGAAGCAGTTGCGACGGGCAGGCCGGGCGGTGATGCTCCTCCGAGTTATGAGGAAGTTGTAGCACCGCAACATCGGCGACTTGCAGGCGGGATCCCAAATATCAATACGACGAGTGAGGACGACGACGCAGTTGTGTCAGATGGAAAGACGCCTTTGAGCGAAATACCATTTGAGGATGTGATGCTGGATCATGTTAGCTCGCAAAGCTCGGGAAGCAGGACGTTCGAGCAGATGCATCACGGTGCTGGAGGAGATACTCGGGGCCATACGAACACATGAGGGAAGGGCATACTTATGAGCAGAAGGGAACTCTCGAACCAGAAGCCGAGGATGTCTTGATCAACCAACCACTAGAGACAGGTGCGCCACCGAAGTGGCCAAGCATCCCTCCGATTCAATGATGTACGATTATAGTCGAGCATGCCAATATCAACCGGATTATAGCGCGGGGTTTTGAGTGGTCGTGGTCTCAGGTGATCGTCGAAATGGTAGGCCATCTTCGACTTAATCTTCCCCTCAACGGGATAGCATACAGATGGGAGTCGGGGTCGGGGTGGCTACGATAATGGCATGGGAGAAGTAAAGACATTCTCAATTCGAGGATTTGGTCTAAAATAATGGTAGAAGCACTATTAAACTAATATTATCATACATGAACCACCTGCCTTTATTGACAGAACTTACCCAGCCAATCGGCAGTACGGTTTCATGCTGCAGCCAGCACATCAGGGGCTATCCGACAACCACCTGGTCGGGTCGATTTTCGTGCATTGATTGCACACTCCGGGGAAGTATAGTCAAAAGTCGATACCATCCGTACTGGTACAGGTCAGATACCTGGGCCCAATCCCGGGTACGACAACAAACAGAACATGCCATGCCGGGTATCGATATTTGCCCCATCAGCCAAAACGCGTCATCACGGTTCAAGCCTAATCTAAGTATAACCTCTCAAAAGAAAGTCTTCGAATTTTGAACACCGCTTCCATATAAACACCAACTCGACTACATACATCCCAAGCCAGGAATCAGACAGCCCAAATTTAAAGTTCCGCCTCGTCCCATCTTATATCCCCATATTTCGGAACCACTTTCCTTTTCGAGCGGGATCTGCGACCCATCTAAGAAGGTACCTTCTTCACCCCGCAAGTCAATCTCCCAATCGCATCCTGACACTGAGTTTCGTCTATGGCCGAGGTAGTACCCGATTTTAGATAAGAGTATTGACGTGTGCCTGCATGCTACATCGTAGTTCCGCTGTACGTTTAGATTATGGTGTTACATGGGTACAGTATTTCTCCCTTGATTAGATATCTACTTTATCTATGTGCTTTCCATGTGCCTCTCTCCTCTATGTGCTTGCTCTGATGTCCTCCTCTCACAATGTTTAAATATATCATACCAAGGGCCGTGCTGCTTCTCTCTCTGTTTCAGACTGTAATAGCCTCTCCTGCTTATTCCCGTAATACCCAGAACTCAACATGTACAAAGGCGAAAGTTGCGGTACTAGGGGCCGGCATGGCAGGAATAGCAGCTGCGCAATCATTGCATAATGCTTCAATTTCAGAATTTGTGATTATTGATGTGAACTCGTACATCGGCGGACGAGTGGCACACACAACCTTTGGAACAAACCCCTCAACCAAGCAGCCTTACACTGTTGAACTCGGCGCAAATTGGGTACAAGGCCTTGTCTCTGACGGTGGGCCAGAGAACCCCATCTGGACACTGGCGAAGAAGTGGGGGCTGGAGAATACATATTCAAACTACAGTTCTATTCAAACGTATGACCAGGATGGATCCGCAGATTTTGCGGGGCTGTTGGACGATTTCGAGGATGCTTATAGCACTGTGGAACAAGATGCTGGAACAATATTGACTCAAAATCTGCAGGATAGAACGATGAGGACTGGGCTTAGTATTGCGGATTGGAAGCCGAAGAAGGACATGCAGATGCAAGCTGCCGAGTGGTGGGAGTTCGATTGGGAGTATGCTTATAGCCCCGACCAAAGTTCGCAGACATGGGCTATTGTGGTATGTTATACATAATCAAGATGGAGGGGGGAAAGTGCTGATGAAGCTACAGAACTACAACACAACCTTCTACCAATTCTCCGGTGACAACAATTACGTCTTCGATCAGCGCGGCTTTAACTACTTCATCGAGTCAGAAGCCTACACCTTCCTCCAGCCCAACGACACGCGTCTCCTTCTCAACACAAACATCACCTCAATCGCCTACTCCGACTCCGGTGTAACGATCACCAACGCCGACGGCTCCTGCATCCACGCCGACTACGCAATCTGCACCTTTTCTCTCGGCGTCCTCCAAAACGACGTTGTGGACTTCCAACCCGCTCTCCCAGCATGGAAACAAACCGGAATAGAAGGCATGCAAATGGGCACCTACACCAAGATCTTCTTCCAATTCCCTCCAGGCCCGGACGGGACTTTCTTCTGGGAACATGGCCCAGACCCTACTACACAATTCTTCCTGTACGCAGACCCCGTCGAAAGAGGCTGGTATCCTGTCTTCCAATCCCTCTCCGCACCGGGCTTTATAGAAGGTTCTGGCATATTTTTCGTCACAGTTGTATATGCGCAGAGTTACAGAGCCGAACAGCAGGACGACGATGCTACAAAGGCAGAAGTCATGGCTGTGCTAAAGTAGGCCCCACTCCACTCCTCCCCCCTATCTGAACGTCCGTCTAGAGCTAAAAGACGGTTCATAGAAAAATGTTCGGCGCCGATATCCCCGACCCGATAGATTTCATGTACCCGCGCTGGAGCACCGAGCCCTGGGCATATGGCAGTTACAGCAATTGGCCGCCCGGGCTGAGCATCGAGACGCATCAAAACCTACGCGCAAATTTGGGGCGGCTTTGGTTTGCGGGGGAGGCTACTAGTGCAGAATATTATGGGTTTTTGCAAGGTATGTACAGTATCTATGTATCTATGTATCTTACTCTCATTTTCTATTGTTGGTTTTTTAGAGAATGCGGCGTTATTAGTAGGTCGTGTCATATGCTAATGGTTGGAAAAGGGGCGTATACGGAAGGCCAAGCTGTAGGGACGACCATTGCAGAGTGTATTGGGGGGAATACGACGGATTGTGTGAGTGAGCTGAGTTATCGGACTGTAAAGGGTTGTACGACGAGTGAGCGGCAGTTGACGGAGGAGAATGGGTGGTTTGTGTCTAGTATGGATACCTTTGGCTTTTAGGAAATACAGTGATGGTTTGAAGAAGCAAATTCGGAAATTTTGAGTGCTTTGCCGTAGGATGGTTGGGGCAAAGCAAATGGAAAGTCCTCTAATCACTTGACGGAAATTCGTAGGGCGCTGCAACCATAAAACCAGCCGTGTGGTTAACATGAGGTACTTTCATCATTATTGATCAACCTCGCAGAGGCATAGATACATACATACGATTGGGAATTACATAACATCTTGCTTGAGCAACTTGAACCAGCGTTACGATATATGACCCCAAATGGGGAGCAGCATTCACTTCTATGTAACAAAGGCCCGAAAAAGAAAAAGAAAAAGCAAAAAACTGACATTGCGGTTATATGGCTTTTATGACCGGTAACTCGAACATTTCATGTATAGTATTCTAAAGTATATAGTATTGAATTACAATGCCGAGGTTTTGCGAATGAAGCGCAATGGCGACATATCAAGGTGGAATTTCCTCATCCCGTGACACATATTCTCTTTCCGCTTGAGAGAGCATCCAGGCTTTTGACATACTGTAAGGTTCTCCAGCCCAACGAAGCATGGCGATAAAAATGTGTAAAAGGGAATGTAAGAGGGAAGATTTACGTAACTTGCCAGCATTTCAACACATCACGTGCCTTACACACTACCGGCAGTGATGTTGTTACGAGAAGCATTGCGTCTATCTTTCCGTCCAAGCGTAGAGATAAGCTTCCGTCCAATGTTTTCCAAGATGCTGCATACTTCAACTGCACACCGATCCGAGGGCCAATTGTTCAGTGACAAATCCGCCGTCGCCTTTCGCAGCACTACTATATGACATCCGGATATCTCTTTGGCGGTGGACGAAAGATTGCTCTCCCATGCAGATCTCCGCCCGCCACGGTGCAAGTATTTGTTGTTCATTCATGCCTTCATTACGTCTTGATTACCTTGTCCTTATTGTTCAATTTTGTCATAGTATGAGATATATCAGCCCTGTAAGCCCAATTGGCAGGGAAATGCTCCATCTCACTCCCATATATCGTTCAATGTCTCAGTAGACAGTAGACTTCACTTGTCGTCCTTATAGTAGTCTATCTATCCTTGACCTCCCCCTCCCTCCCTCTCCCCCCTCATTGACGCCATGGAGGACTCAAACGATTCCAAGTCATGGCTCCCCAAAATGTTCCGCTCCAAAAACTCGACACCATCAATTACCCCTCCAAACGAGCATTCATCCCTCCTACCCAAACCTAATGATCCCCAATATATACCCTCTGAAGGCGAAACCTACGAAGTCGAAGACGATACCTCGCCCACAAAACAATGGCTCTCCGAATTCCTCCTCTTACTCCGAGGCTCACTTCCCGTTGTCCTCGCATATACATTACAAAACTCCCTACAAACCATATCCGTCTTGATCGTCGGGAGATTAAGTCCTGAAGCATTGGCTACCGCAGCGTTCAGCTACATGTTTGCCATGTCAACGGCGTGGCTCATTGCCCTGGGAGGATCAACCGCTCTCGATACATTGGCGTCTTCAACCTTCACGGGCAGCAAGAACCCACACGATCTGGGGGTCTTACTCCAGCGCGCGTTCATCGTGTTGACAGCTTTCTATGTCCCCGTAGCAATATTATGGGCTTGCTCAGCACCGGTGTTCAGACTCCTGGGACAAGAAGAATACATCTGTGTTGACAGCGCCAAGTTCCTGACTGCATTGATACCAGGTGGGCTGGGATATGTCTACTTCGAAACCATGAAGAAATACCTGCAAGCACAAGGTACATCTCACCACGTCCTTCCCATAGACACCAAACTAATCTCCTTTTCAGAGATCATGCGCCCAGGAACATACGTCCTCCTCATAACGTCACCCCTAAACGCTGGCCTGAACTACCTCTTCGTCTACACCTTCTCCTGGGGTCTGATCGGTGCCCCGCTCGCTACTGGACTCTCCTACTGGCTCTCATTCCTCCTTCTCGTCCTCTGGTCGCGCTTCATCGCCGGCTCGAGCTGCTGGGGCGGCTGGTCCCGCGCCTGCATCCAAAACATGGGTACGTTTGCACGCCTAGCCATCCTAGGCGTCGTGCACGTCGGCACTGAATGGTGGGCCTTTGAGATTGTCGCCCTAGCTGCTGGACGACTGGGCACGATTCCGCTGGCGGCTCAGAGCGTGATCATGACGACGGATCAGGTGATGAATACGATTCCTTTTGGCATCGGCGTTGCTGCTTCTGCTCGTGTGGGAAACCTCCTTGGGGCAAGGAACGCGAAGGGTGCTGCAAGAGCTGCGAATGTGGCGGCTTGGTTGAGTATGGTGATGGGTTTGATTGTGCTTATAATTTTGATGGCTGTGAAGGATTTCTATGCAAAGGTCTTCAATGACGACGTTGACGTTGTTAAGTTGACGGCAGATGTTATGCCTTATGTTGCCCTGTTCCAGATTGCAGATGGGTTGAATGGGTCTTGTGGAGGTAGTCTCCGGGGTATGGGAAGACAGCATATTGGTGCTGCAGTCAATATTGTTAGTTATTATATGGGTGCCTTGCCACTAGGGATCTGGCTGGCGTTCCATGGATGGGGTTTGGCCGGTTTGTGGGTTGGACAGTGCATTGCGTTGTATCTTGTGGGAGCTATTGAGTGGATTATTGTTGCATGGAGTGATTGGGAGTATCAGGTTCTGATGGCGTTCAAGAGGATGGACCACGGAGAGAGGGCTGAGGCTGGAGAAGCTGGAGAAGGGGTTCAGTCATCTTGAAGCCCCAATTTGAAGATGACGAAGATGAGAGGCAGCCAGGGGGCTCTATAACCAGCCGGTCAGCCTTCATTTGGACCAATACTCAATGCCTTGCTTGTTCACAAGAACAACGGATTCCAAGATTGATTGAACTCTGAATAATTTCTGATCTTTCCAAGTATTTTTGATTTCAACTAATAAAAGAAAAGCAGGGAATAGAGAAGCACATGATCACAAGCCAATCACGGAGGGAAGGAATAGCCGTAGTACTACCGCAGTGCTGTAGTTGGCTCTGGAGTTTGAAACGACGTGCAACAAAATCTTTCATTACTAGATTGAGAAATCACGAGACTGCCAGATATAAACTTACCACAAATTCAAAAAGCTAGGTCTCTACGGACTTGACCTGTGTCATTCTATTCTTACATCTCCGATATGAATGTACAAGTCCAGCAGCTTCCGCCACACCCACCGCAGTTACACTACCGCAGAGACTAGACCAGGAGACTCACAACCAGCAGAATCAAATGTAGAAATGGAAGGAGCGAGTCCAGCAGGTTCGACTTCTGTTTGCTGTTTTCCAAGACAATCAGCAACCCGCCTAATCAGCGCGGAATATGCAAATGTCTTTATCCCATCATTCATACAGGACAAAGTATGCCGACTTTTGAGACATCCGGGGAAATGTCGATCTCCTGCTTCATAAACCATTGCTCTGAATCGCTTTGTCTTTGGCTGTAGACTAAGCACGGTCTGATCTGGGCTCAATACTATACCTCGTTTTCATACTTCCTTTTCTCATATCATGTTTCACCACCGTTATCTTTAGTTCTGAGAGTGAGGGGTAATTGTTTTTCTTCCAGATTGTGTAACATGCCTTCAGAGGTAAATCCGATATCATCACTGGTTCTCAGCTTCCGAGAAGCAAATAGTCAAGTCACGGCTATGTACTTGACGGATGACGGATTTTTACTTCATGATCTCCAAATCTGGACGCTCGCCTCTACTTGTTGTCTCAGACTCTGCACATCAACTATTCGGGTTCCCTTAAGTCGATTTATCAATTTTCCAAGTTGACTTAAGGGAGCCCATCAAGCCCATCTATCCCTGTTTGTTTGTGCACTACAATACGTCAGATAAGGATTTCTCGAACATCGAAATTACTTTCCTATTACTTTTGCTCTTATTTCTATAAGGACAACTTTAATTAGCCAAGCTAAAAACTTATAGGACTATAAGTATAAGGTAAAATATCATATATACGATATTGTTTGTTAGAGGACTTACCATACATATTTTAGCGCCTTGGCACTTATTAGCGACATGAAACAAGTGCATTCCGTGAGATTACTTGTAATTAGCCCCAGAATTGAGCAACTGTTTAATATTGAATCGTTGATTTAGAATTGTTCTTTTTCCCCATTGAAAGACCAGCTTCATAAGCCCAGCCTGAGTCTCTCCCCTACAGTATTCTCGAACCTTGCACAATGGATACCTACGACGTCCTAGACGATGAGACCGCCAACTTGATCCTCCAACTCCAGATATCCGATGGTCTCGAACTTTACGAGACCTTTGAGGGCAAAGGAAAACATCGAGAAGGGGAGCTTTCGGACGCTCAATTGGCCCTTCAAATCTACACCGAAGACTTGAAGCGCCATGCTACAATTGCCTCAGATAGGCAGATGACTAAAAGCATTGCTCGAGCATGCCAGTCCGATGAAGAAATTCTGATCGCAACTCAGTCCCAAGAACAAGGCGCAGCCAGTGACCGAGAGACTGCATGCAGATTGGGTGGAGTTGCACAGCATACTCTAATTGAGCCGTGGACAGTAGGATCAGAGTTTTTGAATGACGAGACGCTTGAGAAGCTGAAGGCTCTGTATATCTGTGCACCTGTAGAGGACGCCAACACTGGTGGCCAGACATACCTTGGAAACGGAGACTCAACGCCCGAGTCTTCCGAATGGGCTGCCTCACGGAAGGTCACAACTAGGCCCCCAAACGTCCAATGTACCGCCTGCCAGGATGACTTTCAGTTTTACGATACAGCCCGCGCTCCCTGCGACCACGAATACTGCCGCACTTGCCTCAAGGATCTCTTCCGTGCCTCGATCACCGATGACTCGCTGTTCCCCCCGAAATGTTGCGGCCAAACAATTCCCGCTGGCTCTGTCCGTATTCATCTTACGGGTGATTTAATTCGACAATATGAAGCGAAGAAGATCGAGTACGAGACTCCGGATCGTACATACTGCTCTAATGTTCTCTGCTTTGCTTTCATCCGCGTTGAGAACATTCAAAATGAGAGGGCAACTTGCCCGGCTTGCACAGAAGTCACGTGCACGATGTGTAAAGGAAAAGCCCATAGGGGAGACTGTCCCGCTGATACTGCACTGCAGCTCGTGCTCGACACTGCAAATGAAAACGGCTGGCAACGCTGCTATAGTTGCCGAAGACTCGTCGAGCTTGACATCGGCTGTAACCATATCACGTATGTTTATCTCACAGCGATTTTCTAGTGTCGATGGATAGCTGACTTTACTAGGTGCCCCTGTGGATCTGAATTCTGCTATGTCTGTGCCCGACGCTGGAAGACTTGTTTATGTCCGCAGTGGACCGAGGATAGACTATTCGAAAGAGCAAATCAAGTCGTTGCTCGTCAGCCTGTGAGAGCTGATCTACCGCAACGAATTGCTAGGGTTGCGGCTGTAGCGGAAAATCTTAGAACGAGGCATAATTGTGATCATGAGCAGTGGAGATATGCTCGAGGCCAGGCTCGATGCGAGGAGTGCTATCATACATTGCCTTCTTACATTTTCGAATGTCGGCAATGTAATATACAGGCCTGTAATCGATGCAGGAGGAACAGGTTGTAGAGTGTAAGCTGTGGATTATTGTTGAGAAAAAGTGGTGGAGATTTGGGTACTCCTATCAATGACTTTGGTATAAGTTCGTTCTGGCAAGTGATTTTCTGTGACTAAATTTTCAGAACTATCTCGACTTCGAGAACAATTTACTAGTTTCGAGTATTGAACCACTTACTTAAGTTAGCCACTGTTTCCAATTGAAGTGAAGAAGCAACCCCCATATCACATTGGCATTGTCACATGAACGTTTGGTCTTTGCCTTGACCACAAATCGTAGTTTATTGGAGGCTGTTCCTGGGACAGGTTATGCCTGGCTGTAAATTCGACCCTTCAATGCCCCCCACACCATTCTTCCGAAAACCTCACAACAAATGTCTGCTCCCACGTAGGGAGTTCCCCAGTGTGCCCTTTCTCTGAACCGTAGCTGTCCTGCATATGCAGTCCTTTTTTCCCGCCCTCGCTGCATCTGCTCTTCATCGGAGAGGGTCTCAAAATCACAAATCTGTCCATCGGCCCTGCATCTCAACCAAATTTCTTCGACCCTCCCTTCGGAAGCTCGCCCTCCTTGGTGTCCTTGTTTTTCTTCCCGCCCTTGAGCAACTCTAAATGTCCCGCTTTCGCTCCCAATGTCCGCTCAGTCATCGCCGTCAAGCCTGCCGAATGTTTCTTCAATTTCAACACATCAGTTAATTGTCCCATCTAGTCTGAGATTCGTTCTAAAAATAGGAAAGTGATCCATTATAAGGCGTTTAGCATACCTTGGTCATTTTGGCATTCCGGACAAGCACTTGTTTCCTCGGTGCAATCGTCCTCGCGCCTTTCTTGGGGCCCAAAGCTGTTTGTCGGCGGCCAGTGGACTTCGCCGTAGGGGCGGTGGATTTGCCCTTGATTGCGCCTTGTGCCATTTTTGCTGTATGGGTGGTTGAGTCGAGTTGAAATGGATATTTGCGGGTGAAGATATTTCGCTTGACCCCACGTTTAGTGCCCGGCGCTAGTGATCTTCCTGCCAAGCAAGTGGAGGTGGAGGTGTAGGCGTACCAGAACCACCACTGGTACTTCGACTTTGACTTTTATTTCATACCTACTCTCTTCGAGTGAGAAGGGCGGTAGAAAGGGTAATATAAGTATGCTAGTGGCTAGAACGAGGGAAGATATATGGATGAAAGAGCAAGAAGAGCGGAAAGAGATATATGATTGATTTATACGCGACTTTATATAGAAAGCTTGATCACAAAGTCACTTCGTACAACATGTTTAAGTTAATAAAGTCATCTTTTAATAGAAGATGGTACTAGCATATCATCAATTGCAATTGTAACAAGAAGCAGCAGGGAGAAAAGGTGGTAAAAGCCGAGTGAGGCTATTCATAGCCATGTAACCTGTAATTCTACCACAAGTATTTATGTTTATCCTTTTTCTTACGCAAAAACACAGCCTTCAATTTGGGCGTGACTCAGATGAACGCTGATGCAGATACGAAGCAGCAAGCCGGAGTCGGCGATGTTACTTGCTGACTATCTATACAAGTATTATTACTCCTTGACATGCGAGGCCGCGTAAGGCACAGCACAGCCTTCAACGGACAACTCGAAAGCCATTTTCCGTGCTCGCAATACAGCACAGCATTTTTAAGCCCAGCAAGTATTGCAAAGGTAGGCCAAACTCTTCAATTATATCAGCATTCTGTAGATATCAACTTTCTTTACTACTATAGCAGTACGCTACTGCCCGCCTTACAAGTTTCCCGTTTCTTGGCATGAGTGAGCACTGTCTCGAGTTTAAAGCACAGCGATCCTTCGTCCCCTTTTACCTCAGCCGCAACAATGTGATTCTCTGATAATATAGCATATTATAATTCCTATAGCTACCTACGCTGGACTTTGCGATTGTGCTGGCACATTCGTGGTACAGCAGTAACTCCGAATTGCCGGAAAGCTTCGCGACGACTTCTACCGGCCAAGATGGCTACCCACGATCTTTTGTCGACCGAACACACTCCAGATACCTCTAGCCTCCCAATCATTTCACGAAAGACGCATTTTTTCCATGGACAGCCCAAATGGGCGCGACCACGCCTCTCCTTCAAGGTCCGCCAAACACGCTCCCCTCGAGTAGTCACCGGTGTCATCTTTACAACCATCTTCGTAATGGCTTTCGGCGGTAACCTTATGGCGGTGCCCGGGTTACGCTTATGGGAAGATATCATATGCCATCATTACTACAACGATTTACAAGGGGAGGATCATATTGGATTTGACGGGCATATCGATGAAGGGCTGTGTAAAGAGGATCAGGTTCAGAACCAGCTGAATATATTTATTGGGGTGCTTGCATTTCTGACACCGATACCAAGTACGTTGGCTGATAAGGAGTGTTGAGTGTTGCTAATTGTGGTTTGAATAGGTCTTTTGACAACAATTCCTTATGGGCTCCTCGCTGATAGGGTTGGACGAAAGCCCGTTTTTGCGCTTGCAATGGTTGGAATACTGTTAGGAGGGTGCTACAACATGTTGGTTATGAGTTTGTGGAGGATCTTGCCAATTCAGTTGCTATGGTTCTCACCAATTTTCACATTGATAGGGGGAGGTTCAGCTTTAACCTCAATGATGTTTTATGCAATTGGCTGTGATATTACTACAGAGGCAGACAGGTAAGCAGTCCTTAAACACGCCCTCGAACTAACATGCTAATGAACTCCAAGAACAAACCTATTTTTAATTGGGCATGGCGCAGGTCTCTTAGGGGGACTGATAGCACCTACTGTCGCAGGCGTTCTCATGGCCATAAGTCCCTGGATAGCTATGATCTTAGGGATGATCATCCTAGCAATCGGAAGCTCTTTGGTCGTCTTCATTCCAGAAACTCTCCATCTTCGACTTTCAGCATCAGGAACTCTTGTCGAGGCTTCTCAGGCCGAAAGAGACCTCTCCCCCACCAGGAAGACGGACAAGTCACGCTCATACCTCGCAACTGTCAAGTCTCAGTTTGCGGATGGTTTGAACAACATATCTAGCTCAACTGCAATCCTGCACTCGCTCCCGGTAGTACTCCTTCTTCTCACATTTGTATCACATTCTTTTGCGTCGGTCGGTGACGATATTTCGCTTCGATATATCTCCAAGCGATTTCAATGGAAACTACAGGAGACGTCATTCTTACTTTCACTTCGCGCTTCAATAAACTTAGCGCTTGTTCTTGTCATTATTCCGCTCCTCTCCAGAATTCTCATGCAACGCCTCGGATTCTCATCAAAAGCCAAGGATTTGTTCTTGGCCCGGTTCTCAATCATTGTACTGGTGATGGGAGCGCTCTTGATGGCTTCCAGTGAGACGATTGGACTTACCATCTTTGGCCTAATAGTCACAACTCTTGGAACTGGGTATTCTGCTTTTGCGAGATCCCTGATCACTACGCTGGTGGACCAGCAACACGTTGGTCGCCTTTTTGCAGCTGTCTCCGTCGTTGAGACATTAGGCTCGCTCGCAGCTGGCCCCTCACTGAACGCGTTGTACTCTGTTGGATTGAAGAAAGGCGGATCTTGGATTGGCCTTCCGTTCTACTGCGTCGCTGTCATATGTTCTATCGCTGGTGTGGGCGTATGGTCATTCGGGATATTAACGAGAAAGCAGCGGCGACGACAAGAGATGGGCTTTGGCGAGGAGTACGGCGACGATTATGCAGATGCGCAATCACTATTTGGAGATCTAGACATTCTGGACCACGCTGATGGAGGAAGAATAAGGATATAGACTTGCATGGTCGGAGTTTTGGACATTACATAGAGGAAAGTATATACCCATGCATCATAAGCATATATCGGAATATAAAAGAGCAATCTGCTACTATCCAATAGTCCTTTGCGAGACAGAGCTCACGGAATCGTTCCTATTTCTTCGTGGAAGCAGAGTCAACTTGCAAGATCGCTCGATGAATCTTCAACTCCCCCTTCCCAGCTGCAAGCTCATAAGCACGCCTATACACACCAATCTCCTCCGAAAACAGCCTCCTCTTATCCTTCCACCCCGTCAACGACCTAACCTTCTCACCCCCCACCCACTGCGAGAACCCCATCAACATACGCATGGCATTCGTCGCCGGTCCCTCGCCATTCTCGTTCCCCCATTTCACACCCCCGGAAATCCCATACTCCTTCACCAACGCTGCGGCAATATCTTCCAGCGTCTCATATTCAGTGGCAGAGATATTGAAACACTGCCCCGCCACCTCCTTCGGCCTAACAAGATAATGCTCAGCAAGCGCCGCATAAGCATCCCCGCAGTCATCGACATGCATAGCATGCAAGATCGTCTTCGGCTTCTCCCTGACCTCCAAGACCCCAGCTTTCACAGCCTCTTCCGCAGTTATGAAGAAGAAGCCGTAGAACGACGAATCGTGTCCGTACACATTCGTTGGCCTCAAGACAGTGGTGTCGAAAAGATCGGTGTGCTCGAAGGTCTTGAGACTGTACCGTGCGCGCACTACGGCGAAAGGCGGAGGCGCGATGGGCGTTTCTTCCGTGTGCGGTTCCAGGCCCGGCGAGTCGGCCAGGTAAGGAGACATGCCGTAGTCTTTACAGCCGCTGGTAAACAGCACCAACGGCCTTACTCCCTTCTCATTACTCGCCGTCGCAAGGGCGCGCAGCATGGAAATGATGGCTGTATAGTGCGGGACATAGTTTGTTATATCTTCAGTGACACTGACCAGGACGTCGAAGACGACGTTGTCTTCTGCGAGCTTGGCGATGAAGGATGTGTCAGAGGGGGAGCCGAGGACGGGGATGCACTCTGCAGCTACGAGAGTTGGGATGGCGGATTCTTTGCGAATAAGGCCGTAGGTTCGCCAGCCGGCTCGGACGAAAGATCGCGTGACGGCGGACCCGATGTAACCATTTGCTCCTGTTATCAGGACAGTTTTGGGCTTGGAGGAGGGGCTCATGATAACGAAATGATTGTGAGGGAATGGATGAGGGAATGGTACTTGTAAATGGACGGTTTTCTCTCGGTGGGATGATTTTTTGGCGGTATATATGCCAAGAAAGGGGTATGACGATCTAGTGGCTATTCCCAACTTCTGATTTCAAAGCAGAGGGGTACACGTGATGGATTCGCAGCAGGGGTATCGCAGAGATAAAGATGAATATGGGTAAGAATTTGATAAATATAGGTGTATTAGGGTTTACTTAACTGCGGGTGCGTGGGAACTTCGGACATGAGAGTTGCTGCCCTACTTTGCATTTGGACAACACTTCATCCACTGCTGTACAATTTGCATCCTCTCAGCCGTAGAGTATACAAGTATAGATCGCGATATTCCGAAGACTTTAAAAACACGTCTTGGAGTTCTCAAAACCATAAGCAGGCGAGTTGTAGAAATGTGTATCAGTATTCAATCTACGCCGCAGAGGATGCCAGAAGGAGAATGAAAGAAGAAAAACAAGGCTCATTGGATGCAGTGCAAGTCCAGAACTCCCAAAACAAGAAAGTGACAACTGTAAAAAGTTGTGAAACCTTCAATGTTGGTACTAATATAAGCGCAATGAGTTACTTGCCTCCACTGTATGTCCTTCCATCCTATGCTCGCACGCAAAATTCCCGTCACTAATTCTCTAGAAAACAGTACCAAGAGTAACCACCATGTTCCAATACACGAGAGTTTTGCGGAGTATTTTGGTATGTGAAACCCCTCCAGCTCCAGCTTATAGTTGAGCTCCAGCCACACGAGCCATAAGGTCCCTCTGCGCAGGCGTCAGTTGAGACATCGCTCTCTGTTTTATCTCCTCAGGCGTAAGTTGAGCAGTGTCAAGCATGTACTGCTGCTGCTCAGGTGTGAACGGTCCTTGAGCGACCTTCATAGTTGAGACGTTTAAGACTCCGGAATTGCTGGCCAGGCTGCTCCCCGGGGCTCTTACTTGTAGCCTTTGCTGGTGATTTGTTTGTTGTTCTCATAGTCGAATACGAAGTTCATCGATAGGGTTGCCAGCATTCTGCATGTTCGCCTTTCGGGTTTCTGGCTTAACGTAAATGCTCCGGAGACTGTGTGAAATTGCCACCCGTCGGGAGATAGAGTCAAAGAACTTCTTCATATACCAGTTAGGACAGCCGAGAAGTTGCAGTTCCTGACCACCCTTCAACCATTCAAGCAGTGTCCCCTCGGCGAATCTGTCACCAACAGTTCTCCGAGTGATCGTATCAGTGTCGTAGGGATCGAAAAAAGCAACGACTTCAAATTGTCTGTCCTTTGACCCTTTAGACACAAAATTAGTTAGAATTCCTTATTTAGAACGTTATCTGGAGTAAAAAGGTGAAAGTCGGTGTGGATTGAGAGTTCTAATATTGTTGAAGTGCATGGTTACAGGTAAATGTTTCAGAAGCAGTAAATAAGACTCTAAGACGACGATTATCTTACAGCATTTAAGAGCAGCATCTATAGTCGTCGTCAACTTGATGCGTTTGCCGCGATATAACGTCCGAACAGTCTCCAAATCCTCCAGCGTAACCTGGAAAATGTACCCAAACGTGCCCTGCTGACTTTGCTCCGTTGGAGTAGAACCGTTAGCCCTGGTGTCAAAGCCATAGACAGGACGGATGTTTGAATTCCCTACGGAACGTCAGTAATGAAGTGCGTAGATGCAGGAACACAAAAGCCTACCCGAGGATTGTATATGCCACTCCCAGCCGTTTAGCCATCCGACCCCTCCCATAGTAGCGTTGGGGAACTCCTTCTGGAACTTCGTCCAGCTATAGTACCGGTCGTACACAAACAAATGGACATACTTGTTCTGACCATTCGTGCCATACTCGGCGCGATGCCTCTCTCCGAGGAAATTCTCCAATTGAAGGGCACTCATGTTGAGAAGACCGAGGGAGATGCAACACCTGGTGCAACAATGTACAAGGGCAAAAGGCAGCGAGGGGTATGCAGAAACGTACTCGGTGCTGTACATCGACTGTAGTAGTCAATCGATGCGAAGAGTTGATGGTATGTGTGCAATAGAAGAAGAGTCCAGACTTGTCGCCTTGATCTATAAGTAAAACCGGCAATCAATGACTATAACTGCTTGTCAAGTCATGGCGTTTGTTGTTCTGAAGCATTCACCGTTGACTCACGTCGCTAGAGTCAATCAATGGTAGGGAGCGGTAGCCAAGAGCAGAATTGATTATTACCATCGATGACAGATTCTTTCATCAAATTCGAGGACAAACGAAATGCTTGTAGCTTCAATAAAGATCAATTTGTTGTGGCAAAAGGTGAGTCAAAAGCTCAAAGACTGCCATTTTGAGCAAGTATATGGTGAAACAGGGTCAAGATCATTGGATGAGAGGTTCATTTCCAGGAAATACTGTGACTCTGGGTAATGAGAACAGTATGGAAGAACATTGTGCTTGGAAGAGTATTCCACGGAACTGAGGCTTTCACAATATTGGAGAGTGATGTTGACGTGCCCAGAATGTGAAGAAAGGAAGATGTGAGTCGTCCGCGATTTCATCATGTACATGATTGGTTGAAAAGACTGCCAGACCCACTTACAACGCAACTGAAGAACCGCGGCTTCTTTATGTGCCTTGCAAAATTTGCTACTTGATGCCTGATTTGTATTACGAACCGTCTGTATTGAAATGCAGGCTTTGCTGTATATGCAGTCATAATTTCGTGAATCCTTCCTTTGGCGGTTGCAACCAATTCCTTTGATCATAAACCGCCCCCTGCTTCTCGATAACATGGAAAGTGTAGATAATCCTCCCTTTCCGACTAACGTTCTTCTCACTCTTATGAAGCAAGTTGCCATGTATCAAAACCAAAGTCCCAGCTTTCACCTCCCCCAATTTATACACTCCCTCCGACGTCTCGGCCTTGTATTCTTCCCCAGCAGGAAATCTCATGCCCTCATTATCAATAAACTCGGTTCCTGACCCGTCCTTCTTCCGAACAAACCGCTTACCGATTTCCGCAGTTTTGTGGCTTCCAGGTAAGAAACTCAGACAGCCGTTCTCGACGGTTGCATCTTCCAGCGCGTACCAAAATCCTACCGCGCTTGGCGGATCTGTGTAAAGGAACGTAGAATCTTGGTGGGGAGGTACTGCTCCGCCGATCTCAGGCTGCTTGCATATAATCATGCTCTGTAGGCATTGTGGCTCGCGGAAACCGAGGGAGCGGGCGATAGCACCCGGGGAGTGGGTTGACGAGGGACTGAGTAGGGAGGCGAAGGGTGGGGAGAGAGCGTGTAGATAGTGGCCGATTTTGTTTATAGCGCGGGCTTTGGGCTTAGTGAGCTCTCCAGAAGCATTGAATGCATCTACGCACGTTAGACTGTGTACTCAGAGTGGCGTGGAGGGGGAGGGGGGATAGGCACCTTCTTCGAAGAAGAAACGAATCTTGTCTCCACTGGTGAGGAAATAATCATCTCCAACATGCTCGCCATCCTTGCCTTCGCCAGTTGAGAATTTGGTCATAGGATGGTCATCTAAAGAGAAGTTCTCGAGCATTGAATGGGTTTCTAATAGCAAAGAAGAGACAGTATTTGAATCTAGCGCGTTGGGAATGAGGAGGTAGCCATCTCGATCAAAGGCTGCAAGCTGTTCGTTTGAAAGCCCACTCTGTGAAGTCATAGAAGGATCTGGAGAAGTTCGTGAGGGGGCCATCTTAAGAAGTCGTAAAAGTCAACCCAACAGAACCTAAATGAGGAAACGGTATTTATTGTTCTAGAAGTGGAATGTCAATTGAAGGGGAGGCTTATCGGTGGCAGCCCCGCGGAAGACAGCCGATAAGGAACCTCGCCTGAGGAGGCAAAAGCATAACTACCAGGTACATGGACGAAGCCTCCTTCAGATCAGATCTCTACCTATTAGTAATAACTATGAATGCCAAAAAATGAAACTCAAAAAAAGTATTCTTCAGTGCTGACTGTGAGGTTCGAACTCACGCATCTTTCGATAATGGTGATTCAAGTAAACTTAAAACCATCGCCTTAGACCACTCGGCCAAATCAGCTTTGTAAGCCAGGTTCTGCTTATTTTAATACATAAAACTAATACAAATACTTCGGAAGAGTTCCGCTCCGTAGTCCGGTGGTGGGGTGGTGGAAGCGAGAAGCTTAGTAATATATTTGATATAAAAAGATATTATAGCTCAAGCATTGATTGACGAAGAATACGATAAACTAGCTATAGCGCTTTGCTTAGATTAATTATATATGCTTTATAGCACTAGGGAATATTTAGACTCTATATATTAATATCATAGGTTAATATATAATCATATTACTATTATATATTGTAATGGGGAGGATTAGTCAGCGCAAATTATGGAGGCTTCTGCCCTCTATATAAGACCTTCCAGTTGGAGGCATTCTAGCAGTAACCAATATACATACCTTTTCTTTGAACGATCTTTTATAACTACTTTCGATTCGGCCTATGTGAACCACTACGATAAAACCGCGATTTCTTGGGGATGCGGTATACTCCATGTCAGCACCTTTACAATATAATTAATATAATACTAGTATTCTAGTAGATAATACTTAGTATTTATAGTATTATAAGTAAAAGATAATATATATCTTTTACTAACTAAGCGGATGACTAAGCTAGGTCACATGATTATAAAGGTCGGGATATAGCCTATTATCTCAACACTATGTTTCACGTGCTATGATGATAGTGGAATTTTAGGATTTCTTTGCATTCCTTGTTGAACGTAACCAGAAGCTAGGTAACACATAGGGATCAAGTGAAAGACCACTAGTCCCAATCTCTCAGGCTATGCAATGTGAAAAAAGAAACTATTATACGAAGCTCACACTTTTTTACGAGCAGCTTTTACACCCCACCCCATATTGCAAGTCCAACCCAAATTCGCAACTCAATCGACCCGTTAGCCTCTAGCATACGGATGGAATCCTCGGTTGCCACCACGGCCTCCACCCCGATAATTTGCTCCCGGCCTGCCAGCGTTCTTTGGCCCAGTAGGAGCATTGGCTGGCGGAGCACTCACGGGTCCGTTTGGTGGTGGTGCAGAGCCACGATTGCTTCCTCCCCGGCCTCCACTAAATCCTCCTCGACCTCCACTTGGAACGTTTGGTTGCGGAACATCGTCATACATGCCCTCCCATGAAGTCGGCCCACCTCCATAACCTCCACCGCCTCCACCCCCTCCATACTGCGAAGTATCTCGTTGTACTCGTCGCATTTGCTGCTGCTCATACTTTTGTTGCTCGAACATTTGCTGCTCATATGCATTATAACCAGGAGTACCAATTCGCCCCCCCGGATTACTTCCACCCCCAGCTTGATAGTTGTTGCCGGTAGCAGGACCAGCAGGGCTGCCAGATCCTCCGCCCATTCCTTGCATCCCCTGCATTTGCGCCATCAGCTGTTGCTGCATCTGCTGGTTCATACCGCCCATTCCAGGACTCTGTGGACTTTGGCTGCGGCCGACTGCCTCCTCCTCCTCCTCCTCCTCCTCCTCCCCCGCCTCCTTGCATCTGATTCTGCATAGCCATGGCTTGCATTTGCTGCATCATCATGGGATTCATACCTGCAGGCATACCAGACATACCTCGACCCATAGCTATTTGCTGCTGCATCACTGCAAAGTATTGCTGCATGCGTTGCCAGTACTGGGCCATGACTTGAGGAGTCATACCACTGGGCGCCATTTGGTTACCACCACCTTGTGGAGCTTGGTTCATGTTCTGGTTTTCCTCCATACCTCCCTTTCGAAACCGACCGCCTCTAGCGCCTCCTCGAGCTTCCTCTTCCTCTCGCATGTTGCCACGGGGTTGTGCTTTCTTGACTTCGATGGGCTTACCAAGGATTTCGAGGGGTTGTTCCAAACACAAATCGACAGCTGCTTCGCTGTCGAAAGTTACAAACCCGAAGCCTCGTGGCCGACCGGTGTCTTTGTCCATCATGAGAGTGGCATCGACGACTCGTCCGAATTTCATGAAGAACTCTTTAAAGTTCTGCTCTGTGGCCTCTTGGCTGACACCACCGACAAAGATCTTGCTAGTGCGTTCTTGCTCGTCTCGTGGGATGGCTCTCTTAGGGTCGATCTTGATACTATGTAAGCTGCTTTTCATAGGAGAGCTGGATTTTGAAAGAACTTGACGGAGGGAATTTATGAAAGTATGGGTGTTTACGATTTTACCATCAAGATAGTGTTCCTTTACCATCACAATGTTAACTGTCCGGGCATCCTTGAAGGTCAAGAAGCCAAAACCTCGTGATCGACCAGATGCACCATCTCTCATAACAGTGCATTCTAGTACCTCGCCGAATTGGGAGAAATATTCCTTTAACGATTCTGACAGGGGAACCGTTAGTTAGGGATTAGGGCAGGGGTTGAACTGTTGTCAGTACTTACCATCGGTGGTCTCCCAGTTCAAGCCACCAATAAACATTTTCCTACAAAGTTATGCCTAGTTAGTAACTGAAACATTGCGGTTGAAACAGAGGAATGAAATAAAAATTTGAAAGTCATGTGGGCAGTGTGGTGTGTTGGCGATGCCCTCAACTCCAGTTGCTTTCGCTTAATGAATTCCCTGGCTGGCTGGAAGGCATGAGCAAGGCTTGGGCTTCGCTAATTTCGTTCGGTAAAATTGACATTTCAAACCGCCTGGCACACAAAAGGAACAACAACACGCACTCAGCAGGCGTGCTTGGCGTTGAAGATGGGAACAGCTAGGCAGAAGAATTTGGCGCTCTCATAGTTCGTGTGGCAATATTTCGCAACCACATACGTCTGATTTTCGATACCAGGCCTTGCCATGCCATTGTGAACCCATGCGAGTCATGCAACGAAGAATGACCACAGGATATCCAAGATAATCGTGTCTTTTGCTATCGTGATGCTAGGTACTGGCGTCGAGCGCTATGCGCTGCCTTTCTGCTAAGCCTATCTGTGGTCTCCTCTGATGCTCTATGAAGATTATCTCGACAATAGGCTATGTAGTAGACATGACTATGGCCGCTGTTGGTGGTGATTGCATGTGGCGACTTCCAGTTGCCCCCAGATCCACGAAGTGTATCTTGCAACCTCTGCATCGCCCAGCTTGTATGGCTTGTCCAAAGTCTCTTATCTCTGCTCAGCCATCCGGGTCCATTATGCCAGCCCTAAATTTCCTTGTTTGAAACGAAGTTCAGAGCCCAAAAGCTGGAACTGCTCATTTCTTTTCCCCCTGCCCTACCATGCTCCCAGAATGTTCATTTTCTTGTGAAGGCTGGTCCCGTCCTCCCTCCGAATATCCACCATATTTGTCTCCTCCATTTGATCCTCCCAGAGTTGCGCAGAGAATATATTTCGACGACAGTCATTCCAATTTGTTAGGTGTGCAGCATTCATGATGGATGGCACCGTTAAAGCCCAAGCCACGACTTTCCAAGCACGAGATGAATGGAAAATCGAGCTCGTGTATACTAGGATCAAGTAATATATGTATATGCATCAAGACCAAAGAAAAATGTAGCAATCTTACCCGTCTTCCTTGATGCCAGGTCCATGTGCCTCATGGTGAGCTGGAGAATCATAAGTTGCTCCGTTGCCCCCAAGGTTGAAGTCTATCTCATCATCTACATCCTCACCGCCCCCATACATTTGTTGATCTCCATCGCCATTGTGGTCCTCATGTTTAATTGAAGTCTCCTCTGGCTCTACGGGCGCGGCTGGTTCGATAACCTCGGTCTTGACATCGATGGGTTCAGCTTTCGGAGCGGTCTCATCGTCGGCGTACCTAACAGTAGATTAGTCGAGAAATCCAATGGCAAGTGATTGCGCAGACGCCAGAAATTACAAAATGCAGTAGGAAGCTGAGAAGTTGCGTTGCCTTGGGAAGGGCAGGCACTGCTCAGAAATAATACGTACAGGTCAGCGAAGAGATCGTCTTCCTCGATATTCTCTGTTTCGGCCATCTTGATGACCTGTAGATTGGTAAAATGATGAGGTATTAGTTACTGTGGTTGTACCGTCCTTGTGCGATGCCTCATGAGCTGAGGTTTCTGGAGATTATGCCTGGTTACAGATTGCGGATTATCCAGTGTCTCAGGAAATGAAAGTGATGGACAGAGACCACTCGATAGTGTTAGTTATCCTCAGGTCTGATGCTGGGAGGATTTTTGTATGAATTTGGGAGATGTTCAGGAGTTTGCTTGACGATTTCTATCTAGGTAGGGTCGGGGTCGTGCAACTGCCGGAAGGCGCGCTTACCCGATTTGGACATAGGCTCACGCATGAGCTCCGTTGGCAAACGACAAGCTTCCAGGAATGAAGGGTAGATGCATGAATTGAGGCTCTAAACTATGTTTTCCTCCCCAAATGGCAGTAAGAAGCCAGCACAGCAGGTTAGTAAAGCATAAATGGGTTTTTGGGAGGAAGAAGAAAACTGACCGTAGCTTCGTGAACATAGGAGATGGTCCAGGTTGGTTAGTTCACCTCCCCACCCGACCATTATTGAAGCTGTTATGCGCGTCCTTGTCTATTATAACAAGCTTTGAACAAAGCTGATATATAATACTTCACTTAGAGAGATCCGAGTACGTTGGAACGAATACTGCGAAGCTCCTTTCGAGCAAACGAGAGTTCGGATTGGAAACATAGCAATAGCTAACGGGGGACTTCCAGATCTGCGTCTCCATTCTGGAAGGGCCGAACGTCAGATGGACGCCGGGATCCATCTCCCAAGAAACCACTGGCCCGAGACCCAGGCTTGGTCGTGGGGGCCTCATATTCCCATGCAGATATGATGAAGTTTGACAATTTGTATGTTTCGGAATGCAGGCTGGGTTGGACAATGCTGATGTTTGATTTTTAAGATCTCTATCCGCCAGTTCAACAAGACCGCGAACACCTCCGTCTTCATCCTCACATAAAACACGCGATACCCCGCCTTTGAACCGAGGACCATCTGGCCTTTCTTCGCCACCCAGAAGAACGTACACAGACTTCTTGTCGCATACGAACGATGATTGGAATTTAGAAGATGAAGGGGACGATGATGATGACTACGGCTATGATAATGATGACGGGGACGATTTTGGGCTGCCGAGTATATCGAGTATGAAAAGGAAAATGAAAAAGGCACCTGTCAAAAACAAAACAGAACCCCCAGGCAACATGGCATCTTTCGGGCAGAGTCTACAAGGTGCATATGGTGGATTTGGACCTAGGAGACTTTCAAATAGTGCGGATATAGCCATTGAGCGGCCAGCACCTAGCTACCCAGTAGCAAAGAAGAGCGAGGGGAAGATTTTAAGACCCCAATACAAGGAAATTCTCAGAGACCCGGCAAACTCGCTGCACTTGATCAACCACCCACCAATACCTGCGGATGCCGCGCCGAAAGATATAGACATACACTCAGCGCGAATTACAAGGATTAATAAATTCAAGCGAATACTCCAGGCCACCTCGATATCTTTGACGGACCTAAGAGCTGCAGCCTGGTCGGGTGTCCCTGAGGAAGTCCGGGCAATGACTTGGCAATTACTCCTTGGGTATCTTCCGACTAGTAGTGAACGTCGTGTTGGCACTCTGGAGAGAAAACGAAAAGAATATCTTGACGGTGTCCGGCAAGCGTTTGAAAGGAGCGGAAGCAGCTCTGCCCCAGCTGGTAAAATGAGAGGTTTAGATGAAGCAGTATGGCATCAAATCAGTATCGATGTACCCAGAACCAATCCACATCTAGAGCTCTACGCCTACGAAGCTACGCAGCGATCTTTAGAGAGGATTTTATATGTCTGGGCTGTGCGGCATCCGGCAAGTGGCTACGTACAAGGCATCAACGATCTGGTAACGCCATTCTGGCAGGTATTTCTTGCAAGTTACATTACGGACTCGGATGTTGAAAGTGGAATGGATCCAGGCCAGCTACCGAAAGCTGTGCTGGATGCCGTCGAAGCAGATTCATTTTGGTGTTTGACGAAACTTTTGGATGGCATTCAGGATAACTATATTTTCGCCCAGCCAGGCATTCAGCGCCAGGTTGCAGCTCTTCATGACCTCACTGCAAGGATTGATGAGCCCTTGGCAAAACATCTTGAACGAGAAAGCGTGGAATTCATACAGTTTAGTTTCCGGTGGATGAACTGTCTTCTTATGCGAGAGATTAGTGTGCAAAATACCATTAGGATGTGGGACACATATATGGTTCGTAGTTTGCATACCTTTGTATTACGAAATACTTACAATCTTATTAGGCTGAGGAGCAAGGCTTCTCCGAGTTCCACCTTTACGTCTGCGCTGCATTCCTTGTCAAATGGTCTGACAAGCTGCGCAAGATGGACTTCCAAGAAATCATGATGTTTTTACAGGCTTTACCCACGCGAGACTGGACCGAAAAGGATATTGAGCTTCTATTGAGTGAAGCATTCATTTGGCAATCACTTTTCAAAGGTTCATCGTCTCACCTTCGAGGCGGGTCAGATAAAACACCTTCGAACCAAAGACCTGCATTTTCATGACTCTACGAAGCTCAAAACGATACCCTCAAGCCTAAGAATTGAAAGCTCAATAATTCTGAGGTTTTAATGACAGCACTACAACTCTCACGCCCGCTAGAAACCCTCTCATCAGCGACCCGTCCTCGCATTGCGCACGACATTTGCGGACAGAAGACTTCATAGTCTCTTTCAACAGGACCGGAAATCCATCTACTATATTGGATGGGTGAGTAAAATAGCAGATCAAGAGCCTTCACTGCAATGGAATCACAAGATGCCTTAAAGCCCACAGAAGAGTTGAAATGCGATGCGTTACGTGCAGTTGAGTCAAATGTCATATTCCCATGTAGCAATATAGCCATATCGAGCCATGTGCGCCCCAGTATCCTGTTACAACGCCATTTCCCTTGTCACAATCCGAAGATACTGGCAAAAGAGCAAGTTTCTTCTGTGTATCCTCATTTCCTCATAACCCATCCTCTCAGAAAAGCATATTAGCTATCGTACAATCTCCCCTACTCAGCTGCAACATCCACCTTTGTTTTCTTCGCATTGTCGCTCTCCATAGGTTCTTCCTCAGCCTTACGCTTGCCGTTCGTACCATTGGTAGGTTCGGGGGTAGCATCTGCACCCTTTGCCTTGCGACGAACCAGTCCGCTAAGATCATTAGCTCCCTTCTTTGCTTCTTCGATCCTGGTTGCTGCTTGCTCAGGGGTCTCGCCCAATGTTGAACCGAGAACACCACCCATGGAATTACCGCCGCCCATGCCTAACGTAGCTTTGACTCCATCGATGTCAATGGGTCCGCTTTTTAATTCGGTGAGCTGATTTATATCAGTGATATTGTCACAAGGACCACGTGGAAGACTTACTCGGCCTTCCATCTCAGCAACGATCTCTTTGACTTCAGTGATTTGTTCTCTTGTCACATCGTTGTCATCAGGGGACGAAGAAGATGCCAGCTCGACCTCTTTGTTTTGTAGTTTAAGCTTCGTACTGCTCAGCGCAGCCTCTAACTCCTTGACTGCCTCATCTCGAAGTACTTGACCATCTTCCTCCTTCAAGTCGCCCGAATTCGATGCAAACTCAAGCGCGAGTGACAGCTTGAAATGTGCTTCTGCAAGGATCTCGGATTCTGCAGGGTACAGCTCGTCCTTGAATGCTAATGAAGACTTGAAGTCGGAGACTGCGGCAGGGAATCTGGGATGGTTAGCAACAGTCCACAAACGGACAGGGTGTAAATGCTATCTATACCTCTCATTTTCCAAGGAAATCTCTGCGAGTAGATCATGTGTGTCCGCCAAGCGCTCTTTGAGATGCTTCGTCATCGCTGAATCGCCGACTTCTTTTCCCTTGCCGTCACCCTCCTGTGGCTCCTCTAATCGCTTCGAGAACAGAAGACGCGAGAGATCCAGAACCTCGAAAGCGGCGGCAAGATCATCGTCTTCCTCCTCATCTTCGCCTTCACCCTCATCTGCCTAATAATTTGTGAGAATTGCAATACTAAAGACAACGAGAAAACTCACATCCTCCTCATCATCTGAGTCCTCAAAGTTCTCATCGCCAGTAAATGTGAACAACGGCTTCTTCTCATCCCCATCATCCTGTTTCTTTGCGCTTCCAATCTGCTCTGCAACAATGGCAACGCCCTCTTCCGCAATAGTGTTACTCTCACCCTCCACCTTCTTGGCCTTCGCCCCATTTGTCGCTTTCTTCTTCTTCTTTTCCTCACCTGTAGCCCGTCCCCCTAGCACATCACTTTTGCCCTGGCCAACGCGAAACAGCGAGCGCCCATACAAGAACAGTATCTCAGCATTGTCAGGAGACATCTCGCCATTGAGCTCAGCCTGCAGTTCCGAAGCGCGCGCATAAAGGTCTGCGGCTTCCTCGTAGTTCTTGTGCGCGTATTGCGCTGTGCCTTTGGCGCATAGGTCGGCGAGGGAGACTTTGACGGAATTGAAGACTTCTGCGGCGGAAGAGGCTTGCTCGGAGAGGGTGATGGGTGGTTCGATTGGTTCTGCCATTGCTTGTTTGTAGTTGGTATTTAGTAGACTTTGAAATTGTAAGTTGACTTGGGATTCTCGACAATGTCCCAAGAATTATGATTGATTGCAGTGGTCTCAAATCGATGGACAAGAGCTGTTTATGAAGGTGATGTGAGGGAGAAGCATGCGACAGGTGATCGAGTTGAAAGCCACTGCAGGGATTCTTCCACCACGCGAAAACACTCAACGCGCCCAGACGCGTCTCCGAGTGGGACCCTCAAAACTTCAGCTAAACTTGTCCGAGTCAACAACGATCATTGGGGACTTTATATGACATCTTCACCATCATGAGTAAAGCCGTTCTGCCAGATAAGCCTCGAGCGGCCCCCATCTTCAAAGCTCCTGCCACACCTGCGCCTTTGAACCCAATCCCCTCATCGTCGCCTGCCTTCGCAACACCCGCGCATCCTATTAGACCTTTCAATCCCGCTGCAATTCCTCAAAAAGCTAGCATACTTCCGATTCTGCTTCCTCCAGCAACTCTACGACCGCTTGCCTTCCGAACTTTTACCAAGAAACACAGCCTAACGCTTACTTCTTCAGCTTTACAAGTGCTAGCCACATTTATTGGGAGGCATTGCGGGACAGAATGGCGAGAAGAGGGCTTAGCGGAGAAGGTGCTGGAGGAGGTTGCTAAGAGCTGGAAGAATCGGAATGGAGGAGTGATTGTTCAAGGAGAAGATTCTGGATTGAAGGATATCCTGAAGAATCTAGAAGGGAGTATGAGTGGTGGGAGAATTGTCGCATCCAGAGAACTTAGTCGGCAGAACAGTCTTGTTTTGGGCTCTTCACAAAACGGCGAAGTCTCGCATACAAGATTGGGGTTCAGACCGGGTGGATTGTCAGGATTGGGAAGGGAAGATAGCCAGTTGAGTCTAGGGCTGTCGAGTTTAGACGTCGAGGAAGATGAGGACGATGAAGGTCTTAAGGATTCGAGGAAATGGTTAAAAGTTATTGATGCTTTCGAGCAGCCTCGACTTGTGTACAATGCTGGGAAGAAGCACTTTGATAGGTCAGTCATTTCCATCCCATACCATCCCACTTTTTCTAAATCCTTTTCTCAGAGATACATCAAAGCCATCATTACTTCCGCAGCCTGCACACAAAACCCAAGTCTTCCGCAACCGATACAATTTAATCCACCAACGTCTCCTCCGCAATGAATCTTTCCAAACTCCAACCTTCGAAACCTTAAAGGCTTCCCTCAAACGCTCATCATCAACCCTAGCAACTACCCAGCAATCCTATAAACTAACCCCCATTGCCAACCTCCTCGGCCGAAACGGAAGCAGTCACATGCTCCTTGGCCTCCTAACCATCGCTCCAACCGGGACATTAGCCATCAATGATCTTACAGGAAGTATAGCTCTAGACCTCACTCATGCGAAAGCTATTCCCGAAGATGGAGCCTGGTTTGCGCCCGGAATGATCGTCCTCGTAGACGGGACTTATGAAGAGGAAAACAGCAACATGGGCTCAGGGCTCGGCGGTAGTGGAGGAATTGGAGGGACCATCGGCGGAAAGTTCATCGGTTTCTTCGTCGGCGGTCCCCCGTGCGAAAGGAGGCAATTAACTCTTGGACTCGGTGGTAAAAATGGCGAAGGGGATGTTACAGCCGGAGGCGGATTTGGCTGGGTAGATTTCCTAGGTGTTGGAAGTGAGCGAGCTGTAGGATCTAAGATGCGGAAAATTGAACAGCGATTAATCAGAAATCCACATGGAGAAGAGACCGAAGGAGGACGAGGCCGAATGGTGGTTATAGGAGAAGTGAACCTAGATCAACCACGCACGCTTCAAGCTCTGAAGAAACTGCTGGGTCTGTATGCAGCAGAGCCAGAAGAAGACACGCCCATGACGTTCATACTCATGGGCAACTTCGTCAAGCACGCCGTCATGGCACGTGGAGGCAGTGGTGGGAGTATAGAGTACAAGGAGTATTTCGACGCTCTAGCGCTGACATTGTCGGAATATCCAACTCTCCTTCAATCTGCAACATTCATATTCGTCCCCGGCGACAACGATGGGTGGGCATCTTCTTTCTCTGCCGGCGCTGCGACAGCTTTACCTAGAAAAGGAGTCCCAGAAATGTTTACATCACGCATAAAACGTGCTTTTGCGACCGCTAATGCGGAGGCTGACAAGGGAAAGGGAAAGAAGTCGGACGGAGAAGCGATATGGACGAGTAATCCATCTCGACTTTCACTCTTCGGTCCTACGCACGAAATCGTGCTGTTCAGAGATAGCATGACCGGTCGTCTGAGGCGGACAGCGATCAAATTTGCGTCTTCGAAACCCGAGACGGAAGAAAACGGGGAAGGAGATATCGAGATGCCAGAGCCAACTCTAGAGCCAGAGCAGTCTATGGATATCGACAGCGAGGTCCGAGAAGCTGAATCACAAGTCCCGGAACCCGAGACAGCTGCAGCAGAGGCAGTGTCTAGCGATCTCCATGTTGCGAGGAAGTTGGTAAAGACAGTCCTAGATCAGGGGTATTTGTCGCCGTTCGGCATGTCCGTGCGGCCTGTATTATGGGACTACACATCCGCGCTGCAAGTATATCCGTTGCCTACAGCCATGGTGCTAGCTGATACCGAGGCACCCGCATTCTGTGTGACTTATGAGGGATGCCACGTTATGAATCCCGGGAGCGTGGTGGCGCCTGGACGGAGAGGCGTCGCGAGGTGGGTGGAATATGATGTTCGTGGGAAGGTTGGGAAGGTTAGGGAAGTTATGTTCTAAATTATAGCATGTTGTAGCCTGGGCGTTATCGTGGGCATTGATGAATTAATGATGGTCTTGAATGGATGGAATTGCATGTACCGGCGTCGTACGTAGTCATTATATATATACAACCCAAAAGGCAGCCACGAACTATAATCCATAACACCTCGCTATTCCCGATGTTTTGCATCCCTTCCCATGCGTGTATTTGTCCCTACCCATACAATGCGCCATAAATCACTGCAGCTCCAGTAGCTGATCATCCATAACCCCGAATAAAGCCTCAACCTCCTTCTCAACCTTCTTGATCTCCTCCGCTAGCTGCCCCGTAACAAGGGTATACGCATATAACAACTCATAATCCTCATCTCTCGCCACCTCCTCCCCTTCCTCGATCCCCAAATTCTTACGATAGTGAAATATCTTCGCAAGTAATCTATCTCGGGCATTCGAGGTGCTGGGTAGAGCATCGTTCATGGGAAATTCCAGTTTCAAGGAACTAGCAAGTACCTGGAATAGATGGCTAATGCGGAAGCAGAGGTCTGCTCTTTCGTTTGCGGTGTACCGTAGGAGTGAGGTTTCACCTTTGCTGGCGTTAAGATCCTTTTGAATCACTATATTCATGGCGTGGAAGGCGTCAAGCATTTTGTTGGTAGAGTCCATGATACGCGCATACTGCTTAGAGGGGAATGGTCCACGCAATTCGAACTCGCTCGCTGCTGCTGCTCTGAGGTTGTCTAGGCGCAAGACTAGTGGATATTATTAGTGTTTGTAAAAAGGATTAAAAAACAGCTTACCATATCTCTGAAGTGCAAATTCCTCCCGCAAATTCATGTAGGCATGTTGCGACTCTCCTTCTAAAAGTGTAGAAAGAGGGTCTCGCTTCCAGATCAATCCCATTCGCAGCCAAAGCAACGAAAGCCCATCCTTGAACTTCTGCCTAGCAGAGATAGGCCAAACAACTCTTGTAATAATTAGACCCCAAAGGACCCCGGCTAAAACAGCGGCCACTCTATGCACTGCGATTTCAGTAATGATTGGCGTGACTCCTCCTTCATCATCGTCATCATCGTCATCCTTTATCGACAAGCTGTAGGCATACAAGCAGGAGAGGTTGTAAGTAAGCATGATGAATCTGCCGAAAGGACCTCTGCCCTTAGCGACGATGAGGTAGAAACACGGTAAGCTGACGAGCCACCCGCAAAAAGCTAATGCGAAGGGATTGCCTTGACAAATAACCCATGCGATAACGGAAAGGATAGCTCCAATGAAAGTACCAATAAAACGAGCCCAGCCAGTCGTGTTGGAGGCTCCAATGGTCATACTGCAAACGAGCATATACGACAACAGACCCCACTCTCCTCTCCAGTGTTGGTAGAAAGGCCTGGTCAATGGAATGAAAGCAAAAAGAGCGTAGATTGAAGCCCCAAGCCCAACCTTTACTGCGAAACGTACTAGGATAATTTGTAAGCTATGGCAATGTAGAAAGCAGGCCTTATGGCTTACCATCATCTCGTCCCAAAATTCTCAATATATGGAAAAGTTTCCGGTATAATCCTGCCTTTGCGCCGCCCTTCCCTTCTGTCTCAGATGTCCAAGTCTTCGGCGACCGCCCCTGAAACTGAATGCTTGAAATACCTTTCGGGACCTCAGTCTCCGCATTTTGGTCGATGAGACTCTCCTGCTCCGGGTCGGAGTTCTGGGTTTTCGGATGCTGAGAACTCCGCCAAAACAGCAACCACTTCCATGAGCGACGCCTCGATGACTCGATCTCATCTTTTAGGTCCTCGAGGATGCTCAAGTAGGTTTGCATCTCGTCAGCGAATGCCTGTAGTGAAAAACTGAAGTGACCACAACTGGCAGCTACTTCCTCAAAATCCGCTTCGATACTTTCGGACCTGTCGCGATCAAGTTCTTTTGATTTGTAAAGCTCCCGTAATGCCTCAGATCGAGCGCTACTATACAGCTTTCTATTAAAAATATTAGTGGAAATGTATCAGACGATTGTGGTGACTAAAGCTTACAGTGCATCGGTCAAGCTTGTCTTGAAATGCTCATTTATGGTGATAGCATAGCGAGGACCATCACCAAACGGCAATTCTTCAAGGATTTGAGAAAGAGTATAGGCCAGAGATTTCATAGAAGGTCCCAGATGCGTGATGAACCGAGAGAAAATCTCTGAAGGTGTTTTGACAGTTGGCATAGGGTAGCTTGCTATACTTGAAATGCTGCCACCAGTCGGATTCCTTGAATGGTGATAAGTATTAGCATCTTCGGGCCCGCTCCCTTCTTCAGAAGCTTCCTCGATTGCTGTTAGCACCGCAAATTGATCTTGCCTGATGTTAAGAACCGATGAAATGGAGCCTATTTCCGGTAGCATCCTGTTGGAGTTGATCGGGGTACTGCTGCCTTTCGTATTCTCTCGTAGTAAGGTAAACTGTGTCATTGCTGCACTTCGCAAACCACCTATAGACTGAGCTAGCCTCTGCATACAGTTCACAAGGCTAGCCTCATGCTTGTATTGATCTTCAGTCCCAAGCACATAATGCTCCATTTTGGCCTCCTTGAGGTTCTTAGTAAGCTGTGTAAAGACTGATTTATACGTGTTTAAGGCATTGGTAAATGCTGACGATCGAAGATCTGCCTCTGATCCACTGAGAAAGCCTCCGGTGATCATTGTAAGCATGTTTCCGAGGGAGTCCGTTGTCTTGATCATGGTATTTCGAAGCTCTGTACGTGCTGAAACAGGCCATACGAGAAGACTAACAATAGATGTCGAAGTGATTCCCATGATGACCATCTTCATCACTTGTATAATCTTATCGTTTGAGAACACCCCAACTTGAATGGCATTCTCCTTGGTCAACACCGTGATGATGGCAAGACTAGCCAGACTGCAAGCAACACTCACAAGCGGCGAGTTATATGCCTGCTTGAACCAACCGATGAATCCCAGTCCTCCTCCACAAAATACAATGAGTACCATAGCGTAACCTAGCTCGATAAGATCCATCTGTGTTTCAAAGAACACCGAGGTTGCCATACTAGAAATCGAGATAAAGGTCGCATATAGGAATGCCGCAATCCCCAGCATGCCAGCCTCTTCCATCGATCCCGCAGATCTCGCGGGGTGAAAGTAGACGGTAATAGTAGCAACCATATGTTTCCCATCTTGATGCCCCAAGAAACTCGCGAAGGGCGGGAAGAACGTCCCCATACTCCCCAACACATACGCCAGGGAACATTTCAGGATACCCTTAGCCGTAGGGGTATGAAGCCATTTCCAGAACTCTTTCCCAGCATCTGAGGACTTGCCAAGGGCTGTCCTAATTGTGCCAACCCGCGAGTATGTTCGGCGAAGGAATGGAGGGTCTAGTTCCCCTCTTGATTGTCCGTCGAAGTTTGCAGGATTGCGGAGAGTTATTTGGCGACGTACTCGTTCGCCTGTACCGGGTAGAATGAAGGTTCCATTTCTCAGCTTCTGTTGCAAGGCTCTGGTGTCAGTGATGTACGTACTGTTCCATTATGGAGAAGAGCTTACGCCGCGTTTGGCAAAACGAGAGAATCTTCGACTTGATGGCGACGCTGGGCCATCTGAAGCCGTGGGTGAGTTCATCTCTGTATGTTCTTCATGGTTTTCCGAAAATTGGGCAGTGGTCGCAAGGGCTCGTGGCTCTTAGGAAGGATCAGAAGGTTTCCTCCCTTACCGTATTCCGGAGTATTTTCTATTCTATTGTAGCACTAGCTTACTTACCCCAGGTTTTGGTAATCCCTGCCCTGCACGCCACCTAATATCAACAACCTATTCAGATTTTAATTTTGTAGTAAATCAATTAATCCTAATCATCTAGGTTTATTACACAATAAAATTTCTACAGGCTCTATTGTAATGGGTCTTGGTAATTCAAGTGGTTGTTACTTTAGTGAAAACTATACCCCGCCTTGCGTAGATAACAACTGTACAAGTGTTTGATACTGATGCACATGCAGCATTCAATTACTTCTCACAATTAATGCTGCCCTATCACTGGCTGGAATTTCACCAACTCCAGCTCTTAGATCGTAAATTCATAAGTAGAAGTCTATCAAGTCATCTATCTACTCGATTCCCGAGACATCCCAGATCTTCAAAGCCGCATCCCCACCTGTGCTGGCAACCTTTTTATCCCCATCCACCCAGCAAACGCCATTGACACCGTCCTTGTGAGCATTCGGCACCTTTACTCTTTTTCCAGGCGCCTTGAGGCTCCACACGAAAACATTCGTATCAAGACCGCCGCTTACAGCAAGTGTACTCTCAGCGTTCCAAGAAATGCTGGTTACTCTCGCTGAGTGAGCTGACCACCTGTCGGTCTTGACCTCCCAAGAACTGGTGTCGTAGACGATAATCTTGCCTGAAGAGTTTCCTGCTGCTAGGAAGGCTCCATTGGGCGAAAACTTCAGTGCCGTTATTTGTGCAGTGGAAAGCACGAGCTTCTCTTTGGGGAATATCTTATCGCCATCTGCTGTGTAGATATGGACAACATTAGCGTCATCTCCTACTGCTACCCAAGATCCGGAAGCTGCAATGGTCGTAGGTGTGAAATCTTTTGTGGTTAGGCCTCCAACTAGGGCATCATTGGCAAAGATATCGATCCCTGATACAGTGGCTGCGTATACTCGTCCACCAGCTGAAGCCAGTCCCTTGGGTTGAGCTGATAGTTCGGAGGTTTCGCCGAGGAATGTGTTGCTAGCTGTATCCGCAATCCGCAGTGTGTCATCCCACCCGACACTATACGCTCTGCTTGAAGTTGTATCGAAAGCGGTGACTTGATTTGAATGAGTTTGACCTTCGACGGCAGTAGCTATCCCAGACGATGTATCCCATGAACAAACACGACCATCAAAACTGCCCGTCCAAAAGGTTTGGTTCTTCCCTTCACCACTTGAGCCCAAAGCAGTAATGCTCCGGTTGTGTCCTTGAACAACCTTTATGGGTTTCTGACTCCCCTCAACAAGATAGTTAAGATCACCAGCCAGGTTGAGACTGACAACCATCCCATCACTCCGTCCGGCAGGCCATACTACACCAACTTGATGGTCCGGAATACTGACAGTGCCTTCTCCGCCAAACCGCCATGTCTGAACAGCTTTTCCAGCTTCAACATCCCAAAGCTTGACTGTCTGATCCGCACTAGCTGTGGCAAACCTCTTCGAGTCTCTCGCCCACGACACCCCAAAAATACTACCCTTGTGCTCCCCATCTCCAATGTTCACCGTCGCCTCTCCAGTCTTTCCATCATAAAGCTGAATTCTACGGTCTGCACCCACACTTACAAGGTGATTACCATCTGGCGAGAAGCCTACCCCATACAGATATCCTTTATGCAAGCCGCCCATCTTCGTAGCAAACTTAAATGGTGCTCCGTGTAAGAACACCATAGAACTATCATCCGCCCCAGTAGCAGCTCTCAGTGGCCTCTGCTGCCGAATGGAGACAGTATTAATGGCAGAAGAATGGCCGCTAATTTCACCCACCGAGTTTCCACTGTCGGCTGTTATGCAGTGGCCAAAACGCTCTCGTCCATCTCCTACAGCGATGATGCGTTGAGAGTCGCCGTCCCAAGCTATGTCATTGATTCGGCCAGAGATAATATGGTAATCGCCTGCACACCTCAATCAGTAATTGTAGACTAGACCTTTGAGTAATGGAGACGAACCTTTGGTATTGACACCTTCGACTGCATCCCATACTTTAACTGCGCCGGAGACATCTCCTGAGGCAACGTAGAAACCGGAGGGCGAGAAACGTGCTACAGTTGTTTGGGCTGTGTGGTTTGTGTATTGTTTGCTAAGGGAGGGATCGTCGAGTGACCGAAGAAAAATGGATTTGCCAGACTATTTGGGCCACTTAGCAAGGTCTTAATTGGTGAGTAGTAGAGAGGTGAGGCTCACGGCATATGCTATGCGCTCTCCTTTGGGATCGGTGGAGAGTTGAGTTGGTCGTCCACGTTCCGTGTTGGGCGATGCCGCAAGGATCTTGTCAATCTTGATAGACATTGTAGCTTGAGGTAGACTTGACTCATTCAAATTCGTGTAGGAAGAGTGGACATGAGGGGTGGGTGACTTGAACGGGGCCAAGTAATTGCAGGTTCAAGTCTAAAACCGGGAGGCTGACGCAAATAGCGAGGCTGAAGTGGGCATCTCTTGGCGCCCCAGTAAAGAGGGGATGTACGAGTATTTATTTAACAAATACATTCACGAATACCAACACACCTCATCATGTAGACGTTTAAACAGATTCAAATGGCAATAATGTTAATTGTTATATCAGAACGGCGTTTAAAAGAGCCATCCGGGGTATCGTCTCCTACAGAATGCCATCCGTGACCGAAGACGCCCGCTCTCCTTCCCCACCTTTTATATCTTTTTTGTACAAGTATATCTCAATGTACATAAAGTGGGATCCGTTGCGCCAATGCTAGCCAATGCAATGCAAACCTTGAATCAATGCCGCCTCCAACGCCAATTATCCGCCGTTAACGTTATACATAGAAGCGCGTTCACGCACCAATGGCGAGACACGAGTCCAGTAGGTTGTCGAGATCGGCCTTGTCCTCGTATTCGCCTCCAGCCCATCCAGAGTCGCTTTCCGCGTCGTAGTTGTGTCCATTAAGGCCGTTGACACCATTTACTCCATTCGTCCCATTCATACCTCCCATTTCGATATCTCCATCAAAATCCTCCACAAAACCAGGAGTATAGCTTTCGGGGAAGGAATAATCGTCCCAAGCCTCCAGCTCGCCCTCTCGGAATCCAAATGTGATTGATTCCATGACCACTGGCATCTGGCTAAGACCACAGTCGTTCAGCTCTAAAGCCGTTCGAACATCCGCCATCCCAAGCGGTCCGCGCTCGAGTGCAGCTTTGGCTTCAGTAGGTAAGAGCCCACCCTTGTCTCTTTGCACTTCGCCTCGTGACCATGCTTCCTCTTCCTTTTCAAGCTGTATTCGATACTTATGGGTTTGCACCCAAGAGGCCCCGCCTCCAGTTCCTGCACTTCCAGCAGTTCCAGGGCCATTGCTTCGCGTTTTGCTGAACACTGCGGAAAGTACCTCCTTAAGATAAGTTTCCGTAGCCACAGACATGAATTGAGCTGCATCAGCCACGTGCCCAGACGTAAGACCAACTTCATAACATATGGGCAGCATCCGTGTTTCGATATTCTGCATATCCGGGAATTCTCCCGATTCCATCCCCAGAGTCACTGCATATCGTTTCCGTATTTCCAGATCCCAATCTGATACGTATTAGCAAAGTTTAGAAACTTTACCGTCCGCAAACTTACTCGTTTTGTTTAAACCACCAGCGCTTGCAGGTACTGAATCTACGAGTCTGGCGGCTTTTGGACGACGATGTTCGCCAAATACACTGGCGAATACATCTTGCGGGTCAAACTAGGCAGCTCTGTCAGTCAACGTTTTATGAAATTTGAACGTCACCTACCTCATTTTGGCTCAAGTCCTTCAGCCGCCTTCGATCTCGACTAGGTAGCTGCATAACCTCCGTCTTGAGTCTCTGTTCGGCTGCATCACCAGTGACTGGTTTGCTACCTGCCCCTGCCGTTGGCTTATCGTTCGCGCTAACCCAGCTAGCCACGCCATGATCGGGAATTTCTCGAGTTACGTTTCCGTATATCGCCGAGATAAGCTGGTTATGAAGATGCTCTATTTCACCGGCAGGGGTCACAATGAAGCTATCGATCCTTGCTGATAGTTCGATCTGGTCCAACTGACCTAAAATGGGGGAAAGTATTAGTGAATGTGAAAATGGGCTTCTGGGCGAACTTGAACAAGCTTGAAATTATACGCACCCATTACAAAAAGACTTATAGACTCTTTATATGTTGTCCAGTGTTCGCCAATCGCCTGCTTAAGTGCGGTGTACAGCGGCTCCAGATCAATTCGAGGCGGAACATGGCTCAACTTGGAGGGCTTCGGTGCACTTGGCGCCGAAGAAGCACTGATAGTTTTAGGAGGCAATATTGGAGTTGTCGAGATGGCCGGCCTGCTGAGCGCCGCGGGGTCAATATCAGGCATATTGGTAAGAAGTCGCGCTTGCTGCGGCGATAAAACCGCGACCTGGGTAGTAATTAGGGTCCCATGAAAATCGCAAGAGCCAGACAAGTCTGGAAATACAAGATGGCGATAATCCGGGGCGATGTGGGATTGTGGGCGATGGCTCAAGATGGCTCTTCCCCCTGCTATTCTTCGAGTGAGGTCGCAGTCCACGGCTTCTCTTGCCTAGATTGTGAGGCTGGATTTAAGGTTCCGAGTTTTGGTGTGGGGTGGGCTTGGAGCCGGGGCCGAGACTTTGGCGAGTCGCGTTGGTGATTGATTTCACGCGTTTAACCCAACTCTCCCAGCACAAGTGGTTGATTCTACTGTACCCACCCAAAAACAAACAAGTCCACCATAAACAGAATCTACGACTCGCAACAATGCAATTATGTCTTCCCAGAATCAACGAATCAATAAAGGTATTACTAGCCTAGTTCGCCGCTTATTAGGGGACATTCCTGGAGAGGATCCTGCCGCAGCAGAGGAGAGGGCAAGCAATGCCGTGGAATTCGTGGGAGAGTTCTTAGAGAGGTACAACGTGTTCCATACAATAATCTTTCCAGCTTCTGACACTTCTGACGCTTCTGCTCGTACAGTTCGGGAGGTCCAGCAATTGTCGCAGATGTAAATCAAGCATCCGATCTCATTAAGAAACGCTTGATCCAAACAAATCCCACCCCGGAAAAAGCGCTTCGATATACGAATTTATACAGCAGACTCCTTACGATTCCAGCAATAAACCAAAAATGGGCAGTTCTATACTTTTTGTACCAACTTGGCGACCAGCAGCAAAAGCTACCACCAATTTTAACAAGTCCCTTCAAAAGCCCAGTGAAAAATCGCAAGGAACCTCGAAGTTTGGATTACGGTTTGCCAAGATCGCAAAGGGAAGAGGGGGCATTCCACGTGGCTTTTGCTCCAGAAGGACTCAAGAAACTGCCAACTCGTGAAGGTGGACAGAAGGACAGGATGGAAGAGGAGCAAGCATTTGCCAAAACACCTGCTGTGCAACGTGGAAACGTTGCCCTGAAGACAGCTTTACTAGCAGAAAACTACGTCGAGATTGATCCGCCAGAGACTGCTCTATTACGGGACTTACCCTTCACACTGCAAGGCCTATCTTCCACACATCTTTCGTTTTCTTCGACCTCGAGCTTAAGATTACCTCCTACTCTACCAGTTCCCATAATATCGATTCTCCATACACTCGCTGAACCCTCCCTGTTGTATCGTGGACTTGCAACATTCGTGAAGTCTGCTGATGGTGGACTTCTTGGTCAGAGCTTGCGAGCTGCCATTTCAGGGGAACTCCGGTCGTATCTTGGGTTGGTAGCAACCTTGGAAGGTCAGATTCGAAGAGCATTATCTTCACTGGATGAGAGGGAGCCAAGAGGAGGTATCGGTAAAGCCGGTGTTACATTAAAGAGATGCGTGGTATGGACTCATGAGGCGACGATGGGTCTTCGCTTAATGAGTCTGATCAGTGAGGAGTCGAAGAGTAAAAGAGGTGGACAACTGATTTCACTCATACATGGATTCTCTTCTTCTCATGGAGATCCAATGGTTGGGGCTTTCGCGGAACGTTTATTGATTCATGTTACACGACCATTTTACGATATGCTGCGGCAGTGGATTTACGACGGCGAGTTATCAGATCCTTATCATGAGTTCTTCGTCTCCGAACAAGATCCCAACGCGATTGCTGAGGCTCAGGAGGGGAAGACTCGTGGAGGGGCGAACAGTGTTTGGGAGGACAAGTATAAGCTTAATGAGGACATGGTGCCGAGCATTATCACTCAGGATTTCGCTCAGAAGGTGTTCCTCATTGGGAAGTCCTTAAACTTCATCAGATATGGCTGTGGTGATTCTCAATGGGTGGAAGACTACTCAAAAGACGCCTCAAAGGAGCTGCGATACGGTGATACTGCCACGCTAGAGACTTGGATTGACGAGGCATACAAAACGACTATGGCTCGGCTGATACATTTGATGGCTGAAAAGTTCCATCTATTTGAGCACTTGAAGGCACTCAAGAACTATATTCTATTAGGTCAAGGAGACTTCATTGCTCTTCTTATGGAGTCTCTGTCCTCCAACCTTGACCGACCAGCTGGTGCACAATACCGCCACACTCTCACCGCGCAACTCGAGCATGCTATTCGGGGTTCGAATGCGCAGTACGACTCACCAGAAGTCCTACGCAGATTAGATGCTCGGATGCTGCAGTTGTCGCACGGAGACATTGGCTGGGATTGTTTCACTTTGGAGTACAAGATTGACGCCCCAGTCGATGTTGTGGTGACAGAATGGGGTAACCGCCAGTATCTCAAAGTCTTTAACTTCCTGTGGCGTATCAAACGAGTCGAATTTGCATTAGCCTCGACGTGGAGAAAGTGCATGACGGGCGCCCGTGGAGTGCTCCAAGGCGAAGACGCAAATGCTACCCAAGCGTGGAAGTCAACACGAGGTGTTCTAGCTGAGATGATCCATTTCATTGGTCAATTGCAGTTCTACATTCTCTTCGAAGTCATCGAAAGCTCTTGGGATGAGCTGCAGACAGCAATCCATAAGGAGGGCTGCACGCTGGATGACCTCATTAAAGCACATACTAAGTATTTGAATGCTATCACACACAAGGGACTCCTTGGGGCCAAAAAGAGGTACCACGGTGAAGTGGATGAAAATACTTTCATGGTGCAGCTGGGCGAGATTCTCCGACTCATGCTTAGTTACCGCGATGCTGTGGATGGTCTCTACAGCTGGGCTGTTTCAGACTTCACGCGACGCCAAGGCGCAGATGTCCGCTCAGAAGTAAGAGGAAGGCGAGAAGATGACGATGGGATGTTCATTAATACACCTGCAACCACGCGTCGTGGTCCTCAACATTTCCCAGACTCCACTCCTGCCATGGCTTCTGATGATGCCATTTCCGACGAGTTTCCTGTGCTGCAGGAACGGCTCCAAGCATTAGGAGTCCATTTTAAGACGAAAGTGTGTTTGCTGTTAGGTGATTTAGCCTACCAGCCGGATGTCGATATGAGATTCTTAGGCGTGGTTATGAATTTTAATGATGTCTATCAACCGGCGAGAAAGAAGACGAGTAGACCTGCTGGGAAAGAACAAGGGAGGACTTCATCGAAAGCGTGATGAATCTGCAGCGTATCAGGACAATGGCGTTTGGAGGTCTGTCTATGCACGGAAATTTATGGATATTGGGCGATGATACACTTTTTGCTAGGTCAAGATACGAATGACAGTGATGATGATGATAGATTCCGAGCCGAATTGTTAGCCTTGAAACATCTTTCGAATCTTTGCCCCTTCTATAGAAGCGAGATATAACTATTGAATTTCGCCTGAACTTTTGACACAAACCCTCACCGAAACTCCAACAACTCCATGCTAAACGTAGATCTCTGGTATCCGTTCAATCAAGCAAAATGAATGCCTTCCTCGTTGAAGGCAAAAAGCAAACGTAGAAAATCGTTCTCGTCACACTTCCCAGCACGCTTATCCGCCAACTCAGTAACATCCTCCAACACCTTCCTAATCTTCTCCCTCACCAACTCCGCAACCCTAGTCTTCTTCTTCTTACTCTTCGTCTTACTTCCAGCTTCCCTCGCTATCCTCTGCTGCTCCTCCTTAAAAAAGGCAGGGACGTCATCTACCCCATCCTCATCCATAATGCCACCCCACTCCTCTTCCTCCTCTGGCGCAGCATCAATCTCCATCTCATCATCCTCCCCAACAGGCGTCTCGTCAAGCGCAACATCATTCATCGCGCACCAGACCCGATAATTACGCTCCACCATTGCAAGGACCTCTTTACTTCCCATCCAACTCGCCCTCATAGTCCGACTCCGCCTTACGAAACAGATCCGCAGCATCCCATCCCACTCATCCCAGCTTACGCCGGGTCTTTCACTGCCCATCTTTGGCTCGATACGTACAACGCTAGATTCGACTTGTGGCGGAGGCTTGAAATTGTTCTTTCCCACCTTCATGACATGTGTAATTTTAGCCCAGAATTGCGCATTCACCGACAGCCGACAATAAAGTGCATCCCCTGGGCGAGCCGTAAGTCGCAAGGCGAATTCGCGCTGAAACATGAGAATCGACGTCCGAGGCGGATTAGGAAGGGCCAGCAGCTTGAACACCAACGGACTCGAAATCTACGCTTCAATCAGCCCTCTCATCTTCCTTTCAGAGAAGGGAAACAAACCTGGTATGGCGTATTACTGATACAAACATCGAAGTGAGGCAATTCCGTCTTAATTACATCCCCAAGCAACACCTCCAGCCGTTTTTGCTCCGGTTTACCTTGTACACGCTTCGTTAATTCGGCAGCCATGCGAGGATCCAACTCTACTGCTATAACCTTCTTTGCTTTCTCAAGTATTCGCACAGTCAGATTGCCAGTACCGGGACCAACTTCGAGGACGGTGTCGGAGGGCTTGAGGTTCGCTTTCTGGACGATGGCCTCTGCAACGCCGGGATTCTTAAGGATATGCTGGCCGACGTTGGTGTTGAATTTGAAAACGTTGTTTGTGGTCGCTTGGGCTTTGGCGTAGGGGGATGCGGCAGAGGCGCTATTGCGCTTAGGTTGCTTTAGTTTGCCCATGGCTGTAGATTTATTCAAATGCTGAAGGTCAGATTCTTTTGGATCTTATTTTGGTGGGATGGGATGGATGGACTTTTCTGTCCCTATCTTAGCGCGGTGGGGTCTTATCAGAATGCTGTCACGTGTATGCACTACCCCTTTTCTTCCTCGTTTTGACCGCATGTCTTCTTTCTTCCTCACTCCGACGCCCAAGTGGAGGTCTAAGTCGATATGTGCTCGGTGTTGTCTTTCGCGATTGCTTTATGGTTTTCCCGAGTTCATATTCAGTTCGTATTTCTCGCTCTGGGCATTTTCCCAATGTTGGCAGATGCGCCACCTGAAATATCGCATTCACGGCCAGCGACCAAATTTGTTGTCAATGGCCGCTTGAGATCTTCAAATTTGGCAACAGACATTACGTCTCATAATGTCTGAACGAGCACATATCGTCACAAGGGTCGGTCGTTGCAATTGTCCGGCAGTACTTTACTTTATGCAACTAATCTTCAGACTGCCAAACATACAAATGCAATACTCTGTAGCTTCAATACCACAGCTGTTATTTCGGCTGGAGCATCTGCAGATAGACGCAACTCCCCTCCTTTCTAGTCATTATTTTGGACCTACGTCTAAGAACAGTCTTTCTTTCAAATCAACGTCCTGGAAATCGTTCCTCATCTAGCGCGATTTTTAACGTCTCAATAATCTTATATCTCTTCATTCATCCCGCATTTGTGGGGAGAGAACACCGGGCTTGCTATGCTCTCAAAGTTTGGAATAGGATTCCCGACGCATTTGAATCCCAGCAAACCAAATGCTTTCTGGGGTGTATTATTGCTCATTTGCGGCTACATGCCAACAACGACGACTTGCAACAGAAGCTGTATCAAAGGTTCGACTCTTTTCGTTGCCTATGTCGAATTGCAAAAAAGAATACAAATCAAAAATACCATCAAGTGGTTTACCAGTATCTTGCACCATGCCAAGGAAGCTCTCTCTCCGTCCGAGAAAACGTAGGCGGAGCTCTTCTATATTCAACCCCCCGGGATCAATGTTTTCCCCAAGCCAAGGACTACCAAAGGCTCTCTATAATTGGTCCATAACATGCAAAATGCGACAAAGCTAGATCAACCTATTCACCAGGCTAGTCTGCTCTGAACATCATTTTCAAGTTCAAAGGCTCTCGTTGGCTGGATAATTGCGAAATGCAACAGAATCGAAACTGATGTTGCTTTAAACCTTATTATTTTCGTCAAATCCTCCCATTGGCTCTACGAACTGCAACAGAACACCCCCGTAGTCAAGTGGACAAGCGGGTTGCATTGTTATACGCGAGAACTCTCTACGACGTAGGGTAGGTAGTATTGCGAGGCCCCCCAAAAAGTACACTGTCAATAGGTCTATCATTATCTCATAATAACTAAGTTCAAGTCTGTGTCGTTGCTTCTCCATTAATATGCCAACTTTTGTGGTGGTTTTTCAAGCTAGCAATACCTCCGCCTGTCCACCCGCCAATACCGGACAAGTACTCGTTCAATCCTCTAAGAACATGGAACAATATAAAGACCAATCGCCTTCGAAGCACTGTCTTGAAAGTAATCCACTGCAACGAATTAGTACGGTATTTCCGGTTAAGAGCAAGAGCTGAGAACATAAAACACTCTTTCGGAATGCCAGCACAGCAAACTCTAAAAAGGAGGGGTGGGGTGGTTACATTCAACGTTTCCAACACTGGTCACCGAGTACGTGACTGGCGTGCCGCTCTGACACGGGAAGGTCTTTATCGTGTAACCGTTACCCGGGATGATCTGTGTCTTGCCATACTCGCCGTTAGTCGCAATTCTGGGGGTTGTGTTGTATGTTGTGCTGGCAGATGCCACTCCTGAGAGGCGTGCGAAGTCCAGCCCTCCATTCTCGCCCTTTTCCTCCTCGATTCCCGAAAAGTAGTATGTACCCGCCGAAGGATCAAGTTCTGAGGCGTATGGGAACAAGAAGATCAAGGAGCAGAAGCCGGTGTATGGCGCAGTCGTTGGGATATCGAAATTAAAGAGGGTTGAATTTATAGGGGATATATAGGCTTTGAATGAGTTGCCAAAAGCTGTATCTGGGCTCTTTGGTGAGGTCGGAACGATCAAATGGGGGAATTGGAAAATGCCCGATGAAATGTCGGTTGGGCATATTGCTGATAGAGAGGGCATTGATGTCGCAGCCGTAGTCGAAATTCTCGAGGCAGGAATAGAAGCAGATGTGATAAAAACATCGTTGGTCGTCTTAGACGCCGATGAAGCAATTGCGGAAGTCGCTATGCCAGTTGTCGAGGAATCAGGTCGACCTTGAGCAGCACAACCAAAGCTTCCGGCCTGTAGCTTAATTGCATGGCATCCAGTGGAGTCTGCTTTCTGGCTGCTGTAGATGTTGTAACTACCATCTTGGCCTGGTCCAGGAGCTGGGCACGCAAGCCAATTTGCGTTGGTCTCATCATGCAACACCAAAAAGTTGTCTGAGAACTTGAATTCGGAGCCGGGCAAGCCTTGAGTGCACTGAAGTTGATGTGTCATTGGCGAAATCAAGCATGTGTGGTTCAAGCTATCCGTCAACGTGCCATGAGCAATCAAGAATGAGGCCTGAGGAAAAGTGCCTCCAACTCTAGGTTCACCAACGGCGTCCTGGCTGATGGTGCCGTTGAGTCCGCCAATAGCTACCATGAAAAAGTTGCAAGGGAAAGTCTCACGGCTGATCACAGCCGTTGAAGCATGCAGAATCAGAGCTAGGAAGGTGGTGATAGTGAATATAAACTGAGACATGATGAAGAGGGTTTCTCAGTAATTTGACTGACGGCAGACGATTTGAGGAAGTGGACCTGGTGGACTGCGATACACAAAGTCAAAAAACTTTGGCCGGGAGGGTCTTGAGGACCTACGGGTGGTTGTAGATTATGGAAGCCCAAAAATGTGGTTGTTATTCAAAACGGCCCTCCGTGCAGAGACCCAGGATGGTGAAGGCTGGGCTTGTTGGTTTGGTTGTTTGATGTTTCAACGATTTGAACGAAGGCTGGAGGAGGAAGTCAACCTTTAAATTAGGTGATGTCGGTTGCACATGTACCAATGATACCAGGCAGGTACGCCTAGTCAAACATCTCGAAGAAAGAGCAGCTGCGATGAAGAAATAAGATGTTGCCTCGTCCACGGTAGATGGCTACCGGTACAAGTAAATGACAGAACAAACAGCGTCATCTGTGCCGCGATATAGATTCGCTGTCGATCTTGATGTAAGAAGGCGGTAATTAGCTGCATGTTCCGTGTTTCTTCACATGTACCGCGTGGACAAGAAGGTCAAGAGGGCCGAAAAATACAAAGAAAATATGTCACCCATCCCGTTCCTGAGAATGCCAAGCCATTCCAACGCATTCTTGCTGGATACAGCAGCCGAGCTCCTTGCTGCTCTCCACATTCTGTGCGACGTGACGTGGTAAGGGACGGAGAGAAAAAGATCGAGCATTGTCATTGTGGAAGACATAGGGAGGGGGAGCAGCACGGATAGCAGCATACTGTATTCGAGTACGACTGTTCGGTGCTGCCTCGTGGGACTTGTGAAGTACAGCGTTTAAGCGTCTGCTTCAGCTGATGAAACCCCTTTGGACAATGATACAGAATGGTGCGGAGAAGTCCCCCAATTATGATATTCTTCGGTCCCGACCATCAAATGCCTTCAACTCAAGCACGCTGACCTCTCATTCGAGATACTTGAAGTCACATATTGCGCCAAAAAAAAGACCGTTTCTTTTGGATTTGTACACAGAATACGAACGTCTTTTCGGATCATTGAGCATTGTATGCGATGAGCCCGCCTTCCAAAGATCAACATTCAGCAGGACTCCGTGGATGGTTGTGTACACAGTTAAATTTTCCCGGCTATCCTACGTCTTACCTGTCAAGTTTCATCATTGAACTGCTGAGCTATACTGCCCAACTTTTGAGCACATGTCCTTGAAGTGGTGAATGTTTAAAGCCTTACCTGTGAAACAATGAGGCCGTACATGAATACAGACTTCGGGGGGAAGCCTTCGAAAGGCAACACTAGGTCCCTCTGTACCTTTTCGAATCGAAGAATTTTCTACTACGCAATTTATGATTGGTTCATTACCTCAAAAGGCCAGCAACCGCCAAGGAGATTATCACCAGATCCAGTTTGAACACCTGCTCGAAACTGCTCCAACACTTGGCCTATATACGCCAGGGGAAACCCCCAGAGCCTAGTGATCCTTCACCACTATATTATCTCATATAACTACCATGCCACGCCTCTTGTTGCAAGGCCTTCTCTCAGCTGAGGAAAGATAAGATCAGTCACGCAACTTGAATATCGAAAACCCGAGTGTCATTGTTAGTCTTTTTGGTCACCTCTCAGCACTGCTACGCACGTTAGGAATTTCAAAAACACAAAAGGAACGATTGGCCTTCTGAACTTTGACGGCAACACCAATGAGAGTCAGGAAATTTCTATCTTTAGCCCCCACCCCCTTTTTAGGCGAGTGGGTATTCTTACCCTGTTTTTCAACACACCGGGCCACGGTAGACTTGAATTGAGGTCCATTTCGAAAGTCGTGGCCTACTTACAAATTGCTTGGTATATTTGTGTGTATTACAAGTCTTGAATGCTAGACAGCAAGCACAGTCTAGGTGTTGTAGATCTATCCTAATATATATATATATATTCGCTAATCACCGCGATGACAGGGTGGCAGAGTCACTGGCATCAGTCTTATTCCGTCAGTGCAGGTGTTTATTATCCCCCAAAGGTAAAGTACCGACAGTTAGCTTGTAATTCCTAACCGTCACAGTATTTAGGAGGCGCCCAACCTAATCCGCTTTCACCATCCCACCAAATATTTACTTATTTTGTCAATTACGAACAACACCCCACCTACACCTATCTTAGTATTTGTTCGAAATATAGGACAGAGGCGTATGATCTCACCGAAACTCAAGGCGTGGCTACAGGGTTTGACATTCGAGGTGTAGATGCTAAGGAGAGAGGAAATTGGAAATAATGGAGATATATAATAACCATGCGGCGCATGGTACTTATGTTTGGCTCAATAACATGGATTCAAATGAAGATTATATACTCCGCATAAATATGCATCCAAGCAGAATACCTGGTCCGACAAGAAGAGGTAGCAGTGATGCTTCTCGTGGAAGTGGTCCCGTTGAAGATCAAGTGGACTAAAGAGCAACCCAGCAGAGAAGTAGGACCAAATAAAGGCACCTACCTGCTTGGATTATCTCAACAGGAAGTATTTGCTCTCATCTATATATTTCTTTGTGATTAGGGGTGCTATCGTGAGGTTGTCACTGAGAAGACATGGATGCTTTCATAAATCATTTCATTGTTTACAACTGCTATTCAGCAGCTGTAAATATACAAGTAACGGGCATTAATCATCCAGAATGGCGCCATCTCAAGGCAGACCGAGCAAAAAACTTAAAAACAATCCCCTTGGACAGCGCCGCAATTATAACGCTATACACCAAACCGTAAATATTTAGTCTCCTCGCCCCTTATGGTTTCCCATCTTTTCAATAGAACTCATAATACCGCTTCGATATCCAAGCCCACTTCCGGGTCTCATGCTCTGAGCACTTCCACTCCTATCATGATTAGGTCCAGCTGGGATGCCAAACTTTCCTCTGCCGATGCGACTCTCCACTGCCGCATGACTAGAAATGCTACTTGGTGCCCGCAAGCCAGAAGCTCTTGAGATGCTACCCCTTAGATTTTCGACGTTAGATGCTGCAATTTGCGGTTGGGGTGTAGGTTGCTGATGAACAGGTGCAGAATTCATTTCCGCGAGCATGTCGTCGAAAGCAGCTACCAAGGGGATCATCTCATCGACAGCAGTGACCAATTTGCCTTTCTCCACTCTCTCTTCATCTAAAAGTTTTCGAAGCTCGGAGTTGTCATGCTTGACGCTGTTAATGACTTGCGTGAGACCCTTAAGCTCGGCTTCTAGCTCCTTCATCTTTGCATCCCGGGCTGCTTGCTTCTCCAGATCTTCGGTGAGTTCGAGAGGGTTCTTAGGGTCGACTTTTGTCATAGTTGTGTCGCGCTTCAGCTCTTCGACCTCCTTGGTGAGATCTTCGACTTGATACTCAAGATCTCTGACCTTCTTATCCCATCGACGCTCGTAGCTCTTCTTTAGAGCAGCGACCTTGCTCTCATGCTTGTCCTTGTATAATGTGTGGAGTTCTCTCGAGACTCTCTCGACAGCGAGCTCAACAGTCTTCCCTCCGCACACACAATCACTTGATTTTGGCTCGTTACTTTCTGGACTTGGCGTTACTCTTCCTGTCTTCATGGCGGCCAGCTTGCTCTCGGCTTCTTGAGCCATAACTTCTGCAGCTTCTCTCCTTCGCTCACTCTCCTCGATGCGACCTTCAAGTTCCTCGCGCTCGCGCTCCCCGTGTACTATCTCCTCCTTCACGTTCCGTAGAACAGCCTCCATTTCGTGACCCCGTTTTCCCCACTCCTCCTTCTCGGCTGCGAGCTGTTCTTTCAAATCCCGCTCTTCTCGGACCTGCTCCGTACTCTCGCCGACCCGCTTTTCTGCATCGCCGACAGCGGTTTTGAGAGACTGGACTTCAGCTTCCTTCCCACTTAGAGAAGCCTTAAGACTGCTAATTTCAGATAAAAAGCCTGACTTCAGACTCTCAAGCTCCCTCGGTGTGATGGATGGCATACTCCTTGGTGTTGGAGCTGGCGGTATATCGAAATCAAGAAGATTTGACATATAATTTCGATTCATTGATGGGGTAGTCGATCCCCATGCCATATCTGGCATTGTTGCGCTCTTCAATGGAGACTGTCTGGCTTGTCGGGTTGGCGATTGGTAGGTGTGGCCAGAAAATTTGTTGAACTGTTCCGTGAAGTCGAGAAGGTTGACAGTTCCTTCATCATCTTTCCCTTGTCCGTATCTATTGCCTCGAGGAGTTGGAGAGGGAGAACGGTTCGCTGGTCGTCGCGCTGTTGCTGGAGTCTGGATTTGGGTTCTTCTGGGAGTTGGACCAGAATACTTCGCAGGGCTATACCCAGTTTTTGCGAACATAGTCATGTCTGGCACCGCCGAGAAGTTACTAAATGTGCTGGCCATTGTGTCATCCATATTGGTTGTCTCATCGTGGCTGGGGCCGGCTGCCATGCTAGCCAGGGTATCATCCGTAACGTGCTCTTCGTTCTCGCTATCCCCGTCCTCCAATATCTCGATTGCCTTGGTGAGCCCTTCATTATCTCTTAGGATATTCTCGATACTCAATGCTCCTTCCATAGTCCCGGGTTTTTTCTCTGGCGAAAGGGAAGGCTTTACAGGAAATCTCATAGGAGAGGAAAGTTTTCGAGGACTCCCCGATGGGTCGGAGGTCTTTCTGGGAGACTGTGTCTTTGGTCCTGGCGATGTGCGACTTGTGAACAGCTTGAAAGGGGATTTATGTTCGCGCTCAATAGGACTTTTTGATGTCAGTCGAGACGCTTTGCTTGGGGAGACGTTTTCGCGGTCGATAGGATCAAGAACGTTAGCATTAAAGGGCGAGCTTGGAGGGCCTTCACTTTCGAGATCGGTATCGGTAGATGTTTGAGTTGTGTACGCAGTGACCTCGTAGTAGTCATTGTCATTCCGTGAGGTGTCGGATGAGGATTGTGAATTGAGTGCCGCATCGGCAGTGACGGACAATGGAGCTGGAGTTGTCATTGTGACAGTTGATGATACAGTATTCCAAACTCCGCGTATCATGGTACGGGCGGTGGCGGTATCAGTGAATTGAATTCCTCGTTAGGTATGCTGTGTGTGATGTTTTTGATTTGCTTCGGGCTTTGTTTACATCTCGTCTCATCTTGACGACCGCTAAGCTCGGTTAGGCAGTCCCAAAACATAGCGATTTTGCCAGTACTATACAAGTAGGTAATTATCTCACACCAAGATATGCCAACACTTCTAACTTTCTACCCGAAGAAATGGATGTATTTACAGAATTCCCACGAGACTAATGATTGTGACTTTATAAAATATTTATTGATGCTCTGAGACGTATTGGCCCTAACACAAGAATTATACTCGTGAAGTGGTACTTAATGTGGGACATTGTACTATGCTCTCTACTCCAGAGAACATCATCCTCTAGAGGCTGGTTTACTCTTGCTACCATGGGTATCTGTGGATATCTGCATTCGAACTCTCTGAAATATCCATGTACTGTACGTTTAGACGCCAAATCCCGCCCAATGCATCCAGCATGTCCCAAAGCTTTCTTCCATGCTACTTCCCATGCTACATTCTATGCTACCGTCCATGCTGCCTTCCATGCTGCCAGTCCAAACTCCAAATCCGCAGCCTTCCGTCCCTGAAACCAACCCAACCGCGCATGCATTGGCTAATATTATAGACATGCCAACGAGACATGAACAAAGCTCGTCTAACACTTAATGCCCGAACCCTTAAGACCGCACTAAGCATGCCCCTTCTAATGATTATGTGGTTGAAGCTGTTTTGAACATGTCATAAACACTGTTTTGCCTCTTAGCAGCAACCTTGAGGTTGGAGAATTGTGTTTCTGGTAGTCTTCTTCCTGCCTTGAGACTTTCGAGAGCCCTACATCCTATCAGCCTTCGCTCATAACTTCGAGGGAAATCTTGCACATACCACTCGACCCCAATATATTTTATTCCCGCACCTCCAACCCTCTTGATCTCCTTCTCGATTTTCGTCCCTGCAAGGCCACCGCCAGCCCCTAGTCCCCGAGTCCCACTAGGTCGACCAAGAATGACATGCGTAACCTGCCTCCGCCCAAGATGAATCGATAACCTTGCTCCATTCTCTACGAGAATATGCTTGAGCCTATGGTCAGAGATCAGTGGGTGTGTGCTGCCATTGATATAAATAACAAGACCATCAAAAACACCCTTCTTCGTATTTGATTTGTTGACCTCTGTCTGGACGTCTTCATGCTTCCTAAGGGCCGCCAACTTCTCTTCGGCACTTAAAGACCCTACAAACATCTTAGTATCTCCAGCGCCAGGGTTCTCATCAAACACACCAATGGTTCCTTGGCTTGCCAGCATATCTCCAACACTGAGTCTCGCCCTCTCTCGGACATCTTTAGGTATCAAAGCCTTTGCATTTTCGTCCCAGTCCTCGGAGCCCGCCCCAACTGTATCTGAAATTCTCTTGCCTCCCGTCCCGCCACTCTTGAATTGATGAGACAGCTTCATGCTTCGTGATTGTCTCCATCCTATCGATCCACCCAGTCGATTCTCCGCTCTCTGATGCCCAGTTGAAGAAGAATTCCAAGCGTCGAAATATGCCGAGTGTTTTGGCTGCGCCGCCGGTGGCACAGAGGAATTTGGAGGAGCCATCCAGCGCTTAAATATTCACCGCCTTGGCTTCAACGCAATGTTGTCATTGCGAGACTTATAATCGGTCCTGGAAGTTGATCAGGATCGCGTTGACTGCATTTTGATATGTCGACTTGGCTGTCGCGGGGTAGATTGCGTTGCCTAGACAATAAAATCGCGTTATCACGTGTGTTCAAAGCACAAGATTATTTCAACTTCAACTCCTCCAACTTCAATTCCAATTACAATTCCAACTTCGACTCTAACTTCATCTCCATCTTCGACCTTGGCCCACTCTCCTCCCTTGCAGTTTGGAAGGTCCAACAAGACGACGTTGAGAATTGTGTCATAGAATCATTTTGCCTATAAGGATGCACACTTTCGTTTGGGAAGGGTCTCGTTCAGTCTTCGCCACCCGGTTTTCTCTCCTTTCCGGGACCCGCAGTTCAACAGTACGGTATCACTTCAGTTCACTATCAATTAATTATTCGATCGAGGTCTTTTCTCCTTACCGACATCCAGCGTCCTTCATTAATATCCTATCCTAAACTTGAAGCTCCGATCCATCTATCCATCCATCCATTAATCAATCTATCAACCAATCAATCAATCAGGAACCGCAGTCCAGTCCAGTTCCACCAACTTAAAATTTAACAACAGAGCCAGCATTTTTACTTACGGAGTAGATGCACTATGCTATGCTATGCTATGCTATGCTATGCTATGCTATGCACATTCCCGCTCGCCTCGCAGCGTTGTGCAGCCAGTCTTGTCAGATCTGCTTCCATCGAGGCAGTCGCAACGCAAGTATGTCGTGCGTTCTGTAGAGCTGATGCTCGAGCAGCGCAGTCTCCGCGCATGCCCACAGATGGCGGCACTACTACACTGGTGCACAGAGCCATCGACTCCACTTTTGCCGTCGCTGCCCAGAGGAAAAGCGAGGGAGTGAGCACACACACACACATGAAGATCCCCCCCCATACCCCTCCTCCGGATCTTTCATACGCTTCTGTGGTTTGTGACATATGCAGCAGCAATATAAATTGAGCAGGATTCATCATTTGGGACAGACGATACGGTTACGACGTTTCACAAACTCGTTAAAAGGCTTTCCTGCCAAGTTGAGTCACGAGAACGAATGCAAAAACGGATACTCCCGCTACTATACCAAAAGGGGAAGCTGCTTCACTAGCATTTGTTGATTTCGATAGCTGTCCCGCCTCCGCTTATTGATTTTCCTCGGTGGGGATTTCTCTTTCTGCTGGCAAACTCCCTTGTCATTTCATTCCGTCTGTTGGCGATAGGTGTCAAAATATCGGGGAGAAGTGAGCATGGAAAGGGTGGTAAGACTTTAGCAAAGGGCTGCAGATACGCTGACGAACAACCGTTTTGAGAATCCTCCCGAGTTCTGAGTATGTTATACCCCCTGCAAATCTAGACTAGCACTACTTTCTTTAGAACTTTACCACCTGCCTGTCACACGAAGGACAAGATCCAACTTAGTCAAACATCCAGGTCCCACGGCTCTTCACCCCAGTAATGAATGGCAACCTGGACCAGAACTGGTGTGTGTGGGATAGCGACATGATCCTGGCGCCATACATGTTCTGTACCTCCGTACAGCCTACTACTCACTCTATTCCGAACATGAACGGAATTCACGCCGCACAGGAATTTATTGAATTAATATGGTCTCCAGGAGATAGATATCGTCAACTACGGAGGTACAGCCATTTTGGCCGGTTGGTAGTGGGGTACCTTGTCCGAATATTTAGGTTCAAGCCAGTGAGGGGTTTGCTGTGAAGACCACGAAAGGCGGTGAAGACGACGCTAGAAATCAGATGTTGACGCCACAATTTCAGAATCAGCCCCAGATTGATTACTCCGATTGCTCTTGATCTTCCTTTTGTCGGTTTCGCCCGGCTTCTATGATCCGCAATCATGGCCCTCGGACTGTGGTGGTATCCTTTTATGTTGAAGCTCTATCATACTCGTTCAAGCCATCAAAGCGATGTCGTGCGTTAAACTACATGGCTCACGATTGGCTGATGGCGCCACAAGATCCATGGAAATCTCAGGCAGGATGATGATCCTTGCTAGATGTAGACGGACCGTTATCCGCGCGTGCAGACAGCGATTTACCTTTGATCCGCCCTATGAATTGCATAATGATGCTACGGAGTACTCTAGACTTTCCGGTAAGTCCAGAGTCCCGAGCTGTTCATTCGTTGGTGTTATGTTCTCCACCTCGCCGGGTGTCATGGTTCTAGTCCGCGAGTCCGCACCACCAGCTGCGAGGCTGCGATGCGCTGCGAGGTCCAAAATGCTTGGGTTATTTTGAGTTGGGGGTTCACAGTTGTTGTCCAGATTGGTGTGGTGGGGGTGCCACAGCGCTAAAACTGGACCCTAGACGCCCAAAACGGGGAACGAAGGAGGGGTGCCAGGTGTGTCGTTCGACGACGTGGTGCGTGGTGATTGGGGTAACCCCCAATGACCATGGTCTTGATCGACACTCGCGACGTGCTCTTTCGATGAAGTGATAGGGTAGAAGTCTCAGATACTTCGGTCGAGACCATCTCTGTTTGGCAGCCTTTTCTTTGGTGGTCGTACGCTTTTGTCAGCTCAATTTCAATCATCTTGTTCCTCGAGCTCCCTTTAGGTTTTGTAACGCTGCCTCAGGCTTCTAGCTATGGCAAGCGCATGAAACAGGCTAAGAACCCATGTACCAGCCACCTTTCTCTTGTCTCCGGACTTTCCGATGATTGGCCATGTTTGAGCTGCGCGTAGCCGCTCTGCATATGCAATGCAAGTGCTCTGGCGCACATGGACCACATGTCTTTGGAGGAGCTGCAGGACCGCTGCCGGGAGTGGCAATGCAAGCATTGGATAAGAAAACCAAACCGCGAAACTAAAGATCTAGAGGCCAGGCGGTGAGCTCGAAATACGTGGGGCACCTGTTGCCAATGCTTCAAAGAAAAGTAAAACATCGTGACCCGCGGTTATTGATCTTGGCTGCAATTTGGATTCTGAATCCGGACGAGTATTACGAAGTAAAAGATTTCCCGAGTAAAAGCTTACTCTAATCTTTCTCCACCTTGAAGTGTGGTGTCTCGGGGAGTCGCATGAGCGAGCATGACATTGCTTCCGCTTCATTGATCACGAGCTTTGGAGTAGAAGAAGTCTTTATGATGTATTGGACAGTATTAATTTTTCATATTTTCTACAATTGTTCAGCATATACAAGAGAATTTCCCGGAAAATATACTATTTTGTACTGGTGATTTGATAGGGATGAAATCTCAAGTAGAGTCATCTGAGCTATTAACGTCTCAGGCAACAGTTTGCTTAGACTAGAAATGTTTATTAGGATACACTTCTCAGGAGGTCGGACGAGGTATGAGGCTCGCACCCTCTAAAATCACTTCGTACAACATACCTCACGTCCAATCAGACGGGCACCTCTATACCTGGGATTTTTAATATGCTGCGCTCCTTGCGTCGAGGCGTCAATTTCTCGAGGGTTTGCTGCAGTTGCAACAAGGGATGGAGAGTGTGACATATCGAGATTCTTCCATCTAGTGCAACATTAATCAAGTAAAGCAGACGAGTTCTGGATCAAAGCGAACAAAGAGCGTTTGAAAAGGGTCCACTTGAAAAATAACTATTCCATCAACCAGTCTTCTTCGTCCACGAGTGTCGGGGGCAAGCTAATCTCGAAAGAAGTCTATCAAAGGCCGAGACAATATCCTGTGCCGAACTAGGCTGCTGCAATCGGTTTAGACATACCTCAAAACACAAGCTCTGTGGAAGTCGTTAAACCTTTTTGCAATCGGTTAACGACACTTAGGTCACAACTATATTAATATTTCTATAATACGGTGCCTCGTACATGCCGGTTCTTAAGCTTCAAAACAGCAAACAATTCTTGCAAGACTGTTTTAAATATCCCAATCTTCAAACACGGTCTCCTAGCTTCTGCACGATTGGTTCTATGCGTAGCCCTCAAGAATTCCATTCCCCTTCTCTGCCAGCCGCCTACTGGGGCAGTATTGGCCCGTCAAACAGCCAACGGGGTTGCATCAGAACCCATCAAAGAGACCGTCTTTACGCAGGCCAAGAATAATCACGGGGCCCTGCATTCACAAGCACCCCCACACCTGCATGTGGAGAGCTTGAAGCCTGTCATGCATTTAATAAAGCCTACCGATACTTCTAGGGTGTTAAGCTAGTACCACCATGACTTTCAACACTCTCGTTGATTTCCAAGGTCGGAAATCGCAAGAAGATGACATTCGAAGTTGACATGCTCCTCTTGTCCTGAGAAATTACCTCGACCAAGTTTATCAAGGAGGCCGGAGGTTCGGTATAGGGGAAGTCATCATTCCGAGGTAATTGAACCTTTTTCACACCATATCGCATTTCGGGAAGGCCCTCAAATGCCGAATCCAAAGCGAGCTAGAGGTTCATCGCCAGTGTTCTTGACATCTTACCAACCCGGGGTTAGTTGCATCTTTAATACTACTAATATATATTAATGGCAGAGACGAGTAGGTCCTCAATCTTACCCGCGGTTAAGCAGAGCTACAAAATGGCTACACATATCTATAGCTTATATTCTGGAAAAGGTGTTATATCTCTTTATTTGTATCCGCTCGATTTGTGTCTCCTTTCTGCACTCCGGACTTCTACCAGTAAAAGCTTCTTCCCGCGCGCACGCCGTGGATCAAAACCTTCTGCATACGGAGTACGGCAGAAAGAAGGCAATCGGAGAATTCCAGGACCAACGTATTGTCTGGCATGTGCTCTGTGCGTTGCCTTTAGGCGTGATCGCTATGTAGTTTACTGCAGCTCTAACTGTAGTGCGTCTGCAGAAGATCCCTTGTGCATTGTTTTAGTCACCAGTCCCGACTTTAGGATCCCCTACTCCAACTTCTCGACGCACAAAATAAGCACATTAACGACATAGCTGTCCTAGAAAGGGACATTCATCAAACGACTAGACCAGACAGAAAGATAATCTGCTGTTAACAAGATCGGATTGTATTGGACAGTGCCGGAGAAACATTTATGATTGCTGGGCAGCACGAATTCTGCGGGTACAGCTCTCATAAATATCGCGTACGTACCACTATCAAGAGACCGATAGACTCTGACAGAGTCGGTTCGCAGACCAATCCTCGGATTATCTAGTATTCAGCGATTGATAAGGGACTTAGAACGCGATTATTGCAATTATACTTCTAGCTATCCGCTATCACTTGCTCATCGGCGTCAGGCCGAACTGGGAGCTGACCCGTATTGGCTAGAACCCGTTTCAACAGGCTTCCTGGCTTACAGTACATACCGGCGGCGCTTCCTAAACACCTTTTCAGGTCACCGCTCAGCAGTTGATAATATAGGGAGTTGGCTTTTTGCAACTCTGTGGTTCCTTTCAAGCGCAGTGTTTCAGTGACTGAACATCCACTGACTTGATCTGATCAAGGGTTGTACTGTAAGCCAGAGTCGTATAGAGTAATGGTCTAACGAGGTGGATTCTTTTTATTTGTTGTCAAGACAAGGTAGACCTGCCAGCTAGCCCCCCTGGAAGGCAGTGGATCATGGAGTGGAGCGACTAGATGATTAACGTTAGGCGTATCTTTTAGCAGATCCGGTGTCTGGACAGGGTGTGCAGAGAGCGCACTACGACACGGACGCTTCTACTGCTACGCTACGGCCGGCAGCGGTGGCATAGTGAGATACTCTCCACTTTCTTGGCGATTCAGAAGCACAAAGCACAGTAGCTCCAGCCATCGGCATTGTTCTTGTTGTTGGCTATACGGACTACTCTATTGCGGAGTCATGAAGTATTCTGCTCGCTGGGCCAGTCAGTGGTGGTAGTGCCTAGTAGTGTAGTGCACATTATTGCCCAGCCGAGTAATTGTTCCCGGCCGGGTCACGTTACAGTACATCCGCAACGTACAGGAGGTTTTGTCTGTCTGCCCTCGCACAGAAGAGCCCAGTCCGTAGATACGTCCCAAACCTACCTATCTTTGCGCGAGACCGGACGGCTTGAAGGAGCGCCTCCAGCGCTTGCGCTATGCCCGGTCGGAATTCTGAAGGTTTTTGGCTCCTAAAGGCTAGAGGCTAGATACATCCGTAGAGAGCCTGGCAGAGCTAGGATGTGATGCGCAGGGTTCGGCCAGTCAGTTTCACCCGCGCTTCCTTGCCCCTGTCCTCTTGTTCTTGTTTCCCTGTACGAAGGTACCTCATCTACTCCAGTGCGGACGCCTCATTTAGCAGCACGCAGCAGCCAGCAGCCAGGGCCTATACAGTACAAGGCTACCCAGGTAGCGCTAACAAGGGACAAGGGCAAGCAAGAATTGGCGCGAGCACTCGGCTTGCGAAGAAATCGAAAGCATCGGCGGCGTGGGAGCAGCGAGGGAAGCCCTCCCCTCAGCACTTTTCCCAACCTACTAACTTTCTCGTCCCACCACTACTCCCACACTCCCTGGCCCCTCCATTGGAGTGGCACACTTGACTGCCACTCAGTCATTATTCAGTGCTGTCTGGCTGGGGACTCGTAGCCAGGCAAGCAAAGCGAAAGAAGAGCTTTCTGGGAACTCTGGAAGTACCTAGTGACCTCAACTTCTTGACCGGGCTTGGCTTATCTACGGATAGTCTATACAAAGAAAGAAAAGCTTTTTACTTACTGTACTATTCTCCCCTCCATAATAATACTCCGTACAACACATCCCAGCCCATCCCAGCCCATCCCAGCCCCCCCCAGCCAGTCCGGCAGCTGCCCTGTTCCTCTCTTCTGTCCTCTGTAAACTGCCCAGTGCCCCCCCCCCCTCAACCCTTGACCCTCTGGCCCCTTCCCCCCCAGAATATCAGCTCGTGGTCCCCCTCGCTTCTCGCTACTCGTTACTCGTCTATTCTCACGCCTCTGACTGGTTATCTCGGTCCTAGCTACACTCCTTCCTTCTCCACCACCACCACTACTACCTCTAATCCCAACCTCTTCTTCCTACTCCTCCTTCCGCGCCGACCTTCGATCCACCTCCCTTCTCACCCCGACCTCTCTCTTTTTCCTTGGTAGGAAGGTGTTGCTCTCCAGGAAATGTGCGTACCCTATTGAGACATCCATCCTCTTGTTTCTCTTGCGCACCTCCAGCTCGAATCCTCTTGACTTTCCTGCAGCGCTGACTGGTGTACCTGCATTAGAGGTGGCAGAACATTTCCAATTCTTCAAACGACAACCCACCATCACCTCTCTCCCTCCCCACCTTGCCGCCAACGCCTTATCCTCCTCACTTGCGGGCGACGAATCTTTACGAGCATACGATTTCTTGAGACTTTAACGACTATCGCATCCCTCGAATCGAAGCACGGATCAAAAACTTTTCGAAGCGATCTTAAGCACAAGCATACCTGCAGCTTCGCGTAACTGCCATCGATCCTGTCGTGGAGCTTCAATCGCATTCCCAATTGGACTGGGTTGGATTGGATTGGTGGACTTCATTTTTCAGAATCTGCTCTTTTAACGACTTCTACGAGCCAAACGTCTTGCTTTTTAAAGTCTCAAGTTTAACTGATCCTTCTGCGACGCATGCATCATTTCTGTCCATCTCGATAAATAACACGGCTATCATTCGCGCGCTCGTTGAAACGCATCAGACTCAAGATCTTGAATGAAAATCATTTCACAGGACTTTTATGACAAAACATTCTACCTACGGTCCGGAAATAGTCTTAAGAAATCCATCTAACGGTGACGTCGTATTATAGCTGCTGCGAACCCTTGGTGATCCATCACCTAAGATTCTCTGGTCTCTTTCACGTATACTCACGAAGTTTTCGTTGAGTTCACCCATTCACTGTCCTTTTCGGACTTGACCATTCCAACCGAAAAGCTGGATCTCCCGTCGATCTCCCAAGTGCAAACCCGGGGACCCTCCGACATACCATACTACAACCATCACGCCGCGCAGAGACCGTCATATGTGAATGATAGGTTGCCTTCACTGTCTTTGCCCCAGCCGCAACAGGCATACTCGTCCGGTACCTCGTCACCCCGGGTTGGTTCCCTCAGTTCACTTGGATCATCGTCAATTTTGAACGGGAGCTCTCACTCCTCGTATACGACTGCATCGTCGAACGGGCCCAAAACTCCGTCTCCAACCCTTCCTACTAGCAGCGGACTCCCACCCTCCTTATCGCAAACCACCTACAGCAACAGCTCCCCTTCTGGTCCAGCATACTCCTACAACCAAGACCCATATCCCAATATGAATCACGGTCAGCAGGAGATGTACTATCCTTCGCATATTTCAACCGGACAGCCCCCACCACCACAAACGGTCACGTCTAGTGGGATGGGACATTATCCCCAGCACCAGCAACCGCCATTACTCCAGCCTGGCCCAGCTCAGTATTCACCAGCACCTGGTCCTTACAATCAATACGGATACTCAAATGGATTGACCTCTCCTCAATCCGCTGGTCATTCGGTGCCGGGGTCAATGGGTCAAGGAAATGTTTTACCTCTACCAGCCATGTCAGCAGGTCAACCAGGCATGCCAGGTCCAGGCTATGCGGCGCAACAAGGCTTTGACACCACAGGCCAAATAGCACCTCCAGGCATGAAACCACGAGTTACTGCGACATTATGGGAGGATGAAGGAAGCCTGTGTTTTCAAGTTGAGGCTAAAGGAGTTTGTGTTGCGAGGCGAGAGGGTATGTGGACGAATCTTTGGAGCTAAGTCAACATAAACTAACAAGAACGTTACAGACAATCACATGATCAATGGCACAAAGCTCTTGAATGTTGCCGGGATGACTCGAGGCAGAAGAGATGGTATTCTCAAGAGTGAAAAGATGAGACATGTTGTCAAAATCGGGCCGATGCACTTGAAGGGTGTTTGGTAAGTGCGGAAGAACCGTTGGCCCCAATTGTGCTAACACAAAGACGTAGGATTCCATTCGAACGTGCACTCGACTTTGCGAATAAGGAGAAAATCACGGAATTGCTATATCCATTATTTGTTCATAACATTGGTGCGCTCTTGTACCATCCAACCAACCAGACGCGAACAAATGCTGTGATGGCCGCTGCAGAGCGTCGAAAACAGGAGCAAAACCAGATGCGCAATACGCAGGCGCCTGGTTTACCCTCGTTACATCAACACCATCATCATTCTATGAACAACTCGATTGGTAGTCATCTACCCGGCCCTCAACATTCCCTTGCCCCTCATCCCAGCACTGTTGGTCGTCCTAGTATTGATCGAGCGCATACCTTTCCTACGCCCCCGACGAGCGCGTCCAGTGTAATGGGCAATATGGGGAGCTCGGATGGCAGTTTTCAATGGGGTTCGCAAGGGGGCATGGGTGGTGCTCAAGGTACAAATCCCCTGTCTATTGACACGGGTTTAAGCAACGCACGCTCAATGCCTTCCACTCCAGCAACGACTCCTCCGGGAACATCAATTCAAAGCATGCAACAGTACCAGCAAGGCTCACAACCGTATGATGCTTCACGCCAAATGTATTCTGCCCCACCTGCACAACAGAACGTGTATCCTCAACCGACGACCGGCCAGCAGGAGATGCCACGATACCCTCAACCAAACTCGTACAACATCAAGAACGAAATGGGACCCCCACTAGCGAGAGCACCTGGGTCAGAAGCGGAGCACCATGATACCAAAGGCGCAAATGGGCTGCTCCACCACCCTCAGGGACATGGTCAGGGCGAAGAGGAAGCTGACCATGAGCATGATGCAGAGTACACTCATGATAATTCCTCGGGTTATGATGCAAGCCGCGGGCCATACAATTATACCAATGGTCCAGCCGTCGGATCAATGCCTGGGGAGCAATCCCATCTATCCCCCGAGATGACTGGATCTCCCAATCACCCAGCATCTGGTCGCGCTACTCCGCGAACAGCCACAGCACCTCAGCCATACTACGCCCAACAGCAAGGTGGCTACAGCACACCGCCGCGGGTTCCACAACCACCATCTAGTAATCTGTATAATGTAATTAGCAGTGAGCGTGGAACGGCAAACGGAAACACCACCGCTGATGTGTATGGATCTCAGCCAGATCTGGGCAACTCGATACCGAATGGCTATGCGACTCAGCAGACCGTCATGAACGGTGCTCCTGCGAGCAACAAGCGCGGACGAGATGACGATGATGATGCGCGACCTTCGAGTAGAGGACCGGCCGGTGACTTGGATTTGAAAAGACGCAAGACGGTCCGCGAAGGTTCCGTGTCAGGACCAACTTACGACCCTTCTCTTAATCGAAACCGAGCCGCGATCACACAGCGGCGTCGATAATTATTCACGTTCCCTTCGAAACCTATCCTTTGCATATTATTTCCGGAATCAGATTCTGTCACCTAGATTCCCGCCGATTTGCCATCTATGCCGTGGCGTTGGCCTCCGAACATAACCAAAATCTCCACCACCACACTCATTAGACCAAAAATTTCCTTGCAACGTTACGATTGTTCTTGTATTGGGCCGAATCGCTAATTTGGCGCATTGTTCTACTTCTTCAGGCGACGAGTTTACGACTTGATATTTGTTAAGACGGCTAATGATTTACGCTTCGCAATGGGGGATGATCCATGAGACGATCCCAAAGATACACATGCAAGCGGTGGTTGTTTGAAAAACCGCCTATTATGAACCTAGGCGTGATGGACGGGCTCTCAGAATTGTCCCGATTCTATCTGAGATATTTCTTTGAGTGGCTACTTTTTAACGACGATTATGACTTTTCTTGCATTGCTGTCTCTCTTTGTACTGAACGAATTATGAGAGAATTAAAAGCTATTGTGGTTGCATCATCCATATACATCTTTACTTGGGCATTGTTATTGCGATAATCTTCATCTTTGGGGCGGGAGGCAGGCATATGAATTGGCGATTGCATAATTTGCAATGTACTGTCCAACCAGGATGAAAGTTGAGATGTCTTCGGTGCTTAAATGGTGACAACGATAGCAGTAGCTCTTGATATTGATATTGAATGAAATCTCTCACACTGTCTCATCGCTGACGCAATATATGCCAAAGGAGGGTAAGTTGACAGTCACCGTACCTGGTCACTCGAGAGTCGTATTTACATGACCACCCAAGCACAGTCCCACCTACGCTAAACGGGCGCCCGCAATGCAGCTGGTGCAGTGCAATTTCTAAACCAACGACTTCCCCCCATCATAAAACACTATCTTCATGTCACCTCGTCAACTCGATCGCTCCAGCAGCCAAGGTCGCTCAATCAACTCTGTAGACCAAAAAGCTAACCCTCCCCCCACGCTTGAACTCAATAACCCCCTCCGTAAGCCTCTTCCTCTCCACCTCCTCCACGGCCTTCTTCACACACTCTAACCTCTCCGTCACAACATTTCCATCCCCATCCCTATCCATCATCCTCAGCTCTGCCCTTCCAGCCCCTTTCGTGCCCGTCGAATACACTATACCCAACACAACAGCCTCCAACTCGGCATCGTTTAACAAATGCCCGAGATTCAATGTCTGCATACTGGGAGGCGGGTTGATGAGGTAAGCGGCAAGCAGGGAGCCAATATGTGGCCAAGCTATACGGGGAATAGCAGACTCGGAGTGTGAGTGTGAGAGGAGCGGTCTTTGGGTACCATCTAAGGTTGGTAGTGCTTTTTGATGTTGATTGGTCGATTGGAGTTGGAAGGAGCAGGTGTTTAGGGAGTCTGAGGGACAAAGGCGGTTCTTTGGCGGTGGTGTAAACGGACGGGAGATAGGAATATCGTTGGTACTTGCTGGGACCTGTCAGTGACTTTGCATGTTTTGGTGGCGATTGACAGAGTGAGAGTCGACAAAAGAGGTAATTATCAAGATGCTGTATTCTAGAGCCAATTGCTTGCTTTCTCTCCCTCTCCCTCTCTCGTCAAGTATCGTTTCCTAAAAATTCGATGTACAAAGACAGACTTACGTTGAAGTTGTCTAAGGTGCCCAATTGACCTCGCCGAGACACCCACCACAGCCAGCATTACTAAATAAATAAACTGTAACATTATAAAGTCTCACCAGGAGATATCTACACTACCAGAGCGAGAGAACATAAATTTTGGATGGCGGGATACCGTGTTTACAGAAGGGCAATGCTGCACTTAAGACCTCAAAAGGCTCAAACAACGCATCCACATTTCTGAAATTGCTCAGCATTCCCCTCGCGCGTACCATCTGTCAAGCGTGTCTATCTCATCTATCCTTGGTGATGATCAAGTTCCCCGAAAGGCCACGAGTACGTGTTTAGCCACGTTGAGGCTTCAAACGTTGCATGTGTGCTCAGGGGTAGGCTTTGACACCCGTCAATGGCGGCTCTGGAAAGCAGAGGTGGAGACAGGAGCACAGTTTGTGCAGCCAAGATAAGCTTATGTGGGGTATGGAATTGCTTTTAGCTGGTTTGAGTGGTAGAAACATGATCTGCGACTCCTTGGAGACCTGAGAGGACCGTGCTGTTTCACACTTTCTCATCGCTCACGTGGTTGGTGATACCTAGAACGCCTGGCTGAGATATTGAGAGAAATTCTTCATTGCTTATCTGGTTTTCGTATGATATCTGAAACGTGTTGGTAACGCAAAATTCGTGGAAAAGCTGGGGAATGCCATGATGGAAGAAAGTGTAGAGAAAGGGATTCGCCAATGAGACCAATCAGGAGAGCCACCTACAAACCATTGCAAAGACGTTTTATCTCCTACAGTTTTTTACGGCCTTCTCCACAATAGCCCTATGCTCCTTACCTACCGACAATAGGTGTGCTAGCTACATAATACGTGCGCTCTTTCTGCGAGAGATCAGCCGTCCTATCTGGCCTCGTCCCTAAGTAACTCTTCTGCTCACTTCATCCTGTCTTCCCTGGCTGTCCAACATCCCACTGGCAACGCCTGCTTCTTCCGCCTCCACTTCTTCGATGAGAATGCTGTGATATTTCTCACCACTCCCTACACAGACTCCTGATTTCATTCAAGCACGGTTACGAGTCGCAGATCCGACCCATACTCGAAGAAAGACAAAGAAGGTGGCTCCACTTTAGACCCTGATAACTCACCCAAGATAAGGAACGCACTCAGTTACCATCGTCCGAAATAGCAGCGGAAGAAGTGGAGACTGTAAACAGCTGCCATGAAAATTGAAGCATCCAATAGCATACTCATGTGTTGCCCAGAAAGAATTAGAGTATGGGAGGTACTCCTCACGACTCACACCTGACAAAAAGCGCACTTACGGTGCTAGAGTGACACCATCAGACCGGGCAAGGCCGCCCGCCATACAGGAAGATTCCTCTAGAGAGGTTTATTCGAAAGGTTAAGTAAAACGACGACTTCGAGAGTTGGAAGAAAGACAAGACCTCATCGTCATTGCCAACCTCCTCTTATCAGGCATGCCATTTGCGGCATAGAAGAGCATGAAACATGCAGTAGCTATACCGGGGAAGACGAGATCCAGTTAACGCAAGCATATGATATTACTAGGAGCCTTAACGAGATAAGCATAACGATCACTCTGCGGGCTCACTGTTAAGTAGGAAAATAGGGTACATTCTGGATTATGCGTCTGCAAGGAGCAGATGCAAGCGACACGGGACAGAAACGAGTCTCAACACGCCAGGAAAGTGTTCTATCTGGCCTTGTAGATGGGGAGCGCCAGCGACACGGATTGGAAATATCATCAGAGATGCAGCTGCTTGAATCATTTTACTTCGGTCAAATCGCATGAAGACCTACGCTTTCAATAATCCGAAGAAGGGATTGCATGGCAACTTCATTGTTTCATACATCTTCCCCGTTGTCGGTTTCCGTCTGCTGTCGAACTAATCAGGGCAGAGGCGCTAGCTATATTGCAAATACAAGACAAGAATGCCTTACCTTGGATATTTATTATAATCCACAACGAAGCAAAAAAGTGGTAGCAAAAAAGTCCCAGGGAATGCGAAGCAGTTACGAGACAGAAAAGGGAGCATAACTTGCCAACTTTAACCCACTGTAGGCCATCTAGCCCGAGGCTGCTAAAATTCAATTGGAAATTCCCTTCATATTTCATCATTCATCCTCAAATCATAAATCCTCAACGCCCAAGCCACATTCTTAATGCGACTTCAACCAGGCCAACATCTGACCGAATGCCTCGGTCTGTCTTGGCTGGATTGAAGCATCGTCTGGATAGTCCCCTGTAACGGCAAATCCGTGAGGCACACCTGAGTAAGTCCGAAACTCAGACTCGACATTGTTCTCCTTCAGGTACTTCTCACCATATTCCCGAATCTCATCGGAGAACAGTTGGTCGTTTTCTATGCAAATGAATACCAATGGGGCCTTTGTTCCTTCGAAATCCTCTCTAGTGATTGAGGTGGGATGGGCAATCGCTCCTGCCTTAATGAAGGGGCCCTTCTTGACCACGCCGGCTTCTTCGTCTGTAGGCTGCTGCTGACCCCAAGCCGCCGTGTCTGGTTTCTCCCCGGCTAAAAGCAATGTAATACTTCCGCCTACATCCATTAGCTTCATACTTCTCTTATAAAACTCATATTGATTAACCTACCAAAACAATAGCCGACCGAGTACACGCCCCCGCCATTTGCCACAGCATCTGCGTACTCGTCTTTGGCGGCTTCAAGAACCTTATGGACAATTGGAAGAGCCTTCTGTGGTGTATTTCTGGCCAACCAAAGATCAATCAGGAAACTCTTTGCCGTCTCCGCTGCACGCATCTTTACTTGCTCAATGATCGAGGGGTCTTTCTCTTCGGTGTACGTTGCTGAGCCTGGTAAGGGGTCACCAGCAAACATGTCCGGCATCACAACCAAAAAGCCCTCTTTCGCATAGTTGTCTGCTTGTATCTGGTTGTTCACCGAGTGAAGGCCCGTTGCAGCAGTCAAGAGCAGTAGAAGCTTTGAGGGAGCATGCGGATAATCGGCGGGTTTTGAAATGTATGTGTCGATTCCTCCTAACGATGTAATTTCCCCAGAGGAACCTAGGCCAGAAGCTGAACTCTGTCAGCATGGCTGCCTATATAAAAGGTACTTCTCATTATACTGACGGGTTGGTCTATCAGTCACACAGTGCTCCTATCTAGAATCAGCAAGCCGTCAACTACAGGACAGCGAAGAAGTCCATTGCTTACTCCAAGGCTTGCGCCAGTTTGGGCTGGAGTATCCCCAGCGACCAAACTTGGCGGGGTGTCCTTTTGGACATCCTCTGCAGCATCGCTCTCAGGGGCCTTAGTTGCAATGGTTGACACTTCAGGGTCAGCCATGATTATGAGGTTATTTGTGGGTAGAGTATGTTTGTAGAAGATGACGACGACGGCTGAAGAAGCGGAGTTGTAATGTTGTAATTGAGTTGTAGTATTTGTTGTATTCGTAGTTGTAGTTGTAGTTGTACTGATTCTTGTACTCGTAAAGTTACGAGTAAATACGTACCGCCTAGAAGGAAGCTCCCGCCATTCATTCCAGCGGGAGCGGGGTGGTGGTGGGATTTTAGCGCGCTGCAGCACTTTACGCGCGGGAAGTCGCGACGGACGCGTCTTCTTCCTTTTCATCAACACCACCACCACCACCATCAAAATCACCAAATTTCCTCTTCATATCTTGCCCGTCTCTCACGCCATAGTGCAGTGCAGCATACTCAAGATGGCAGAGGCAGCAAAGTCCCATATCACCCAAGGTGCTTTGAAGTATGTTCCCCGAGTCTTCTCTCCATCGAAGCTTAGGCCCCACCAGAATTCTAACTGTGGCAGCGCAATCTTCAATGAACCAACTACACTGGACCGAGATTATCCTGTGCCGATATGCCAAGTCGTCCAAATCAAAACCCTTGGATCGCAGACCGAAGGCACGCCGGAACGTTACAGACTCGTCTTGAGTGATGTGCAGAACTTCGTACAGAGCATGCTTGCCACCCGTAAGTTTCAGGTTGCCATTTCCCAATAACAACTACTTACCGTCTTCCAGAGGCAAACCATGTTGTACACGATGGAAAGCTAAAGAAGGGTTCGATTGTTAGATTGAAGGCATTCCAGGTCAGTCAAGACTTTCATCGCACTCCCTCCCGATTTGGTCTTGAAATATTACTGACTCCGACATTTTAATTCTACAGGCCAATGCTGTCAAGGGCAAAAGGTTTGTAAATGAAGATTTATTAAAAAACTCACAGCTAACCATTTTCAGAATTCTCATCGTTCTGGACCTCGAGGTCATCGAAAGCTTAGGAGAACTTGAAAAGATCGGAGAACCTGTCGTTTTGAAGGACAAAGATGAAGAGGATGTTAAGCCGGTGAATACAACTATTGCCGGGGGTGGATTTTACGGAAACAAACCAGCGGAGCCCACAAGACAGCAGCAAGCTCTCCCGTCACGAGCTGCACCAACAAGCTCAGCATCGCATGCCAACATATATCCTATAGAGGGGTTAAGCCCATACGCACATAAGGTTGGAGCCGCAAACGATCAACTTTTGACTCTGCTAATTCGCTGGGCAGTGGACAATTAAAGCCCGCGTCACTAGCAAGTCAGAAATCAAGGAGTGGAAAAAAGCTACTGAAGGGAAGTTGTTCAGCGTCAACCTTCTTGACGAAAGTGGCGAGATTAAAGCAGTGAGTATAACGGTCTTTTTGATATCACACTCTTCTGTTCCGTCCTGTAAATTTAAATTTGGAGGGGCAAAAGCTGACTTTGTAGACTGGATTTAACGAGCAATGTGATCAGCTCTACGACGTATTGCAGGAAGGCTCTGTCTATTACATTTCAAGTCCATGCAGGGTCAATCTTGCAAAGAAACAATTTTCGAACCTCTCTAACGATTACGAACTCACTTTTGATCGCGACACTACAGTTGAGAAGGCAGAGGATCAAGAGAGTGTTCCCCAAATGAAGTTCAATTTCACCAATATTGCCAGCCTTCAAGATATCGACAAAGACACAACCATTGACATTCTTGGAGTATTGAAAGATGTTGCGGAAGTAAGCGAAATCACTTCCAAAAGCACCCACAGACCTTACTCAAAACGTGAAATTACACTGGTGGACCAAAGCGGTTATTCCGTCAAGTTGACCGTTTGGGGCAAGCTAGCCACCAGCTTTGATGCCAACCCCGAGTCAATAATTGCTTTCAAGGGCGCAAAGGTGTCCGACTTTGGTGGCCGAAGCTTGAGCCTGTTGTCCTCAGGTTCCATGAGCCTTGACCCCGATATTTCAGAGGCTCATCAGTTGAAAGGCTGGTACGATTCCCAAGGACGTCGTGAAACCTTCCTTGCCCACACCGGTATGTCTGCAGCGGGAGCTGCAGGAGGTCGTCGAGAAGAGACAAAGACTGTTGCTCAGATTAAGGAAGAGGGCCTCGGAATGAACCCCGAAACCCCCGATTACTTCAATGTCAAGGCTACCATCGTCTACATCAAGCAAGATTCATTTTCCTACCCAGCTTGCCTGAGCCCGGACTGCAACAAGAAAGTTACTGATGAGGGCGACGGTACATGGAGATGTGAGAAATGCAATATCAACCATCCTAAACCCGAACACCGATACATCCTCACTCTCAGCGTGAGTGATCACACAGGTCAAATGTACTTGAATGCATTTGATGATGTGGGAAGATTGGTTGTGGGAAAGAGTGCAGATGAGATGATGGAGCTTAAAGAGAATGATCTCCCGGCAATGGAGAAGGAATTTGAGAATGCAAATTGTACTTCTCACTACTTCAAATGCCGGGCAAAGATGGACACATACCAGGATCAGCAAAGAGTTAGGTACCAGGTCATGAGCGCCATTCCCATCGATTTCAAGGCAGAGGCACACAAACTTGCGGAGCTTATCAAGTTGTACAACATAGATTGAGCGAGAGTGGATTAGCGCTTTTGAGAGATGGTTCTGTTGTGGTTCGGTCAGGGGATACGAATTAGTAGTAAATGATAGCACGAGATGATGTTTATGTTGGAGGTGGTCCCTCGTACGAAATTCCGGCGACCGTGGTAGTTTCCTTTTATGGCACAGCAAAACCAATCAAACATAGCAGTGTAATGTCAAGTGATTGAATAAACGCTTCAGAGGACTGGAAGACACCTATACGCCTGTAATTACTTGTCTAAGTTTCTTAATTGATAGTTTTGATCCGGGTGATTCAAGAACGAAACATAATAAAAGCTGTCTCACGTCAATTACTGACTGGTACAAGTCAATCTTGTTCCCAACAATAGATTCATTGATCACTCTGTATCTATCCTGTGACCTTTTCTTCTCTGAGAGTAAAGTGGCTTTTGCAATGCTTGCTATCTTCGCAAGTATCCACGAGTTTCTTCTATCACTTCATGTCATATCCCGTCAACGCCCTTATGCACCATCCATGCAATACGCCACCAACCAAGTACCAATCGTAGTCGGAGCAAGCTTAGGCTATCATAAAGCGTTTCTCGTAGGATATAGGCATGTTCTTCATCATTACTAGACTTTCTTCATGCCGCCCACTCATCAATAAGCGCCAGCCATCAGGTCCTCATCATCACCATTCCAGTCCATATCCATGCCACCGACACCCAAATCTGCGGCATTCTTGCCGCTGTTTTTCTGCTTTTGAAGCCACTTGATATAGTCTTTCTCGTGGGTCAACATGTGATCCGTGTGTTTGATCTCGTCTGTTAAAGCCTTGATCTGTGTGGTTGATGCTGCCAGCTCACGTTGGAATTGTGGCTCTGACAAGACCTGGCCGACCAGCGAGAAGCTGAGGACTAGGTTCGGGGAAGCGCTTAGAGTCGCGGGTAAGGAACCGTCGGCGATCATGCTTCGGACAAGGGTCTCTGTTGCCTGGACATTTGGAAGCCGGGCTCCTGTCTCAGCACTCGTGGTGGAGGTATGAACCTCTTGGATGGACATCTTGGTGTAGATGGAAGCGAGATTACGGATCTGATTCTTTTGATAGGCTGCAAGGACATGTAGAATTAGGCCCATGTTGCAATCGTTTTGCCAGATAACGTTGCCCACGTCAACCTCCGCCTTGAGTCTTGTTGCTGTACCACTTTCAAAGATCTGAGCGACGGCCTCGTATGGTTTGGCGATAATGTGAAAGGATTTTGCCGGGCCGCTGCCTGTGACTTTTGGTAGGCCCAAGAGTTTACCTTTCAGCAACAGACCAACTAAAACCCACTTTTTGTATGCATCAATCTGAATCTTGCTTACGACGCCATCTTTGGTTGGAAACGTGAAGGCATCCTCCAAGCTTTGATGGGCTTTCTTCCAGTTCCTAGTGCCCATATAAATCATTCCACGGTACAAGAAGTACTCTAGGACCTCCCAGGACTTGAGTTTCCTACTAAAGCCACCGTCAGAAGTTATGTAGACGTTTGGCGAATTGGACAAGTTGCATAGTAGCTTCGACTTTAAGGGTTTCTGAGCGGTTGGAAAGTATAGGATAGGTTTGTCGAGGGTCGGGACCGCATCAGCCAATTGTCGAGAACTTAAGGCTAACCTAACGAGGACGAGATGCTTGGAAGTGAGCATGCCTCCAGTAGGATCGTAGCGTAGAAGTGCATTGCTGACTGGGGCGACTGCGGCACCAGACTAATATACGTCAGTGACTTGAATCGCAATTCTTCGAGAGGAAGCATACTTGTCCGCGCTGACGAGCAAATTCCACAACTGCTTCAATAATCGTACTTAATTCCGAGCCCAAGTACCGAATTTGTCGAGGGTCAAAAGTCGCCAAAAATCCAGTCATGTTGTCCCACAGATTATCTCCCTTCACAGTTTTTGATCCTTTCTGTAGTGCAGTAATGGTTGCAAGTAGGGTGAAGGTGTAGGGTACAGTGTTTATGGCGGGGTTGATGAACTAATGTAACAGCAGTCAGAGACAGATTGAAGATCTGGTTGGAGTTCTAGAGAAGCTCACGTCTAACACACTTTCGCCGCTAGATGTATGCACAAGCAGTTTGCTGTCGGGTATGCTCTTAACGGCTGTAATCTGAGCTCTGATGCAATCGTCATATTGGGTGTCTGTGAGAGGAGTTGTTGGAGGAGGATGTTGCGGGAAGGAGAGAAGCTTCGGTAGGAAGTCGTCCATTATGGCTTATTTTTTAGGAGGGGGTCTCGGTGGGTAGAGTGTGTATTATGTTCGTGCTTGAGATGGTGTATGGTGGAGTAGATCTATGGGCAAGGTGAAGCTGGTGAGGCTCTCCCACGACTAGCTAGCTCCCAGAACAAACGAAGTTGCTGCTTGCTGCGCTACGCCGGCGGAGTGATTGTTGTACTCTGGGGTATATTTTCTGGAAGGGAGACACACGGTCAGCGTGTTGTGTTGGCGTCAGTCGACGAGTCTGGAGGTTGATCTTGACAAGGCTACGCTCTACGCTGCCTACAGTATGAGCTCTGGGTGGCTCGATTGAAAGGAGGGGGTGGCGTAAAAATCTGCATCGGATTTCTCACGCCGATATCGATATCGATATTAGATCAAACCTTAGCGGTAGATTGTTCAGTCATACTATATATGTAGTACTGCTCTGGCATTCTACTCTCGTCTTCACATTTAACTTTTGTCACTGAAAATGTCTCTCACCAATGCTCTCCCTGTGGATGCTGCAAAAGCAGCCAAATCGGCTTCACATGCCCTAGCAACACTGCCAACTTCTGCAAGAAATGATGCCCTCACAGCTATTCATGTTGCACTTTCCCAGTCCAAAGATGAGATATTAGCTGCCAATGCTCGGGATTTGACCGCTGCGAAAAAGGCAGCTAATGATGGCAATTTGAGTTTGAGTATAGTCTCACGGCTGGACCTGGGCAAAAAGGGGAAGTGGGAGGACATGCTGAAGGGAATTTTGGATGTTCGTGAGCTGGAAGATCCTGGTATGGCAGATCTACATTCCCGCATGACTTGTCTATAACTGATTTTGAGGATTGAAGTCGGTAAAGTAACGCTACGAACGAGGCTTGACGAAGGACTAGAGCTTGAGAGAGTCTCATGTCCGATAGGGGTACTTCTGATCATCTTTGAAGCTCGTCCAGAAGTCATTGCAAATATCGCCTCTCTTGCAATTAAGTCGGGCAATGCAGCTATTTTGAAAGGTCAGGAATAACTGCCTACAAGAGTACGGTTACTAATGAGTTGCAGGTGGAAAGGAATCAACAGAGTCATTTGTTGCAATTTCCAAGGTTATTTCGGCAGCTCTGGAATCAACAGTAGTTCCCAATACGGCAATTCAACTAGTCACGACGAGAGATGTAATCCCTCAACTTCTGGCTCTTGACCAATATATCGACCTCGTCATTCCAAGAGGCTCAAATGAATTAGTACGGTATATCAAGTCGTCTACCAAGATCCCAGTCCTTGGTCACGCGGATGGTATTTGTGCAATATACCTCGAACACACTGCCGATCCGGAGATGGCTGTCAGGGTTATTGTTGACTCGAAAACCTCATACCCGGCAGCTTGTAATAGTGTAGAGACCCTTCTGGTAGAACAAGCTTCCCTGGAGACTTTACTTCCTCCCTTGGCAGAAGCCTTGCTAGCCAAAGGCGTGTCGTTGCGATGTGACGCCTCCAGCAAGAAGGCTTTGACAGCGGAGCTCTCGCCACACTCATCTGTTATCCTTCAAGATGCAGATGAGTGTGATTTCGACACTGAACATCTCTCCCTCACTCTCGCCATCAAGACCGTGTCCACTGTCACGGAAGCAATTTCACATATTAATATCCACGGTTCTCACCATACCGACGCCATTCTCACCTCCTCGTCGCCTCTCGCAGAGCAGTTCATGTCCAGTGTAGACTCCGCCGGCGTTTTCTGGAACACTTCCACTCGTATGGCTGATGGGATGCGGTTTGGTTTCGGGACGGAGGTCGGTATCAGTACAAATAAGATCCATGCGCGTGGTCCGGTAGGTTTGGAAGGATTGATGATCTACAAGTACAAGATTCGAGGTGGCGGTCAAATTACTGCAGAGTATGGCGAAGGCAGTGGACAAAGAAGCTTCAAGCATGAAAAATTACCTTTCTAGATTGAGTCCTTGAAACCAAAAGCGTATCATTTTTAATATTTCCTGTTATCGGTTCTCAACACTTAAACTAGTATGTAAGTCTACTCAATTCTCTCAATTGTGCATGTGCCATACATTGAGACGTTTTAGGCGGTCTTTTCAGTTTCTATAACGCCTGCCTGTGATTTAGAATTGATAGATCTGGTGCTGGCTCTTTCACAGGATCCAACCTTAGTGGCCCCCGTTCATGTTTTCTACCGCCACCATATCTCTCTCGAAACGGCTAAGAATTGTTGCAAAGCACTATAACGACAAGGCTATATATCTTTCCACAGCCTACTTGACTTCATTGGCTTCTAGTCTCCTTTGCATTCACGGTGTTGAAACGTCTACTTGTTCGGATTGGAAAGCACAGAAGCGGCGGAGTCGTATGATGGGAAGATAATATATATGCCCTGCAGAGGATGATGTGTATTATTGACATTTGCCACTCTAGGCCGCTTTGAAAGTTACATCAAACAGCGCAGGGACATCCTCGCAAATATATCAAGAATCGAATTACAAATGCTTTTCCATCCCGAGCTTTTGCAAGGGAGACATAGGGAACGATCGAGTGCACACATATATACAGTGGGTGGGGAAATATCGAAGAGACGCCAGCCACATATTAACACATTACTCCAATCCCCCATCCGCTCCTTCATTATACACAGCAACAAAAGCAGCGGAACAGGGCGTGAGCCAAATTCGTATTAACGCCAAACTTCCCGTTCCACTCCACTCCAACAATATAAAACAAATCAAAAGCCTCGGAATGGGTCGTGACTGAACCCACTGTCGAAATGGCCATATTCTTCCTCGCCGGCGGTCTTGCTTCCAGAATACCAATCGTCGCTCGGTCGTCCCCGGCTTGAATAGTAGCTGTCTCTATTCCGGCTCCTTCGTCGTCTTTCTCGGCTCCCTCTCCGATGTATGCCCACCATATTTACTTGTTCTTGCTCCTTGGGAAACTCGTCAAAACGCGATGCCATGGGGCTAATGAAAGCCTCCATCCTCATCGTGCCTACTGCATCAAAGAAGTTATTGACTGGCCTGTTGGAAGCATCCGATGTTCGGACGGATGAGCGACCGCTAACACTCATGCCTGTGTAGCCTGCTGAGACTGAGGAAGCAGGCTGGGATTGGTAGATGTCGGAGGAACCATTAGTGCCCACACTCATACCAGCAGTGCTGGATGTAGGCGCGTGACTACCTGTGCCGGTTGGACTTGAGAAGCCACGGAATGAAAGAGGAGGTGGAATCCGTGAGCCGGTGTTGCTACGCTTCCTGTTGTGGCTAAGAGGGGGCCCATGAGAACTTACTCGTTCGGAGAAACGAGGTACGAAGGGCGGATCGGCCGCTGAGGGCATTGGATCTGTGCGGCTAGAACGGATTGATTCAACTTCACGGATACTTTGGTCCGTTCCGCCATACTGAGAGGAGTGCACGCTGGTCGGGCCTGAGCGTGCGGTGAAGGTTTTGCCTTTGGCTACGCGAATGGAATCGCGGATGCCATTTCTGCGGAGTCGGCCACCGCCTTGAGCTACTTCAAAATTGGGAATGATGGGTTGCGGTGCTGGAAGTGGTGCTTGAACTATCTCTGGGACGGCTTGTGATGAGTGGGCGAGGAAGGACAGGGCTGTGAGCCAGACATAATGCCGCTCTGGTGAAATAGCAGTGAACTTGAGGGCACGGGCTGGAGTTAAGATCAGGATTGATCGATTGAAGATTGGTCCTGATCCTTTAGGGGGGCTATTGTCATCCTTGACGTCCAATACTGATTGAATGGCCACTACTGAAATTAGTAAAGCCCAAGATCCACAAATACACCAGTGCAACTTACGCTTCCTACCCGTCTTACCCATTAGTGCCGACCCAGATGTTGGCTGCTTGGAGCTCCACATTACAGCTCGTTCGTAAGGAGCAAGCCAGACCCAGCGTTTGTGACGGGCACCGTTCACACCATCGCCCTCGGCGCCACTGGCATCGGCCACACCAAATGACTTGCGTCGTCTCACATATTTGAACATCCACTCGCCAACCATGGTTTGTGCAATAGCATCGACAACGCTCGTAGCTTGGTTGGTGCTTCCAACAGATCCACTGCCAGTGTTTGAAGTGTTGGTCGTATTAGCTGTATAGGCCGTGGTAGCTGTATAGGCCGTGGTGGCGGATGGTTGTTTTCGGTGACTTCGGTACCGACTACTGCCAGTGTCCCTCATGTACCGTGGAGTTGTGATTTCATTGCTAGGCATCGGTGGCAGTGAAGGACTTTCAGGAGCTTCTGTTGACGGCGACATTGGCGGAGGAGATCGACTAACCTGGCGGCGATAACTTCGGCCGCCTCGGGGAAGTGCCGTTGCAGAGCGAACTTTCCGGATGCTGTTTGCTCGGTAGTGACCCCTACCAGACCCTCGTCCCCAGGTTGGGCTTCTATTTCCATCACTTGGAGCACTGGTACTGACAGGCGGGCGTCGAGAGCTAGCCCTAGTAGGAATCGGGAAAGGGGGCTCTTTATAAAGCTCAGGGATGCTGGGGCTTCGAGAACGACCTTGGTGTGCAGCTACACCACTTTGGATGAGAGCAGCACGGCGCATGGTATTTGGCTTGCTATTAGTAACAAGGGTTAGGGGCTTATCGAGCTGACGAAGTGGCTTCATCGAGGTTCGTTGCGTGTCTGATTGAACTTCGGCGGAGCCATAATCGCCATACTCGTCGTATTGACTATTTTGCTTCATTGAGCTCTTTCCTGGGGTGGCTTTAGAAACCTCGGTAAGCGCCAAATTCTCCGGGACTGATGTTGGTCCTGATGCACGGTGCTTGCCGGCTCTGTTCGTGCCTGACTGGGGATTGGGTGCTGATAGAGGAGTTCTGTAATCATTGTCACTCATATCTCCATCAGCAAAGTCGTCGGCATCATCAGAGCTGACGTTCTCGAACCCCGCGAACAAGCTGCTGATACGGTGAGGGCGTCGAATTGATCCCTTGTCTTTGTTCAGGAATCCATCATCGTTATTCCCAGGATAGGCGTCACGGGTCTCGCCACGAGTGGGCTCAGGTGGTGAGGATGGAATCTCTTGGTCCATGCTTGGACGGTTCAGACGTCGAGGACTTCGTGGAGGGATATTTCCCGGAACAGGTGAAAATCGGTTCACATCATAATACCCTGGTTCCGGGGATGGCGGGTTTGAAGATATTGAGGAAGGCTGGAGATGTGGTGGGAGCAAGTTTAATCGTTTATCCACTCTGATCTCCTCTGTTTGAACGGATATCGACCTCGACGGTACGGGTACCTGCATGCTCACTTGGCAGCCTACATCCTTGAAATACTGGGGAAGTCGATTTTCACGCGGCGTTGTGGGAGCGGAAGTTGGAGGATGTAGCTGAATGGAGGGGACTGGGATTGGGATTGGTGGTGGAGGCGCGGCTCGTCTGGGTGATTGCAGCTCGGGAGCATTTGTTTGCGTTGACATTGATATCATTTGGGGTGTAACGACAAGCTCTGTTGGTGGTGGAGGTGGGGGGGCTCTGGTAGGTGATATAGGCGTTCTAGGAGGGCTCAGAGGCTCTTCGCCAGTCTGAGATGCTGCAGAAACCATCCGTCCTCCGCTTGACGCTTCAATCATCAAAGGGCTTGCATGCACACGCTTCCTTCGCTGATTAGCCTCTATTTCCCACTCTCGTGGAATATGTTCTGGCTCCAGTCTCTCCTCTTTGGCAATATCATCAGCGCCATTTATGGCCAAATGCTCGACAGGGGATTGAGGAACAGACGCAGGCAACTCAGGCGATGGAGGAGGCGAATATTGAGACCCGGTATCAATATACTCGACTTTGACCTTCGGTAGTACCGACTCATCGTCTTCCAAAATGCCACCTTCAAGTCTTTCCAATACTGATTGATTTAGTATTAGCCTGCCTCGTGCAACGCTACCTGGTCGCATGAGACTCTCATTGCTCTGGTTACGTCGATGATGCTTGGAGAAGACGCTCTCGCGGCTCTGTGTTCGATTGTGACGGACAGAGAAAGAGCTTTCCCTCCCATCTTGATCTGTCTGGACTTCCTCATCATCGTCGAGGCCCAACTCATCTGCCAAGCTGATCCCGTTCAGTTTTGTTCCACCATTGGGGCCGTTCAGCATTGAAAATCGAATACTATTGGTCATGCTCATGCTCCGCACACTGGCAGTGTCACTCTGGACAGGATCTCGAGACATCTCCTCTGCTTCACTTTCAGGCTGCTGCTGTGCATTTTGGTGGTTTGCTTGATACGCAGCAACTTCGTCGAGTACAGCTCGCAATCGTCCCTCAGCCACATGAACTTTGTGCTCCAGCTTCCTTCTATCGTCTTGCCAATTGTCTTTATCTCTCTCCCACAGCTCATGGACTCGGTCGGACTCGTCGTCCTGGCTTTTGATTTTCTTTTGCGCCGTTTCCAACCTCCGTTTCATGTCATTATTGGATTCCGCAGCGTCATCACGTTCTCTAGCAAGTTCAGAAAGTGCTGAAGACGTTCCTCCTTCCAATAATGCCAATTGACGCTTTAGCGACCGATTTTCCTTCGCGGTAGCTCCAAGGTTGGTTTCCACTTCTTCGTGTTCTCCTAGGGTATTATGCAATGACGACTCCAAGCTTTCAATTGTTTTGATCTTCTCCTCCTGGTCTCTCCGCAGGGCTAGAATCTCGGAAACCAAGTTCGCGTGTAATGTTGGGGTAAACCTTCGAGGGTCGAGTATGGAAATACTATTGCGCTGTAAGTTCCGACTATCTGTCTACAGGGTAAAGGAGAGTACCTTTCGTCTCTTGTGATATCCTTTGATCCTTGGTTTGGAGGCGGTGATGATGATTTCTGGCGAGAAGATCGCCGCGAGCTCCTGGAAGGAGTCCTATACGCCCCTCCCTCATCTTCAGTCTCCCACATCGTCTTTCCGTAAGATGATTCCCTAGGGAAGCGAAAATTCACTAGAATGTCTGCTCAATCTCTCCATCAAAATCCCCGAATGCTCTATCAATTGTTGTTTATCGTGTATTGCTAGTGGTATTGCATCCGTGTACCCTGGATATATCCCGGTCGTGGTCCTGTTTTAGAGAACTGATTAGGTTCTTAGAAGAAAGTGTTCCCGGATACGCTTTGGCATAAGTTAGCTTCAAGCTTCATCTACTCAAGGATACCCAAGAAAGCTCGCCCCAACCGCAATATGCCGGGTCCAACCTGGCGCGGGTGAATCGTGGAGGGTGAAGCAGAAAATAATATAGTACCTCGAATATGGCACGAGATATGCTTTGTTTCAAGATATTTCTACACACCGGCTAGTCCATAGCCCGACAAATGAAGCGCCTTGTTGCATGAATATGCGTCAGAAAGGTGATTGTGGCCGTTGCTCATCATTCATTGCGATCCATGTCCCTTGGTCCTCTTATGAATTGGCGCAATAGAAGAGCTTGTATGATAGATTTCAGCGACACTAAACACGAAGAGTTGGCATAAAGTAGCTGCAATGAAGAAATGCGAGATTTGTTGTCTTAATGCGCTGGTGTCTGACGTATTAGCAACAAGTTGATTTATAGGTAGTACTGGTGTCGCAGAGATGCAATCTTTAACCAGGACGCTCGAGTCTCGACTTACCCAGCTTGTCAAGTTGGCCCGTGGAAAGCAAAAGCTTTAATGATTAAACTCGTAGGGCCCTACAAGTCAATTGAAGCACGGGGAACAGCAGAGGCAAAAGCAAAAGCAGAAGCAGGAGCAGAAGCAGGAGCAGAAGCAGAAACACGTAACAAAGAGAAGGAAACGCGTTCAACGATAATGTACAGGGCAATGCAAATGAGAGAAACAAAGTGAGTGCAGTCTGCATGAAGATCAGAGAAAGAAGCCTACGCCTACTGTAGGAACACACGGACTGTGACAAGGACGGCGCCTTGCTCGAATGAGGTTAAAGGAGCACAGGGGATTTGTGGTATCCGGGGTGCACGACAATTTGACAAGGAGATGAGTGGCACGAATAGGGAAAGCCCCTAAAAAGCGCAGGCGAACGAGCCGCTGGTTCACCACTTTTACGGGGGTCCGAACCTAGTGAAGTCTGGCTTGGGTCGTAATGATGGGCTAGGGAGACTAAGCGACATGCAAGGCACTTCACATTTACGGTAGGGGAGGTGTAGGGTAGGTGTACAGTACTGTATGTAGGGTACGCTTTCGGTACTCGTAAAATACTTTTCCTGATCACATCAAGAGTAAATTGATTAAACGTACGTACCTCCGTATTCGTACGGTACAGCAGTAGCGGAGGTAGGTACTTGTAGCTTTGCTGCTTCGGATGTTGGCGTGCTGGGATGATCCTTTGCCAATTGATCCTTTCTCAATTGAACCTTTCTCAACTGAACCTTTCTCTAGGTCCCCTCCCCAAGGCTTTGGTGGGTGAGGTGAGTTGAAGACTTCAAGACTTGTACTCTATTCCATACCAAGTAAGTTGTCCATGCCGCAAGAGAAGGCTTTGGTTTGCAGCTCTTTCCCCGGATCCCAGGGGCCCATTGAGCTTTGACTTGCGAGAGGATGAGGATGAGAATGATCTTTGGTTGGTGCAATACGTACTCGTACTGCATGCATTTCGTACTCGAGTACTTCGTACTGTTGACGACTCGGAATTCGGCCACTCAGGGCTCTCCTGGATCTCCCCTGGATCTCCCCTGGTTACCGTATCGTATGGCTCTGAACCCCTGACATCCAACGGCCCGCTCAGCAGCCAGTCAACTGGGTGCAGCACAATTTACATCCGTAGAGTTACTTACCTCCGTACTTACGGAATATCATAGGCTGTGGAACTTTTCGGGTCGCAGTAATTGGCTACACCGTCCGCAGAGCTGAGATGCCAAATGGATGCAGGAAACTGGAAAGGGGGATGATCAGCTAGCGTTTCAATCCATCCCATCTACGAAATGCTGGAACTGGACGGGGCTCTTCCCGCAGCCCCGCTGGACTAGACTAATCTCCAAGACTCCAACAAGCCATACGGTCCGTACCCTTACTCCGTAAATTTACCTTTTGCCAACCCAGCAGCTTTGCCCGGCTTTTATCTAGTACAAGTATTTCGTACATTGAATACCGAGAGTACGGACTTTTGTCGCCTCGGGAGATCTTCGATCATGTTCTGGAATTGGGTCGGTATCTGGCACGTTCAAAGTTCACAGAAACTGTAAATACTTCGTATATCGACTAAAAGCCTCAGCCGGATGCTCGTCGGCAAATGAGTGAGGCGGTGTTTCACGGCCGGCTTGGCACCACTGACGGCTGGGCTCCTTTCTTTTAAGTTTTCATCCTTCGTGGGATTCTAATACACTTATGGTAATCGTACGTCGATTTATGGCTATCTAGCAGAAGCTTGGTGATGATTCTTGCTCACTCTGCATTAGGAGTGTTATAAAAGTATTTGCACATATGCTCCTTGCAAGTGCCTCTAGATTGATATGAGCACTGAGCAGGCTTCCCGCTCAGATTAATAACTTGGGGGAGTTCCGGCCCCCCCTCCCCCCAGTCTTCTCCTAAAGCTTTGAGGCTCAAATTCGTAAATCGTGCGCCAGGAGCATAGCAGAGCTACATCTTCAAAAAAAATAAAAAAAATAAAAAAAATATCCCCCATCTAGTATCATTTCTAGAATAAGAAGTACCATTTATTCAATGTTCAAGATGTTCGCCAAGACAAGAGTATAAATGTCCCCAGTTATCCAGATCAAGTTAGTGGTCAAAATGTTTCAGTTGAGAGGTAAACTTGCTTTTTGTTCCTTAACTCTCACCGTGGAGATAATATTTACTCCATAATTATCTGTTCCGTGCTATGCAAAGAGCTCCTATTCGAAAAGTATCATTGTAAGAATAGCCTATTCCCTGTCATGAAAAAGCTAGTCTAATTATATATGCGGGAATCTGTCTCTACGCTAGGCAGGCTAAGCAGTTTCCACTGGCAGACATAGAGAAAAGAAGCGAGCACTTTATATAAGACGATTGCTGTACTGTGATGAAGATGACGACCGCGCCTTGAAATCGCCCGAAGTCAAAGTTTCGGTCTCGCCTTTGGCCATCTTCCTTCAGCTTAGATAAAAACTACGACCGGTAGTATATAACATGCAGGTGCATCATATCCTATAACCTTGTATCTACCTAGGTAGTAAAATAACCTATTCGTCTTAGCCCCTTTCATTGTAAGTTACACCTTCTTTGTAAATGAATTTTGCTTGTTGGATTCCACTGAGCTATTGGCTTCTTGGCAACCGCCTCGTTATTAAAATGTCGTAGCGCTTTCATCCCCCTCAATTAACGGGTTATGTATAGTTCCTGCGGGGAACCGCAAACTGCAAGTTGCCTTCAGCCGGCAGCATGCAAATTAATATCAAGATATAGACCCCGGGCTGCACAGGACTGCAAAATTTCGCCACGTTGCATCACATGCAGCGTGAACCGCCGTGGATCAAGGAGGGCATCGTCAGAATATACGAACATATTCAATACAACCTTAGAGGATGAATTAATAGGCTCTCATTCTATCCCAAATCTTCTGGCCACTTCAATGAAACCATCTTCTTCCTCTGTGACCCACATGTCAACCCACGTCTTTGCATCCTTGTATTCCTCCTGGTCTGATGTCCAGTCTTCTTCCTGTTTCCTCTCGACGTATATTGTTTTGAAGCCCAACCTCCTCGCGGCTTTCAAATCGTCAAGATGGGCTGCAACCATGGCAACGTTAACAGGTTGTACACCCATTGCCTTCGCTGCACCAAGGTAAACGCTGGGATGCGGTTTGTACGCCTTGAAATCTCCCGAAGATTGCAACATCCTGAAGCCCAAGTTGCCATGTTGGTTCAGATCCTTCAACAAAGACTGATTGCCATTTGACAAGGTCGAAGTAATGAATTTGGAGCCTAACTTGTGAAGTCCGGCAGATGAATCTGTCCATGGATCAAGGTAATGCCATATGAGGCTTAATTCCTCGACTTCATCTTCTGTGTACATCCCTTCAAGTTGCCAACTCTTGAGAAGATCTATGAGAGCCAAGTGGTGGTGAGTATCAATGTCCAGCCATTCAGTCTCGCCGGGCACGAAGCCTTTCGTGAATTTCTTGTAACTGTTCCTCCACTTCTCCGCAGTCAGCATTAATTGACAGAGAAGGATTTAATGTCTTCAAACTCCCGAGATATTGAAACTTATAAATTTGTCCCAATAGGGAGATGGATGATAAAAGATAATATTTACCTCTTGCGCAAATTGAGCCCAATCTTTATCTGTCAACGTCGACAAGCGAGTACGGACTTCTGGAGACAAGTTTGCTGACCTTGAAGATGAAGAGATTTTATTTGCAGCGCTATGAACCAAGGTAGAAGTAACAGTTTTTCTCCAATCAACTAATACCAGCAAGTCAATGAATGCTTTGTCAAACTGTGGGACGGCTTGTGGGACGGATAGTTTTTTCATACTCCCATACGACGCATGTACTTTCAGCAGCTTTCCCCAAGATACAACTTCAACCTAGATATTTGGAGTATTGAAAGGAAGGCTTGTAAACTACATACCTACAGTTCCAAAAACATCAAAGGACAACGCCTTGGGAGGGGTCTGAAGGAGATCAGGCATGATGCTGATTATAACTGCTATAGATAACTCTGTCTGGATCAGATGAAAGAAACAAATCAAGCCAAAAGCACAGCTTCAGAGATAATTACACGCCGAATGCACCTAGATATGCACATGCGTGTGTATATATAGTTAATAACATCAAAGTTAACCTGGAAGCTTCCGGTAACCCCCGATCACAACCGTGAGAAAGTGGGATAAATTCAGGACGGGGGAAGGGATCAATCAGCCCAGCCCAGCCCAGCCCAGCCCATCCCCACCCTGCAGCCAAGCATTACCCCATACTCCTCCAGCGCGTCGTCACTTGGACTTTGACAACAGAAAATCTTTCACGCAAAAACACGCCTACAGATTCGACGAACTCACTTCATCACCACACAATTGCTTGCTTCTCCGTTGCTTTTCAACACCAAAGGAAGGCCCACAACATGCAAAAGTAGAGTCCCTTGTTCTTTCCACGCTCCACACCAAAAATACCATGAGCGCGCCCTTCACGCCCTTCACGAGACGCCACGAGGGCGTTTCTTATAGGCCTTTTAGTTTCCTGAATCCTACAATCAGGAAGCTTCCCTTCAATGCTAAGCCGTTGGAAACACACTCTAGTGAGGAGCGTTTAGAAGCCGAGGGCGATGATGCAACGAAACCCCCGAAAAAGGCAAATGCTGAGCTCCGAGCTGAGGATGTACAACGAGAATTCAGAACTCGCGACAACAGAAAAGGTTGTACTCTCCTCAACCGATCACGAAAAGCATTTGTGTTGCTAACCTCTTACTTATCATTCAGGTCGACATGCCATATTCGTCGTTCCCGATATTGCGAACAATCCCAAATACCTTACACCCCCTGCCACGAACAGTCTTAAAGAGGTGTTGAAGGGGATATGGCGAATGTTCAGCGTATACCCGTATTGGGACGTCTCGTATTTGGTGGCTATTATATTCACACTGGGATCTGTGGTCTGGTGTATCAATGCCTTCTTTGTTTGGCTGCCACTTCAATCCCCCTCCACCGAGTTTAAGGGTGAGATCACTGATGCCGGTGGCATAACTGCCTTCATTGGCGCTACGATATTCGAAATCGGGTCCATATTGTTGATGATCGAGGCTGTCAATGAGAACCGCTCGGATTGCTTTGGTTGGGCGTTAGAAGAAGTATTGGAGGAGAATGGCCTGCTTAGGTTGCGTCCAGATGGTTGTACTCATCATCACGGAAACAAGAAAAACCTCGTGGGAAAGGGCAAGGCATTAAAAGGTTGATTGCCCCACTCGGTGTCACAAATTCTTGCTAATGTAGATATTTCAGGTAAACCACCTATTGACACGACTATGGCTCCAAAAGACCAACCAAGTTCATCGTCTGCTAGTACGTGGATATGGTTTCCTACCTCCCATGAATTGCGGACGCATTACCTCAAAGAGATCGGCTTTCTTGCCTGTCTCTCACAAATGATAGGTTAGTCACTCCCACCCATGTCAATTATTAGTCTCTTACACTTGTACAGGTGCAACCGTCTTCTGGATTTCGGGCTTCACTGCTTTGCCTCCAATATTTGATAGACTGACCTCAACCGCGGCCCAGAATGGAGCATACTGGGCACCTCAAGTTATTGGGGGTAGCGGGTTTATCATTTCAGGCACACTCTTCATGCTAGAGACACAACAAAAATGGTATTTACCTGCACCCAGAGTTCTGGGCTGGCATATCGGTGTTTGGAATTTGATAGGAGTTAGTCATCAGTCTCTAATATCTACCTGTGCTGACTGTTTGCGTCAAAAGGGAATCGGCTTCACACTCTGCGGTGCTCTAGGCTTCGCAAGTGCGAATAGTGGGTGCGTATACCAAGGAAGTTTGGCAACTTTTTGGGGATCCTGGTGCTTTTTAATTGGCAGTGCTATTCAGGTAAGTCATTCATCAAAACTATGTCCACCCCCTATGTCGACACATTTGAGAATGCAGATTTGCTCTCTTGAGACATTTCTCATTGCTTTTCAATCAATGCTGCGCTTCTGAAATTCTCCTCCAGGAAAAAAAGGCTGATTAAATGTTTGTCGCAGTGGTATGAGAGCTTAGATAAGCATCCGGTTGATGTAACACAAGGGGAAGACAAAGTTGCTTAGCGCTGCATTGATATCGGATGGGTATATGCCGTTAAGCAAGTGGGCAGTGCCAATATCAGTTTGCATACAATGTACACTCTCATAAGTTTCTCGAATATGAAAAGGTGAAATGGATGACCGCTTGGGTTGATACGTCACAGGATTTAATTTTGTTTCAGACCACATCACTGTTCTAGGCCACCGAAGGATGCCAGAATCGGCAGGTCGCCTCGATCTGGCGAATGACCACCAATACGGCCAATACCTCGAATTCCCCAGGTTTCAGCTCGTGCGGATTCCCGTATTTCGTTACCCATCTCAGATTTGTCTCATCTCATCTTGGGTCAGCCGCCGCATGTCAACTGCTGTCCACTGGCTTGGGCACGCTGGCCTGGGCAAATTTACCCCTCGTTCTGCAGCTGCCCTATCTCGCTTCTTACCGGCGGTACACCACATCCTCAGCCAAGCTGGATCGGATAGCGAGCCGGCCCGAGCCCCGAACCTATCCCAGTCTTGGGCTGCTAGATGAGACCTCAATCCTTTCTCTCCAAGTCTGGTAACTGTAGGACAGCACCGGCAAGACAGGCAACACAGGTAGGGCATCTGTCAAGCAGGAGCAAGAGATCCGGTCACATCTCGATTCAGGAGCCTTCTGCTTATGCATGCGTTCCCGATTCGCATTGCCGGTTTCAAACCGTATTTTACACTGTCGGTCGGGATCTAACATATCCATAGCCATTGGCACGTGACTCGCTGCTCTCCCTGTTTTGGGGAAGAGGAATGCTCGCCGCTTTGAAATGGCGGCATGGAGCGAAGAGACACATCTGCACCATGCAGGGTGTTCTTCGTGCATACGGTAGCACCACTTGCGACGCGAGGCTACTGGCATTTCTCTCTCGAAGAGGGATGACTGAGCACTTGTGGCGCGGCTTTGCTACTACCTCGCGTGATTCGGGTGCTCTGAGGACATGGCTAGAAGGGCCTCAACCTTCAGGATTACCCAAGCAATGGTATTGAAGAGAGCATGGTCAAGAGGAGACGTCGGAGATTTCTAGGGGATTTAGGAGGCCTGTTCTTTACTTTTCTCCCTCCGAAATATAATGAGCTCGCAGGTGGGGCGGGGTATTTCGGACCCACCGAACCCTTTTAACCCTTACAAGCCTTTGTGAGAGATCGGAAAATGACAAGATCGACGAGAAGATGCATAGCAACAGTTCGTTCGTGAGGAATTATCAGGATATCGAAGCCTCTTTTTTGCATTGTAAAGCTACCAAAAGCAGATTTTGTTTGGTACAGCCTCATGACTTGCATGCTTCACTAGTTTAGCCTCCCCAACCACAATGGCTCGATAGTCGCTGGCTCCTCCTCCTTCAACCCTGGTGACCCAAACCCAAGCATGAAGTTTTCCGAAGATTATGTTGGTATAATTTTCATTTCTCGCTATGGAGTAGTTTCATAGGTACATAAATTACTATCTTCATAGCTCTCATTATACAGATATACCGTAGTCTTATCTACCCCTCATGCTCCACGCCCCTCTTCAACTCCAAAAAATCAGGGTGCTCCTGCCTTTCCCAGCTCGGATCATCTACTGCCTCGGGCACGGTCTGTTGATGCGCGCAAAGAAAAGGTGCAGTGCAGTGCAGTGCAGCGCCGCGCCTTAGTACCTCCGTAGTAAAAGTTAGGCAGACGCATTTCGATGATTCGGTACGATATATTTCATGGGATGTTACGTTGTGGTTCGTCTGTCTGTGCACAGGGAAGCCCGTCTGCCAGTAGAGTATAGTGCCATGCTATGCTTCTTTTCGTCACAGTACGAACATCCCATCACATCACATCACACCCCTCTCAATTTAACTTTTTTTTTATGTGGCCTTGGCCGTTCATCAACATCCCGAGCTTTCGGTGCCCAACGCATGAGCCATTTGTCTTTCATTTCCTTATTTTTGCAAGCTTAAGATAGAGTTTACTACTACCGGGACTACCTACTTACTGACTAGCTGTCTAATGTATCCGATTTCCAACTGCACTAGGCTGACCTTTCTGATTTATGATCAAGACTTGACTTGGACTTGGTACGGAGTATCAAAATAATATAGCGCACATCTTACACTTCTGGAAGGAAGTATTTGCCCTCCCCTCCTACATGGCCGGTAATAATAAAGCGTGGGATACACGTGCTGAGGACAGTAACAGTGGAGCCCGTCCTTCTCGGCGGGAAACAGAACCTGGTTCTTTTCTACGGTGCAGTACAGTGCGGAGTAAGGTATGTGGAGGATCTTTCAACAAGACCGTGGGAACGCGGAGAATTGGAGCAAGATATCTCCGCTTGGGCTCCGATGGATCATCCAACATAGCGCTACTTTTCGGTTTTTAAAATCTGGAATTTCCCACCGAGTCTAGATATCTATCTGAGGTAGTTTGCACATGACATGGTAACGACGCAGCAGGGGTAGAGGTACTGTAGTACGATACGGTACATGAACTTACTGTACTGTATGCTTAAAATACAAAGGGTTTCCTTCAAGGAAGATAACCCAGGCAGGCTATCTGTGGGGTGCCTTCTAGACGCTTGCCCTATTCTCTTGCTTGCATCTTCCCGCCGGGTGGTTTGATGGCTTTGGGGAAGGTGCCGCCGTTTCAGGAGGGCTACGGGGGGCTGCGTGGGGGTTCTATTGCATCGTGGGGTGCGTTGGGACATGTATATGCGATAGACAATCTTTTAGAGCAAGCTATCACATCACAGTTGATCATCACTCTCACGCTCGCAACAGGTGGGATCTCGGGTCCAAGAATTCGGTCTCGCTGTTTGCTGTGCTGGCTCTGCCTTGCTGAAGCCTCTTTTCCGCTCTCTACCCAGTTCATGCCATGCTGCCTCCTATTGCCGTTTCATTGGGCTCCCAATATGGATTTAGATGAGTAGTGAAAATTTAAAGACATGAAAGCTCGCAGCAAGCAAGATACGTTTCCAAAAATGCGCCAGTGAACACCAACCCCTGTGTTGAACCGACGGGAGTAGATTCCTTCTTTGGAGGGTTCCAACTCGAGACCCGTCGATTTTTCATGATACGCCATACGCCTCCTGTTTTGGTACTCCGTTCGCCAATCCAGGTTGAAATTCGTGCAACGCTGTAGAAGATGGAAGGGGCGTCGTCAAGGGTATGGTGGGGAGGGCCACAAATTCGTGGGGGGAAAGCTACCATGGCTTCTTGGAAAAGTGTTCATTATTTTCGGGCATGCTCCCAGAGCACTCCCCATGGTCGCCTCAAAGCATAGCCTTCTCATAATATGACACACTTCTTCTTATCTCCTTTCGCACGATCATTGCGGTAAGTCCTTGTGCTGTCTCTTTGAAGCCCATCGCCTGAGCCGTTCCGTGTACCTCTTCCGGTCCCTTGCATTGATCTTGGGCTGTTCTGCATGCGTTGCCGGCGCAATTGCCTCACAACGTCATAGAAAGCCTTCTCGACATTGATGTAGTTCTTGGCGGATGCTTCAACAAATTCGCATCCCAATTCTCGTGCTAGAGCATGCCCTTCTTGTGTAGAAACTTCCCGCTCTGTCACTCTATCGCTCTTGTTTCCAACCAACATTATTGGAACTGGCGCTGAAGGCATGTTTGATGATATTGGAGATCCTATAAACGAAGGTGATGAGGCCGAGGATTCCTTGACTCGCTGGATCTGGTTATGGAATCTCGTAATGCGGGTGAAAGATGATCGTGAGGAAATGCTGTAGACCAGTACAAAGCCTTCTCCGTCACGGATCCATTGGTCTCGTAAAGCTGTGTATTCCTCCTGACCGGCTGTATCGAGGACTTCTAGCATGCATGATTGTCCATCTATCACTACTTGCTTTCTATAAGAATCTTCGATTGTGGGATCATACTGCACACAGTAAAGTAAGCAGGAGTCTTCGGTGTCACAGGTGCGAAGGGAGAATTGAGGGGCCCGGGAAAGGGAAAATGTTTGCTCACAGTTTCAACGAAATGTTGCAAAGTAAGTTGTATAGTCAAGGCTGTCTTCCCAACACCTCCATCTCCTAGCACCACCAGCTTGTAGAGCACCATCTTGCCCGCCATGATGTGGGATGTTGTCAATTCGAGGGGGGGCGGAATAAAGCTGGCAAGAGAACTTGGGACGAGATGGCAGAGAGTAGGTAGGGAGGAATAAAATCGAGAGATGTCTCCTCGAGATCTTTGAACAAAGGTCTAGATATACTCGCAGTGAAGATTTGTTTGTACTGGGTCCTGCTTTGCTCCGGACAGGGAGGTCGAAGGAGCTCGGACGTCCGCTTGAAGAGGGTTTGGTGTGGTCAGGTCAGGTCTGGTTGGGTCAAGCGTCGATACCGGTAGTGGCCGATAGCAATAAATAATGCCTGCCTTCCGCCGCCTACACAGACAAGAGGAGACGAGACAGAGCAATAGAGAGAGAGAGCTTCAACAACGGAGGAGCAGACCAGAGCGGGGTGCGTGAACTAGCTTAAGCTTACTTGATCAACAACAGTCATCTACTGTATCTGCAGGCGTTATGCGCAACTCTGCCGGCGAATTAGGTATTGGTTTGGTTGGTCCGGGCTATGTTTCGCTGTTCTGTTCGAGGGTGCGGGTGCGGGTGCGGGTGGTGGTCGAGTCTGTTGGCAGCGATTAATTATCGTGAAGTATAGGATGCGACAGTTTGGTGATAATGGTAACAAGATAATAGCAGTAATAATAACAATAATGATAGTAGTGATTGGGGTGTTTGAGCTTTTAGGGAAGAGCTTGTTCGTCGGTGGGGTTGACAGACAGAAGATGGCCTGGTACTGTAGTCTGTAGCTAAGCTAATAAGCCTTTAGCCTTGGGCTGGGGCTAGGACTTGAGCTAGGAATTGGAAGAGATCCGCTGCCGAAGCGCTGGGAGGCGAGGCGAGGGGTCAGAGTTCAGTACGGTAGTACTCAGTAATTGGAGCTGGCGATAGAGATGAGAATGCGAATGCGGCAAAGATGATTCTGATAATGGCGACGGGGACTAGGAGAAGAAAAGTAAAGTGCTTTCCTAGATATTCCCATGCAGCAAGAAGCTACGCACGCAAAATCCTAAACTGTTTGCGCGTCTCCTAAAGTGCTGGAAGAAGGGAAGGGAAGGGAAGGGCTACGAGTAGAGGGCATTAAAGCAGCGTCTGGAATAGGAGTAGGAGCAGGGCAGGGCAGGGTCAGGCCCAACCGGGGAAGGAGGAGGAGAGGAGAAGAGGAGAGTAGAGGAAGAGGGACTTCGGCCTGAGGATAAGTAGTAAGTAAAGCCTCCCACCAGTCCTGAACCTAGGTACCCAAGCCAAGGCTGTTCGTGGTACTTACTTGCTCTGGCTGTACTCGGAGTAGCTCCAGCGATAGCACGAAGACTACTCAAGTCAAGTACCGCAATGCAGTGAGAGTGGGGGATCGCGTCGCGTCGGGTTCTTTGTCTTTCTGTGGCTGGCCTTCTCACTAATAAATACACTTACTAACCATCTTTTTTACTTACTCGCAGGCCACCAGGCTGATCCTATCCTATCCCACTGAACAACGTAGAGAGACACGTCTAAGCTTTCATCACATGTGATGGGGCAATAAGTAGGGTACGAGTACGGAGTATAAAGTGCTAGGTACTGTACTGGAGGTGCGGTTCGGTATATCAATGCATTAATAAGAGAATGCTTGGGAAGGGTGAGGGTGAGAGTAAAGACACCATTAGCTACCTAGGTATTATTATATTGTGCCCCAATCCGGGTCGGATGACGGACTGAATGATCTTACTCACGAATTACATCTTCCTATCCTCGTGTCTAGATAATATCGATAGAATAGTCTACTCTTTCCCGCCACGAAGACCTCCTGTCCTATTCTTTCGGGGCAGTAGAGTAATGGGCAACCCTTTGTACAAATGACATGCAATTGCCCTGCAACGACTTCATTTTGAAATGCGTATGGCTACTGGTTGAGAAGTAACAAGTCAAGTCATATATAAGTCACTTGTAGCCTTGCCAGATGGCTGCCAAACAGCATTGAAATATCATCTTCTATTTGTACGAAATAAAGCCACGCTTTCAATAAAACCCCCATCCTGATATCATATCTCCTAAAAAAGGGCCCCACCGAATCCTCAATGCGCCGTCCTAAATCCCAACCAAGAATCTTAATATAGACATACGAAGCTCAATGAAGTCGTCCTTGGAAACTGGAATCCGACTACAGTCGAATCAGAACAAATGAATCCACATCATGTGAGGCAGCCAATCTAACTGTTCACTCTCTCATTTCGTTTTCATCCCCAAACGGAGACCCCTTCCTCTCCACGCCGTTGGCCTTCGCCTTCTTCGTTGCCTCTTCGATCACAGCACTAAGGGAACTATTGCTTTTCTGCCGAGAAACCGGCGGGTCTTTGAAAGGCCCTTGCTCCATCGTGGGAGTATCGTCAATGATAGTGATGGCATGTGATTCTCGAGGAAGAAGACTTTCATGCATAGAAACGTCGTCTCCAGGTGCTGAGTTTTGTGGTGTCTTCTTTGGGCCGCTTTCTACTCGCACAACCTGTGGTCTGACTTGCGTTGCGGCGCTGGCATTATTCAGGAAGGTTGATCCAACACTGAACGCAGGACTCGGGGGTCCGCCAATTCCGTATTTATCATAGTCGACACTGGGAACTGGCGGTGTGAGTTCTCCAGGTGTGCCACCTCCAGTGGTTTTCACACTGACGACTGCGGCCTTGCCCCTGATCACTGTCTGAGCTGGCACCGGAGAAACGACAGCATTCTTTCCATAGATAGTGGACGCAACACTATTCCTTGCGTAAGAAGTCCGATCACTGATACCGGAATAGGTAGAGTCCCGCAGGTCACCAGGCATAAAAAAATGCTCTTGTTCGTATCGTGGTGTAGTGGAAGCTGACGATAACGCAATTGGAATCGGAGGAACGGGAGGTACTAAGAGGCCAGGCGTTGACGGTGCAGATCGGTTCGTAACTCCTGGAATATATGCGATTTGAATGATATTAGAAGCCCTGGTCAGGACGGTGGAAGCAATGGAAGCCACTGTGTGAGTTGAAGCCCTTGCATCCCGTCGCATTGTGAACTCCTTCTCTGCTGCTGTTTGCTCCTCTTGCTCCTCAATCCAGTCCTCTTGTTCATATTGTTGTCTCTTTGTCTTGATACAGAATCTCCAGACCAGGTATGTCACAGCTGCTATAGCCAATATTCCTCCGATCACACCGCCGGCGATTGCTCCTACGTTTGGGCCAGAACTTGACGACTTGGAGGAGCTGCTTGTAGTTGTGGCAGCGGCGGCAGCGGCTACACACTGAGTTTTCTGGCATTCGTCGCACGTGGGCGGAAGGAGTGCACATTGGAAGCCACTGTCACAGGAAGGGCATGAGGGCGACTCCGGGCCACAAACCACGCATCGTCGGAAAAGGCTATTGTAAGAGGCTACAGGAAGGTCAGTATCGACAGTATTGGGGGCCAAGTGGGGGGGGGGGAGCTGACCTGATGAAAAGGCCATGATGATGAGTAAAATAGAAGAAACAAATGAGCTATGTTATCATAAAGTATGTGGTGGATGATCAGGGCCGAATGGGTCGAGGCACCTTATAGGGTGCTCGTTGTAATTGATTTGGCCTTCAAAGAGTCGTAAATTTATCGTAGACAAAGAGAAAGTGCTCAAAAGACGTGCGCGAAAGGGTGAAATGTGGGATGATAAAGCAGCAGTATCACAGATACGGTTTGCCTCTGGTGGCTCTCGTGTCGCAAGATTCGGAAGGGAAGTGAAGAGGGTAATTCTTGGGAATAATGTGGCCTGCCGGGCGCAGAAGCAACGCAACGAAGGGAGATTTAACGAATGTAAGTGAGCAAGAGCTCTATAGTGTGATAGGTGAAGGTTGATTGAGCGCTCTGCGACTACATCGATGGTGAAATAAGTTGGATGGGCTGGTAAGGTTTGGAGTTTGTAGGACCAGATCCAGACCACACGGTTGTCGTGAATGTTTGGCTGAGCTGCGTTGGCACAGAGCGTTGATCCTCAAAGAAAGGATGGAAACGGGAGTGAGCGAGAGACCTGGCGAGAGTTCCCCACAGCGCCCTTACCTTGCCTTACTATCCGTATAGTCAGGCCAGGCCAGGGGAGGGTAAGATCTAATTTAAGGGGATCATGCGTTATGAACCAATGATATGCGACATATAGCCCCACACAGGATGGGTTTATATCGTAACTAAGGGATTGCACGCCTCCCATCCCATAATCCATCTAAGAATGCGGAGAAAGATGTAAATCATCCTTCTAGGTTTTTGATATGAAGTTTTGCTACAGTGTACTCCTACTCTTCAAACTTGGTAGAAAGCATCAGGATATATCCAATTTAAGGACTACGCCACGACCATCAATAAAACCTTCGACTCCGTCTTCAGGATATCCAGAATGATGTGCGGCTTCACACTCACCTATTCCCAGCCTTCCTCAATGTCGGATATAACGGAGGATGAAAGACCAAAGAAGAACAACCAAATCGACATGATATTGCATCGTCATATTGGGTTCGATGTTGGTCGCCGATTTGATATCCTAAGCCGCGGTGCAAGAACCCATTCCCACCTATTTACGCACACATATGCTATCTGTACAACACCACACATCTTGGGACCGATCACGGTAGAGTCTGAGCCTTGGTGAGCACTACTCTCGGAATACCATACCGTATGGCCCTCTTGGGAAGATGGGAAGCAAATTTCATTGCTTTCCCACCTACAATACGTTGAAATCAAGTCTTGGAAATGGATGCACTTGTCGGACGTTCTATGATTTCTATCATCAACGTTATCTAAGACTACCTAGACTACCTAGATAAGTACCCTTGGTTACTCACCAGTGTGTCAATTGGCAAGTGCATATTTCCTTCGTTGGTCCTAAGATACTTGCTTAGACTTCTATCGAGCTAGAATGCGCTTTCTTATATTCACTTGACTCTTTAACAAACTTCATATGGCGCTGTGGTGGTCCGGGGGTTTTCTGGTAGTCTTTTTTGCACACCAATTGGAAAGAGCATTTGAGCCAAAAGTCAGAGCCGTGACTTCAAAATCGGGTGTCACACCCTGCCGTTCGTGCAGTCACATTAATCAACTACTTTCGCCTTTCCATTATCTAGCATATACCTAAGTACTTCTTCGTCTGTTTCTAATTTCGGATGCCACCCCTCACGTTTAGCCCAACAACCTCGTGTATCCTCGAAACAGAATAATCTAAGTCAAGCCAGTCCACTTCGAGCACAATATCATTGGCGGGAGAAGTAGATCGGATGGGTCAATGTTCTTTCAATTATACATTTCAGCTATATCATACTGAGTAGCTTCCTCTTGAGACGAACAGAGATGCGCAATTTAGACTTGATCTGTTGCAACAGCCAGCGAATATATGCCTGTGATTCAGGCAATATCTTCTTCTCAGACCACCGGAGAGCATATGATAATAGGAGGGTTCTTGAAGCTACCTAGGTATATGGACCACAGCATTGAGAAGCCTTTCAAGTAGGTAGGTTCTTTTCAACATTCTTATACTGGTTGACAACCTATTAACGGTCGCCTCGAAAAGATGCCTGCTTCTTGACAGGTCCCAAATACTTCCATCTTTCTACCAAGGTACCGAAGGAAATGCTTTCAATAATTGAACCCCAAATCAACATGCCTTATGCTTGATCTAGAATTTGCTGACCAACTATATTCAGCCCAAATAACCCACCGCTCTCTCCAGCTGTGTAACCCGCGTTTCGGTGATAACCCGAAGCGCAGCATACGTAGTCTCAAGATACTTCTTCCTTTGAAAAGAAGTATATTGAAAAGCTTGCCCACTTACTACTGTAGGTGAACTTCAGTCTCACATTTTCTCCCACAGCATTCAGACCAAAAGCCTGGTCGGCTTCAACTTCAACTTGAGATTTGACGATGCTCAGTTGTTCAGATGTTCACGGGCCCACCCGTAGCTCCAGGGAGCCTATATTTAGACAGCCCTAAGGTAAAGATGGCTAGTCGGTTTCTGACGCGCGCTGCCGAAGATTCATTGTGGCAACAACAAAGAAAACTACGTACCTCGTACAGTACATGCGCATGAATACGAGTTGCAGCAGGCTGAGGTTTTGAGGCCAACTTGGACAAAGAAAGAGACTTGGAAGCATGAACATGAATGAGTAGTGCAGCCATCGGACGGATTCTTTGTATTTCGACTCCTCACAGGCCGTTTTGGCAACAAGTGGTTGGTTGCTACTTGAAACAGCAGCAACAGGGTCTAGAGACTTCAGACCTTCCCCTTCTCCTCTCGCACGATTTTATGCAGGTACTTCGTATAATAGGGGATAGAATCAGTAGAATACCGCGTACAGCTCAACAAAGAAGGGACATTCCCACCCCAGTCCAGCCCAGCACTGCACTGCCTCTTGTTGAGATTACTCCATATAATTGGGTATTTCTCGCGCCTCACACTCACAACCGCTGCGTCTTTTACGAAGTACATTTATTAAGCGACGAACTAAATACCAGCCCAGCACCCGTCTCCGCCCCAGCTTCCTTGTCTGCGTCGATCAACTGCCAGTAAAAGCGAGGCAAACCGACCACCTGCGCAACTTTGAATCTCACAATACCCTCCTCTTCCTCTCCATCTCCAAGAAACCTCATCATTCTCTCCTTCTTCTTCTATCCTTCCCCGAAGTCTTCTTTCCCTCGGAGCTTCCTCGACACATCTCGCTGTAGAGTGTGACGTCGGTATTTGTTTACTTGCTTGTTATTCACGACCACGGACATTCATTCCCTAGCTGAAAGCATCTTCTCACATACGTTCCCCTTTCACAAACATCCAGCCAACTCATCAATCCAGCGACGGCACACCATAGAATCGAAAGCCTAACACCTCATCATGGCTCATAATCCACCCGGGAACGGTTATGATGAGCATCACCTCGCAGACCTCCCTCCTCCGGGACAATACGATGCTGAGGACGGCGGAAACCAACCTTTGTTGCATCAGCAGGCGGGCGCTGGCCCCTTTGCAAGTCCCTACGACAGCCAAACCAACCTAGGCCTACGAGCACAGTCTCCAACCGTGCGGCCTGGGTCGACATACAGCTTGACAGAATCTTACGTCCCTGGTGCTTCGCCGGCTCCCTACTCCAGCGAATATGGTGGCAGCAGCACCACGTATGGCCATCCAGCGGACGACGCTGAATTTGGACGGGCTGGTTCTCCCTACTCCCGAGCTGATACCGATTCCACCGAAGCTTGGAAGCAACGTCAAGTCCCCAACACTGGTGGTCTCAAACGCTATGCTACGAGAAAGGTCAAACTCGTTCAGGGCAGCGTCTTGAGCGTCAACCATCCCGTGCCATCTGCCATCAAGAATGCCATACAATCGAAATACAGGCAAGAGGCCGAGACTGGAAACAGCGAAGAGTTTACCCATATGCGATATACAGCAGCAACTTGCGATCCCGATGATTTCACTCTAAAGAACGGTTACAATCTACGGCCCGCCATGTACAATCGCCATACCGAGCTTCTGATCGCCGTTACTTACTACAACGAAGATAAAACCTTGACCGCCCGTACCCTACACGGTGTTATGCAAAATGTCCGCGATATTGTGAATCTAAAGAAATCCGATTTCTGGAATGTTGGTGGGCCAGCTTGGCAAAAGATTGTCGTGTGTCTTGTTTTTGATGGAATAGATCCTTGTGACAAGGAAACTTTGGATGTTTTGGCAACTATCGGTATCTTTCAAGATGGTGTCATGAAAAAGGATATTGACGGCAAGGAGACCGTGGCCCATGTCTTCGAATACACGACACAATTGTCAGTCACGGCACAGCAACAGCTCATTCAACCGATAGACGACAGCAGTTCCACCCTCCCGCCTGTCCAGATGATATTCTGCTTAAAGCAGAAGAACACCAAAAAGATCAACTCCCACAGATGGCTCTTCAACGCTTTCGGTCGACTTTTGAACCCCGAAGTCTGCATCCTTCTCGATGCTGGAACAAAGCCTGGTGTAAAATCGCTCCTGTATCTGTGGGAGGCTTTCTACAATGACAAGGATCTTGGAGGAGCATGCGGTGAGATTCATGCTATGTTGGGTAAAGGAGGGAGGAAGCTCCTCAACCCCTTAGTCGCTGGTCAGAATTTCGAGTATAAGATAAGTAATATTCTGGACAAACCGCTTGAGAGTTCTTTCGGATACGTCAGTGTGTTGCCTGGCGCTTTTTCTGCGTACCGCTTCAGAGCAATTATGGGCAGACCTCTTGAACAATATTTCCATGGTGACCATACTCTGTCGAAGAAACTTGGTAAAAAAGGAATTGAGGGAATGAACATTTTCAAGAAGAACATGTTTTTGGCCGAGGACAGAATTCTCTGCTTTGAGTTGGTTGCTAAGGCTGGCTCTAAATGGCATTTGACTTATATCAAAGCCGCCAAGGGAGAAACTGATGTTCCTGAGGGAGCTGCCGAGTTCATTGGCCAACGTCGTAGATGGCTTAACGGATCTTTCGCGGCCTCTGGGTATTCGATAATGCACTTCGGCAGGATGTAAGTATCGGTATTTAGTCACACATGGAGCTTTTACTAACATTATACAGGTACAAAAGTGGTCATAACATTGTTCGCATGTTCTTCTTGCATATCCAGCTCATTTACAACACCTTCACTGTCTTCCTCACGTGGTTCATGCTGGCATCATACTATCTTACCACCACTGTAATTATGGATCTTGTTGGAACCCCGACACCAGCAGCCAACGGGATCGCGGCGAAGAATGGATGGCCTTTCGGCAACACCGCAACCCCCATTATCAACACCATTCTCAAGTTCCTCTACATTGCCTTTTTGTTGGTGCAATTTATCTTGGCTCTTGGAAATAGACCAAAGGGTTCAAGACTTACCTACATCATCTCGTTCGTGGTCTTTGGGGTGATCAACGCATATCTGATCGTCTTGGCCTTGTACCTCGCCTACCAAGGCATTAAAAAGACAAAGATCGACGGCGATAATGCGAAGGATTTCTTCGCTAGTTTCTTCGGCTCGAGCAGTAGTGGCGGTGGCATCATCATTATCGCTTTGCTTGCTACTTATGGCCTGTACTACGTTGCGTCGTTCATGTATCTCGATCCATGGCATATGTTCCACTCGTTCCTCCAGTACCTGCTACTTGCATCATCCTACATCAATATTCTGATGGTCTATGCCTTCAGTAACTGGCACGATGTCTCTTGGGGTACGAAGGGATCTGACAAGGCTGACGCCCTTCCTTCTGCTCAAACCACAAAAAGCGATGGAAAGACAGCCGTTATTGAAGAAATTGATCGGCCTCAGGAAGACATCGATAGCCAGTTTGAAGCCACAGTCAAGCGTGCTCTGAAACCTTATGTACCTGAGGTGGAAGACGATAAAAAGACTCTTGAGGATTCCTACAAGTCTTTCCGAACTAAGTTGTTGATTTGTTGGATCTTTTCAAATCTCATCCTGATTGTTGCTATTACCAGCGACTCGGTTGATAAATTTGGATTCGGAGTTAGTACTGCTCTCACATTTATATGAATCTGCCGCTAACAAGTCCTTAGAATAGTGCAAGCATCCGTACCGCGAAGTTCTTCGAGGTCTTACTTTATGCGACAGCTGTCCTGTCCGTTGTCCGATTTATTGGTTGCATCTGGTTTTTGGGACGCTCTGGAATCATGTGCTGCTTCAGGAGACGTTGAAGGGGTTGGGCAGAGGATATAAAAGTTGTGGTGGAACCCTTTTGGGGCCAGGATATGCATTTTTTGAAATTAGGCTGCTCTTGCAGTAGATCTGTAAGAGTACAGTGAGATATGTTCGTCGAGCATCAGCACATAATGGCGTTTTAGAAGCCGTCCAACGGCTGTCGCGTGGATCTGGTCGAGTGTGCCTGGAAATGAATACCCCTATAAATAATCTGTTTCATTGAATTGGAATAGGCTACCGTGGAACACAATTCTCATATATTTGTGACTCTTTTCAAATAAGTTTCTGTATTTCAGTTTTCAGGTACAGTAGAAAGTACATGTACATTCCGACATTTGACAAACTCGGGACCTTTGTTCACATCACCAGGCAACCATTTTTTTAGACGAAAAGTCCCTGAATGAATGAGTGAATGAATAATTGTATGTCCATTTTATACTAAAGTCTAATCAGTGTAGTGGTGGATTTAAACCAGTTGAAATTCATTCATGGTCCAGCAGCAGGTCGCCAGGCAGGAATTCCTTTATCTTATCTCGAATCAAAGGCTGTCGCTTGCGCCTTGCCCTCAACACAACTTCCACCACCCTTTCAAGTACACCTATCTCCACCCTCTCTTCCCGCCACCACATAACTAAGTTGCTGGCACAATGTTGAAGATATGGAACATGGTATGAATTAAATACTTTTTCTCTCTAGGTTCCCTGGTGTCGCTGGCCCGAAGCGCAGATCATAAAGTGCTGACCCCCCTCCTTTGCCTACAGAAACAAAAGCAGCAGAGCGATGCTAACGCAGATGCTGCTGCTGGAAACAAAAAGAAGAAGGTCACCGCAGCACAGCTGCGAGTCCAGAAAGGTATGCCCTGTCCTGTTCGTCGTGTCCGGGAGTTATACTTCCCTCATCTTGCCTTGAACTGGTCTAACCTTTGCGCCTAGATCTCTCTGAGCTCGAACTGCCCCGGACGATGAAGACGATCTTCAAAGACCCCGACGACGTTCTGAACTTTGAACTCACGATCGAGCCGGATGAGGGAATGTACAAAGGCGGGCAGTTCCACTTTACCTTTGAGATCAGTCAAGAGTTCCCGCATCAGGCACCCAAGGTCCTCTGCAAAGAAAAAATATACCACCCCAACATCGATCTGCAGGGGAAAGTGTGCCTGAACATCTTGCGAGAGGACTGGAAGCCGGTCTTGAACATACAAGCCGTGATCGTTGGTCTGCAAGTACGCATGCACCCTTCTTCAAAGCCTCGATGAGCCTCTAGTTAATTAACCTTCACAGTTTCTCTTCCTCGAGCCAAACGCCTCGGACCCTCTAAACAAAGAAGCCGCAGAGGACTTGCGGTCCAACCGAGAAGGATTCAAGCGCAACGTGAGGCAGTCCATGGGAGGGGGGATCGTCCGAAACGAGGCTTTCGACAAGGTCTTCAAGACTCGCGATTAGAAGGAGTGGATGGCTACAGATACGCACAACTACAGAGGCTGTGGGAGATAAACATACATGTAGATATGCATGACGATACGATACGAGCCATATGGCATTATGAGGCGTTTATATCGGGTGGGATTTGGGAGTAAATACACTGGTCTCGTACTTGTTTGCGGCGATGAGAGGGTAGAAGAAATCTAACCATATCACCAAGTAACTAGACGACGGATATACTTTCGGATTCCACATCGCAGTGAGTGCTACACAAGTAGATAAAGACATAAATGCATCAAGCAAATAGGACAATACCTCTAGGTACATACTTCCTTCTCGCCTGCATGGATAGTTATAACTGGGGTACCTTTCTTACCTCTACCTATAGGTGCTTAGGCAGCGACCACTCCGACTTCTACGGACAAGATGTGTAAATTATATATGTATAAAGATTATTTGGCCTAACAGCGACTTTGACTTCATCCACCGCACACGCCTACACCCCACCATTCCATGATCCTTGCCGTTAGCCCCGCCCCATTTATTTATTGTGTTTGGCGAGTTGCAGTCTGTGTCGGTGTACGCCTCCGTACGGCGTATTCGTAGTGCAGCCGATTTCGGCTCCAAACTGACTGAAGCTTTGAATTTTTTGCTGAGAGTCAGTCATAGTCATAGTCAGTCAGTCCATCAGTCTGTCACCATCCACCTCACCTCTTAATAAAGCTACATACTCTTTCATCACCCTCTCCTCTCCTCTCCACTCCACTCCTCACAATGGCTTCCCGTACATTCTCGAGAGCAGCTCTTCGCTCGTCCTTGGCCAAACAACTCACCGGTGCTTCAGCTCGTCGCACCTTTGTCTCTGCCCTCAATGCTTCTGCCAGACCGACTGTTGCCCGCGCTGCTGTGGCATCGAGTCAACAGGTCAGAGGTGTAAAGACAATTGACTTTGCCGGCACCAAGGAGGATGTCTATGGTATGCATCACTCGCCTCACCTACACCATTAGATATTGTATTCTAACAACATTACAGAGAGAGCAGACTGGCCTGCTGCCAAGCTCCAAGTACTTTTCACCCCCCCTCCCCCCCCCACCGCCAGTCTTCTCGACTTCGATGCTGATACAATTCTAGGATTACTTCAAAAATGACACAATGGCAATCATTGGATACGGGTCGCAAGGCCACGCCCAGTCCTTGAACATGCGTGATCAGGGCCTCAACGTTGTTGTCGGTGTACGAAAGAACGGTCAATCATGGAAGGATGCTCAACAAGACGGCTGGGTCCCAGGAAAGAACCTCTTCGATGTTGATGAGGCCATCTCCAAGGGAACCATCATCATGAACTTGCTCAGTGATGCTGCCCAGAGTGAGACCTGGCCCGCAATCAAGCCCCAGATCACCAAGGGAAAGGTATTTACTACCATCTTTTACACCAGTCTCTGCTAACTCGCATAGACTCTCTATTTCTCTCACGGTTTCTCCCCAGTCTTCAAGGACCAGACTAAGGTCGAGGTTCCCGCCGATGTCGATGTTATCCTCGTTGCCCCCAAGGGTTCCGGCCGAACTGTTCGAACTCTGTTCCGCGAGGGACGTGGTATCAACTCCTCTATCGCTGTCTACCAAGATTTCACTGGCAATGCCAAGGAGAAGGCAATTGCTCTCGGTGTTGGTGTTGGCAGTGGTTACCTCTACGAGACCACCTTCGAGAAGGAAGTTTACTCTGACTTGTACGGTGAGCGTGGTTGCTTGATGGGTGGTATTCACGGCATGTTCCTTGCACAATACGAGGTTCTCCGTGAGCAAGGCCACAGTCCCAGCGAGGCCTTCAACGAGACCGTCGAGGAGGCTACCCAATCCCTGTACCCCTTGATTGGTGCCAACGGTATGGACTGGATGTACGAGGCGTGCTCTACCACTGCCCGTCGTGGTGCCATTGACTGGAGCGGAAAGTTCAAGGATGCCTTGAAGCCCGTCTTCAACGATTTATACGACTCTGTCAAGACCGGAAAGGAGACTCAGCGATCCCTTGAATTCAACTCCCAGCCAGATTACCGTGAGAAGTATGAGGTAGAGATGAAGGAGATTCGTGATTTGGAGATCTGGAGAGCAGGAAAGGCCGTCCGGTGAGTCAATTAATCAATTATCCTGTACCATACTAATATACACAGATCTCTCCGTCCTGAGAACCAGAAGTAAGGTGGATATGTCAGATGATATGGAGTGGTGGTGGTGGTGTTTTTGAGATATTGGCAAATAATCTGGCGCACTTGTACTATATTCTAGTCCCGAAAGGAACTTCGGTATCTCGAATTGCGAAAAGTTTACCATTTTTAAAAACCTCGCGTTGACATTACTTTAGTGCATCGATCTACAAACAGCCAATGTCAAGTATTTTCGACCATATATTGTCAGCTTATAGTGGTAGGCTAGTGTGGAGCTAGACATCTTCATGATCCATGTCTCCGCAATCGGAAAAGTTATTTCCAAATCTTGGGACTCGTACTCACCTAGCAAGATGCACTAAGGACTGACACTGGTAGATACTATTCAGAACTCCAAGTCATCTGCAGTCACAAAAGACCTTGACTACTACAGTTAACAAATATGGCGGATCCTGCCAACGCCCCTCCTCTCGAGCGCCCCTCAGTCATAGCTGCGCATGCGCTCATCAAAGAATACATACACTACACACCCGTCCTTACCAATACGACCCTCAATGACCTAGCTTCTACACCTCAATCTGCCTCTACCCTCGCTGGTACGCCGTGGGCAGGCCAAGAACCCACAAAGCCAAAGATAAGATTCTGGTTTAAATGCGAGAATTTTCAAAAAGTGGGGGCGTTTAAGGTGAGGGGTGCTTTCCATGCCTTGAAGCGTCTGATGGCAGAGCAAGCATGGGAGGAAATCTCGACACGAGGGGTCGTTACCCATAGCTCAGGCGGGTTTGCTCTCATCCCATTGTCCCACCTCTTAAAAACAATATCTGACCGTATGCTTCACAGGCAACCACGCACAAGCCCTCGCCCTCGCAGCCCGTACAATGGGCGTCCCTGCACACATCGTAATGCCCACCATATCGACACCCTCCAAGATAGCAGCCACGAAAGGCTACGGCGCCACAGTCATCTTCTCTGGCTCGACCAGCACAGAACGCGAAGCGGTTGTCGAAGATATAAGAAAGAAGACTGGCGCAAGACTTATACCGCCATATGACCATCCCGATATAATGCTCGGGCAAGGAACACTAGGGATAGAACTTCAAGAACAAGTCTTGCAGATGAATGGAGGGGCGAAAGGTCTAGATGCTATCATTGCTCCCTGTGGGGGCGGCGGTATGCTTTCTGGCGTTGCTCTGAGTTGCGACGGGACGGGCATACAAGTCTTTGGCGCAGAGCCTGAGTTTGAAGGTGCAGATGACTGTAAACGTGGTTTGGAGTCGGGGAAACGCATCGAGACCGTTAAAACTCTCACCATCGCTGATGGTTTGAGAACACCGGTGGGCGCGTATCCCTGGACCGTCATCTATGATCGGAAGCTGGTGAGGCAGATGTTCAGTGTGACGGAGGAGCAGATCAAAGCTGCGCTGCGGTTGGTGCTTGAGAGGATGAAGATGGTGGTTGAACCGAGTGCTGTGGTGGGCCTTGCTACTGCGCTCTTCAATGAGGATTTCAGAGGCATTGTTGAAAGGGAGGCAGGTGAGAGGGGCTGGGACTTGGGGATTGTGGTGAGTGGGGGGAATGTGAGTGTCGAGGCTTTAGGGAAGACGTTTGAGGTGGGGCCAGCGAAAGCGGAAAGACAGGAGGCTAAGGTTGGAAATGATGGAGCGAAGGTTGCTGAGAATGTTGCTGGTTGACAGAACGTCAAAGCCAATAGTTGAGTAATGCCCAATGAGAAGAATGGCTCCGGTACGCTACAAAGATACACCAGCCCTATGTATTGACCCGTTTCACGTAAAACAGTCTCCTTGGCGGAAATGGAGCATTCTGTCAGTAGCTGAAAACACCGGGGTTTTTCGTGTTTAACTTTAAAGGTAAGAAACCCCTGCCAAGTGCTTATATGTCTGAAGCAATTGTGAATTTGCCTTTCAAGACCATTTTGTTCCCCGAAACTATCTATCAGCAGAACCTCTGAACGCAAGCATCAATTTACCACATGTAGGAGGCGGTTGCGTTTACTATGTTTGCTAAATAACATCCCATGTTTGCTTCTCCTCTATGCGTCTCCATTTCCATCTCATCCAGGTCATCTTCGTGTGTTGGTAAAACCCTTCCGCTCCGATCATCCATCGTCTATACATTTCTAGTCATAAATCTTGTCTGTTGAGCTCCAGCAGAACTCTTCACAAATCGTGCGCCAAGTGATCGACTAGTTAGCGGTGTCGCTATGCAGTGTTGATGTTGCAGATTGAGGACAGCTTCTCTTTTTATCGAGTTTTCAAGAAACGAAATGCATTGCATATGAGAACCCTTTCTACTCTAATATCGGTCTCGAACTCCTTGCAATGCTCTTTGCTCTGCTCCTCCCCCGAGTCAAACGCTCTATCTATGCCATTGCGAGTTTGACACATTCAGAGCATACTGACTGGCCCTAATTGGTCTCATCTTCTGCTTCCAGTCTAAGGCTGTGAAGTCCTCGTGAAACCTGTGTCAGTCTCTCCTCGAGAGTAGTTTGAATATCGTCTAATTGCTGCCTGGCGTCCTTTCTGTCTGGCAGATACCCAATCCACCTCTATTTGAACCCTTGCCTGAATAACTTGGTTTACATGTAATATTGCGTATGCTTAGAGGACTTGTATCCACGAAAACCGTGTAAATCTTCAAGCTATAAGCGAACCGGAATCCTTGCTTCTACCTGGAAAATCCGTCGTTTGGTGTGAGCGAAATCATGAACGCTATCTGGTTAAGACTTGAAATATCAATGGATTGTCAAGAAGAGGATAGATTTGAAGAAGAGTAGGGTGAAATCAGCTGATTGTTTTTGCGGCAAAACACTGCTTTGGCAAATTCCTGTATAGTTGGTGTCTTGTCATCGTTGATGGGAGAAGCAGAGAGAGGGTGATTTGGTACAGTGCCGTTTCCATCTAGGCTACAGTGATATACATGCACCGCACGAGTAGAAGGTGTCTTTACATTATTCGTATTTTTCCGTACCTGGTGGTATAGAACTTGATTTCCTTCCGAGATGACTCCTATAGTATTTTATGGCCTTCCCCATAACAGGATTATCAATCATAAACCCGTAGGCTCTTTATTATGCTCCCCTATGCCAGACACAAAAATCGGCACTGGCTCTCATCAACTTTTATAATATCCTACGTTACCTGGCATATGATAAATTGTGTGCCGCTTTTTTCTGTGGAGAGGGCCGCAAAACACGGTAGGAGTTAATCTCTTTGCAAGCTCTTGGAAGGGTGATGCGTTGCAATTAAAATACGTGGGGTATAAAAGTTATTTTCGCTCTGAAGGTTGGATGAAGGAAAAGTAGCGCGCATCAGATAGTGACTCGGAGGTCTATTCAGTCAATGGCTGCCAATATTCTCTCGCAGGAATTTAGACCCTGTACGTGGAGGAAGCCGGTTTAAGAGACGATTGCATGGACTGCCCAGCATGATCACTCATGCCCAGCACTTGAGAGGGTCTGACATTGCCTGGGAACACCTAGAGGTCTGAGACTATTAAGGTACTTGGATTCCGGTATCTATGTATACGAGATACTTCGCTTTTACGTCCGAGTCCTCTGCTTCTGCCTGGGTACTAAGCTTGCTGGAATCGCACTCTCGCGGCCTATTTCTTTGTGAGGATACAAATGTAACAAACCCAGAAACACGACTTCGGAGACTTGAAATAAGAAATAGAAGTGCAGTGATTGCATTTTGTTCTCGTGGAGATTCGGAGCGAAGTGAGATTCTATATCGGTCACGAGCTAAGCGAGCAAGAAAGGGGGAAAGGCGGTGCTTGTGCACGAAATGTTACAACAATGCCACAGTCTACTCTGCGAGTAAGTCGGACTTAAGGAGTGAAATGGTTTTATTGTCTTACGGGCCCTCATGACACCAGCGAACAGCGGCACATTGGGAGTTTTTAAGGAAAGGTATCGCGGAGAAGTCAAACTATTGTGCTAATTAAGGTGTCTAGATCGGAGGCCATCTATCTCTCATTGAATCTGTGGCAATAAGACTGAAACTAAAGCTCGGCTTTTCAGAGGTGATACTGAAGGATATACCTCCTTCACAGGAACCTCTACCAATGATCGGACAGCCCACCATCAAGTATCTCTTTCTCACATCAATGGACGTAGTGGATTGCAAAGGAAGTACACTCTTTACAACACGCTTGAAGTACACAATTTTTATGCGGGAATTGCCCTCTCAATTTGATACTCGTTGACAAGGATACGTCAAATAGACCGATACATTTGTTATAGCGAGCCAAATCATGAAGGTGCGGGATCCTCAAGGTAAGGCAACTCAACTAAAAGGACAGGAAACAACGTGTGGATGAAGACAAGTAGCAAAGAACCTAGTGAGGAGTCTCATGCTCGTGTATGAAGGAGGAGTCGAGTTGCAGCACGGCTTGGCTGCTAAGTTAAGTGGGGGCGATGTTCATGATAGGTGGAAAGCAGCTTGACGCAGGTGCAAGAATCTCCCAGGACTGCTTAGACAAATATACTTTAGAAGATAAAGTTGAGAGGACAAGGCGGCTTGGAGCTGCATACTTTATAAAAACCCGGTCTATGTGAAAGTCTTGAAGTAAATAAAAGAACAACGTGAGCGTCAAAAAGTTAAGCTTGTATATAGAATGCGTAGCGTCGCAGCGTCCACATCTCTGCTTTTCCCATATGGAGAGACTTTATTCTTGGGACAATGATAAATACAATCATATATTATATATGAAGTATCTTAGGAACAAGGCTTCGGGCATCATTCGGAGAATACTGGGCTCCTAGTAAAAATTGTATAAATCGGAGAAGTGAAGTGCCGACCGAGTAGCAGAGCGGAGTCGTCGTGTAGTCAATTAGTCAGCCGACCCACCCAGAGGAGCTACTCCGGTGGTGGAGCACCTCAACCAATCATTAGAGGCCATCTGTTAAACGCCGAGAAAAACCAGTAAACATGTCCGACTGCAAAGTTCTTCCCCGATTGCATCCCCGACGATGCTAGGACGACCTTACTAAGTTGCTCCTAAGACCGAAGTATGAAATCATGTATTGTCTCAGCGGCCTAATTGACTCCGTCATGGCAATTCTTTTGTCTGTATATAATGCACGTCAAAGTCGACGATGGAGTAGTCTCCCATACACCGCAGCATTATCATCACTCCACCATTCCATCCATCAATCTCAATCTAGTTGCAATAAAAATCACTCAATTAAAATCCACCTGATAACCATCCCCACATAATTCGCAATGGCCTCTAACAGCACCACTTCCGGAGTGGGAAAGACCATACTTGTCACTGGTGGCTCGGGATTCGTCGCTGCTGAAGTCCTCACTGCTTTCCTTTCTCGTGGCTATAACGTGAGGACAACTGTCCGAAACGATGCTTCTGCCGACAAGATCAAGAAGTCTCACAGCAAATACATCAACCAGCTCTCCTTCGCCATTGTCAAGGATATTCAGATCCCAGGCGGGCACGATGAGGCAGTGAAAGGAGTAGATGGAGTAAGTTATACCAATGAAGCTGAGCAAGTCGCCTATTAACATTTTCCAGGTTATCCACACTGCTTCTCCATTCCTGCTTCAAGTCGAGGACAATGAGCGGGATCTTCTTCTGCCAGCGATTAAAGGCACCACAGAGGTTCTGGCCTCTGTCCAGAAGAACGCTCCCAACGTCAAGCGCGTTGTCATTACCTCCTCTTTCGCATCCGTTGTAGATATTCCCAAGGGCACTCGCTCAGGGTACGTCTACAACGAGAAGGACTGGAACCCTTGCCCTTATGAAGTGGCTGCCAACAAAGACTCACCTGGCGCCGTCTCTTATTGCGCATCCAAGGCCTTTGCCGAGAAGGCAGCCTATGATTACGTTAAAGAACACAAACCACAATTCGAGATTACCACTTTGTGCCCACCTATGGTTTACGGCCCCAGCGGCTCTGTCGTCACCAGCCTTGACAATCTCAACACGTCTGCCGCAGATATCTACCGTCTCATTAATGGCAGCTGCAAAGAAGTCCCCGAGACTAGCTTCTACGGCTGGGTTGATGTCCGTGACTTGGGTGATATCCATGCCCGTGCTTTTGAGAGTCCAAAAGCTGCCGGACAAAGATATGTCACTGCCTCTTCTGGCTACACTTACCAGCAAATCTGCGATATCATCCGGAAAGACTTTCCGGAGAAGAGGCATTTGGTCCCGGAAGGAACACCGAATGCTCCTTACCCTGATGTCTACAAGATTGATAACAGCAAGGTCAAGAAGGAGCTTGGGGTTGAGTTCAAGACATTGGAGACTAGTATTCATGATATGGTTGCTCAGTTTATTGAGATTGAGAAGGCTACTGGCAAGGCCTGAGGGCTTGGAGAAGCTTCTTGTAAATATTTATGATTGGAATAAGTAGTTAGTACGCAGCGTTTCTCTTATTATAGATTATAGACAGCGAATGAATTGATGACTTTTACTTTATAGAAAGAGAAGGGGTCCTGCCACGGTCATGTGTATTCACTTAAATGTGGCTTCAAAATTGTGACTACGAGAGCAGCTCTCTAAACAAGTAAGTCTCAAGGGACCTCCAAAGAATGTAGTCATCAAAGGCGTTGGGGACAATGGAAGGATGGTGGGAGTTAGGCGTGAACATTGGAACGAGACATAACTGAAGCTCTTACGGGGCAGCGTTTCCTTGAAGAACACTTGTACAAATTGAGTTAATTCTCAATTCGCCACTCAGACGAATGATAGCTATAGAACCTTGACCGCAAAGCCGATTTTAAAGATATATGACGATTAACGTTCATGATACAGCATCAAGTTTCCATAATGAGAAATATGCAACACGTCTTCGTCCATCCACCTCATCCACAACACAACAAGTAGTTGCTTTCTGTGCAGATATGTTTATTGGCTTTCATAGTTTGTCTGCTGTTGGTGGGGAAAGTAAGTGGGAAGAGAAGCTGGATATATAGGCACCTGAGAAGAAGTATGACTTGAAGTATATTCTTTTGTTTGTATATACCTAGGCACCCCCTAGCGAAGCTCTGGTAACTCAACTCAATCATCTCCTGAGGCAAAGAGAAAGACCATTCATGGATCAATGTAGTGAATCCGTGATGAGATTGTGTCAGTTGGGTTATTGAGATAGAAGAATGAGGCCAATAAATAAACCATTCCTGTCTTTTCCCAAAGAAGTTTCCTCTTCCTCTCCCTCCTTACTTGAGACAAGCCCGACATGGCGTTTTCGAGTCTCATCTCACTTGAACGGGAATATCATGCACGGGCACGTGATACTAATCACGAGCTCATCCCACTTGATCCAGCCTAGTCCAATCCAGTCAGTCCATCACACCTCCACCAGCCAGCCGCGTCCATCAAACATGACCCCTTTTGAAGATAGATACCTACGTAGGTAGTCAAACACCAAAACGCGTCTCTCTCTCACGCGTCACCATTCGATTCCATCCATGCCTCCCCCTTTCATCATCATCATCATCATCATCATCCCTTCCTACAGTAGAGTACTGTACCGACGCATCCACCCCCATTTTCCCACCTCCTTATCTTCCCAGATTACTTTAAAGCGGGTCCCCCACCAATGAAAAGATTTTTCCCTTGGCCACCTTCTCGTTACCTTAGGTACTCCTGCATTAGTGCCCGCGCCACCAAATTGTAACGTTTCGAGCGTTAATCTCCTGCTTTTGAGGGTTTTTGGCTGCGCCCACTTCTTTGCAGCGGGATAGGTAAGAGATCCATGTGAATGTGGCTGCTGGCTGTCTTGTCTGCCTGTCTGTAAATGTTTATCGATGTTTGTTAATGCGATGCCATTAATATTCTTGTAATATTATAATCCATGCATGCATGCATACTCGGCCAGTCGGCATTCCTTTTCATGCACCACATGTTTCAATTTTATCTCCCACCATTCAGCCTGAATGTGAGACAATCAAGGGGTTTGTCAATTAAGACAAAGGCAAATCACTCTCCAAAGTCAAGCCATTCATTAAAGGGGTGCTGGGCCAAAACTTGGTCTCCGAGCAATGCTGCTGTCTTCATGTTCATTTCTATCTACTATACAATAAATAGCTGTCCATTTGACTGGCGCCAGCACTGACTCTCTCTTGACAAAGACCAATAAACACTCCACAGCGTAAAGTCATTAATGTAAAGAAGTCTATGCCACACAACGAAGCAAACATATTAAAAAAGCAAAAAGGTTTTCAGATGGAACTGAGTGTTGGTTTCGTTGTATTTGTCAAGCTCTCCCCACTCCTGACGCCCTCATTAAAGAACAGCTGCCATGAGATAGAGAAAAATATTACTAACAAGAACACCCATGTCTCGCGACACCTGAAAGACCGCACACTATGGGGTATGATTGGATCCTCGTGTTGATGAACACTCTCGACCACACAAGCAATTACAAGAAAGGGTATGCGCGACCTGCATGCGTGGCCGTGTCGTAAAAATTAGACGAATGACTCCATAGAGCAATGCAAGAACACCGTTTGTTATTAAACCCAGACCACCCTATCCCCCGAGTCCACCTGCCAACCGCTTTTCCTCCCGTCATGAATTACCGAGTCGCAATGAAATCGTACGTTCGTGACCGTTGGATTTGCGAAAGGAAGTTGAACCGCTTACAAGATGTAAGCAGCAAGACCGAGGAGACCAGCAAGGCTGGCACCGGAGAAGGCCATGGCCTTGTTGGCGCCTGAAGCAGTGATGGTGGATGGGGTGGCAGTGCCGGAGGCCTTGGCCGAGGTAGTACCGACGGATCCACCAGCAGTGGTCTTAGCTGGGACAACTGGGGTGGTGGCGTTGGTGTAGACGGCTGGGACAACGACAGCGCTGGATGGGGCACTATAGTACAGTCAGTAACATGTTTCGACTACCGCACTAGGAGGCGGTTTGGGGGTACTAGGTGGCACAGTACACAGCAGCGGAGGTGGACACTGGCTTGACGACGGTGCAAGGGCAGTTGGTGATGGTCAAGGTGGTGCTCTAGATGCGTTGTTAGTAGGCAATTCTCAAATATTGAAAATTGGTGACGAGTGAATGCGACGCGCGAAGCTGTAGATTCCACGCGTCCCATCCAACTCTCCACGCTCGATTGATTGTAGGCTACTCACGGCAGTGGCAGTGTAGGTGACGCCGTTGAAGGTCAACTCGGTGGAGGCAGGGCAGACGGTGGTGTATGCGGTGTGGACCTCGGTGGTGTAGGCAACGGTGCCGTTCTTGACAGCGGAGGCGGATGCTGCGAGAGCAAGGAGGGCGACGGCGGAGTATTGCATCTTGACGGTGGTATTATTTACTTTGAAAGTAATTAAGAGGGTGAGTGTTTATTGAGAGGGTTGAGGTTGTTGATTGTGGGGTGAACGAATGTAAGTGACAAAAAGTCTGGTAGATGTTGATTGAGAACGAGAGTGTGTGGGTGAGGAAAGAAGAAGTCGAGTTGGAGGGTGGTGGGAAGTTCTTTATACGGGCAGTTGCTATGAGCGGCGCAAATAGGGTTAGGGGACACGCTAGAGGGTGAGGTGAATTAGCGAGTTGCTTGGACGCCGGTTCCTGGTCTAAAGGGTCTAGCTCGAGGCTAAGGCTACAGGTTCAGGTTATACGTTAGCCCCGATGGGGCAATTTAGTGAATAATATTATATTTCCGATGAAGACGGAGATGCAAGCTGGACGAGGCACCCTTGGGATGGCATTGCATGGCATGGCATGGCATCTCCGTACCGCTGAGCCAGTGACAACTGTGCAGTGGGGCGCCATTTCTAGATTTGCATCAGGGGGAGAGATTCAAGCTTGAAGCTGTTCATGCTCAGTGGTCTTTACGTTGTGGTATGCTGTGTGTACTGTGCTCCTTGATAGGGGGAGCACTGCTCCGAACTATCCAGTACGTGTCGTGTCGAGGCCTCCGTTTGCTTGTTCTCCTACTCCTTCTCCTCTATACCATGCACCCCTCGCCATCATGTAATATGCAGGAATCATCTGTACTACGAAGTATACAAATAAAAACACCGGTATCCTCATCCTATCGCCCCCTAAATCATAATTTACTACGGCTGCGTACATGCCGCTATACGCCGTTCCTCACTGCTTCCCGTTGCCACTTCTCCTGGCTAAAATCACTACACTACAGCAGCCCTGCCACGTCGCTGGGGTCAGGGGAAATAAATTTAGTCTGCCAGCCCATTGACAATAAAGGGGTATCGTATCTTCAGTGCCTCGCTCTGCTAGTCCGCTGGATTGATAATTATTATTCAGGCGCCGTCGTATGGCTAAATTGCCGTGTCTCGAGAAAGACGAATGATTTGGGCGTTTTGAGATTGCCATGTCCACTACCACCACCGGTGGGTGGCCTGCCCTATGACCCAGCAAATCATACTCAAGCATGTCTAGGTCCTCGAACTGGGGTGAGCGGTAAAGCACTGGCATTTGATCGGACTCATCACACAATACGAGGATTAGGGCAATAGTAGGTAAATTGCCTAGGTAGGTCATGATGGTCATCATGGATACATTATGAACTTATGGTATGGTATCGGAAAATGAGCTGTAAAGCAGGAATAGCCCTACGGCACGGTACAGTATGATTATAATCATAACGGGGGATCTCTTCTACTGTACGGACAGCTGTACAGCTAGGCCAATCTACAAGTAATCATCTCTCCCACTTGTACTGTACATGGTATATCTGTTGAGCCTTATGAACCAGGTTTACTGGTAGCTCCCCACTGATCTCCGGCCTCGAACAATTCTCCATAACAAATACTCTCGCAATACGGAGCCGCTACGGTAACTGTAGTAAATGTATTGTAGATGATTTACTCTAGACTCGTCGGATTTCACGTGTAGAATCTGTAGATGGAAGTGGGTGGGTCCCATCAAATTTCAGTGAAATTTGAAATTGCACTCGGCGCTTCTTATGGCATCGCTTCAGCCGCCATCAGTATTCATGTCCCAGAATAGACAAGAATTCGATAGACTGCCTTACGGCTTATGGTTCCGTTTTTTCTCCTCCGTGCCGCCAATCATAACCTGTGATATGATCAAAATACCTTTCCAAGACTAGCATCTTTTTCTCTTTTTCCATTGATAAGTAAAGGGGTTCGCGCCGCGGCCCAAAAGTCAAAGTTGCTTACGGCACGACCGATCTCACCCGCCCGCCACTCACCACTCTCGTTCCTGCGCAAGTCTCAGATCCCAGCCCAGCCCAGCTCTACCTTAGTTTACGCCCACATTACCGAGTAATGTAAGGTACGCGGGATGACTTTCACCACCACCACCACCACTCTACGCGTCGAGCCTTATTACTGTACGGTACGGCACGTAATTGAAGGTACGAAGTACAATACGGTATCACATTTTTAATACCGTATTCGAGATGGCAGTCCAGATGGCAGCCTTGGCAGAGCAGGCACACAACTAAGCTTTCCCCATTTAGGTTGGAGGTTCAATGGGATCTGCACTTTGAATCTCCGGTCAGAGTCGAGTCGAGTCGATGGATACAGAAGGTCATTCGCACAACCAATAGCAGCGAACCCCTCGTTTCTCCTTTCCCCCTTTTTCAACATCTATAGGTAAATCATTTCAGGTGCGCATTGTAATCAATTCGTATTCAAGCAAGTATCCCTCCAGCATTTCGATGCATCGTTGCTTCTGCGTGGCTGGCATGCTGGCATGTTTCCCCACTTCCTAAGTTTTATGGTGCCATAAGTGTTTGCTTCATGGTTTTATGCCATGCGCTCAGCATATCTCATTCCTTCCATTGTGGCCCACGAGGTTCAATTAATGCCTCAACACCCGCCGCCGGTGTTGAACGTTGATGCTCTCCTTCAGGTGGCCATGTGCCTCTGACAACCCTCTTCAGGTCCAATGTTTCAACTGGCTGCGGGGCATGCTTCACATGCTTGCATGTGTAGCCCCAGTGGGTATACAGCATCCATATTGCTGGTACAACAAGTAGGTACTACCGGTATTGACGCGCAGCGAAACTTTACAGGTTACTCAAGATTTGCCCTCACTCCATCCATTCAGCATTGTTTTAAAATCAATGGGAAACCACCTACGATCAAGACCGAAGACCAACCACTACCTATCAAAAACACGAAAGAACATCTAAACTCAACTATCGCAATTTATCTTCATATGTAAAGATTCATCGAGGCAGATCCCTGACCCATTGCTCTCATACGTCAACGCTTGCGGCTGCCTCGTACTTTCCGCAACAATTCCCAGAATTCCAACTACTTGATGACGCGTCACTCTAAATTCGCCAATCGTCGTTCCTTGTCGGATTGAGGCATCATACAAAGGGGAAACGGCCAAATGGGATGGCCTAGATGATTAGGAACGTCGACGCCGAGGAGACAGGGTTGGCGTATCACCAATTCAAGAGACTTGGAGTTTGGAGGAAAATAAGATCCGGTACTGGGTCCCATGGATTCAGTTCAAGATGTAGTTCGAGGAGAAACAAGGCCGACAAACCATCAGTTCTACGTTCCAAATCTCCAGTCATTTAAGGTGCAGAATGACTGCATCTACAGAACCAGGAGACTCGGCCCGCAGACTCTTGTACATAAAAGCACTAGTCTTGCCAAAACCTTTGCGAGATGGTCGGCATCTTTTATTCGCCTGGCAATGACAGAGGTACACTCCGTGGAGTAAAGTGCGAATGGACGAGGTAGCTGTACACCGCACGGTATAGATATTCGTGGGAAGCATATTGAGCTTGGAAGTAACAGGCGGGGTACAAGGACTGCCAGCGAAATGAACTTGGCGGCATGCTCCTGGAACCCGCGGAGGAGCTCAGTGCAAACGGTTGTTCAATTAGCAATCACACTGTCCTGATTCTCAAGTGTCGTTTGAAAGGAAACTGTACCGGGCTCTTTGGTTTAAAGCTTTCTTTTTAGGTATACGGTTTTGCCAAGTTTGTCATTTCCACAAACAGCATGCGGTCATGATATGATGATGTAAACAGATCAAAACGCGGGAGGAGGCGGTGTGAGAGTACGTACCACCCCTTTTGCTCTCACCCATCGAGTACCGCTTCAAAGCAGCTTGCGCTTGAAAGGCCAAACAGCAGCTGTAGTTTTATACCCTCCCATGAACCCTTCATATGACCAAAAACTATCAATGTTAGTTTGCCTCTCTAACTTTCCGAAAGTGAATTGTCTTGGAACCATGAAGGGGTATAAAGCCTATGTGGAACATGGATATGATCACTCAACAATGTATTATAGTAGCCAAACCAACCAGACCAAGATGGCCGAGTTGTGGCATACAGATGTGTCTTTTGAGTCATTGACTCCTTTGAACTGTTAATGCTAACTCTTACAGGTATATTGTAATATGATATGCGGTGTTCTTCAGCCATGTCCTAGATTGTCGTTACTTCTAATTGTCGGTCGAAACACACGATGAATGTCTTTAAAAACAAGGCTCCTTGCCTATGTGAATACCAACCAATTTGAAAATAACCCTGCGTGTATGTGAGGGAATGATCGGGTCGATGAAGACTTTTTGGTCCGCTGTAAAACCCATCCTCTGACTATTGATAATGGCAATGGTTTTAGCTCGCGGTCAGTCTTTATAGGCTAGTAGCTCCGTCCTTAGTCTAGTTCAGGAACCTAGCTTTCCCTATTGCTGTCTGTATCTCCAGGCCCTCTATTCATAACCTTGGCTCCGTGCTTCACATATGTTTTCCTATTCAAAGGATTCTATATGTCCCGGCCCGCGTTTCACCTGTTCAAGAGCCTACCAGTGCATGGAGACCTATTTTCTGTTCAGGGATCCTTTCAAATCAGCTCGGGCTCGGTGGTTGTGATTAGAACCTGCCGTTACTGGAGGCTATTGACGCCTGCTGACGCCTGTTGGAATACGTCGTGGTGATATATGACGTGGGAGGTTGCGGCTGGATGTCGTGTCAGATGTGAGTGGGTTGATTGAAGGCAGATGCCATGACATCTGGAAACGATGTTCGAGTGAGGGACGCGCCGTTCAAATGTAGAGGGGAAATTTGTATTGTATTGTATAGCATAGCATAGCAATATTGTTGCAATAGCAGGGCTTATGGTTGAGTAGACTTGTACATAAGCATGCAACTGAACAGCAAACAAAAAACTGGGAACCCTAGGTGTGTAATAAAGGGTAGACTATGGGGCTCAAGAAAGAAAACAAGGATGTTTAGAGCAAACAAAAAGGAAATGAGGTACTCCATTACCTCCAGCTCTGCCCTAACTCCTGAGAACTGTCTGGTGTGTCGTAAGTATAAAGTGCAACCTCGAGGGCACAAGCAGAAAACAATGACTAGAGTATTGTAGCGTTGACATCTCCATGATCTGAGCGACTCAGCCTCATGGAATAACAATAGTATCAAAAGCTGGTACAATCCTTACTTATAATCTCGAAAATAAGAAAAGATCAAATATTTTGACATGCATTTTAAACCGCAAAGTGCACAACCTAGCCCAAGTTTTCATTATTCATCACCTATAGCTTCGAGCCCACCAAACTCCCCCCATCCAGCGCAATCGTAGCACCATTAACATATGAACCTGCTCTGCTTGCCAAAAACAAGCACGCCCCCGCGACATCCTGTGGGCTTCCAATCCTGCCAAGAGGAATGCCCGCAACAATGGTGTCTTTGAAGTTCTTCAGTGTAGCAGCCATCATCTTGCTCTCAAAGGGCCCACAAGCCAACGCATTGGAAGTGATATTCCTCTTCCCCAAATGATTTGCCAGAACCCTGCTCAGTTGATGTAGTCCCGCCTTGCTAGCACTGTAACTGAATGTCTCGAGGCTAGGGACACGGATCCCGTCTACCGAGCCAATGTTGATAATTCTTGCTGGGTCGCCATCTGTCGCTGCTGCTTCGAGAAGAGGTGTAACGCCTTGTGTGATTGTGAAGACACGGGTTAGATTTAGCGTCAGGACGCGACTCCATGCAGCGTCGGGGAATTCGTCATATGGGGCTCCCCAGTTCGAGCCAGAATTATTGACGAGTACGTGTAGCTTCGATTCCCTCTTCTTGAGTTCATCAACCATCCGTTTGCAGTCTTCGAGCTTGTAGAAGTCGGCGGGGATGGAGTGCGCGGTTCCTTTGCCTGGGAGGGGTAGATGTCAGCTTCTGTTTAAATAGAGTAAGAGGGGGTAAAAGGAATTAGTACCAAGTGCATTTAATTCTTTGCAAGCTTGCTCGCACGCTTTGGCGTCTCTAGATGAGATGTATACTTTCGCACCATTTGCAACGAATCCCTCAGATATCATGCGGCCTATACCCTTTGCCCCTCCGCTGACAAGAACCACTTTGTCCTAAACATCTTAGTACTATAGATGCAAAGTAGGATGGATGAGATTGGGTTTGCGCATTTACCTTGACGTTAAATAAGCTTGCTGAATCCATTGTGAAGAGTACCTTTTGTTTATGATTGTTGAGAATTAGAAGAGATTATGAAGTACTTGAAATACAAACATCAGTGTCGCATATCCGGGGTAGTCAAAAAGGCAAAAAGCCGAGGCACGATAAGGAGAGTGGGTCCTGTTTGCACCACCCAAATTCCCAGGCCAACTTAGTTAAGATGAAGCCTAAGAAGTAATCATGTTTTATACAATATTCTTCATTTTCTACAGACCACGCCCCTATGGACTTCTACGATGACAGATAAGTCAGGTCAACCAAAATATAGCTGCGGCCGACTCTTCTCCCATTTCGACAACACTGATCCTTCCCAGCATGGCCCAAAATGGGATGAGCTCTAAGAGGACTTTCACCCTTGGGACAATGGTTCCCCCAACACGGCATATATCGATGTACTGACTGAGCGCCGGGGTCTGTTTGAAGCTCCCCCCGAAGGAAGGAAGAGGAAGGCGCTAGTTCCGGACTGTGGAAGAGGTTATGATGTCCTATTATTAGCTGCGCATGGATATGATGCCTACGGGCTTGGGATCTCTGTAAAAGCCTTGGAAAATGCGAAGAGAGTAGAGGGATAGAAGGATGGGGAAGGTACCTATGAGACGAAGGAAGGTGTTGAGAGAGGAAAAGTCACATGGTTGGCGGAAGACTTCTTCAAAGGAGACTTTCAGAAGGATGTTGAGGAACGTTTGATCTGATATATGACTATACCGTTCGTTTCCCTGGAATTTATTGGTAATCTCTCACAGTTTTATAGTTCCTATCAGCATTGCCTCCATCAATGCGACCAGCTTGGTCCAAACGCATGACGGAATCGTTGGCCCTGCAGGAAGACTTGTTTGTCTGGAGTGGCTAACAGACAAGCCAGCGAGTGAGGGTGGTCCGCCTTGGTTTCTCCCACCAAAAGTATACAAGTGTCACTTGCAGCATCCTGGAGAAGAGCTTCCATATGACAAAGACGGCGACCTCAAGGAGGCGGATATTACAGAGCAAAGTAATTCGACCGGCCTGGAATCGGTTGCCCATTTTCAGCCAAAGAGGACATTTCAGCGGAAGGGTATGATGCCGAGGGAAATGTTACTGACTGAATAGGCGCCTGGAAAAAATAGTAGCCGAAATCATGTCCAAAGTCCTAATATATTCCTCAGGGTGCTTTCCGTAGTGAGTTGTAATGTTCGCCCAAGCCAAAACCATGGCGATAGTAGGCCAGCCAGATCTTTTCTGGGTCCTTCGAGCCCTCCAGCCGGGGTTCTATATTTTGGGCCCCTCCATTTTGTAAAACGCATATTTCCACGTTGTATGTCTTGGCCAGAGCGTGAAGTTCTAGGTGCCCGCCCCATTCTGCTGTATCCCTAATCTTCTCCACGTATTTGTCCAGAGGCTCGTCCAACCAAGCCACAAAATCGTCAGGATGACCCTCGATATATTTCGCAGCTGCCTTTCTCACGGCCTTATATCGTTGGTCCTCTTTCAGCTCTGCGTCTAAACCCGCCCCGAGAGGAATTCCCATTTGTGAGAGTTGGTCCGCGACTGCTGAAAACAAACAATGACCATCAGGTCGAATGACCTTTTCCGCTAGCCCCTGTATCTTGAACTGCTTCAGCATTATATCTCGCTCTATAGCCTTGGGGTCTGGCTGGTTCGCAGCCTCTTTCTTGGCCTCCTCTACGACCGCGTCTTGTTCTGCCGCTCGTCGTGCAAGTCGTTCCTTTTGCCGATTGCGCTTTCGAGGCTGGCCATTCTCGGAGGTGGTAGGCTCGGAAATTGTGGTAGTCTCGAGACTTTGAATAATGCCCTTGACATCGCCCTTTACATCGGTGGGCTCGTCGTCGATTTGGACTTCGTTGTCTTCAGGTACAGGGTCACCACCAAGCGCAAGGATCTCCTGCTCTTGCCTTTCCTTCAATTGTCGTTCCAATCCCTCACACTCGGTATTGACCCCTTTTCTATTCTTCTTGGTTGCGCCTTTCTTCTTTTGTGTTAGGCGCGATTGAAGGTCCTTTTGCTCCTTGCGATGGCGGCTCTGCATCGCTTCGAAGGATTCCATCTTGAGACTTCTTGGAGGGGTAGATGGAGGGGTTGGGTTGTGTTGTGTTGTCTCATTTACTTTTTCTCTCTCCATGCCAAGCCCAGCCAGGTTTAGGTAAGTTTGCTCTCCCTACAAAGCAGATGGTTCGGTACGCCCTGTGCGCAGAGTGAAAGACAAAGAGCGTGCCGTGCCGAGTAACCGACTAAATGAGTACTACTACTACACGTTGACGTTATTCCCGCCGCCACGCATTCTGACTCTGACTCTGACCGACTCTGACCGACCCTGACAAGTGACAAGGCCGAACGAACATGGCAAAGATGGGAGGAAGTTCTCCATTCGCCAACAATCATCCTGTATGCAGACGGAGACGCACTATCTCCCGGACCCTGGGCGGTTATTCCCTTGCGCTTGCCTTGCTCAACGGTTTCTGCATCTTTGCACCTCTATATATTACTTGTTTGAACATACTCCTCAACTTCAACTTACAATCCTTTTTCTCTTGGTATTCCACCCCTCACCTGCCTACTCAGAATTGTCATCTCTTCTCATTATTATTCTCAGACCCGCACCATAGAACTATATATCCTTCTTCTGGAAACCCCTCTTACCCCACCTTCCTGATACCGCCCACAAACTCTTTCCTATAAGTGTCATTTAAAATGAGACTCGATCCAGAGACAGACGACATTGAAAGCAGTCGACCAATTCCCCAAGACTTTGACGGCCCCGTTGAACACCCAGGTGTATCTACCTTACGAGATGATGAATACAAGAAAGAAAAGACCTCAGATGAGACATCTATTCATTCTCAATCTACAAATGTCGTAGAGCCCGCTCCAGATGGGTCAGAAGTTCTGTCTCGTGCACTGTCGATAGTTCCTCGGTCTAGAAGGCGGGGATTGCTAGGGCGATTTGCATGTATAATACCCGAGGTTGAGAGGCCTTATGAATATAAGAATAGTACGAAATGGTTCATCACCTTCATTATTGCTCTTGCAGCTGCTGCAGCTCCAATGGGGAGTGCCATATTCCTTCGTATGTGGACCCTTTTCAGATATCAGAACGGTCAAGTGGGTGCTGACGATTTTGATAGCTGCACTTCCGCAGTTGGCAACGGACTTGAATACGACGCCAACCATCACAAATCTCTCAGTAGCTATGTATATGCTAGCCATGTCAATATTTCCCCTTTGGTGGTCTTCCTTCTCCGAGACACTAGGTCGCAGGACTATATACCTGGTTTCATTTGCGCTATTCACCCTGTGGAATATCATCTCCGCTATCTCTACATCCATCGGCATGCTTATTATCATGCGAGTTCTCGGAGGAGGGGCAGCAGCCTCAGTACAAGCAGTAGGAGCTGGCACGATTGCGGATATCTGGGAAGTCAGAGAACGAGGTAGAGCCATGGTATTTATTACTGAAATATATAAAGTGCTCGCTAACCGTGAAAGGGTATTTTTTATTTAGGACCCTTATTGGGACCATTGCTTGCACCAATCATCGGCGGTGCCCTGGCGCAGGCCGTAAGGATAACTGGCTCTTTGATTTTACCCTACCCCCTTCTATCATGTTTCGTCTAATGTACTCCAACTACTCCTTACATATTACCTTAAAAGGGAACTTGCTCTTCTCCTGTTCTTAAAACACTCTCGAAGAAGAAATCACTAACTCTCCCGTGATCTAGTGGGGCTGGCGTTCGACCCAATGGTTCCAAGTAATCTATGGGGGTTTATTATTCATTACATTAACGTTCTGTCTCCCTGAGACCCTTGATGTGCGACGTCTTCCTCTGAAAGCCCTTGCCGCCACTCCACCCACCGATGAAAAATCCAGAGGAACGTTGACTCGAACCTCGACACAACAATCGATCCACCTGAAGACCAAGAGAGTGGCCAAAATTTTCAAGCGCTGTATCATCGACCCCATCAGCGTCTTGGCATATCTGCGTTTCCCCGCCGTTTTGATTACCGTCTACCTTGCATCCATAGCTTTTGGCTCATTATACGTCCTTAATATATCCATACAGCAGACCTTCTCTGAGCCTCCTTACGGCTTCTCCGTCATTATCCTTGGCCTTCTTTACATACCCAACTCTCTTGGCTACCTCCTCGCGTCTGTGTTGGGCGGAAGATGGACGGACCATATCATGCACCGAGAGGCTAAAGCGGCTGGTAGGTTCGATGAGGCCGGAAAACTTATCTTTATTCCCGAAGATCGTATGGGAGAAAATGTTTGGCTTGCTGCCGTCATATTCCCAGGGGCGCTTTTATGGTATGGCTGGACGGCGGATAAGGGCATTATAGTAACTAACCATTTGCTTTGCTTCTACTCCTTGACTTTGCGGTGGATTCCAGAAGACTGTTTCATCTTTTCGGCTTTTGTTCTGTCCAGGAAACCCAAGTACTAATTCGTTGCAGTGGATTGTACCAATGATTGCGAATTTCTTTTTTGGCATAGGCAGCATGATTATTTTTGGGACCGTCACGACCATGTTGACGGAGCTCATGCCTCGTAAATCCAGCAGTGGTGTTGCAGTGAATAACTGTGTCAGAAATATATTCTCTTGCGTAGGAGGAATCGTCGCAAGCCCTATTATCAATGCAATTGGAGATGGGTGGGTGTTCACTATCTTGGCGATTGTCTGCTGGATAAGTTCCTTTGCGGTGGTGTGGGCGATGAGACGTTTCGGACCGCAGTGGCGAGTCTCAATGGAAGCTCGTCTCAGATGAAGTTGGGGATGTCACTTGGAATATCGAACTGAGTAGCTGGTTCCTGGAAGGACGACCCTTGAGACATCATAGTAGATGATGTACTCCGCCACCCTCCTTTCTCGGTGTCACCGAATTCGATAGGGGAGGCGATGGTGGGGAATCTCGAGTCCGGATTGGTGGTCCACGCCATACTGTCGATTTCAACATTAAAATTCGACGCCAACATCCTCGCCTCTGTAGCGATCTCCGTTGCTGAGCCTTCATGGAACTCGAGCTTTTGCTTCAAAATCTTAGCGTTATCTTTAGACCATTCTAGCGAACGATCACTGTTCGGGGTGGACCCCACGAGCGCTTTCCAAGCTTCACCAACTTTAAAATCGGGAGAAAATTGCTTCAGCAATCCTTTCACAACCAGAGAAGGTGACCATTGCCAAACACTAATGTTTTGCTTTTCATAGTGCTCAGCAATATGGTTGATCCGGCCTATTCTTCTCGTCAGCGGCAAGACACAGAACTGGAAGCAAGAGACAGGCATCAAAGAGCCCGCAAGGTAGCCAACACAGTGAAAAGAGAGGTGATGAATAGAAGAATCAAGATGTCCGAGTACATACCATCCCACGTGAACGAGCAAGCTCCACAGAAACCACATCCCCAGGCCCTTTTCTTTTTCGTCGGGTCCCTATGCCACGATTCCCATCCTCTCGAGTCTTTTGACAACGCATGCACCTGTTGTAAATGTTGCCTCAATTTGTCCTTCCTTAGCCACGTCCGACTGTCATGTGGTTTATTGGTACATTCATGGAACCTATGCTTCTTTTTGAGGTGTTGGGCCATGTCAATGCGACTCGTCTTGAAGCATTCGCAGAAAACACAAGTCCATCCCGTTGCTGACTGAACGGCTAGAAGCGCAGAGTCAGCATTGCCTGGTGCAGTAGGGTTTAGGAACCGGAGCAATGTCCCAGAGGAGTTAAGATAATATTTCAGAAGCAGTCAACTTTTGAAAATACTCCAGTCAAGAGATATTCTAAGTAGGAAGAATTTCTTCCAAGAGGGTTACTTACCTGGATCCCCTAGCATACAAGTCCAGAATCTTTGTGGGTCGTGAGAGTGTTCGTGGCGTTCGAAATCCGATTTCCGAGAAATTTGGGTTTGGCATACTGTGCAGTGGTAGATCCCTTGACCTTTTGAGGGTTTTGGAGGAACCGGCGGTCCATTTTTCTCGTTGCCACGATCCTTCGGGTAGGTTATCATATGCTCATGGAACGGCGATGCTTCTTCTAGTATTGTTTGGCTCATTGAAAAACCCGAGCTCGACAAAGCCTTTCCTTTCGATAATCTGATAGGATTAACAGTTTGAGCTACATGCGTCTCGAAATCCTCAATTGTAGAGTCGTCTAAGCAAGGGTCGTAGACAGAGGCTAGTGTTGATGCCGTGTCCCAAGTTCGTAAAGATGAGCCGAAAGAAGACCTGTCGATGCTGCCGTGACTCTGATGCGGCGAAAGCAAGGGACATGACTCAAGGGATGACGCGGAAGATCTGAAGACACCCTTCTGATAGCAATCAATCGGAGACCACGCGTTTGATTGTACGCTGCCTCCAACAGGAATCGTGAATAGTATGTTATCCTCAATGGTGACGCCTCCACCGTTAGGAGACCAAGCTTGCGTCGCAATGGCGGATGATTTGAAATTGACATTCATATCAATACCATACGGAAAATGACCGGAATATAATTGGGCGCCTTGGGTACTTTGATCAGGAGCATCAAGCTCCATGAATTCAAGCTGGGCAGAAGGAGCATTTGGAGGATATGATTGACCTATTTGATGTGAATTCTCCTCATTATCTGCGTCGCATTATTAACAAGGCTTTGCGTAGCTTGGGGAGTCCTTACTCTCAGACGTTTGTAGATTCTCCCACCACTGGTCAATTTGCTCACCACTCAATCCTTGAGTAAGACCGAGAAAAGCCTTCACCTTCTTCCCAGGACGGCGCCGTCCATTCGTGGAGGCCCAACAGCGCAGCACCCGTTCCTGGTCCTCATTTACATTCTCCATTGACGCGAACCGTGCTCCGTATGGCTCCGGAGGCTTTGGCAATAAATTCTGGTGCAAACAATGGTTCAAAGAACCAACCGAGTGACGAAGAAATTCGAAAGAAGCAAACCGCTGTGTAAACGAGTGTGGGGAGACAATCATCAGAATCACTGTGATATCACTGATTCTATACACCACGCTTATGTAGTGTAACTACCGCAATGGGTTTATCTCTGTCGGGGCAAATCGAGAGGGCGTGGATGGTGGTTTCAGGCATTTCGCCCTCTTATTCACGGACCCGTATAATGTGCAGGCTAGAAAAACCATCCAATGCTTGTTTGTACTGTAGGGTTAAAGGGAACAATAGAGTCGTCCCGCCCGCATGTTTCGTTTCGGCTCTCGGAGGGGTGTCTTGACTTGAAACGTAGATTGTTCCACAACTGCTCAGAGGCAACTGATGAGCCTCATGAACACTCAATTGCCTGATTTGATTCGTCCTTTTTCGAAACAAGACGGGCATGACGTTTAGTTTTCCGAAAGCCCAACCGGGCGATAATAAACTATGACTTCTTACCCTTCTGTAGATCTTCCGATATCCACGTATACTAACAAGCTTTGAGGTAACGAAGTACTGTTTTTATTTGTCGCCAGCACACTTATCTTCGCGACAAATCATTTGGCAGGTTCAAAGATAGACGACGATCTTGAAAGGTATGTCTGGAAGGTGGCATCTGCATTGGGTGGAAAGTCTAGAATACAGGTCTGAAGATAGCTTACGCTCCTGGGTTGGAGGTTGCGGCATTGAAGCGCCACTCTCGCGCCCTTTGCTTTGAAAAGGGGTTCCTGACTGCACTCGCTGTGCCAGATAAACCGCAGGACAGGGAAGGCAGAAAACATACGTATCTATCTACATCTAGTAGTAATTCTAAGAATAGTAAGAAGAAAGTGAAAGATGAAAGAAAGAATGCTGGGATGAGGGGATGGATGATGGGTGGAATGCCGAGGTTACTCGCTAAACGCGGTAGGCCCTACAAGTAGGGACTTTTAGCTAAGAAACCTCCACACTCGGCCAATTCCACATTTAATTAGTTTTGGAAAGGTCAGATAACTACCAGAATAGACAAATTCCCTCCAACAAATCACAACAAGGACAGATGGCCGAGTTGGTTATGGCGCCAGGTTAAGGTTACTACTTAACATTGTTTCCTGGTCACTTTATGTGGCGAGGGTTCGAATCCCTCTCTGTTCATTTTTTTTTGCCTTTTTTTTTTACCTTTCTTGCCTACTCTTCATTTTCTTTTGCCGTGTGTCGGGAGAAACACCACTATAACATCTCTACGCCAATTAGATCCTTCCATTTCGTATCCTTTTCTTATACCATATCTGTTCTTAGGCGCAACTTTTTTTACTTCTTTGTTTTTGGGGGGGGGGGGGGGAGATTCCAGACATTTTACTTGGGAGAAAGTTCCCGTACTGTAGGCTAAGGCAATCGTAATCTGTTTTTATTCAAGGAAAACTCCATAATAAGGAAAGTCTGTGGCAGCTCCCCACTTCAATTGAGGTAGAAAGGCTAGTCCTCATCTGGTTGAGTCGTCGCTCAAATTTTGCTCTGATGGTTGCTGATATTTTTAAAGCTGCAATTCGTATTCAGTCCTAGTCACCAGGAAGAGCCTGTCAGCTTGCAACTACCGGTAATTCTGGAGGGAAACCTTCTCTCCGAATAATCAAACTGAGTAGTTACCCTGCTCCAGAAATGGGACCGCGTACATCGCATCTTTTTGCCTTATACGCGAAACAGATTATGTCGGCAGAAGGTCATATATTGTCTTACGTTGCACAAGAGTCGTACGCAAGAAAAGACGAACGCGCCGAAAATATTCAGCTCACATAGTATCGATGAAAGAAAGAAGAAGGTCAAACTTCAACTTCAAGACGACCCTCAAGCTAACCTGAAGATAATCGAAGCTTCGAATTTGAGAAACTTCTTCCTCTAGATTATACATATATGTGCTATTTCAAAGTTTTGCTCTAGCCTCTGTTGCCTTATGCAAATCACCCCCTTTCTCTTCAAAATATTGGGTAATCTTTTCCCTCGCTACCTCAACCACACTCGCGTCTTCTACCGTGGCAGGGACTTGAACCTCCTTATCGAACTCGCCATGCACGGCATTCTCAACCAACTCCCTCAAGACTCTTCGCAAGGTTTTCCCCGAGCGCGTCTTGGGAATCATACTCTTGCCTTGAATCATGCCTCCAAGGGAAGCTATTGCACCAATCTGGGTACGGACAAGTTTTTGGACTTCGCCAAAGACCTGGTCAGAGGGAATTGCAGAGGAAGGATGATCGGCGGTAGACAGAGTCACAAATGCAAAGGGGAGGTGACCTTTCAAAGCGTCTGGAATGCCAACAACGCAGCATTCGGCGATGGTCGGGTGAGATGAAATAGCTTGTTCAATGGAGCCTATATTTGTCAGCGCAATAGTCATACGTCAATCCACGTACTCACCGGTGCTGAATCTGTGAGCGGCGACGTTGATAATGTCGTCTGACCGAGACATAACGTGAATGTATCCGTCTTTATCAATCTGCCCAAACGCATTAGCATACTAAAAACCCAAGTGCAGGGAGAGGGCTAAGAAGCCTAGGGGTTGTCTCGGGAGCCGTCATATGCGCTCTTAAGATAGCTCCTGGCTCCTAGCTCCTCACCTATTGAGGAAAACATATTTTCGTATGAGAATAAGCCTACCATTCCTGCATCTCCAGTATCAATCCACCGTCCTTCAAATCGTTTTAAATACCCCTTGTAAAATCTCTCTTCGTCTTCCCAAAGTGTGCGGAAGCCTGTAGGCGCCAACGGTATTCCCAGAACGATATTGCCCATATTACCCCTTCGAACTTCCTCTCCAGTATCGTCTACTACCCTGACATCGAAACCTGGCATGGCTTTCCCCGCACTTCCTGGTTTAATAGCTAAGGGTTGCACACTTCTGTCCTTGGTCTTCCGATCTTTCCCGGCGTGAGGTACCAACGCAATTCCAGAGATTGGCGACCCGGACTCTGAACTCCACCAGTTGTCGATTACACTCGCTCCGGGTGAGCCATACTTTTTGAGCAGTTCTTGATACATTGTTACAATACTTGGTTCGGATCTCTCGCCAGCCAAGAAAAGCGCCTGGAGATGCTTAAGGCCACCTCGTTCACCGATTGCCTTGAACATCTTATTTTCGGGGTCATCGCGTCGAATTGCTCGCAGAGCCGTCGGTGCCGTGGATAATGTATTGACTTTGTATTCTTCAACAATCCGCCAGAACGCCCCAGCATTTGGAGTACCCACTGGTTTACCTTCGAAAAGCACTGTCGCAGCCCCAGTGAGTAGAGGTGCGTAAAGAATATAAGAGTGCCCAACTACCCATCCGATGTCTGATGCGCAGAACATGACATCTCCAGGTCCATGGATGCCAAAAAGGTAGCTGATTGATAAATGAAGACCTACAGCATGGCCGCCTGCTTCTCGAACGACCCCTTTTGGTAGCCCTGTTGTTCCCGAAGTGTAAATAATATAAACACCATCGCTGGATTTGATAGGGACACAATCAGCTTTCAACCCACGTGATTGTGCATCTTTATCCAGACTTTGCCAAGCTCTTCCCCCATGTAGCTCGTCAATGTTGTCCCATGTAAGTTGCTCTCGCTGCCAGATGATTGTTCTCTTTGGTTTGTGAGATGAAAGGTTGATAGCTTCAGTGATGAATGGTTTGTATGACATGGGAGGTTTGACCCCGTCAATTCCACATGAGGCGGTGAGTATGGCGACGGGTTTTGAAGCATCGATACGTTGAGCTAATGACGCGGGCGCGAAGCCTCCGAAGACTACAGCATGAATGGCTCCTAATCGAGAAATGGCAAGGACTCCAATGAGAGCCGTGGGTATCATAGGCATATATATCAGAACCACGTCGCCTTTCTTTACACCCTGCTCCCTCAAAACACCAGCGAAGGTCTCGACTTCAGAAAGCAATTGGTTGTACGTATACTTCCGTTTCGTCTTCGTGACCGGGCTATCCCAGATAATTGCGGTCTGGTCTCCGTTTCCTGCATGAACATGTCTATCTACACAGTTATAGCAGGTTGAAATTTCGCCACCCGGAAACCACTTCAACACATTAGTACCTTGTTTCCTATAGAAAGCAAGAGCCGAGAAGATGAAACGCTCTTCGGGAGCCCCAACACAGCAAATTTAGAGAAGAGAAACAAAGAAAGTAGTTACTTACTTCCCAGTGATCGTGGTTGACGCCAGACTTCAAGGGTTTCTTGAATTTCGAAAGGGTGGAGGTGGGCTTTTTGTGCCAGTGGAGATGGGACGCTTGTTCAGCCCAAAATGTCCCGGGATCGGTGAGGGAATGATGTTGGACTTCGTCTTGAGGATGGGAAGGCATATTGGATTGATCTGAGTTGTCGTTAGAGTCGTCTGCCTGATTATGGAGTGTGCGTACTCTGAGAATGTGGAGGCATAAGTTTGGTATTGAATTGCAGCCTGTGAGAGCCACCCGCGGCTTTTGAATCCCAACTTAAATTTGAATGCAGTTCACTGGAACATCAAGACCGAATCGATATCAATTCAATAGAAGTGAGAAGAGAAAGGGAATGACACGAGCTTAAGAATCGCTCATGACTTTTACCCCGGGTATATATACATATATATCGTATTTCGGACCTGAGGAACGCGATGGAGTATTAGGTTTCTTGAACCGAGTATAACTCGGTAGGGGTAAGAGGAGCCGTATTACCTATCTCTTCAAGTCCGATATAGGAGAGAGAGAAGAGATGGGATTGGGGTAGGGGAAAGAGTGATGTTGTGTTGCTTCCAAAATTGAGAACCCCGCATTACGCTACTGTACTAGGTACTGTACTGTAAGCTCGGTAACTTTACATACACCGCTTGTCCGGCCCGACCAACACCCCTACCTACCTATGCATGTATATACATATACCTAGGTACATAGACGTACTCTTATGCGTGAGATTTATTCAACAACATATACAAGATGGCTTTTCTAGCACAAGTCCCGATCCGTTACTTTCGCCTCTTTGTTGGTAGCTTTACTTTGCTTTGGAGGGCAAAGTTAATTCTTGATCGCAAAGAGTATCGAAGCGCCCCTTGTCTAGACGGTCCAAGTTTGAGAAAGATTTCTAATCAAATAGGATGCCGAAGTAGTACTACAGACCACCTCACCGAATGTGATACTGTCAGATCTCGTCCCGCCACAAAGGGCAAGCACAACCCCTTATGCCGCTTGGCAGAAAACCACAGAAACGTAGAGAATATGGCAGATACCTGTTGCTCGGCTCAATTGAAGTTGAATTTATAAGCCACATCGACGCCCAAAACCAGACTCCTGATTATATATGCCAATTACGCACTCGACTCCCATGGCAATGAGAAAGTCCCAACCCACTCCTCAACCTCACTCCTAAGCTGGATGATCTCCCGCTCGCTTTCACCCTCCCCAAGATATTCCAAGAACGCTTTTACGCTTCCAGGATTCTTTCTTCCCTTGGCTTCTGCTGCTTCCTTGGCAGATTTGTCCAATCGTTGAGTAATAGTAACCGCCCTGTTCACAACATCTGCTACCCTCACAAAATCATCGGCGAGGAAGCCACGAGTAGTCATGGCTGGAGTACCCATCCGCAATCCGCCGGGTTTCAAGGCAGATTTATCGCCTGGAACAGTGTTCTTGTTGCTTGCAACACCTACCAACTCCAATACTCGCTCCACTCGAGCTCCGTCAACCCCTTGAGGCTTAAGATCAACGAGTACAAGATGGTTATCCGTTCCACCAGACACTATGGTATACCCAAGACCACCCTTGTCTTTTGAATCACCAAGACGCTTTGCAAAAGCTTTGGCATTGGTAAGGACTGCCTCCTGGTATGACCTAAATTCGGGGCTCTGTGCTTGCTTCAAAGCAACGGCCAATGCAGTTATGGTGTGGTTATGCGGACCACCTTGATGTCCCGGGAAGACAGAGGAATTGATAGGTTCCTCAAGATTCCACATCTCGTTCTCCTTAGTCTTTGGGTTAACTCTTCTTACTCCCTTCCTGAAGAAGATCATAGCACCTCGTGGACCACGCAACGACTTGTGGGTAGTTGTGGTGACGACATCGGCGTATTCAAAAGGAGTTGGGATGACACTTGCTGCCACTAGGCCGGAAATATGTGCCATATCAGCCAATAAATAAGCTCCAACCTTATTGGCGATCTCTCGCATACGTTGGTAGTCGATTAATCTGCTGTAAGCAGATGTACCAGCCACAATCAACTTTGGTCTGTAGAGCATAGCAAGATCCTCTAACTTGGCGTAATCAATCAACCCTGTCTTCTCGTCCAGACGATATGGGAATGTCTCGAAATACTTTGATATGGCCGATATCTTCTTTGTAGGTGTTTGGTATCCGTGGGAGAGATGGCCCCCATGGGGTAGATCCAACCCCATTAGCCGATCATGTGTATTTAGGAGGGCGGAATATGCGTAGAGATTCGCAGGGGATCCGGACAGTGCTAAGGAAGTCAGTTGTTGGTTCCACAGACTGGGTATATAAACATACGCTGAACGTTCACACCCCATTCTGCTTCCTTCAGACCAAAAGTTTGCAAGGCTCTAGACTGGCATAGCCTCTCTGCTTCGTCAATGAATTCGTTACCGCCGTAATACCGTGCACCTGGGTAACCCTCCGAGTATTTATCTATCCGGACCAGTTAATCAAGCCCCGCACCTTCGATTGCGAGTCTTACTTTGCATGACACTTCCAAGAGCATCGAGAACAGCTTGGGATGTGAAGTTTTCGGAAGGGATCAAATTAATGAAATGCTTCTGGCGTCGTTTCTCCTGCAGAAACTATATCAGTATCACCCTGGGCTCTGGGGCAGGGAAAATGTACATTCTGCAGAATGTTGTAGACAGCAGCGTCCGCATGCTCCAAATCGGCGGATAGAAGCTGGGATCGTAAGTCAGCAAGCAAGGCACATGGAACAATGGCAGAAACAACTGGGTCGAACCTTTTGCTGGGACTCTGCAGTCATGGAGGAAGAGGAAGAGGAAGAGGCCGCTCGTCTCGTTCCTAATCTCGTTCTCGTACCACATACTGGAGCTCTGCACGCCACCGATGCATGAAAGACAGCAGTCCTTGAGGCTCCCTTGAAGAGAGACATGACTGGCGATGTACAGTATGTAAACCGCCCAGTTCAATTGCACCTATGGAAGAGTGAGGTGAGGTGAATTATCAGTACTGCATGGTAAAGTACCTAGGTACCTAGTGCGTGCTGTAGATACAATTTCAAGAGAGCGGTCAAATTCCCACCCCGCCACAGCTTTGTGCCCATCGCTAGCGCCACATCTACCTGCTACTCGTACCACTTTTATCAAATTTATCCCCCATCATCCATCTATGATAAGGTGATGTTATAGTACCGTATTCCTTGTAACTTTCAACTTGACATTGGCCGTGAAACAAATTCAAGAGACTCATTTCAGTGGTTGATTTTTTCAATTGCAGCATGATCTTGTCTGAACTTTTTAAGCAGAGCCAAGTCCGAGGGGACTATCGGTGATTTCGACATTTCCTTCAGCAGCCTTTTACGCATATCCATATCTTATCTCAGGTACCGGATACGAATCACACACAACATCACACTATCAAGTTTTATACACATTCTGCATTGAAGATCATGATACCATTGTCCGTGCAATAAATGCAAGAAAGACCAGTGAAAAGCAACCGGCTTGTAGTATCTCAGACCCTGCCAAACACTCCCAATGCAACCAAATAAAAGTACCCCTCTACTTCGTCTCGGTCTCCTCTTCGTCACCGAACTGGGCACGTTGCTTGGCAACAACTCTCTCCTGCTTTCTCTCACGGGCAGCCTTGGTCTTCGCACGCTTGGCATCCATCTCCTCCTTCAGGACTCTCTCGCGAGCCTTCTCGGCCTTGGCTCTGTGGATCTACATCTGGTCAGCTCGTGAAACCCCATAGCCTAGCAATCAACATACGTGCTCAACCAACGCTCTCTTGTGCTTGAAGGTGTTACCCTTGCTGAGGTGGTAGAGTTCGTGGTACAGGTGCTTGTCGATCTTGCCACTGGCACGGTACTTGACGAGGAGGCGACGGAGGACACGAAGACGACGCATCCAGACGACTTGGCTGCAGAAATATATCAGAATGTGCCCCTAGAATCCCATCCCAGCACCCAGAGCATACCTTGGCATACGAGCGTCCGCAGTACCCTTCCTCTTACCGAAACCACGGTGTCTACCAATTCGGCGCGCAGCAGTAAGGTCCCTGGCGCGAGATCGAGAGTGCATGGTGACGGGCTTGCGGATGATGAGGCCATCAGCCACGAGCTTTCGGATGGTTTGGCGGGAGTTGGCGTTGGAGATTTCGCTGGTCTCGTTGGGGTCAAGCCAGATCTTGCGCTGTCCGCAGCCTACGACGGAGGCCGCCAGGCGTTTTTGGGTGGTGAGATTGACCCTATTGCGAGAATCAAGAGTCAGCTGCTGTTAATGAAAAATGCATGACGCTGGCAGGCCTCCAAACCGCCCCAGCCTTGCCTTGGCTTGACTTGAGCATCCAGAACAAAAGCCATAACCATCGAGCGAAGGAAGGAAATAGTATCAATCAATGCAGGACACGCAAATACTCACATCTTGAGTGACGACTGGTCGTTGTCGGTGGCGTTGGCGATGGTGGGTTGTCGATTTTGAGATGTCCTCGTTGAAATTCCGAAGTCCTACAGTGGGCTAAGCGAGCCTCCGCTTTTCAACGCTAAGTCTATCACGTGCAGTAATGACCCCAACATGCATAGTTGAAAGCGGGGAGTGAGGCTATTGAAAAGGATGCAATATACTTCTACAATTCTATTATCTCTAAGGAAAAGTTGTTTGATTACTCTCCCTTCCACTACTAACGTGCTACCTCCCTTATTCTCGTCCATTCAAAATATCTACCTACAGGCACAGCTCATCGGTTTACCCATTAGCCTCAGGCAGGTCACTCGCTCACTAACTCACTCACTTACTCACTCAACCACTCACTGCTATGTCCCCTCTAGTCTATTTTCCCCGGGATAATTTCATGCATGCTAATTACATCGATGCTAAAACTTTTATAAGCAACGCCTCGTCATCACGACGTTTATGCTTCATCATTCATCAAACGCTCTCTCCCCAAGGTCTACTTTCCCAATACTCTGTAACTCTCGTTCGTCGTCAAACTCATCATTAGAAAGACCCAATCCACCCTGTCCTCCCTCGGCATCCCTTCTCTCCCGTGCAGTATTCCCAAGCCTCAAAGCAACACGCTTAAAATAGTCCTGCATGGACCTTTTTTGGCCCGCAGGCAATTCTTGCGCGGCAACATACCTGTCGAATACCCTACTCTCTTCATCGACAACATCGAACAATGCCATGAATGCAGCCTCAGCGGCAAGCTTGATCGGGATGATGGGGTCCCGGACGCTAGCAAACACAGGCTGGGCTAACAATGGAAGATGAGGGCGAACATGATCCATGTGATGGCGGCATATAGTGCGCACTACTACCAGAGACAGACGACGCGTATCTGCAGGGGTGCCGGGTTGGATGAGGGTTGCAAGTGTTTCGAATAGTGGCTTTGTCGTCTCATAATCAGTGCTGCGAGTATCGGTGAGCAGGTATTTGCCTGCAGCCAGAACAAAATTGTCGGAAATAAAGGTCTTGAATCATCTTAGAAACTAGTCAATCTCATACGGATCAGAGAACTTACATTCTTACTTGCCATGCCTTGGCTGATAACCTTCGGTAGATCATCAGCAAAGGCGCTTCGTGTCAGCGAGGAAGGTGATTCGCAGAGTACAGCATTCAAGGCCAGTACTGAAGATTGACTGAAGTGCGTAGTCATAACTCGATTTTTGATAAGGCCTGAAGCATTCTCCGATGGCACATTCTTGATTAGCGCACCAAGCAATTTTGCATTCGTGATAGCCATCGAAATGTCATTATCCTCAGGGTCAGTATCGATCAATGCAAGAACAGCATTCCTAGATGGCTCGCCCATGTTACCGCCTGCCTTGCTGATGACTTCGTATAGTGCCTTCAACATTGCATTACGAACACCAGCGTCTGAAGTCCTCGAACCTGTGACCAATTCTGCAATCAATGGATCAATACGAGGTGTCAAGGTAATCAATGTACCCAGTGCTTTTGCTGCTCGAGTCCTCAGAACCTCACTCGATGTATCGGCCAGTGATTTGGCGAATGTCCGCTGAAGTTGGGGAAGGAAGGGCTTCAAGAATGTTGGGATTTTCTCCAATAAATTGTTCAAAGTCAATAAAATGGCAGCTTTGACTTCGGTCGATCTCTCGGATACAACTCTGATAAGTGGACCGGTGATCTGAGTAACAAACGGCTTCAAAGAATCTCCACTTGTGCGGTCGACGATATCGGAAATGGCAAGAGCAGCTTGCGTTCTCTGCTCCGACGTACCATTCATTAAGCCCTGTAGGAATATCGGTAATATGGCGTTTATACCTTTAGGTAGTCCGAAACCTGGTAGATTTGAACCTGCCACACCAACATGCTGCAAGATCTGGCGAGTTGAGAATACAAGAGACTCCATTTCTTCTTTCTTCAAGTGCTTCGTGAATTCGCTTAGGGCCGTCCAGGCAGCTTTCACAACCTCTGGGTCTCTATCGTCGAAAGACATTAGCAGAGCCCGGATAATATCTTGGTTGTATCTAGAGTAATCAACGGTTGCAGCGGCAAAGAACTTTGCCAGATGGTAATCGGTTGCAGCTCGTCTGTGATGATCGTCGTGCTTCACAAGAGCAAGGAGCACACTCATCGCTGTGTTCAATCCATCAAACTCATCAATAGAGAGGATGACAGTGTCAAATGACGCATCCAGATCGGCTTTAAGCTCCTCGTTTTTACAAGAAATGATATTGTCCATGAGGGAGTTCAAAATGCTGGGCAGTCTTCGTGTCATTGCAGAACCAGCTACGGTGGAGAGAGATGCAAGAGCCTTGGCGTTGAACGACGTAATAGGAGAAGCGGTCAGTGTAGGGATAAGGTTCGGCAGGATTATGTTAGACCTCGTTGTCTCCGTAAGTAATGTCAACAAAGCAGAAAGGGCGTTATCGGCCTCTTCCTCGGTTCTAAGCAAGTTCAACAAGTAGGGCAGCACTTGATCAACAGCTCTTTTGCCAAGAATCTGTTGCAGAGAGTCGAAAGCTTCAGCTGCGGCTTCTCTAACTTCTTCATCGGAGTCGATAAGGGCAGTTCGAACCACAGATATCAAGGTCTTTTCATGGTCTTCTAATGCATCAGGAGATGCCGAGGAAATCAATTCTCGGAGGGCAATGCAAATACCCTGTTTGGCATCTGTGTCCGTGGATGTCTGCAGACCTTCCTCGAGAGTTGGCAACAATGTTGCTAGTACACCATCACCAGCCTTTCGGATAAGTTCACCAAGAGCGTTGCCGGCAATAACTTTTTGTTCCATGTTAGAACTGCCAAGGCGTCGAATAATGAGCTGCGTGAGAGTGGGAATAAGTTCTTTCAGAGTTCTAGGGACAGCAAGAGCCTTCCACACATTGACGGCAGCAGTTCGCACGAGACCCGAGGTATCGCAGCGGCAGATGTATAATGAAGAAAGCACCTTGTTTCGTTTCTCCTCTCCAAGGACCTCCAACAAGGATGCACCTGCTTCTTGTGCTCCATCTTCGACTTCATCCTGTTCAGTGGTTGCACTGATACCAGTGAGATTGAACAAAAGATCACCAACCAGTTCCACAGAGCTGAGACGAATTCTGTAGCTATCGTCGGCAAGGCCGCGTTCGAGTTCGGGAAGCAGTAAGTCAATGGCCTTCGTTGCAAAGTTTTTGACTAGAAGGCGACCAGCACGCAGTGAAGTATCTCGAATAGACTCGATATCGTCTGCGAGACCTGACAAGATAGGCGGGATGATTTTGCTGAGATAATTGGCAAAACTGTTACCAAAACAGACAGGTAAGAAGATGAATAATGACATGAAACCTTCGCGAACAGATGCCTTGTTGGAAGCCACATTTTGCAGAATTGTAGGTAGTGTCTCTTCAAGACGAGTGGTACCAAGACCAGCAAGGACTTCACTGAGGGCCTGAGCGGATCCAAGGCGGTCTCCAGCACCAGTATCCGACTTCAAAGTCTGCATCAGGCCTGGAATGAGGTCCGGAAGAGCGTCTTCTCCCAGCTTCTCGATCAAAGAACCCAAGGCCTTGGAAGCGGTGGCGCGAGTTGTTGGGACAGGATCGACGATCGCGACCTTGAGACCTGCGACCAAAATAGGAAGATGTGCAACCAGGTCTTTCCTTTCTGTTAAATGGGCAAGACTGCCAATGACTTGGGCAGCCTTCCGCTTCGTTGCTGAGCGATCTCCGAGTCCACGTTCGAGAATACGAGCCACAAGGGCAAGTGAAGGAGCATCTAAGTAATGGACGAAAGACACTTTGATAAGGGCGTCCAAAGCATCGTCTGTGTATTTGGTGGGGTCACTAAGTGCCTTGAGAAGTACGTCCACAAGACTCTTGATTTCGGGATTATTGATGACTTCGCCAAAGCGCTTCAAGCTTCGATTGGCGGCGAGACGGACTTCTTTGTGGCTATCATTCAGTACTCCTGTCAAAGGTGGGATGATCTCAGGCAAACTCTGTGCAAGCTGCTGCGGGTCGAGGTAAGCCATAGCACCAAGCAAGTCACATGCACCCTTTTTGCTTCTCCACTGTTGATCATCTAGCCCGTCGAGAAGAGTTGGCAAGATTCGCTTTACTCCGTATGAGCTCAGGCTCGCAAAGCATGCCTTAGCAGCAGCTAAGCAACCTTCGCGAACATCAGCGCTTGCATCACCAAAGCTTGAAAGAAGCTGTGGGACAATTTGAATCACATAGGGCTCGAAAACACGACCCAGCATCGTCGATAGAAGTTCGTATGCAAGCAAAGCACCTTCTCGATGGTTGACATCCTTCTTATTCTCAATGGCACCTTTAAGTGTTACCATGATCCGGTATTCCCTCAACGCAGAAATACCCTTGCCATTGACCAGTCCAGCAACTCCATATGCCGCACCACGACGGGCAGCGTACTTCTTCGAATTGAGGAGTCTATCGAGAACCTGGTGTATATAATCTGGCATTTTCTCGCTTGATGCGCGGACAAGAGGGGGGAGACATTCAGCAACAGCATACTGAACGGCTTCTGACGGCGTGCTTAGAGTCTCCAGTAATCTGTCAACCACCTTCGGGACACGTGCGTCGCCAGCCTTCAAGTGACGAGCTAAAGCTCCATACATGATGATGACTGCTTCATTTACTCGATCGGCGAACTCGGAACCTTTATCTGGAGCCTCGAGTGTGTGCTCAAAAGTCTTCATGAGATCTTCCACTTTATCCTTTCCGTGAAGTGCAATGATCGCTGTAGCAGCTTCAATCATCTCCTCTCTGACATTTGGATCCCTATCACCAAGGGGTCCCTGCTCAATGAGGAACCGCAAAAACTCGTCAAGGAGACCTTCTTCGAAAACTGGAGCAAGCTCTTTGAATGCAATGGCAATACCATTTCTGGCCTCCCACGGATCCGAGAGGTCCATCTTCTTTGGCATACCATATTCATCAAGTTGGGGTACACGAGGTTTAGCTAGCTCCTTGTACGAATATTGCAGACGTTGAAGAGCATCATTTAGCGTTGTGGGTTGGAGTTTGATCGCATCGGCTAAGGATCTAGCCGCTGCCCTTCGAAGTTGCTTGTCGGTGCTGTTGAGGTACGGTAGCATCCTGAACGGCGATGTGGTCGTGATCTCAAACCCACTTTCTTCCCATATTTCACGTCCAAGCTCAATGTTCTCATCCACGTCATCATGGCATGCAAGCCAAACCTCGTCGGAAAAGTCCAGGTCACTCATATCAATCTCTGCACTGATGGACTGCAGAACTGAAGTCCGAACGGCGATCGGTGGTACAATTGCGCCCTGAGCTAAGATTGCAATCTCGGCGTCTGTAATACTAGGTGCGATGCATCGGCAAAAATCTGCTAAACAGTCCTTGATGATTTTGTAATGTTGGTTATAGTTCTGCATTGATGATATTAAGGCGGAAAGAATTTCCGAACGAGGCACAAAGGTATCGGACGAAGCGTCGGTATGAAAGGAGATGAACTCCAAAGCCAGCACTATTTGAGCCTCGGCATCATCTGCATCTCCAAAGCCTCCATTCTCAAGTACCAAGAATACAAGTGGGAGGATATATGTCAGGGATACAGTGTCGAATGGACGTTGTTCTCCGGAAAAGCGAAGGCGATAGAGCACCCTAGTTATGAGGGCACCTAAAGGTTCTTGCAACAGATGAGTTGGAAGATGTGGGACATCTAAGGCTCTCAAAGTTGCAATGCCAATAAATGGTCGGAGAACACCAATGCGACTCGCAAGGGTTTCGGAGCAAGAAATGTAGGCATCTGGGGCGGCATTTCCAGTGATCAGACCGGCGCCAGCACTGATGACATCGACCAAGGCTTTTACCGCAGGCCCTATCCAAAGGCGAGCATCTGTTGGTGGGCCAGTTGCGAGGCTCTTGATTATTCCAATACCACGTAAAAGCTTAGCTTCAAGATGTCGAATGCTCCATCGAATACCCGACTCCTTTTTCAATTGGGAATTGACCTTTGAAGCTTCTTCTGGGCTCAGCTTTTTCTGTTGGCCCTTCTTCTGAGCGAGCTGGGCCCTTAGTTCCTCTTCCCACTTAAGGGTATCATAGTCTTTGGTGTTCTTGTTCGAAACATAGTTTTGAGATTTAGTCGCTAAGACATCAACGAAAGCAGTTCCTTCTTCGGTTCGAAATATAGCAGCCTCAGTTGGGCCAATATTTGCTAATTGAGTAAAGTCAAGATCCTGTTTGATCAGTAGCACAATGCGAGACGTCATTACATCCGGAGCTACAAAAGCAAGCTCAGCTGCAGCATTGAAAGCTGCGGTCTTAACAGATTCCGAATGTTGTATTGAGGACTAAAAGAAGTTAGGGTATGAAGGGAATTCCAGTATCAAATGTCACGTACTGTTTCTGTGAAGCTTGTAAAATCCAGGATCTGCTGTATTAATTGGTCCCCAAATTCTCTTGCAAGAACACCAGGATCCACCTCAACCCTCAAGCACAAATCTATCCAATTGATCCGTGGAAGCAATTCCGGTCGAGACAGAATCAATAGAGATACCATCTGCTTCTGGCGAATGGATTCGCTAATAGAACCACCGAGTCGCTCAACGTCCACAGGCGGTAAACAGATTGATTTCACGACCAAGTGGAGATTTTGATTGTCTGTCTTAGATGTAGCTGCGGCGCTGTCCTTGTCTGCAGATTCGACTGACTGTCGCCAACGCCAGAGGCCAGAAATAGTAATTTGTGAGATTCTCGACGCATCTTCAACGTACATCTCGGAGAGGGCAAGCGAAGCATCTCTTCGTAGACCAGGCTTGACGCTAGTGGAACAAATGCAGAATATCATAGCTTGAGACCAGCCAAGGGCGGTTGCAGAATCGGCTTCGGCGGTAGAAAGATCATGAGACAGTGATGAGAGGGCACGGATGAGCCATTTGAAGTCATCGTCGCTAGAAAGCTTTCCATATATGCGCTGATTTAACAAGTACGAGGGCTTAGGATCCATTGTCAGAGCTTGGCGTGCGACTTGCGCTTTTTTTAAGGCTATTTCGACTTTGCTGTTTGATGTGGCTGCAAGCTTCGAATGTGAGATAGCTGTGAAGATGTATGCGGCGGTTACAAGACCAGATTGAGCAGCAGATATTGGGTTGCTGTTGGTTTCTTGCCAGATATCCATGAGAGCTGGTATGACAGCTTCTGCAAGTGAGGAGAATCTCGAATTCAAGATACCTCGGTCATGGACATCCCAAAAGAGTTCCCCGAGGCGCAATGCCCATAACTTCTTCACGGGCACTTTCTTATCAGAAAGACCTCTAACAAATATATCAATCACTGGTTTGGGCACCTCGCTCCCATTGGAGACTCCCCATTTCACGTAGTGAAGAAGTGTTGTTGTTTCCGCACCAAGGGCCACATCGTTTGTTTCCTTGCCAGCAGCCGCAGCGATTGCTGGGGTCACGGTTACTACCGTCAAATTTGACACTGGAAGTATTGCAAGCATTTCTGCATGACTGGCTCTCTGGTCTGCGGATGGCAGCTTTCCTGTTTTCAGAGGCATAATGATCTCTTCCGCAACCTTGGCAATAATGTCCGGCTCGTGACATTTCTGCATAATGGCCTTGAAAGTTGAAAGGGCTCCATGGCGTATTGAGGCATTCGTGGACTTGATATTTGAAAGAAGCGGTTTCAATAAATTGCCTTGAAGGATGGTTGATAGATCTATAGTATCTGGGAGCGCTTCGAAAAATGGCTCAATCAGGCCATTTAGTACAATCTCAGGAGCTCTAAGTAGGGCCTTCTCGAGAGACGGAATGATCTCTTTCTCGATATCATGTTTAGTAGTAAATGCTTCGAAGAAATCGCTTAGTCCATTGGCAACATGAGCAGGTACCGCAGATCGTGATCCAATGACCTCTCTATTATAGAAGGCATAAATTTCGGATGTTTTGCGCGAGAGGATATCTTTTGGTTCTGGTAGTCTGGCGCATACTCCCGCAACAACGCCTAGCATAACAGAATTCCTCGCCGAAGGTTGAGAACCTTTTGCAGTAAGTGTCTTTACAACATCTTCGATTGCTTTTTGCCTAGCATCTTCCTTTGAGAAAACCTTCCGTAGGCCGCGCCGAGTCACCACGAGAGCTGAATGCTTCACATTCGACCGTGAAGATTCACTGAGGCATAATTCAAGAGCTTCGGCATTGCTCACAACTGTTTCTAAACCCCATCTCTCCCAGTGGCTTGTCCCTGATATTTCCTGGAGTAATATACTGCACCATTCGACCAGCACAAATGCGTTGCTCGGCGCCAGGCCAGGTTTCCTTGTCTCGACGTGAATGAACTTCACAAAGTTTGCCAGGGCTTCAGGGGGGGCGTCTGAGCTGAATATATTTCGAATGCATCGCTGAACAGCTGCTCGCGAGTGTCGATCGTGGTAGGCGGGGTACGTGTAGGTAAATAGATCTAGAATTCTGGGGAAAAGCTCTTGGCCAATGTCTACTTATTATTAGCATACGTATAAGCTACGATGGTGAAAGCCAAGAATGGTCTACCATTGTGGGAAAGTCTCTCTTCAAGATTGTGGAGACTTCCAAGGCGCCTGGTAGTTGAAGACGAGGAGAGTGCCGCCTTCGTAGCCGTGATGTCGAGATCCACCACAGTGATACCATTAACCTCCACCTCAGTCATCTTGTCGAGGATGGGAATCTTGTCATGACCCGGAGGATCTTCTTGCGTGGTTGTTGAGGTGGTGTGTTGATCAAGAAATAACTTTATATATCTCGGTTCTCCAGGTCGGTGGATTTTTTAGATTCCCCGCCGCCTAGTGAATTTGGTCGTCGACAACGCAACAAACTCGCGAATCCACGCAGTCCAACCTTTGAATCCAGATATTTTGCAATGGCTGGCGGGAAGAAGAAGAAGAAGCCTGCGGCGAATCCGGCCAGAGCTGTTGCAACCACATCTATTATATCGAAGTCGAAAGCAGAAGTTCCCGAGGTAGAAACAACCCCTCCAACGACGCTCCAGGACGTCGAAGTGCAGCAAAAGGATGCCATAGACACCAACGGAATTGGAAATTCAGGGCGGCCACAGAAGGATCTGACTCCTGAAGAATTCGAGAGGCAACTCGAAGACTCCGAGCTTCAAGTCCTAGTAGAAAAGTACGCCCAGAAGTCCAAAAGAGATGCCCTTCGTCAAAAAACGAGGTTGGAGACTGATCGCCGTGTATTGAGGGGTCAAGCAGAGAACCTCAATACGAGAAAATGGCTTCCGCCAGAACTCATGGAAGAGATCTTGGATTTGGTCAAGTCCGAGGGGCGGTTTACGGGCCAGACAGTGGATGGCTCTAGCAGTATGAAACCTCCATCAGAAGAAGAGCTCACCATAAAACTCTGGACTCTTCAACAAGCACTTATTGGTGCTGGCTTTTTGGACGATAAAGTTAGCCAGGCCCTGAGGATTATACTTGATATCTCGGACAAAATAGGGGTGGGGAATAAAGATGCAATTTGGGGCATGGAGGAAGCTCTGGAGTGGCTTTCACGCGAGTGCTCGAGGAAAGAGCTCCCAGATTATGAGCATTGGCAAAGAAAGCGAATTATTCCCAAATCACAGATAGGTCGGTCTTGCCAGATACGTGTACCTTAGCTTGAATACTAATCTTCTACAGTAGAAAACCCATCTTATAGTCCGTTGCCATCTGGTGCAACGACCCCACGTTTTGAATCTGACAATAGGCATATTGGTCATGACCCAAATGGCAGTGTCTCTCAATATGAGAAAAAGAGTTCGCCTGTCAAAATGGTGCCTGCCATCGATTACGACAGCGATTTGGACCCAGATGATCTGTTGCCAGCATATCTAGAATGCAAAACAGAATTATTTCATTTACAACCACCCACCCCGAAACCGCCAACCTCACGCCCAGGTGGTCGGAACCATACCCCCTACTCCCGTCCTTCGGCGTCTCCTACGGACCCAGAGACCGCAAAACTTCTAAGGAAGATCAAAAAAATCGAAGATGATATTCTGTTTGATCAGTACGTAGCCGATCAGCAATGGGAAATAAAAAGAATCCAGCTAGAGAGAGATGCCGCTGCGCATCGGAGTGCCCTTCAGTCGAGTCGGGATGCAGGTTCTCAAGGATCGGAAAGTCTTGTTGACTCAGACGATGATGTGAGCAAAAAGGCGGCTAAAATAGGGGCGGCGTTGCTCGAAGACACAGGTAGTGATGATGAGGCAGCTCTCGCGGACTTATTCGCAAGCCTACCAGTCAACGAAGTCGACCCCCTCACGGGCAAGAGTAGCACTGTTATCAATGGAACCAATGGGGTGAAAGTTACCGTACGGGACTTTGGAAAATGGACAGGGGTAAATCCAACAAGAGTTTTGGAAGAAGCCTGTAGAGCTAGGTGGGTCTTAATCCGTCCCTCATGTCTCACCCCGTGCTAATCTAGCCTCTTTTAGGGACTCGTCTGCTAAGTTGAACTTTACTTTGCTCTCTGATTCAAGTTTCTCCAATCGTCATTCGCTCCGCATCCTGTGGTCGAAGGCGCAGGAGACTGAGTTAACCTCACCTCCAGAAATTGAGTATTTTGCGTCGCCGAAATCGCAGACATTTACTATGATATCTGTATCCGCGCCAGATGGTAGGCAATCAGAGGCATACGTTGCAACAACAGCTCTGTTTCTCATATTTAGCTCATCTGCAAAAGAAGATAAAGTTTTCCTTCGTCTGCCTGCTACGTGGAGAGACCTGTGGACGGAATTCGCGGAAGCGAAGAAAGAGAAGCTGGATGAAGCAGATCGAGCTAGTATTCGCACTTTTCGCGATATGGTTCGCGAAAAGAGAGACCAGGAACTCGAAGATGGTGTTCTAATCAAAGGCGCCTTTAAAAACCGCGGCTCTACTCGGACACTGGAGAATAGTGACGAAATGAAGGGAGATAAGGCCCCAAAATCAGCTCTAGCACCTGAGGCCTACCAGAGAATCTGGCTAGAGAAGTCTAGCACACAAAGTTATCAAGTAATGCTCGTTAGTTGTCTGATACCTTCCCTGTTTCCTATCTAACGGCTCACAGCAATCGCGCATGCAATTGCCAATGTGGGGATTCAAAAATGAAGTTCTCAGCGCGATTGACAAAGCCCAGGTGGTCATAGTTTGTGGAGAGACAGGATGGTAAGATCAACCACTGCATTTGTCTAGATATGCGCTGATGCCCTTCTAGTGGTAAGAGTACCCAAGTTCCTGCTTTTATATTAGAGTATGAGCTTTCAAAGGGCAAACCATGCAAAATATACTGCACAGAACCGCGACGTATATCGGCAATTTCGCTCGCTCGGCGTGTGAGTGAAGAGCTTGGAGAGCGTAAGAATGATCTCGGGACGTCTCGCTCACTTGTTGGCTACGCAATTCGTCTCGAATCAAATACGTCAAAAGAAACCAGGCTTGTATATGCAACTACTGGCATTGTCATGAGGATGCTAGAGGGGTCCAACGATTTGAGAGACATCACGCATATCGTTCTAGATGAGGTACATGAGCGTACTATTGACAGCGATTTCTTATTGATCGTCCTACGAAAGCTCATGGTCAAAAGACCCGATCTAAAGGTGGTATTGATGTCCGCGACAGTTGATGCCGACCGCTTTTCGAAATACCTTGATGGAGCTCCTGTTTTGAGGGTTCCTGGTCGCACCTTCCCCGTCCAAGTGCAGTATCTAGAAGATGCGGTTGAGCTTATCGGATATTCTCTTGACAATGGTCAACAGGAGAAGCTCACAGACCTTGATGATGACATAGAGGTTGGAGAGGCAGCTACCAGCGACCCGGCCAAGTCTGGGAATACAAAGGCCCTGCGTGGATATAGCGGCAAGACGAGGAGCACTATTGCACAGATCGATGAATACAGAATCGATTTCGAGCTCATTACGCAACTTTTGACTAGGCTTGCAACTGACACGCACTTTGAGATGTACAGCAAAGCAATATTGGTTTTTTTGCCAGGCATTGGAGAAATCCGGCAACTCAATGACATGCTTGTTGGGCATCCTCAGTTCTCTTCGAACTGGTATGTGTATCCATTGCATTCTACCATTGCGAGTGAAGACCAGGAAGCAGCCTTCCTGGTGCCGCCTCCAGGGACGAGGAAAATCGTTCTTGCCACAAACATTGCTGAAACCGGCATCACCATCCCCGATGTGACCTGTGTTATTGATACTGGAAAGCATCGAGAAATGAGGTATGTCAAGTTTAATTTATGTGGGAGATTTTGCTAAAGCTTCACAGATTTGATGAGCGAAGGCAGCTTTCCAGGCTTTTGGAAACATTCATAAGCAAAGCAAATGCCAAACAGAGAAGAGGTAGAGCTGGTAGAGTCCAGGAGGGCTTATGTTTCCACCTCTTTACTAAGTATCGTCACGACGAACTTGTAAGTAATTGAGTTATGCACATATAATTTCCCTCAGTAGACTAATATTTCCTCCACAGATGGCCGATCAGCAAACCCCCGAGCTTCTTAGATTATCTTTGCAGGATCTTGCTATTCGTGTTAAGATCTGCAAACTTGGCGGCATCGAAGAGACCCTCAGTGAAGCTCTCGACCCACCATTACCGAAGAATATCCGCCGTGCGGTTGATGCTCTCATCGATGTCAGGGCTTTAACTCCAGGGGAAGATCTGACCCCGTTGGGTATTCAGTTGGCAAGACTTCCCCTTGATGTTTTCTTGGGTAAACTCATTCTGTTGGGTAGCATTTTCAAGTGCTTAGACGCTGTCATTACCGTTGCAGCTATTCTTTCCTCAAAATCGCCTTTCGTTGCTCCATTTGGTGCACGAGGCCAAGCAGATACAATTCGGCAGTCATATCGGAGAGGTCAGTTGTCTATATCTTTTTATTCTCCGCTTCTCTATTGCCTACGAAGCAAATTTGGCCCTCAAACATTTTTTCGTGGTTTGCCATTTGCTGACAATATTTAGGTGACTCGGATCTTCTTACTGTTTATAACGCTTATTTAGCATGGAAGCGAGTCTGCCTCAGCAATGGCTCAGAATATCAATTCTGCAGAAAGAACTTTCTCAGCCAGCAAACACTATCAAATATCGAAGACTTGAAAGGACAACTTATTGTGTGTTTAGTTGACTCGGGCTTTCTGCCCCTCACGGAAGCTGAGCGAAGCAACCTGAACCGGTATGCCGACCTGTGTAGACTTCGGTATATAAATCACTAACTGTTCAGAATGCGCTATTCGACAAGACGCCGGCAATTCTTCGATATACCTCAACGAGCGAATGTCAATAGTGATAACGATCTCGTCACAACCTCGGTGATTGGTTGGAGTTTCTACCCAAAACTCCTCATCAGAGATGGAAAGGGATTCCGGAATTGCGCCAATAATCAGTCCATCAGTCTACACCCATCATCTGTAAACAAGGGGCATCATGAACTAAAATGGCTTTCGTACTACCATATTATGCAGGCGAAACAGTAAGTTAGAGCCACATGTTTAGCTAGACGACGACTTACATTGTGTAGATTCTATAATGCCCACGAAACTACAGCAATCGAAGAATTTGCCATTGCGCTCCTCTGTGGCGACGTCCGCTGTGATGTAAGGCCCTTCTTTCTTCCCAGCTTTTCAAAGTTAACACTGGATAGATGTACGCTGGTGTGTTTATCCTTGACGGCAACCGTGCGCGATTTGCAGTGTCAGACTGGAAAACAATGCTTGTAATCAAGACTCTTCGATCCCGTCTTCGCGATATTATGACTCGTTCCTTCAAGAATCCTGGGAAGGCTCTCACGGCCCAGCAGCAAAAATGGATGGAAGTTTGGCAGAAAATATTTTCACAGGAAGAAGTTCAAGCATAAATAAATAGATAAATAGATACACTATAAGATGTCTATCTAGGTAATAGTAGGTTCTGTCACAGAGCGAATATAGGTAGTGCGCTGTAACTAGAGGCTAGTTATTCGCTGCGCTTAATAGTAAGCGACCGGGATTATAGCACGGAGCTGTAAATCACGTGTAGCGGTCCGTTTTTGCTTTAGAGTATTATTTTTTTAGAGTAAATAGAATTAGTATCCTATTATCTATAATAGATTCACTAATTTCCTAGCATAGATCGCTTAGTATTATAGCAGATATAAAAAAACTTTTCCGATTTCACGAATTCACTTATAACTTTTACTACAACTGTCTAAATCAAATAATCGCGCTAGCATATTAACCGCCTTAATCTTAGCTTTCTTTTAAGCCTACCCTTATAGTTCTTACTAGGAAAATAAGTAAATGCAGGTTATCTAAAGGGTTTTCTACCCTCTAACTGCCTTCTCCTCTCTCCTCTTATAACAATCGCCTAGCTCACGTAGCGCTAGAGTAAGTCTTGTGACTTATTTATTATTTATTTATTCCATTAACGTCCTGTGTAAGTGTAAGAGGCGAGCTCTAGAGGTAAAGCACAGGCTATGCCCGTGCTTAGCTTACTAAGCCTTAACCGGGGAGCACTTACTTTTCTTTAGATTTAGATGAAGATTCTTCTCTCTTTTTTATTAAACTTATTAAATATTATATTAAGCCTCTATATATATATAACTTACTTATAATATTAAGTTTAATTAATTATAGATTTATAGCTACCTATTAGCTTTATACTAGACCTTAAGTTAATACTATTAAGAAATAAAAGCCTTTAGTATAATATATTAAACACTTAACTACTAGCTACCTTCTAAGAAATATATATGCGCTAATAATAGCTAGAAACCGAATTATTAGAAACGCATGCTACTATAAATAACTAGGAGATAAGAGAAGCTTAGTAGGGCCTATTAGGAGACGCGCTAGTCTAGAGCGAACTTATAAGAGCTTTAATTAAGTCGCTCTTAGTAATAACTTATATAAGAACTAACTATAAACTATTAGGCCTTAGGGATTAGAAGCTGCTAATATAGAATAGCTAGATAAAAGCCTTTTAAGATTACTTTCTAAGGCTTAGAAGCTTATATTATATTTATTCTAAAGCAAAACTAATACTTTTAGCCGAGTATTACTAGAATACTATCTATAACACTCTTCTAGTATAAGAGAGAGCTTAAATGTATTACTTTTAAGAAAAGGGAGACTTTATAAAAAGTAAGGACTTTAAAGCTTTTTTATATAGCTTAATAAGATCTTCTTAAATAGCAATAAATAAGTAAAAGCTCTAGAGCGTCTTATAAATATAAAGCACTCTTTAGGTTAACTATAGTATAAATACTAGCTTAAGTTTAATAAACTTCTACTAAGTGCTAATAGAGAGAGCTAAGAAAATAATATAAAGATTAGTATAATAGGTTGCACCTGATGTTATAGCTTAGCATATAGTGCCTTTATATATATCTTTATATATATAATATAAATATAATAAGTCTATAATTTCGCTTTCTCTAGCTCTCTTTAAAGGCTAGAAAACCTTTATATCTATTTATATAAGAGAAGCTTCTCTTCTCTTTTTAGTTAATTCTTCTTATATTAAATTTAGGCTTTTACTCTATATACTTAGCATTTGCCCTATAATATTAGAATTAACTTATCCTCTTTTTAAAATCCTTTACTAGATAAGAACTCTAAGTAGATACCTTAAGCTATATATAGTAGACTTAGCTATTTATATAAAGAAGATTATACTTCTAGACTATATATAATAGATCTAGTAGATATAATTCTAGACTATATATAGTAGGCCTAATAATTATAAATTCCTAACTATATATAGCAGGCTAGAAGACTATAATTCCTAACTATATATAATAGGCTAGATAATATATAATTCCTAACTATATATAGTAAGCTAGATAATATATAATTTCTAACTATATATAATAAACTAGATAATATAATTCCTAACTATATATAATAAGCTAAAAGAATATATAAGAGAGTTAGATCTCTAATAATAAAGTATTATACTTAATATTATTATATAAAAAAGCTAAGCTCCTAGTAATTATAGGATTATTATATAAAGATAAAAAAGAGTTAATTAAGACTATCTTAATTAGCTTGATTTACTATAAAATAGAAGAATACGCCTAGCTATCTTAATAGCTACAAGAAGTATTTAAAGCTTAAGTATAATAAATAGCTATATAGTCTTAGCAGATTATAGATATAGCTACCTAATAAGTAGTAATAATAGCTATACTAGCTAACTAAATCTCCTCTATTAAAGAGTAGTCTACTTAATAACTTAAATACCTCTTAGCCTCTACTTATATACCTATACCTAGCTTAGTAGTATAAGAGGATAAGGTATAAAGACTAAAGAAATATCTCTTAAAACTAGATAAGTTTAATAGTAAAGATAAAGTAATATACTCTTAATTTAAAAGACTATTAAGAGTAAAGCTATAGATTAATAGTAATATAATTAGAAAGGAAATTAAATAAGTATAGTATATATTTAATTAACTTTTAAATAAAGCTATAAGCTATATCTACTTATAGATATTATATACTTAAATAAAAAATATATTTATAGTTAATAAGATTTTTAAATAGATAAGGTCTACTTTTAGTAACTCTAAATACTAATAAAAGGCTCTAATAGACCTAAATACTACTAAGTAGAGATCTTATCTATTTAGCAAGTTCTTAAATAACTTTAATAAGCTGCTACTTAAAGTAAAAGGCTAGAGCTAGGATAATATTATTAAGAAAGGTTATCTTAAGACTATAATCTTAATTAAGTTAATAACTATAATAGTAGAAAGTAAGAAAGAAGAATTATATAATAACTACTATGCTTAGCTATATATAATAAATAATACTTTAGCTAAAGTAGCTAAGATTACCTCCTAATATTTAAACTAGAAAAAGAAGAAAAAGGAAAGGTTACTTATATAATATATAACCTAGGCTTTACTAGCTATAGGCCCTAATAAAATAGAGTAGATCTCTATTATAAGTACTAATATAGTATATATAAAAGAGCCTTATTAGGCTAAACTAGCTAAAATTAAAAGATAAAAGAAGGAAAGACTCTACCTTTACTATAGAGATAATAGATATATAGTCTAAGAATATTATATAAAGCTTATATAAAAGAAGAAAGTTTAAGTAATATCTAGAAAAGTTATAGAACTACCTACTAATTTAGAAGAGTTAAGAAAAGAATAGCTTCTAGTAAAAAGCGCTACTAGAAGTAGATAAAGAAAGATATAAAAGCTAAGAAAGTATAAATAGATTTTAAGAAGTTAATAA